GATTTGATCGGTGAACTCTTGAACTATGGAAACTGGAAGCTAAAAACTAAACTTTTACAAAATTTGAAATGAACCAATTTTCTTATAGACCATACGTGACTTGTTTGGCGTGGAGCTTTCGTTTCCTGTTTATTTAACGTAGAGTTGTGCTTACAAAGTTCAACATCTTTTCTTGCTTTTTGCTATTATTTAATCAATTTTATTGTCTTAGTTCAGGAAATAGTATACATAACCCAAGACGGTTAAAATTGTACTTAGGCGCGAATCTAGAGTACTTCACTAGATTCAGTGAGGTTTGCTGCAATCAAAGATTAGTTTAATATCTCCAAGTTTCATCTCAAAATATAGACCAAGCGATAGTCTTGTTTTTGTTTTGCTAGGATGTATATTTAATTTTGAACGTGTATGAATTAGATATTGCATAGCCTACAGGTTCCAATTTCTAGTGCTCCCTTCTAAATACTAGTTCACTGCCTCGGTTAGAGCCTGGTGTAAATATTCTAACTCTTAGAAGACTTTATCGTAAATGTGCAGGCGATCTCTTACATTAGGACTTTATATGCCTTTACTAATGAAACTCTTGCAAAATATTCCTACGCAAACTCCCTTCAAGCAACCCTGAGATACGGTATATTGATAAGTCTTGTGCAAGGCCTTGGACTTGGATTTACTTATGGGCTTGCTTTATGCTCGTGTGCGCTGCAACTTTGGATTGGACGATTCTTTGTTACCAGTGGAAGAGCAAATGGTGGAGAAATCATAGCAGCTCTTTTTGCCATCATTTTAAGTGGCCTGTAAGCTTCAGATTCTACTGATGTTGTCTTTATCTATTTCCTCAGCCTCTATTACATAGATATACCTTCTTAGTCTCTCTCTCTGTGCATATATAGTTATATACGTATTAAGATAATTTGTCTTGATTATGCATAATCTATTGGGCAGTGGTTTAAATCAAGCTGCTACGAACTTCTATTCATTTGATCAAGGAAGGATTGCTGCATATAGACTTTTTGATTTAATAACTCATTCGTCCTCTGTGGCCAATCAAGAGGGAGCTGTGCTGTCTTCTGTTCAAGGAAATATTGAGTTCCGGAATGTGTATTTCAGCTATTTGTCACGACCTGAAATTCCAATCTTGAGTGGATTTTACCTTACGGTTCCTGCTAAAAAAGCAGTTGCACTCGTTGGTAGAAATGGTTCTGGAAAAAGCAGCATCATTCCTCTAATGGAACGGTTTTATGATCCAACATTAGGTATGACTTGTGATTTAAGATGCACCATTTACCTCTTTATGGAGACAATTATGAGCTGACGACATTGTGATTTTGCTTATGCAGGAGAAGTTCTTCTTGATGGAGAAAATATCAAAAATCTAAAACCGGAGTGGCTGAGAAGCCAAATAGGCCTGGTTACACAAGAGCCTGCTCTACTAAGCTTGAGCATAAGAGAGAATATTGCATATGGTCGTCATGCTACTCTTGATCAGATAGAGGAGGCAGCTAAAATTGCGCATGCACACACATTTATCAGCTCACTTGAAAAAGGATATGAAACACAGGTAGACATTATTTGAAATTTTTTGTTATGAAATCCTGCTTTGTCAGTTGGTATTCAACCTTGAAGTGTGAAATACCTTGATTGTTTCTAGGTCGGGAGAGCCGGTTTAGCATTGACTGAGGAGCAGAAAATAAAACTTTCGATCGCCAGAGCTGTACTTTTGAATCCAACGATTCTTCTGCTTGATGAAGTAACTGGAGGACTAGACTTCGAAGCTGAAAGAATTGTTCAGGAAGCTCTTGATCTTCTGATGTTGGGACGGTCAACCATAATAATAGCCCGACGGCTAAGTTTGATAAAAAATGCTGACTACATCGCCGTGATGGAGGAGGGTCAGCTCGTTGAAATGGGTACACACGATGAATTGATAGCTCTTGGTGGGCTGTATGCTGAGCTTCTGAAGTGTGAAGAAGCAACAAAGCTTCCGAGAAGGTATGATAGCTTAGAACTTAACCAGTCAGTCATGTGGTAGAAAATATATTTGGGCATTCGTTTTCTGTTTTTATGATTTCTAGAAGGGTAGATTTTTGGTGATTATAATTTTTTAGGAACTTGTTTCAACCAGGATGCCAGTTAGGAACTACAAGGAGTCTGCGGTGTTTCAGGTTGAGAGGGACTCTTCAGCTGGCTGTGGCGCCCAAGAACAATCATCACCCAAAATGATCAAATCTCCGTCTCTTCAAAGAGGTAATGGTGTGTTCCGTCCCCAGGAACTCTGTTTCAATACTGAAGAATCACCTATTGACCATAGCCCTGCGCCTGAGAAAATGGGGGGAAATGGCTTGCCTGTGGACGATGCTGATAAAGAGCCAACTATGAAAAGGCAAGATAGTTTCGAGATGAGGTTGCCTGAACTTCCAAAAATTGACGTTCAGTGTCCACGGCAGAAATCAAACGGATCAGATCCAGAGTCCCCTGTTTCACCTCTTTTGACATCAGATCCTAAAAACGAGCGTTCCCATTCTCAGACGTTTAGCCGCCCTCTTAATTCTTCTGATGACACTACAGCAAATGGTAAGGCAGCTAAGGATGCTCAACACAAGGAGTCACCTTCATTTTGGAGGTTGGCACAGCTTAGTTTCCCAGAGTGGCTTTATGCTGTATTAGGGAGTCTTGGTGCTGCCATCTTTGGTTCTTTCAATCCTCTTCTGGCTTATGTCATTGCACTGGTAGTGACGACGTATTATAACAGCCAAGGAGGCCACCTGCGCGAGGAGGTTGACAAATGGTGTTTGATCATTGCCTGCATGGGGGTAGTGACAGTTGTTGCCAATTTCTTGCAGCACTTCTACTTTGGTATAATGGGGGAGAAAATGACCGAGAGAGTTCGGAGGATGATGTTCTCAGGTACTGGATAATTTTATTCGTTATAATTTACATCCACCATATTTGATCTACTTTCACATGCCTGAGTTAATTAATTTCCCTGATCTTACAGCAATTCTGCGTAACGAAGTTGGATGGTTCGATGATGAAGAGCACAGTCCAGATACGTTATCCATGCGTTTAGCAAATGATGCTACTTTTGTCCGAGCTGCCTTCAGCAACAGACTTTCGATATTTATTCAAGATAGTTTTGCTGTTATCGTTGCTCTTCTTATTGGATTGCTGCTTGGTTGGCGTTTGGCCCTTGTTGCTTTGGCAACTCTGCCAATACTCACTCTTTCTGCCATTGCTCAGGTTTGCTTCGTTTCTTCTAGAAGATTGCTTGATATTTAACGGTTTTTATATTTATTTCAGCCAATCAGTTCATTATCCTCTGTTTCACATGAGTTTCTGATTTTGCAAAACTTTTCCAGTTCGAGTAGCGATTTAGCATATGCGTCGTTGTTTTTTGCCATCCCATTCTCATGAACGTAGCTCAGAGATGCTTGTTTCTTCAGCTGACACTACATTTTAATCATCCTCAAAACGAATTTGCAGAAACTATGGCTTGCTGGATTCTCAAAAGGCATCCAGGACATGCATAGAAAGGCATCTTTAGTCCTTGAGGACGCTGTTAGAAACATCTACACTGTTGTGGCTTTCTGTGCTGGTGACAAGGTGATGGAACTATACAGGATGCAACTCCAGCGGATACTGAGACAGAGCTTTCTCCACGGGATGGCTATTGGTTTTGCGTTTGGTTTCTCACAGTTTCTTCTTTTCGCCTGCAACGCGCTCCTCCTGTGGTGCACCGCACAGTCTGTGAACCGTGGCTATATGAAGTTATCCACAGCTATAACGGAGTACATGGTTTTCTCTTTTGCTACATTTGCCCTTGTCGAGCCGTTTGGATTAGCACCGTATGTTCTCAAGCGCCGTAAGTCTCTCATATCAGTATTTGAAATCATAGATCGAGTCCCTAGGATCGAACCAGATGACAACTCTGCTCTCAAACCCCCTAATGTCTACGGAAGCATTGAGTTGAAAAACATCGACTTCTGCTACCCAACTCGACCGGAAGTGTTAGTGCTGAGCAACTTCAGCCTCAAAGTCACCGGAGGGCAAACGGTGGCTGTGGTTGGCGTTTCGGGTTCTGGAAAAAGCACAATAATCTCACTGGTAGAGAGATACTACGACCCAGTTGCTGGTCAAGTCCTACTAGATGGCAGAGACTTAAAGTTATACAACCTGAGATGGTTGAGAAGCCACATGGGTTTGGTTCAACAAGAACCCATAATCTTTTCCACGACCATCAGAGAGAATATCATATACGCAAGGCACAATGCGAGCGAGGCCGAGATGAAAGAAGCAGCGAGGATAGCGAACGCTCACCATTTCATCAGCAGCTTACCTCACGGTTACGACACGCATATCGGGATGAGAGGCGTAGAGCTCACAGCAGGACAGAAACAGAGAATAGCGATAGCACGGGTAGTGCTGAAGAATGCTCCAATCATCTTAATAGACGAAGCAAGCTCGGCTATCGAATCAGAATCAAGCCGGGTCGTGCAGGAGGCTCTCGACACATTGATAATGGGGAACAAAACAACGATCCTCATTGCACATAGAGCGGCTATGATGAGGAATGTGGATAACATTGTGGTTCTAAACGGAGGGAGAATAGTAGAGGAAGGCACACACGATTCATTAGCAGCTAAGAAAGGATTGTATGTCCGTTTGATGCAACCACATTTCGGTAAAGGTCTACGCCAACATCGACTGATATAAGACAAACGAAATGGTCAACATCACAGCAAATAGGGCTTGTAGTTGTAGTTGTAGATGTAGATTTCCACGGTGTTGAAGCTCTGCTTATTCTTTTTTTGGAGGCGAAAGTATCAGAGTAGGGTCATTGGTCATTGCTTCGTTCTCCAAAGGTATATCCGTATATCGATTTTGTTTCTTATTTGTGTGTGTTTGTATAACTCGCAAGACATGGATCATGTAAAGAGAATGTGTAAATGTTATTCACTTATTGTTGCACACACCACCACCACGATACAATACATTATGAGGTTCTAGAGAGAAGAATAAATCGGAACACCGGAAATTGTAGCTCCGGAGTCGAGAATATACGTGTTACCGGAGATATATTGAGAAGAGTCGTGAATGAGATAGCGAACGATAGAGGTAAGCCCCGGATCCACCGTCTGTTGCACCTTCAACGGTACAGTCCTCTCGATGACGTTCTTGAGCCACTCTTTCTGCATAAGGCCTTGCGTGATCTCCGACTTCAAAAGCCCCGGTGCGATCGAGTTGACTCTGATATTGTAAACACCCAACTCCACAGCCATCATCCTCGTCATGGTGTCGACACCTCCCTTGGAGCTAGCGTACGCGACGCCGCCTGGCAACATACCGCGGTGCAGCCCGGCGATCGACGAGATGTTTATCACCGAGCCACCGCGGTTTGCGTCGCGCATTAAACCGCAGACGTGTTTGGAGACTAACCAAGGTCCGGTTAAGTTGGTCCTGAAGACTCTGTCCCACTCGTCTTCGGGGAGTTCCAAAGACGACTTGACACTTCCTCTGATTCCAGCATTGTTGACCAACACATCGATCTTTCCAAAGACTCGCCACGCTTCATTGACCGCTCTCTGAATGGTGGCTGCGTCTGATGAAACGTCTAGCTCGAGTGGTGCGGCCAATAGGATTCCGGTTTTACTGAAGCTGTTGACTTCGGAGCAGAGAGATCTGAGACGATCGACACGACGAGCTGCTGCAATAATCTTACAGCCAGATTTGCCCAGATCAAGACAGATCTCTCGACCTATACCAGAGGAAGCTCCAGTCACAAGAACCACCTTGTCTTTAAGCTCACACCATGGCTCCAGTTGCTTCAACACCTGCTTCTCTCCCCATACACAAATAGACAAGTGATTTCAGATTTAAAAGACAGAGACATATGAATGAGAGGGTTCCATTGAATTATATGATGAAAAAGGATAACACAAATCATAGTAAATATAAGAGATCTCAGTCATCAAGTTATAGGGACGTATACAAAAGCTTATCTAATTACATAAAGAAAAGCAGGAAAGATAATGTATCTCACAGTTTGATGATTGCTCATTATTATTTTTCTCTGGTGTGGGTTCAGCGAAGGAGGAGCCCATAACACTGCTTATATAAAAAGAGCCTTGTCTCTAACCAAAACGACAACTTAACGTGCCAATCAAAATCTGTACCTGATTTTTTGTACCTAGTTTTGGGTTTCGGAATTTATTACTCTATATATCCGAGTTTTCAATTTCTTTTTTTGTCAAGTTTAGATCCGATTCAATATTCTGGCTCCTTTATTTTTGGAAACAAAGTCAGCATAACTCCTTTCGTTATAAAGTATTTTTGTAAGCACGAGTTTCACGAGGACGGTCACATAATTTGGTCACACAATTTGGTAAAGAGAGTAGGAACATGCAATGATCAATTTGATTTGATACTGTTCACTGTGTGGGCTACACTGTGAACTGTAATCGACGGTTCTAACTACTCATTGATAGATTACTACACCCACCTTTTTTCAATGAAGTATGGTTCAATTAAAGATGAATGCAAATACAGATTAGGCACGATTTCACAATTAATTAAAGTTGGATTAATTGTGCGAATGATTAACCACGATTTGACAGAGGACAGAGAGGCCGTAACGAGACAGTAACTGAAACCAGTATAAGAAAATAATAACGCAGCCATAAAAATAACAAGCATATAATCTTTGAAAAACGATAAAGCACAAGAAAATGTTAATTCTTCTAGCAAAACTGAGACTATGGAAAGACAAAGCACCAGAAAAGTCTTGGTTTTAGCTCCAAAAGTAAAATGGAATATAGCGAAGATGATAGATTAGATGATCCCGATTTTGTTAGCCACATCCAAAGCATCATAATCAGGAGTCAACCTCACATACGCCTTCTTCGTTCCATCGGGCCTGAAACAAGAACAGATTCATCATCCATGTTTTCGACTGTAAAAACAACTTCTCTTTATAGATTCAATTGTAAGTGAAAGTTATGTGTTTCAAAGAGTGTACCTGATGAGGGTGTTAACCTTCTTGGTCTGGATGTCGTACATCTTCTTCACGGCGTCTTTGATCTTCTTCTTGTCAGCACGGATGTCGACAATGAAGACAAGAGTGTTGTTGTCTTCGATCTTCTTCATCGCTGACTCAGTAGTGAGTGGATACTTGAGGATGGCGTAATGATCCAACTTGTTCCTTGGCGGTGCACTGTGACGAGGGTACTTTGGGTCCCTAGGCTTTGACAATGTCTTTGGCCTGTGGAATGTCACCTTCGTCCTGATCTTCTTATCCTTCTTCTTAAAGGATTGTCCAGATTTCACAGCCTTCGCAGCTTTCAAGGCCTTAGCCTTTGGGTCAGCTTTCTTAGTGACATCAGCTGCAATAAGAGAAACATAGAGTTGATTCACAACCTATAAAGCTTCAAAAAACTGAATCTAATATCCAAACTCAAGACACAAAAATGATATACAATGTCCATGTACAAGGCAAAACGCATTCAAATGCAAACTAGAAACCAAAAAATTAACAGTTATAAACCATTTTCACGAAGATTTTTGCTAGTTAAAGGACATACTCAAGAGTGTTTACAGTAACCACCGTAACAACAGGTTCAAAATCAAGGAATCATCACCTCGTCTAAGAAAGCTTTGTTCATTGGCAAATCAACCTAACACCAGGCAAAAATCTAATTGTGTCATACACATGACAAACATGTAGTGACTTTCTTGATGAACACTAGTAACCAAAAACTGATCAACAAAGCAATAACAGGCAGGAGAGAATAGCATATACTACAAGAAGAATCCTATAGAACAATCATATTCAAAGCAGATTAGATATCAATGGAAAATCCGTACCTTTAGGAGCCATTGCTCAAGGTGAGAGAGATCCTTTGCACAAAACCTGCTAAATCCAAAGAAGCAAATCAGTTTCTGTAGTGAGCCTAGTTAACGGCATCATTCCATACCAAGAAAACGAAGAAAGCAATTGAAGCTCAGAAGAAGGAGATGGAGAGAAGGACGAACCTGAGCGGCGATACGGAAACCCTAGATCAGCTAGAAGTGGCTCGAGGTTTTATTTATTGTAGGGAACTGAAAATGAAACTAAAGACTAAAACCCTAGATTCGATGTCTTTTGGGCCTTGACTAATACAGTGGGCTTTCTCTATCAACTGAGCCCATTTTGTAACTAGGTTCAGATCAAAAAAGAAATACTATCAGTCTGATAAACAGTGGTTTATTTTTTATTTACGCATAGATTTAATTTACAACTTTCTTTTTAACTCATGAAGATCCCCTAGTACGCAATGCAATATTTTAATTATTTATGTGAGCGTATATATACTTTGTAAAAAAAATATTTACTATAGTGATGAATGATAGACTTGTAGAACAGTTAAGGAGGGACCGAAGAAATGCAACCTTTGTTGGTTTTTAATGTTTTGAAGATATAAAAGTGAACTTTGAGGAAAATAGTCAAATGAATCGTTTTAAGAGTTAAGACTATAATTAAATAAAACTTCGATTAGGCTTGAACATAAAACAAAACCTACTTTTTAGTACTTTACTTGAACACCGTAAAGGAAGTTTAGCAACATGGTGATAACAAAAATCTATTGTGCTGAGTAAATATGTAAACATCGTAAGAAAGTTCATTATCTAAAGTCCTCTTAGAGCCCTAATCTTACAATTTTATCTGATAACGCTAATAATGGCCCCTTGAGGAGGATACATTGTGGTAGAAGTTCTTCTCCCAACTGTACAAAGAGAGCTGTTTTCCCAACATCAACTTCCATAACCAGTCATCTGCACCAGAGCCAAACCAAATGTACAATATGATTTATTAGCAATATGGTAGAGGAGCTTATGAGTGTTTCGTTCCCACCACACTCAAATCAAATCCATAAAGGACGGTTGAAATGGGTTTTACTGGAAAATAAAGACAGAGTAATAATATGGTTTGCGTTTAGAGAACTTCTCACCTGAGCGGAATACTCTGACTGAAAATGGAAATATGTTGAATTGAAGGAGTAGGTGAAAGAGAAAGAAAAAAGGAAAAAGGAAAAAGGAAGAAGAAGAAGAGTAATTGTGTAGAACTTGTGGGCGAGTGTTAAAGCGCACTCAGCAGTGCAAGAAATTCTGTCTGATCCTCAGCTTCCCTAACTATCTGTGAACAAAGCGAGAAGCAGCTTATCAGTTACACACAAATATCGAAGGACCATAACACTATGACAACCACAATAAACAAGTTACTAGAGAATAACACAATGCAATACAGTAAGCAAAATACACTTCTCTGGACATATAATCTAGCATACAATAGACCAATTACATTAATATACGAACCAAGTTTTGACAGTACAGAGATTGTAATTTCCAGTTTCGAATTTATTGTAATTGGAGAAACTAAAAAACTAGTAAAAGTATCAGAGCAGCTTTAGGTTCCGGCTATTACCTTTATAGGGGTATCTTTAGACAAGTCCATCCGAGACAAAATGGCTTCACCAATCTGTACCCAATCAAGATTCTCCACAGTGTCTACCGCTTTGTTGCTATCTAACAGAGAAGAGTTGTTATCGAAAGAGAATGACTTTCCTATCCAAATGTACAAAGTCTTACTACCGGTTTCTCCTACATCATCACTTGGCAACGGTATTGCTATAACAGATTCTGAATCTAAGTAAGCTCTGCTCAGTTCTGTAATCATCTCCATACTTGGCCACCGACATGCTAAAGGCTGGCCCGAGTCGCCGTTTCCTGATTCATGTTTATCAGATTTACTGCTACTGAACAAAGATATCATTTCCTTCTGTGGCAAATCTGAATCTACATTTCTGCCGGAAGGTGTTCTCCCCTCGCAATCACTTAATGGGTTTAGATCAACTTTTCTAACACCCTCCAAGTCGAAGACAATGTCATTACTATCATCCGGGTGTATAGTGAAACCAGTTGTGCCTCTGTTGGAATCAGCTAAACCTGGCAGCTTCAGAGACCTTTTCAGACTGCCTCTACGCTCGGCAAGAGAAGGTGAAACCTTTCTATTTGGTGACGATTCAATGTAAGGCTGTGGAAAATTACTGACACCACGAGATTCTTTAGGAGAAGTTTGGGAAGGGAGGAGAGAGAGGCTGGAAAATTTGGGGAGTATCAAAGATGGTGGAATGGAAGAAGAAGGTCTCAACGACGAGAGCCCCGAAGTTTGTGAGAAACTCTTTAGGCTATTTCTTGAATTTGTTGTGCATACCGAGTCAGGAGACAGAAAAGGAGGCGAAGCAGATGATGATGAAGAAGTTGTTGATGAAGGTGAGCCTGTTGCATGCACGATCATCATCGAATCAGAGTAGACCCTGGAAAGTGGCGTTTTGGAGACAGAACGAAAACCCCTCTCAAACCTTGATGCAAACTTGCATTTCAGTGAACTCCAACTGTTTTCCCTTGCAGGAAGATGAGTCTCAAGTTCGTTGTTGGATGATGCTAGAGTTGGCACAAAACCTCCATCGATTGCTTTCTGGAAAATCTCAAAATCGAGATTATACGCGTCGACCTTCCTGTCGCCTGGTTGAATTTTAACAACCGAGTCCCCAATCATTGGTAAAATGCTTGCAAAAGCGTCCCAGTAATAAGCAGGCTCCTCGCCTTCTCTGACCACCATAATAGGTGCTTCGACTTTCTCATACCGAGCAATCTGACAAACAGCAGCTTTTGCATCTCTCTCCATGATGGTTTCGCACTGCCTACCAACCCAAATGTAAATCGCAGAAGGCAACTGAATGATGAACGCACCTCTTGAATCCAGAGAAGAGGGGCATGGATCATTCAACAGTTTTGGAACAAGATGCAAAGGATCATAAGGGGAGTGCGGAGACATTTTGTACATTCTAAGTAAGGAAGTAGGGCTAAGCGGGAACGCATGAACCCTCTTTTGGCACTGTAACAATTGGCAAGCAAAGCCCATGTTAGGATCAGCAATACCTCTAGCAGACTTCACATACTGAAAAGCATCATCAAAACTCTGCCCTTCCCTCCACATTAGATATGCTATCACCAATGAGGTAGACCGTGAAACCCCTTGACAACAGTGAACAAAGATCCTCCCACTTTGCTCCCTAACGTCTTCAAAGTAGTCAAACACATCGTAGAGAATGCTAGTTATATCCTCCGATGGACTGTCCTGTAACCACAATGACCGGTAACAAAAATCAGACTTGAAATATTCCGGACAGATAAAGCCAACGCAGTTCAGGATATGTGTGATTCCGTTCTTTTTCAATATGTTCTTGTCTTTCGCTACAGCGTCTCCGCCCACATATATATGATCAGCGACCTTTGAACATTCTTTATCAAAGTAAGCAATCTTCTCCCTCTTAGCTAGACCAGAGCTCTTATCTGGGACCCGATGCTGCGTCGACGATAAGTCGAGCTTCAATCTCTCCCCGGTTTTGTTCCCGCTAGGCGTCGGAGGATGAGGCCACTCACCTACATCATCCGAGCCCGCCTTAGGCCACTCGTCTAAGCTCCTTCTGGAAATAGAAAGAGGCTGCAGTGGCGGCAAACAAGCTCTAGCCTTGCTGTTATGATGTGACCGAGGCGTCAAAGGAGCAGTCGGGCATCTTCGACTCGGCCCGGAACTATTAGCACACGGGATGTTCAGATGTTGCTGCTCACTCTCAGGAACTTGTGACGCAGTACGTGAGGCAGACCAAGACGCAGACCGCCAAAACATTCTCTTCGAACCAGGAGGAGCCTCATCAGTCCCCACAGCATCCTCTCTTCCCACCATCCAATCTTTATCTCAGATAACACACGCAAAGTCTTCACTTTTTTATCCCCAAAATCCAACAAAACTGCTACTTTTTTTTCCTCACAGCATCTACTGTAACCTTAAAACAATGAAAAGGATCTTTGCTTCTTCCATATACTCTTTACTTCAGTGATGGCTCAATTCCACATCTCATCTAACAATAGCCATCAAGCTCCCCACGAATCCATCAGTCTATTCCGACTAAAACCCTAAAACATACCAAAATAGGGATATGAAGAAGCAGGAAGCGAGACGAACCCAGTATCAGATCAAACACGACATAGCCAAACTGCAGAAGAAGAAAACGAATACAAACATCAGAATTAACCAATTTAGAGAGAAGGAAGCTAACAGCAACAAACAGTGTGACCATACGATTTCAAGCGACAATATTCCGGAACAAAACAGATACAAATACAAAAAGCAAATTCAAATTAGACCAGAAATACCTCGGGAAATGACAATACGATATACAAAGGATACGCAGACTCGAAACAGAAATCTAGAATCTGATAAGATGATAAACCAAAAGGGCTTGAGCAATTTTCATCTGGGTTTTCGTCGGACGATATTAATATGGGAGAGAGAAAGAGAGATTTGGAACTTACGGAGTGAGGAAGATTGAGAGGAGCCGTCAAAGATAGATCTTTTATTTTTCTTCCGGAGAGAGAGAGAGAGAGAGAGAGAGAGAGAGAGATTGGGGGTGAAGCGCAGAGAAGAAGAACACAAAAGGAAAGAAAAATGGGAAGTGGGAGGAAGCAGTAACTTTTTTAATTAATGTATTATTTTTTATAAAGTAACGATTAATTTTTTGATTTAACTATTTTCTCCTGATTAGCTGCACGAAATTGAATTCTGATAGAAACGCGTTGAAATTTAATTTGTCAGCATCTCATTTATTGCTTGTCAAAGATTTTAAATTAGTTCCCTCACGTTTTAGCTTCTATATTTAATTTTGGGATTTGGGGAGTTTTATATACACACAAATCGAATGATTCAAGTTTTAAATTTTTTTTTTTTTTTTGACAAGGATTCAAGTTTTTAATTCTGTTGCGTCTGATTATTCACTCTTATTCTTTTCTATGTCGAAACTTAGATATCAGTTTTCTATGGTAACGTTGTAGGAAAAAAAAAAAAAAAAACCGTTACTGATTCATTTGGAATTCTACAAATTTATTAACAAGCCTAAATCTTGATTAATTGCAATAACTAAAGCATGATGATTTCTCATTCCTAGACGTTTTTTTTTGTTATTATTCCCTGTGAATTGAAAGTAATGATTGTTGTTTTATTTATTCTTTTTTTGTCTTATTTGCAATATTAATTTGTTGTCATTCGGAGAAAACAAAAGATTTTTTTCTCACTAACTTAAAAATAAATGATTTCTCGCATAATAATTTAATTTCTAACTACTACGTAGCTTATAATCACATTATTGATATTGACACATCCGATGGTAATGAATACGATTGTGTTATCAATCATGTTTAGAACGATAAGCTATTGTGGTGACTCCAATAAAACAAAAATATTGTGCTTGAATGTTGCATAATTGCATGCATTGACCTTGATTAATATTCGATCTGCATTATTACATTTTCTGACGTTCAAAGTGTTGCACGAACAAATTTGAATACACTGGCGAACTCAAAAAATGAATTCTAAAATTCGATCCAGTTAATCGCTGTAACCCTAAGTAGTATAGTTTAATAATTTTATGTAATAGTCTCTATCGCTTTAATCTATCGCTACTAATCAATTATGACAGTTTTATCCCAAATATTTTATATCACTTCTAAGTTCTAACAAATCACCACTCGAAATTTCGAAATCATGATGTTAGTGGTTTATATATACATAATAATTAGTGAAAAGTAGACGTAAATAAAAAAAAAAAAGTAAAAATAGTTTAGAAATGTAAAGCAGACAAGTTCTTTTGACAGGTCGTGTGAAGTACTTTATTTCTTTCCAAACAAATGATCATTAGTCAACGTATGATCACATGTTTTAGGCATCAATTTTACTTATTACCTTAAATGATGTTAAAAAAAACTGTTGACCAAAATGTTTATCTCCTAATACTATTATTGTTGATATTTTTATACGCGTGACTGCGAATTAAGAAACAAAATGAATATATGAACTGAATGTTAAAACTATGTTAGTTTTAACTTAAAATAATTTTGTGTAATTTTTAAAAATTATCTCCAGTTTTTTTGCTACACAAAACTGTGAGCTTTTCTCTCTTAGTGTACTCACAAATATATCGTTACATTTTTCATCTTGTGCAATTGGTTGTTTTCAGTCAATTAAACCATGATTATACCAGATTGCAATAACTTATATACTAATCAAAGAGCGATTTCTCTCAAGTTACATGCACGTCTCTGACTCTTTTGAATATTGATTGTCTAAAGCAACACATAATATTACAAGATTAAAGAAAAGTAGTATGGTACGGTGTTGTTCAAGGTTAAGAGAAAAACTAATAAAAGTAGTGTTGATCTTTTGAAAAAATGCAAAATGCTGGATATATGACAAATAACATACTCTTTGTCCTTTTTTTATATAACTTATACGAAACATTAAATTTATAAATTTTATAATCTCTCTACTTTATGGATACTGATAATACACCAATGTCCATGAAACGACTTTAAGCTATTAGAAACCGAACTAGTAGAAGAAAAGATATGAGGAGAACTAGTCAAAACTAGATAATTTTAATGTGATGTAAATAATGTTGGATTTTCTTGAGAATAGAAGGACGAAGTCGTTATAGATAATATTCTTTGGTCAATAATTGTAACCTACACATCGACGTCAATGCAATAGATATGATATCTCTACGAAAATTATTTAATATGTTATAGAAGAAGCCTGGACTATATATAGCATGTTGTATTAGTATTATATATTATTATGGACTTGACTGAATTCGCAATTGAGCTCATACTTACGTTCATATAATAAAATAATATGTTTATTTTCATACGGAACTATAATAACTAACGTTTTAACCATTTTCTAAAACTAAATACGTAAATGAATTAGAACACAATATTTTAAAATGTAAATATGCGAATGCATACGTAAATATATATAACTTTGAAACAGTCAAAACCTAAAGACATAGACACAAGTCAAAGTTGTAGCTATGTTTAAACACCACTGCATTTCCATAGGTCCATGTTTGTTTTGCTAGTTCAAATTTTTTAACATCTTATTCTATAAGACCAGTCCACAACCAAATATTACAATAGCGAGGTTTGTTTTTAGCAGTCTTTTTCTCTCCTAATCAAAACTAAAGTCTTATGTCTGATGGATAGTAACAATGTGGTAAGGTGTCTGGATCGTAAATTCAGATGTTCTCATGATTGATTATTGTTGCAAGAAAAACAGAACCCAACTTTGATTTGAGCTACCGTGAAGAAGACGGTTAGTTAAAAGAACAAACAAAAACAACTTTTGGGACAAGAGAGACATTACATATATATAGTACAAATTACAATGAGAGAAGATATGGTATTGGATCACTGAACATAGCAAGAGCCAGGTCCAGAGGGCGGACTTCTTGCGTACCAGTTATCGACCGGAGCCGCTGCAACCCCACGGTTATTCAGTAGACATCTGAAGTAGTGCAAACGCAATGCGGTTAACGTTATGTTTCCCTTTGACACAGCCTCTCTCGTGCTCCACATCCGTTCTGTTTCATCAACAATTCAGGACAAAAGCCAGAACCAAAACCAAACCAGAACTGAAACGTGCTAAAAAGATCGTTTTATAGTTTTACCTGCAGCTGCTGCAGCTCGGGGCCAGATCGTCTGAAGTACAACGGATGTATCAGCAGTTTCACCCCACATGCAGACTTCTCCTCCGATCACAAGCTTCTGGAGAGAAGGATCCTTGATTCCATCAAGAGGCTCGGTCTTGTAAACCTTGTCCCACTGGACATCTAGATGGTCGAGGTACCAATATCCTTGGTTACTGTAGATGCATCTGAACCCTTTTGCTACCGCCTTCTGACATATGTCAGAGACCAGCCTGCAACGAGATTACTTAGAGAGAGAGCAGTTTCTGACATAGTTGATACCAAAGATAAACCAAGACTCATTAGTTTTTTTTTATAACAATGCTACTGTATGATCTTACCAGTTTTGCACCACGGTCCGGGGATCAAGATCTTTCCCAAAGGAACTGAAAGTTTCTTCCCTGGAGTCATTCATAATCACCACATTATTCTGTATCAATATTATCTTTTCGACGCCAACAAAATAGAGTTTGCCCGAATTTTATAAGATTTCTATAAGTTTGGAGAATCAGAGAACTTGACACAACATAATGCAACTGAAACTATAAACTTTTTGCTATCTTTGTCAAAGATGTTTATACCAGTTGACGGGTGTCCAATTTTTGGATATTGCAATCTGTTGCGCTCGGAGCACAAAGTATTTATATGCGTCCTTAGTTGTGAAATTGCGACCATGAAGCCTGCAGTTTATCATCATCAACCCACACACATCAAGCAGAAAGATCACACAGAAATGATAAAAAAATAAATAAACTGAAAAGAGACTCTTATAACGAATGATTAACAAAGCGAGAGGGACATGAAACGAAGAGTCATACCATTCCTTGATATGAGTTGTATTTTTCCAGCAATCTGCCAAAACATGCAACCATTAATCTTTAAGAGAAACGACTGACTAAAGTATTAAAAGAAATTAAATAACCAAATGAAACGGAAGCATAGACTTCAGGTGTTAAAGCAACCAAACCTGTATTAACCTCATCGCCACCCAAGTGGAAAAGCTCAAATGGGAATATCTTTCTCATATCTGTTACAAACCATGATGCGAGAGAAAAAAAATTATGAGAATCAAAACAGAACATACAAGGTTAAGTATTTAAGATGCAAGACATTTTGGATCAAGATTTCTCTAATGACTTCTTCTTGCCACATCTCTCAAACCTTAACATTTTGCTTAAACAAGATTAATACTACCTGGATTCTAAAAGTAGAAAAGGAGCTAAATAGTTGAAGTAGACCTGCCAAAATTCCAGAAATCACATCGAACGTAAAGTTTTTAGTAACGTCAAGGGGCTCTCGGCAAGACAGAGAGGGCCAAAGATGAGGGTATCCAGTTCCCCTGCATTGAAAGCAAACAAATACTTTCTCATTAAAACCAAATAGAAATTATAGAACACCCACAAAAAGTGAATGGTGAAGACAACGATTGCTCAAACTCTCAAACCTATACATTCATTCACTTATTCTTGACCATTAGGAGTATAGTAACACAAAGCACAAGATAAAAAAAAACCGGTGTATGACTAATAACATTGTGACATTAAGAGAGAGGAACATAAATAAAAAAGGTTTTATTCGTACCATGATTCCGCATGGCCAGGGACATCTACTTCAGCCATGACGTTAATACCTGCAAGAAATACCTCAAACATTAGATGTGTGTGATCAAAATTGAAATCAGTAACAAACAAGAATCCGTTTTAAAAATCATTCTCAGCTTAAAACATTAAGGAGTTGCTTGCTACAACAATCATGTTATGCTCTAGATTTAGTTAAGAAAGTACCTCTCATTTTGGCAAACCTTCACAGCGGAGATCACAAAAGTGGAAGAAAAGAATATATTAGTAAGTAGAAAGAATAGTATGTATTCACTCACTCAAACGATCAAAACATGAATGGAGGATTTGGAATAAATAAAAAAAACTACTTCTTGCAAATTACCTGACGATTTCAGAGGCATCCTCAACTGTATAACGCTCCCATCTCGAATAAGCTCCTTTCCACAAATTAGGATATGAAGGTGTTTCTAGAGGAAATGATTGCTCGTCTACGATATGCCAATGCAGAACGTTCTACGGAACATACGAAGGGGAAGTCTCAGATAAATCTTGAATCAAACATTTTCATCTTCGTGTATCCCCGGAAAAAAAAAAACAAGAATGGTATCTTACAAGTTTAGCAAAGGACATAGATTCAATGATTTGCTTAATAACATCAATTGGTAAATAATGTCTTGATGTATCTGCAAAAACGGAAAAAAGTAGTAAGTAAATATCATTCTCTTTCCATGTGATGGAAAAGAAAACAAGAGAGAGAGAGAGGATGGAGAATTGATTACCTATCAGCAAACCACGGTATTGGAATCTAGGTTTATCTTGAATAAACCATGGTGCTTTATGTATTTGCACAGATTTGGTTATATAATCAAAATCGCACAATTGGCTAAATGTCTGCAAGATTTTCAGGAAATGCACACACAATTAGCAAAGAATCCATGACATTCAACAAGAAAACAAACTTGGAATTTCCAGCAAACAATTCAATGCTCACGAGTCAAGACATAGAAAGTCAATGTGAAGAGGAAGACACAGCTGTGTAAGAACAAGCACAAGTGAAGCTATTAAGCAAACAAATGAAAAGAAATATTCACTAGACATAAAAGAACATTTTCAATCCCAATGAGCAAGATGGAGAAACTCATTTCTAACATATCAATTCACCTAATAAACCAAAAGTGATAAGGAGAATGCGAAAAAAAGCTGATTTTTCATCGAGAAATTATCACACCTCCAAGCCTCTAAGAGCACCATAAACTGTATTAGCCTGAAGCCACAAGAAAACCAAAAAACAGAGAAATAAGAAGAGAATCAAAAGTCGCATATGTCAAAGGCAAAAACAAGTGCGTGAAAGTCAAACCTCGATAGTGGCAGCTCCTACAATCGATTGCTCATTCTTCTTCGACACCATCAATGTATAACTCTCATCCACACCCAATTGAAGCTGAAAAATATCGAACATACAAAAATCAAACCAGACTAATATTGCCACTATCACTTTCCAAGAGAGATTAAAAGTTCGATTCATCAGAGAAGCCAAGATTTGATTTTTTTTTTTTAATTGTTTTTTTTTTATACCTCTTCAGAATCTGAGTGAACAACGATCTTCAAAGAAGTAATATCATACTCAACCATTCTCAGGAATCTAATTCGCGCCAAGAGAGAAGAAGCTCTACCGAAAGTGTGCTTGAAGATTATCCCCATATACCTTTCGAACGCCGCTCTAACAATCGGCGATCCGCCGCCATTTCCAGCTACGATCAGAGAAATGGCGGGATCCACCGAGAGGGTATCGTCTCCGGAGGAAAACTCCGCCGGCAACGGCCATAGATAAGGAGGAGAGTCTTTGTGAACAGTCACCGGCGACGGCGATGACAGAGAGATAGATAAAGAGAGGAATATCAAAAGGGTATGAAGAAGATTCGGTGCCATTTTTTTCAGAGAGAGTGTGGGTCAACGACTCGCCGAGATATTCACAAGGAGAAGATAGAACTTTGATCGGAGATTCTTAGTTTTCATGCTCTTCTTTTTATTTTTGTCCTGCTTCGATTTTATTACACGAACCTATTACCTAAGTCATCATCATGTTTCGGTTAGTTCGGTGGAAAACATGTTCTTCTTAGCTCCTAAAGGTTACTTTTTTTTTTCTTTCTTTCTTTCTGCAACGTCGTTTTCTTAAACAAAAAATTATTGAATGTAATGGAATCTACTAATCCATTTTTAAAATTGTCAAAAGTAATTTCCTTTTTAGAAATTTGAATTTCATCATTTAAAGATTCGAACTTTTTGGATATGTTCTGTCGAAGCATGAAGCATCAAAGGACTTTGTTGAATCAAGTGTTATCATGCGCATCTCTTAGAGACTAATCACTGCTTAATTCTTGAATAAAGTAACAAAACATGGATACACTTAATAGTTATATCATTTTTTTCTTCTTCTTATCATTAAACTGAGAGAGAACACACATGTTTTGGGCATTGTTTAAGATTCTATGCTTTGTTGTTGAAGGAACTCAAGATCCTTCATCTGCATTTGAATAGCTTCTTTAGGCAGCCGTTTCTCCGCCGTGAGATTCTCCTCTTCTCCTCCTTCCGCGACTCTCGTCGCCTTCTCCTTGATGATTCTCTCTATCTCAGCCTTCTCAACCGACGGGAAAACCGCCGTTAGCATCACTTGAAGAAGCTCCTCGTCTTCTTCCTCGATAGCTCCCCTCCTGAAGCAACAAGCATATATACCTTCAAGAGCCTTCTCCACTCTCAGCTCCATAGGTATCGTAGGCGCTGCAACATTCAACTTTGCCCTTCTCTGCATTCACCGGAAACATGATCATTGATCAACCTCTGTTTTGCTCTCAAGATTTTTCAAAAACCAATTTTGATTGAAAGATTTGAAAACAAACCAACCTGTCTAGCTTCAGTCATCAAAGCAATGAAGTTCTGTTCTTCGAACTCGAGATCATTCGAAATGCTAACCCTCGTAACACCTTCAAGGATCTCTTCGGATTTCAAAAGACCTGCACCTACTGCAGCAACCCAACAGCAAAGCAGCACATACAAAGGCTCTCCTGCCTAACCAAAACAAAACGCAATAAAACAACAATTCAACTATTATCTGAAAATCCACATAAAAAAAAAGCGAAGAATCTATGAAATTCCTGAGGAATCTATGCTCAATTGGATAGAGAAGAAGAGAAAATCACAATTCACCTTGCCTCGCCGCTGTTGGAACTCGTAGAAAGCCCTAGAATCCTGAGGTGTGCATTTATTCCCAACTCGTTTCCGAAACTCGGCGAAGTCGACGAGATCCCTTCCGACGCCGCCTTCGTCGCTGAGGATCCTGGCGAGGAGTCCGATGACCGGAAGCGAACCGATGACCGTGTTGGCGAAGCTGGAGATGGAGTTTGGTTTCTCTATGTAAGCTCGGATCGACAGTGCGAAACCGCCGTATCCTCCTCCGCGTTTGGGGCGAGAGGAGACAGAGGAGGAGGCGGCGGCGGGAATCCGGAGGCGGAGATGGAAGAAGGAAGGGGAGATTTGGTGGAAGGAAGTGGAGATGTGGGTGACAACCACCATGGCTGTGTGAAAAATGGAAGCTTTTTTATTTAAGCAGCTGATGGATAATCTTAACCTCATCTTTATATACGTTATCTTCTCCATTGCAATAGTTCTATTCAAAACAAAAACAAAAACAAAAACAAAAACAATAACAACTACAACATGATCCTAAATGTCAAATTGTCAATAACAGGCTATCATATTTGATGGGCTTTGCTGGATCGCCTCGCTGTCCTTTATGGGCTTTGTTGGATCGCCTCGCTATCCTTTATGGGCTTTGATGGTTCTATCTGTGGACTCGTCAAAATTTAATTTTAATCAGCCCTACATGAAAACTACTATAACGTATTTTAGCATATTTTTAACTTATATTAAAAGAAAGAACATATTTATTTGTTTGTTCCATTTTATTTCTGGTACAGTAGAACTTCTATAAATTAATACTCGATAAATTAATAATCACTATAAATTAATAATTTTCGTCGGTCCCAAGTTGGGCCTGTGTAAAAATTGACAAAATTCGATAAGATAATAAGATAATATTTTTTTTGAAAGTTCTATGTAAACATATGGTCCCAATAATAATATAAATTAATAATTATACATTTAGATATATATTAATAATATAATATAGTAAACTATGATAATATTGTTGTTTCAAGTTTATAAAATTTGTTTGATTTATCTTCTAAATTCATTATTATGACATTTTTTGTAAGAATTTTATATTGTTGAAAATATTGATTTTTTTATGAATATTAAAAATTGAAACTAAAAATATCTCTATAAATTAATAAAATATTAATTTATCGATAAATTAATAATTCTTAATTTATCGATTAATTAATAATTCTATAAATTAATAAAATTTGAGAGTCCCAATATATTAATTTATAGAGGTTTTACTGTATCTGGTATCTTTTTAACCAAACAAAGGCATTTTTATTATATATATTTTCATTAAATTTTGGTAGTTTGAAAGAGTTCAAAAAAGAATTTGCTATTTGAACCAAAAAAAACATTAATTTCTTACATCAGCAAAGTATAGTGTCACTTTTTTAACATCGACAAAGAATATCATTTAAACAGATAATACAAACTAATCGGACCGATTCTTTCTTTTTCTACTCGTGATGTGTTAATAGCTATTCCAAAAACGAGACACACCTTAGAATAATTGAATAGCTATGCCACCGAAAATATCATATACGTCTTTCACCTGTTTTGGCTCAGAGGAAAAAATACAACAAACTTATGCCGTTTTGCTGACAGGGCATGCTCTCATTGGATAATGGAATTCAATCACATCGTACACTTTAACAAAACAATAAACAAACAAATGAAACTGCAACTGGCTTAGAAGGAAGAAAAAAATCAAGTGGGTGGGTGTGGTCAATAGAATCTCCACTTGTCTCTGCGACAAATTTGGGTTTGCTTTTGAAGAGCTTTTGGTTTGAAAATTTGAGTTATGGCAAAATAATAGCGCTCTCTACTACTGCACCACCTTTTGTCTCTTTTTGCAACTCATGTCTATTTCTGCTGTCTCGTCTCTCCAGTGATACTTCATATTTTTCTATTCGTATTTAATCAGAAACCCTACCAAGTTTACATTCTCGAGACTAGTCGTACGTAGAGATTCAAAATGGGTATAGAGATATCAATAATTCTTGATGGCTTCTCAATTTGGACAAATATATGATCCAGAACATGAAATCATGCATCATGAATAACGTTGCAAGAGAATAAAACATCTTTTTTAAAGCCAATATTTAAGTGCTGATACAGGAAAAGGGAAAAAATATGAACTCATATATAAGACTAAACTTCTACGACAAAAAGATGCCAAGCATAACAACAAGAAGTTAGATTCGTTATGATTTGCTTTCATTGTTTGGTAGAAACGTTATAAATAGTGTCATGTTGCGTAAACGTTCATATTTAATTGAGTTTAAATTCATTAGAAGTGCCTCTTAAGTAAAATCCGATATATCATGAGGCTAGCCCAAATGAAAATAGGGCTAAGCAAACAAATTATCGGTTTGAGAAAAAGTTGGGCTATGTCTAATTAGATTTTAATCTGGTGTCATTAAACCAAAGATTTCTTTGTTTGTTTGTTCATTTTCTCAAGTATAAAAAGCATGTATACTATGCATAAATTGTTTTCCTAAACACATCAATCGTTTTCAAATACGTTATAAATGAAATACACTCGTAACTACCGATTCACTTATACGGATTCAAATGAAAATGATATCGTAATGGTAAGAGTCGGATAAGGAAGTATCTAGGTGAAATGAATAAGTGGACGAGAGAGAATAGGCGTCTTGTTTGTAATCTTGTTGATGAGAGAGAGAGAGAGAGAGAGAGAGAGAGAGAGAGATGAATAGGGTTTTGAATTTGATTCGAGAGAATAGTTGCTGTTTCAGGACTCAAAATGAGAGGTCCACATGATGAGGATTGAGGAATGTGTATAGTTAAATTAAATGTCTGAATTTGATGGATCCTACTGAAACCTTAGATTTCGACAAAACACCCCTCAATGTGTTTGTCTGTGGGTTCTTTTTCTTTACGTAACCTTTGTAGATTCTCTCTCTCTCTCTTGCATGTCCATTTGCGCCACGTCACTCAGCTGGTTCTGCCATTTGCGATTATTTGATCTTAATGTAGATTGTTATGTCTGACGTGTCATCATCTCATTGGCCTCGAATCAAAAACTTTAATCTCCCGCGTCCCCTTACCCAACCAGAAAACTATTGATCACTTTGCTTTTTATTTCTTTTTCTTTTTTTTTTTGAAAAGGATATTCTATTTTTATATCTATTTTTGCTTCCTTTTTTTTTCTTCTGTTTAGCCTTCCTTCATCGTAACGTACACTACACATGACGTACACATGTCATGCTGTGTCTATACGACCATATATACACCCTAATGGATATGTTTTTGAGTCAGTTATAAGAGTTTTGGTGCTATTAGTAAAAAAAAACAAATTTTACAAAATAAAATGAAAGATGTTGCAGAATACGAACTAATTAAGTTTGAGATTAGTCAGAAATTTCCTATAATGAACCTAACGTCAGATGTGATGTTGTTGATGTGATGTTTTTCGCTAATCTGTATCAATTATATCAGTTATGAGATGGAGTACAATTTTGTCTTTTATGCTATAGTAACTTGTATATGATTATTTTATGGTCTTTTTACCGATCTCAATATTTCTAATATACATCTAAACTTTTCATTATATATTTGAAGATATAACAAATATGTTCATATGGCACATCATGTATAAAGTCGTTGGTTAATGATTCAAACTACGACATAAGTTTATTATAATGTATGGATTATCACATCGTTACAAGTTACAACTAACAGATAGTATAAACGCTATTCAAAGGTCAGCTATGGTTATATTAACCCAGCACACCCAAAAATATATGATCCTTTAATATTAAAACAAGTTCATATCCCTTTAATTTCTTTCTTACCTTAACTTATTAGTAGACAATTCAATTTGATGGTTTAAAAATATCAGCCACAATACCAAAAAGAAAGAAACAAAACTAAAGAGTCAACAAATTTGGGTAGTTATGGACCTATATTACGCATAACTTAAGAGTAGACAATTTCATTTGATTCTTTAAAATCTTTACCAACGTAACATAAAAAGAGAAAAATAAAACGTAAGAGTCAACAATTTTGAGTAGTCCTATAGACTCTATAGTAGGCATCACAAACATAATTTAGTTCGTAGACCTAGCCTAGAGTGACCAATAGACTTTTCTTTCATACGATGTGAATATAATGCTTTAACGGAACAAGCTTTATTTACATATGCTTTGAGAATAGAGAGGTCCTTAGACCAAAAAATAATAATACTAAAAAAGCTAGTGATAAACGAACCGTTTGGACAATGACCAAGCTAGTTGAACGGCAAGTGTGAAAAACAATCCGATTCAGTGAGGTGGTATCAACTGCACCTCAGTGACCAAGCTAGTTCAACGGCAATCTGGTAATTAGGTAGGCAGAGTCTGTTGTTAGCCCCTGCAATTGTATTTATCATGAAGATAAAAATAATTTACATGTATTTTTTGTAACTTAAAACAATATACATGTTTGACCCCAAAAAAAAAAACAATATACATGTTTCAATTAAAACTTTATACACAATAACTAATACATAACTATACCAGAAATTAGACTTGACCAAAAAAAAAACTATACCAAAAATTAGGAAAACCATATATTATAAATTTATATTACAAATGCAATCTGAAGTGCTTCTGTGAAAATAACAATCAATAGATTCAACGCCATATATATGAGCTATAAATATCCGTATTCTGTTAATTCGAGTTTTTATCCCTCTTACATAGTATCTACTAATTAACAATTTGAACATTCGAACGGTACTCCAAGTCGCTTGTGATCGTAGCTATACACATATATATAGATCTTACAACAGTTTTGTTTTCTTGGTGGAAGCTTAAGAAATCGTTAAGATTTATAATTAGAGTTATAAATTTTACACTATGTTTTATATTCTTGGCGGAATCGAACAATTTCTCAAGTGATTTACTTATTTGATCACTCCTCTAGAATTCCGTATATTGTTGTAATTTTTTTTTGTTAAAGTATATTGTTGTAATACCTAGCTACTTTTAATGTACTCATGGGTTAGCTCAAGTATTACAACATATATAAAGTGCATTAATTTTTTTATTATATAAACTTAATCATTGACAACAAAAAAGTATAGATTTCTAGAAGATTATGGAAATGAAAAACATGACTAAGTGTTTTTTTGCAAAAAATAGTAGAGAGAGGGGGCCATGGATCACGTGGATAAAGCGTGGGATGGAAATGAGAAAAACGAAGGGAGAAGAGAGAAAGAGTGATTTTACAAATCTCCTCTAATCCTTTCTCAGCCAATAATGATCAATCTCCCACGTGGGGCTTCTGGCCCCATGCATGCATATCACCTTTCAACTATTCCCTCTTTTGTCAGCTTCTTCTTCTTTTCTTTGCGTGATCTTCTTCTATATATGAGTGTCTTTATCTCCACAAGTGGCTTTTAGAGAAGGCTCTCTTTCGAGTTTGGGTGTTGATTGTTAGGGTTTCCATTACTAATGGCTGGCTCGTCTTCTGCTTCTTACATTCACATGGTAATACTAGTTATATATGATCTCCATCTATATATTCGTTTGGATGAGTGATTCTGTTTCTCTATTATGTATACCTCAATATCTTTGGATCGTGTTTTTATGTATGTGTAGGTGCAGCACATGATAGAGAAATGTTTGATCTTCCATATGAGCAAAGAAGAGTGTGTGGAAGCTCTCTCTAAGCATGCAAACATCACTCCTGTCATCACCTCTACTGGTTTTCTCTCTCTCCTCTCTCTCTCTCTCTCTCTTTCTCTCTCTAGATCTCTAGATCTCTCTCTCTCCTCTTTTCTATGCGCTTCTGTCTTCTTCTTCTAAATTTTACACACACAAACGTATGTACATACCTACTTATGTATTATCTAACGGGATAATTTATACATGTGATATCAACGTATAATTATACCATCATGTAGATTTTGATACATCATATATTCGTACATACATATGGATGTTTATACATAGAAGTTATTATGCATAAATATCTAACGATTAGCAATATACTGTCTTTTACACACCCCAAAAAAAAGACTGCCTTTAACATGAGAGCTACAATTTTTATACCCCCAAAAAAACTTGATCGTCCTTAATTTTAAATCTATTTAATTTCGTTTATGTTATCGGAATTAATTGAAATAGAAAATTACAGTTTGGAAGGAGCTGGAGAAAGAGAACAGGGAATTCTTCAAGGCGTATGAGGAGGGGCAAATCAAACAAGAGCGAATGTCGGAGGAAGAGACAAACCAGATGATCCAGAAGATAATCTCGGATTCATCTAATGAATCCGACGACTGACCGCGATGTTCGTTAGATCTTAAGAACCTTATATGGTTTATTATTATATATATGAATCTCATGAAAACGATTTCTCCCTGACGCATGCATGTTTATATGAATTTCCTTTTTCTTCTATATTCGCATCGGTCCAACAAGAAAGACAGCAAATAAAAGGAGCGATGACGCTCCTTTGGTACGTTATACGTACGTGGTCCACATTGTCTTTGTATAATTAATGATGATAGAAAACGAACGCTCATACATCGACCGATCGTGTGGCGTTTTAGTTTTATGAATGTATCATGTATGTACATATCCAAATAAAATGTTTATTTATGATCTTGGCCACCTCTAAAATCTTTGGCATATGGCCATATGCTTTACAACTTATAAGTTAATTTATCTTGCGCTGTTCTAAGTCAAGTCGCCTAGGCAGCCCAAACCATTAATTGGGGTTTCATTTTTAGCCAAATCGATCATATTATTAATTGAGAAGCAAGTTGGGTTGTGGTTGAGAGTTATAATGGTTAATTACTTTTTACCTCTTATATGAAAAGACTTTAATTATCTTTAATGAAATTAAAAAATTAATATAATATAATTTTTAATTTATTTTCGTTTTTTAATCTAGATTTTCAAATTTGAGTTTAAATCATAAAAACAATCCAGTTTACTAAAAAAAAAGGTAACTAACATAAATCTCAAAAAATTCGATTCTAATTTTTTTCTTATAGTAATATTAATTTGATTGTTTAATCTACTAATATTTTTGACTAATCTAATTGATTTATACGACCACAAGTAAAACCTTAAATCTTTTAAACCTTTTTGAAACTCTGTATATATTAAAACAAATATTTCAAAACAATCTAGATCAATCGACGACCGTACGTCTCTTTCTACAACTTTCTTTTTAGATTTCTAATCTTTTTTGAAAAAAACAGTCATGAAAAATTCGAAGTTGCGGTTTTATTGAGAGTTTTGTTTGATACAACAAGACAACAAAAGATACATATAATTTTTCATCAAATAATATGAAAGTTTTAAAAAAATAAGATATAGATAATATTTTGCTTTATCACACAAAAAATATACTCATAAAATTATATATTTTCAAATATATTAAGTTTGGTTTCGAATCATTATAAGATCTAATTTTTTATCTATAAATAAATTAATATTATACTTTTTAAAAAATTTAATCGAACCCCGCACACCTAATTTTAATTTGATAAAAAAATTATTAGGACCAATTTTGTGATGGTTGATTACGTTGTACCCCTTATGTGAATTTACTTTAATTACCCTTAATGAAATTAACAAATTAATATAATCTAATTTAATTAATTTTCGTTTTTTTTAAATCGCGATTTCCAAATTCGAGTTTATATCATAAAAATATTCAGTTTACTAAAAAATGTAACTAAAATAAATAAATAAAAATCCTAATTATTTTATTAAACTAATTTAATCTGATTGTTTAATCTACTAATATTTTGACTAACTTAATGGATATATGCGACCATAAGTTGATATGAAACAAGGATTTTTTGGTTTTGGTTATTTTGGATTGCTATGTTTTTTTAATGCAAACTTTGAATTTCATTAATCTTAATCTACCAATTTACATCAAAATAAGAGAATTATTTACATCATGTTTGATAAATGCAACAAAACAACAAAGCATACATATAAGTTTTTATCGAATAATATAAAAAATATTTAAAAATAAGATATAAACAAGATATTTTTCTTTGTCATAAAAAATAATATATTCATAAAATTGTATTTTTCAAATATTTTAAGTTTGATTTCAAATAATTATAAAATCTGATTTATTTTATCTATAAATAAACTAATGTTATACTTTTAAAAAAAATTAATAAACCCCGCACAAAGTGTGGGAAAACACCTAGTTATAAAAAAACCGGTCAACAGGAAAAATGTTCAAAAGTCGAATAAAAACAATTATATGGAAACAAATCTTTTATTAGTTTTTATCCCCCGAATTTCATTAACAAGGTGACTAAACTTTTTTTGATTTGAGTAAGACGATTGTCTCATAGTGTTTCCACAAGCATTTGGTGTATTTAGACATAAAACTAATAATCTACGAGTATTTGCCTAAGCAAAAAACACAATTTTAATTATAAGAACAAAGATTCTCATTTAACCATTTTTATACATTAAACTCCCACAACAGAACAAAGGCCACACATGAAACTTGGTAAACAAGAACATACAGATAAAATAAAGAAAAGTTTTCGATAAAGAGGCATTAGATCAAGCTTTGTAGTATGTAAGATAAATGCTGAAATGGAGAATGGTATCACGACCATCAGTGACATGTTGGTTCTCCTGGTTGTGCAGAGTCTCCACCACAGCGTACCCTTTAGCATGCTCGAACTTCCCGGTCCCACCCACAACAGCGATATTCGAGGCGTGAGAAGCGGTTCGGTGGACGCCAAAGAAGCTGATGGCATCGTCGAGTGTGTCATGATCATCATGCTCTCCGTGGAACAACACGGTCAAGGAAAGTGTCTGGCTAGTTCCGTCCAAAGAGCTAGCTAGATAAAACCCTTGTGCTCTGCCAATAACCGCAGATCCCAGCTCATGCCCCTCGGTGAGCTCATCATCGACCACGGTGATGGTGCCAAACATGAGCTGCTGGAGTGCAGCTGCAGGAGGAAGTTGACCGGCGGTTACGAAAGGGAGGTTGTTGGAGCTGAGTGATCCTTGGGAGTTACCGTTAGTGTTTTGGATGACGGTGTTGGCTTGAGAGCCACTGAGTCCTGTGAGGAGTGGAGCCGTGTTTGGGTTTATTATATTGTTGATGTTGTTTGCGTTCACAAGCGGTACAGCGTTATCTACTGGGAAGATGTTGTTGTTTGATTTAGAGAATGGTATTCCGTTCACTTCCGTTTGTGCTACTATCCCAGTGACCACACGTGCCGACGGATGTGACCCGCCTAACACGTCGTGCATAAAGAACTGTAGGACTGGTTCGTGTCCGCCCGTGGCTGGTCCTGGTAGGGGAATTGGTAATGGAGGTTGTGTTGTTGTTACGGTTGGTGGATTGTCATCGTCTTCTTCCGGTATGGTGGGGATTTGGGTGCCGGGGACTAGCTGTGGCTGAGTTTGATCGACCTCATCGAGAAGTCTAGCGGAGTGTACATTTGAGGCTATCAAGAGGAAGAGCAAGATCGTTAAGCTAGGAGCTTTGCACATTGTTCTTCTTTGTTTAGGTTTTGATGTTTTTTTTGTGTGAGTTTGTGCTTATATATTGTATATGGCCTAATGGGTTTGCTTTATATATGAACCTTGGAAGATCATGAAGATCGATTAAAATGGAGTTGTTGTTGTTGCTTTTTTTATCATTGATTTTTAAGTTTTTTATTTTTTAACTAATCCTCTAGTTTTCAAATTTCTACTTACTCCGCATGGCCTTTATTTATTTCCCCTATATTGCTATGTGGGCTTAGAGAAACTATTTGGGCCTGTTTGTTCTCGAAAATGGGCCCATGATTAAATCTCCGCCGTTTATGTTTGTCCACTCCAGTGTGGGACTCTCTCAGTTAGTTATACTAATACAACCATACAACGTCTCAAATCATCCAATTTTGTTAATTCTTTACTTAAAACATTAAGAAGATGAAAAAAAAAATATGTTTCACTTAAAGCAAAACCGAATAAGAGTAAATCAGATTTGAGATGTGGCTTAATTGTTGTTAAAAGCTTTCACTTGAAGAGTAGTGATTCTTGTCTCCATCCATTGCACAATGTCATTGAACACTATTTCTGATTTCTCCAAAGGCTCCCCGAAAAGAAGGCTATGCCACATTTCTGGATACAACTTCAAAGTCTTGTCATTAGATGAAGCCACCTCGTATAGCAGTTTGCTAGCTCCTTTATTCGTCACTTTATCATCTTCTCCGTGCAATACTATGAAAGGCAATGTCACCTACGTATATCCCCCAAATCAAACGCTTTACATTAAGATCTCAATCTTATAAACAAAAAAGTATATAAATCAGCATTCCGATTCTATAGATCGATATATTACATCTTTCAATCGATACTCTAGGTCGAGGCTGATTCTATAAAGCTCGCTCATGGTCTTCATACGAGGCCTCCCATTGTAGCAATTTGGATTGTCTCTTATCTGTTTTTATTTTTATTTTATTAAGGTCAGTGTATGTGGTCTGGTGATGGATTGTATAGAGAAAAAAAGGAAAGTAGAGTACCTCTTGTCTCTTTTGAGGAAGTTTAATCGCGAGATTGATGATATCAGGTCCCGAAACTAACGACTTCCATGATGGGATCAGATGTGTGACCAAACTCATCAGAGATATAACCATCTTTGGTGGTTTCATCTCTTCAGCAATCTGTCTCTCATCACATTTGTACACATGGTTATATATATATGTTATTGTAAGAAATAAAATAAATTGGTAATTAATGTATATATATGTGAAGCTGTTCACCTTACACATTGGAGCTATAAGGATTCCTCCATCCCAAAACTCAGGTTTCTTGCGGTGCAAGAGAAGAACTACGGCTCCTCCCATCGACTCTCCCATCAAAAACTTCTTCTTCTTTGTGTTCTCTCCCATCTCTGCCGTGCACAACAAACAAAATGCATGAAATAATCCGTGCTAGAGAAAATTTGGATATGTATAAATCAAAATCTCTTAACTTTTTTTTTTTTTTTTTTTTTGTTTTAAGCTATAGATATTTCCACGCATGCATGGCGTGGGACATTACTATAGATTTGCAAATCATACGCATGAGACACTCAAGCATTATATATAGTGTATATGTTTTCAAATGAATCCACAATTTTAAGCATTTTATGTAAGTTCCTTTGTTTATTGCAAATTCAAACGTTAAATCAAATAGAAGATCTTTCGTTTATTTTCAATTTCCAAACACATGTTATAAGAAACTGAATAGTATATATGCTATATTTTAAATACGATAGATTTTCTTGCAAATCAAACGCAGAAATTGGGTTTTGAAACTTATATTTTATCTTATGACATCAACAGTGTCAATGTTTAATCATGAGGTCAAGGAAGAAGAGATGGACCAGATATTTTGGAGAAATGTGAAGAGACATCATTGATGAGAAGATCGAAGTTATCAATGTAGGCAGAGAGGCCGCCTGATCTTCCATGCCCTTCATACTCAATTCCATACACACCAAAACCTTCTTTTGCAAACTTAGATGCAACATCTGCAAGTAAATTAATTTCACATTCACCTCTTTGTTCATCATTAATTCTTCAATGGATGCATATATTTGTATATATAGATACCTTTAAATGTGGTGCTACAATCAATTGCATAGCCATGGCAAAAGAAGATGAGAGCTCTTGGTTCCTGATTCACTGGAAACCATTTGCAGGTTAAGAGCTGTATTCCCCGTGAATTCTCGAAGAATTCCTAAAGCAATGAAAATCAGAATCATCTACTTGATCATTATATGGATGATATAAAAAAAATATGAATATTGAAATCTAGTCATGAAATTTACCTCGCTATATCCAACTTGCCCATCAATATGAGCCTGTAAATGACAAAATTCAAATCACACACATATATAAATACAATTTTAAGTCAGAGAATAAGAACAGAACTAACCATATTTAACCCCAAGAAATGTAGTGAGAGATTAGCAATTAAAACATAACATAATATATGGTTAGGTTATTGTTTCTTGTGGAAGAAGAAACTATCTGTATAGGGTTGAACCAGGAAATAGTGTATTGTCCTTTTTCGTCGCTCGCAAGAACTTTTACTAATTTTTTAGGGGTGACCTAAATTTAGCAATTTCATAACCCACAAAAGTAAGCACTAATCACGGGATAAGTTTTATTTTCTCTTAAACGTCATTTTAGTGAAGTTACAATAATGATGCACATTTATGTCTGGTAACAAAGAAAGTTGGTTACTTTTCTCTTCCCAAATTCTTGTTCCTCACTTAGTTACACTTTTTAAGTTTCTTCTGACATTTCCATTTCACCTTAGTCGGAAAAAGTTGTTAGCCCAGTGGTGAGCGATCAAGTAAATATTAAAAGCAACATTTCAATAATACTGATTTTTTTTGGGGGGCTAAATTCGATAATACTGATTGAGTGCGTTATGGTCATTTTATGGGTGGTATAATGGTAGGTGGTGGGTTATATTATAGATTTGTGAGTATTATATTATAGATTTGTGAGTTTTTGTGAGTCATTGATGAAATGTCATAGTATTATATTATAGATTTGTGAGTTTTTGTTCTGCGTCTTCGATGTTTTCAATTTCACTTTTTTCTAACTGAGATTTCATATAAAGTTTTAAACAATAATATTGTTTTACGGGATATTCTTAAATACGAGTTTGTATTGGATCACGTAGAGTAGATTGTGCGAATCATCTTGGGAATTAGAGAAGCATTTTTTTAATAATTATTCTTGAAGCCGTTGCGTTTTCAAATATATAAATTTGAGCTTTTGTATAGTAACTTTTTTAATCTAATGCTTCAAAACTACGCCAAATCAACAAAAGATTTTGGGTTCAGCATTTAAAATTGAATAAAATTGGAGGCTTTGAGTCATCATACCGTTGTAAGAATTTTAGAAGTCGAATTTTACTATTGAAACTTAAAACATTCAATGCATATATATTGGTTTTAAATTCAATGCGTATAGTCATAGTGAAAATGAATGTAGAAATGGATCAATACAGATTAGCAATTTAGCGCATAGCCAGAATGTATAAATAATTTGAGTGCCAAACATCATGACTTGTATTAATATGTAGTGGTTTACAATGTACATAAGTTACAGCATTCTTACAGTAGTAACACACCAAACTCAGCGTTTCAGTCACAACACTTAATTGTGCGTAAAAAAACCCATCATCATCGTTCATATTCTTTAAGCCTTTAAGTCAGTCTCTAACCTTTGGTTTATAACAGAAGCTCTCTCGTCTAACCACCTTATAATATCACTAAACACAATCTCCAAATTCTCAGGAGATTCTCCGTATAAAAGTCCATGCCACATCTTGGGGTATAACTTGAAAGTCTTGTCCGAACTCGAAGAAACCTCGTAGAGTAGCTTGCTCACGTCTTTGTCTGTAACTTTATCATCTTCTCCGTGAAGGACGATAAATGGCATCGATACCTGTTTAACAATTCAACCTTTTATGTTTATCCATAAATTTTCTTGGTTCATAAAATCAAATCTTGGAGATATCGATATATTAATAAAAAGAAAAATATGAGCACACTAAACCTGATGAAGATTCTGCTCAATATCCAAGCTAACCATTAAGAGTTGATGAGCGGTCTTCAAGCGAGGCCGGCCCTTGTAGCAATACTCGTTTTCCCTTACCTTTATAATCAAATTTTCTTTTCTTTAAAAGTCTAAACTATATTAAATTAAAACGATGATAATCAATATATATGTTACCTGTTTTCTGATGTGGGATTCTTTAAATGCGACGTCAATAATATCGTTGCTAGGAACTATCTTCCAAGTTGGAATAAACCGAGTTAGCTTTGTGAGAAATGAGATCACCATTGGATGTGGCTTTATCTCTTCAGCTAGCTGTACGCACGTAGATAGAAAAAAAAAGTCATTGTTATTTGCATCTTTATAAGTGTTTTATAAGTGTTTAGGTTGTGTTAAACTCTTAAACAAGCAATTAAGTTGATTGTTTTAGAAAAAAACGGTAAGCTATTCACAATCATTTTTTTATCTACTAAAGCAAATTATGACGATAATTTGTTGTTTTTTTTTCTTTTTATCAAATCAGCTAAATAGCTTATGTCATGTCATATAACAAATAATAACGATAATTTTTTTTTAATTATTGATTAATTGTCTATATCATTCTTGTAGACATCATTATCGGTTATTTTAAACATTTTGTTCTTATCGTAAAGAGATTCATCATTATCGGTTAAAACTTAAACTAATGAAGCATGCATCATACCTTACACATGGGAGCGACTAAAACGGCACCGTCCCAAAAACAGGGCTTCTTTCTTGCTAACAGTAACACGACTGCTCCTCCCATGGATTCTCCCATTAGAAACCTCGTCTTCCCTTTATTCTCTTCTCTCTCTTCACATTCACCATTTCCAAACACATATAAACTTATTACTCTTTTCATATATGGAGGAAGAAAAAGAAGATAAACTAGTTGAAGAATAATTACCACAAATTGAAGAATAATGAAAAGAGACGTCGTGAACAAGACCATCAAAGTTTTTTATGAAACCATTTAATCCCTCGGATTTACCGTGGCCTTCATAGTCCATTCCGTAGACCGCGAAACCGGCCTTCGTCAACCTCAATGCAGTGCCTGATATTTAATCATATGATTTAACGGTGATTATAATAATTAATGTGGCTATGAATTAATATTGATGATGATTAATCATAGTTTTAAAGAGACGGAACTGTTCATGGTGATGCTTGATTCCATTCCGTAGCCGTGACATAAAAAGATCAAAGCCTTTATTTCTTGCTGCTCTTCTGGTTTCCATGAACACGTGAATAGCTTCATTCCCCGTGAGTTCACCACATAATCCTAACAAAATGATAATTTGCACAATGAATCTTGGTTTTACATACATAGCCATAAATTAATATAAGACAAACGAGAGATTAAGACAAACCTCTTCGTACAAAACCATGATATGTTGTGTTTCGTTATGTGTTTTAAAAATAATAAATCTGGATTTTGGTTCAATATATAGAACAGAAGCGACAAAGGGAACGACTGAACGAGGTTTACTTTCCAAAAAAAAAACAAACAAAAAAAGGAGAGAGACAGATCAAATGAGAGGAAGTTTAGATTGAGATCAAATGAGAGGAAGTTTAGTTTAGATTGAGATTAAGGAAGTTAAGTGATGGATGACGTCAGCTCCTACGCATTTCCTTGGGCCGTAAAATGCTTTCACAAAAGATATGTTCACAGTAAGTATACTGGCCCATTTGGATAAGTAAGGCCCATCAAAAATATAACTAATCCAAACCCGTCAAGTAAAACAGCCATCTTCCTCATCATCAATTTAGGGTTTTGTTTCTGCTATCTTAACAGCACACAAGGGACTGTAGAGCTCGAAGACGCCATGGGTAAGTCTTACCTCTGAACCAATTCTACCTTTTACATTCATCAATTTACGTCGTTTCATTTCTTCCGTTTCGCTCCTGTGCCATTCTCTGATATGCGTATATTCGATTTCTCACTTCTGAATCATCAATTCTACCTTTACGCTTTGTGAAATGGATGAACAACAGCGAGAATCAAGGTTCATGAGTTGCGGGAGAAATCGAAATCGGACCTTTCTGCTCAGCTGAAAGATCTGAAGGCGGAGCTTGCTCTCCTCCGCGTCGCTAAGGTCACTGGTGGTGCTCCTAACAAGCTCTCTAAGATGTATGTTCTCTCACCTCTTCGATTCTGGGTTTTCAATACTTTAAGCTGCTTCAAGTTTAGTGACAAAAGTGTAAACCGTATCTGCTATTCTTTTGGTTTAGCCTGGTTTATGGTTTAATGCTCTCCTGTAGAATAGTCAGGATACTTCTGTTTGCAAGGTTAGGCATTTAACACATTCATCTGATTAGTGTGCATATGACACATTCATCTGATTAGTGTGCATATGACACATTGACATCATCACACGACACATTCATGTGATTAGTGTTTATTCATGGTATCTGCCCTTATATGATTGTTAGTGTTTGCGTTTGATTCTATGTTGAGTGTGTTTCTTTTTTCAAAATGAACCAGCGTCTTCCATTGTTAATTGTAAACGCAGTCACGGAAACTGGTTTTTAAAAAGATCAAGACTTTGATTAGTCTAATGCTTTCTGCCTATGTTGCATAACTTGCTCATATTTCCAGTTTTTCTTATGGGATTTGTAGTTTAACTTGTCTGCAATGTCCTCAAAAGGAAAAGAAAGTTACTTGTGATGTAATTAGAATATCTAAAACAAGCAAGAGCGTTCTTTCTTGGCTTAGACTTTTTTATCCATCTTGTTAAGCCTCAGTTTCTAAAGCTAATTATGCATCTGAATGGTGTCTTTTGTGCTGTTGCAGCAAAGTGGTGAGGAAGTCGATCGCGCAGGTCTTGACTGTGACTTCACAGAAACAAAAATCTGCACTGAGAGAGGCATACAAAAACAAGAAGTTTTTGCCACTCGATCTTCGTCCCAAGAAGACTAGAGCCATCAGGAGAAGACTAACCAAGCACCAGGTATTTTGATTTTATGGGTTTTCTCTGTTCTATATAAGTTTTTCAGTTCAATAGAGTTATGCTTTGTTTTGGTCCTTACTTAGTGACTTGTTCTTTGCGTTGGATAATAGGCGTCGCTGAAGACAGAACGAGAGAAGAAGAAAGAAATGTACTTTCCAATTAGAAAGTATGCCATCAAAGTTTAATAATCCCTTCTTGTTGTCTCCCTCTGTTTTAATTGCTTGTCAAAGATCTTCTTCATCTTCTCTGATTTATGTGAACGATCTTTGAATTAGAGATTTTTATTCGTCAAACGTATCACACTGTTGAAACAGTAGCTCCAGCCTTGAGGGGTTTGGTTCGTTTTATCTAAACCGGAAAGTCCGGACCGAGTTTGTGTTTTCGGTTTTATTTTCCATATAATTAAATCCAAGAATATATCATAACCGAACCGGAACTGAGAGGAAAAAAAAAAAAGTCGTTTTTTTCTCTTGAATTGTATTTGAAACCTTGTCAATCTAGATTTGCTGGTTAGTCATGTTCGTCATATAATTCTAAAAAATAAAGCAACATTTTGATTTTTGTTTGGATTTTGTTTTGAGGACTCGTGACTTTTGTATTATCATGGTCTGACTCTGATCTACGCTTGAGTTGACCGTTTAACAATCCCTTCTCCAAATTGTTTTCACAACTCGACATTTAATATTCAATTTTTATTATTGGTTTTAAGATAATATACATTTCTACTTCATTAGAACTCTCCAAGCCTAAAATCTCCTCTAAACCATATACGTAACATAACCAATCCCAATCAGAGCCGAGCCGAATACTATTATCGTTAATTTTGTTCATAACAAGAAAATTAATATTATATTTTAGAAATTTGCAAAATTGTAATCAACTAACGGTATCAATCAATAGGCATCGTTTTCTTGAATTGAGATTCCACTTTAGAAAATAAAATGAGAATAATCAATTTCTTTTTGGCTCGTAATCGAACCATTATGACCGGAGTCCGGATACGTGAACCATTATAAGTCGTGACAAAACGTTGAATTAGCTTATAATGGCTCTTATAAGATTTCGCCAACTCATAGAACTTCGACAAATCCTTGAAGCCAACTTGGTTGAATGTATTATGTAAACGCAGTTGACTTTTCAGTATGCGAATCTTGATTTTGTTCTTTAAAGGTTGGATGGAAATCGCCAGTGAAACCGGTTTGTGTATCGTATTGTCACAATTTGTCCGAGTGCGTATATTTGACTTTTTCTTTATAAACTTTTGTCAATACAAGTATAACATGCGAATGTCTTGTGTAGTCGTGTCTTTGCATATAATATAGATATGTAAAATACACGATTTGGTCAAGTTGGAATACATAATTTGTATCTTTGATCTTGTTTTTGGTCAAACGAAAGGTTAATAGTTTTATATTGTACGACGATTACTTGCTTTCTTTTCGTTCGAAAGAGAATACTCTAAGTCTTTAACGCAGATGCGCAAGTCCTAGAGATGATCTGCTGAATCACATAAGTCACTAAGCAACTTTATAAGTATCTTACAGTTTACATCGTTAATTGCTTCTGTTAATCATATATATTAATATAAAGGGATAGTAGTAACATGTTTTTAGAAAAACATTATCACAAATTTATATTCGTGTAGTCCTCATTAGGATATGAATACAAATTACGTGAGTTTTTGTTTGTTTGTTAAAGGAATACAATAACGTGATTGGAATGGTTTAATTGGAATTGGTTTTATTAGCGTACTTAACTACTTGTAAACATACAATGCCCGAATTCCAATATGTTTTCATTTATTTGAAAGTAAAGTCCAAATTAAATCCAGTGGCAATGCATAGGAAAATACTACAGTTTTTAACATTTCAATGGTTGCTTGATGACTAAGATTATTATTGTTATAATAAAATAATATTTTAACAACTTCAGTAATCTTAGTCAGATGTGTGTTTCTAATGAAACTATGACGTTCTAACAACTTCATATCATTTGATGTAAAAAATCACTTAAGATTATAACACTATTTTTTTCTTTATGAAAAAGAGCATTATATAACACTATGATATACTTATATTAGTCGTATATTAGTACATTTAATATATCAACTTGAATTTGAAAGCTAAGCTGATAACCCAAATGTGAATCATGAAACTATTTAATATTTAAAATTACAATTGACTTTGTCACCATATGCTATATTTTATTAATTTGAGTTCCCATCATTCCAAGAAGATGAAAGCTCTTATATACACAATTAAATATCGAAAGCTCTTATATACACAGTTAAATATAGAAAGCTCTTATATACACACTACACAGTTAAGAAAATTACCGTTTGCAAACCACTATAACCGAAAAATAACGATATTGTTGATAACATTTTTTTTTTTTGTAAAGGCAGCTTTAAGCCGTTTACAGATGATATTATGTTATGCGTTTAAATTTTTAGATGTTGACAGAAACAAAAATGAAATGCAGACGCGTTTTCTGATTGTTTGCTCAAGAACGCAAACACGCGTTTTTAAACAGAAAGCTAAATATTCTTGGACTTTTCTAGTGAATCCTCTCTAGAACATGAAATATAATTAGTTATCAATGCTACAAATGATTTTATCAAAAAAAGAAAATTACTGCTAACGATGCAATAAAAAGTCCAATCAACAATTGAACAATAAAAACGAAAACAATGTGAATTATAAGTTGACAGATGAAATAGTCAAATCAACAATTGGTAGACGTGTATGGCAAAACTTTGTCGTTCGTATAAACAATCTGTACTGTGATTATCTAAAGTACATTAAAAAAAATTAAGGCTCAAACATCCCAAGTCAATGGTTCTTTTCGGTCTGGGTCCAAGCTTTCCAGGTAAGCACATCGTCATCAATTTCAAACTCAAGACCAATCTCTCTATATAAAATGTTTAAAACCATCTTCCTCATAAAATAAAAAGAGTAGAAGCCAAGTAACCACCATTTAAACACCTCTCTTGTCATCAATTCAGGAAGAAGAAGAGAATAGAAACCTCAAGGCTTCTTCAATGGCTAAAAAGGCGAAATTTGCTTTTTTCTCTTCCTCGTCTCCTAAATCTCTTCCTTCTTCTCCTTCTTCATTCACTTCTTTCCCGGCTTCTCCTCTGAACCAGGACTTTACTCAGTCTACGATGGAGGAAGCCGTGGAGAAAGCCGAATCCGTCATCAGAAAGTGGGACCCGAACACGCCTTCCTTCACCAAGATCGTCTCTCTCTTCAACCACAGCAGAAAAGAGGCCAAAGAGTTCATCAGATGTGTCCGTGATCTGCGCAGAGCGATGCACTTTCTTGTCTCTCAAGACTCTCAATCTCCGAAGCTTGCTCTTGCGCAGACCCTGATGCAGATCGCGATGACGAGGCTCGAAAAAGAGTTTTTCCAGATACTATCTTCAAACAGAGACAAGCTTGATCCCGAATCAGTTTCCGGTCAATCCTCAATCTCCAGCAATTCCGAATTCGAAGATATCATGCAATCTGATGATGAAGACGAAGATGACAATGAGATTAAGAAAGCCGGCGAATCCATCACTCAGGTTGAGAAAGCTTCCGCTGTGGTGATGTCTGACCTAAAGGCGATAGCAGAGAGTATGATCAGCTGTGGATATGGCAAAGAGTGCGTAAAGATTTACAAGCGGATCAGAAAATCGATAGTAGACGAAGGGCTTAGCTTGCTCGGGATCGAAATCTACAAAGGCTCCAGATTTCACAGAATGGACTGGGTCACGCTCGAGCATATGATCAAGAACTGGATCAAAGCTGCCAAGATTGGCGTTGCCACGCTCTTCCGTGGAGAGAAGCTTCTCTGTGATCATGTCTTCTCTGCTTCCAATTCAACGAGAGAGTCATGCTTTTACGAGATAGCAAACGAAGCAGCGACTAACCTTTTCAAGTTCCCTGAGTTTGTTGCCAAGGAGAAGAAATCACACGAGAGGATCTTCTCACTGATGGATCTCCACGCTGCGATCTCTGATCTCTGGCAGGACATTGAGATGATATTCCACTTCGGTTCAGTATCCGGTGTGAAATCTCAGGCGGTCACATCGCTGCAAAAGCTAAAGGTTTCAATCCACAGTGCTCTCACTGATTTTGAATCAACCATTCAGAAGGATTCGGTTAAAGCTATTACACCTGGAGGAGGGATTCACAAGCTGACCCGATCAACAATGAGTTTCGTCTCTTCGCTTTCTAAATACAGCTCTGTCTTGTCTGAAATCCTTGCAGACCATCCGATCACGAGAAACACCCGCTTGCTAGAATCTTATGTCAGAACCCCAACCTTGGAAGACGAGGAACACAACCACGCACTCTCGGTCTATTTTGCTTGGCTCGTCCTGGTCTTGCTATGCAAACTAGACACCAAAGCAGAGCATTACAAGGATGTTTCACTGTCCTACCTCTTCCTTGCAAACAACCTTCACTTCATCATTGAAACGGTTCGTACAACTCACCTCAGGGATCTCCTCGGAGACGATTGGCTCACTAAGCACGACGATAAACTCGGCGCTTACGCTGCGAACTACGAGATAGCAGCATGGTCCAACGTTTTCATGTCATTACCAGAGGAACCTACAGACTTATCACCAGAGGAGGCCAAACTATACTTCAGAAGGTTTCACACGACATTTGAGGAAGCATATATGAAACAATCGTCACGAGTTGTACCAGATGCGAAACTTAGGGACGAACTGAAGGTTTCGATAGCCAAGAAACTTGTTCCAGAATACAGAGGGTTTTACAGGAAGTACTTACCGATGCTCGGCCAGGAGAAAAACATCGAGATCCTTGTGAGATTCAAGCCAGATAATTTGGAGAATTACATCTCTGATCTGTTCCACGGAACACCAATACTCGGCTCATCTTCTATTTCTTCATCTTCTTCTTCTTCTTCATCCTGGATGTCACTTGGATGTGTTTCAGGATGAGAGCTTCGTTTCACACTGTTACAGTTGTGGCTGAATATTCTTCTTCTACATAATGTGAATTATCAAAAATGTACGGATACTTGTGATTTCACTGTGTGTATACAACAGAAAATGAGAACCAAAAAAACAACATTGAGATTTTCTTTACATAAAGAATTTGATTCAGGGAATATACAGACAAGAAGCCAATTACTTATCATAAAAGAGAAAACTTTATTAAAAATCACACACACACACACACACACACACTGTAAAACATAACTGTGCTGAAGAACAAAAGCATTGCTCACTCCTCGAAATAAACTAGAAAAGAAAGTAATAAGATATGCAAGAAAACAGTCGAATTGCAAACTATTACTTAGGAACTCCATGATCTGAAGGAGGAGATAAAGATTGCCAACCGGTACAAATTTTGATGATTTGCTTGAGAGTTTCTGATGGTGGCTCGACGGTCCACGTCGGGTAATGCTCGCTTGGATGGAACACACATTCGTCGCCGGCTCCTGTCAACAAGGAAGCTTGAGCTCCGTTCAAGAACAAGTCATTTTCAGATCGTACTAAACCAGCTCTCACTTCTTCCTTGTCAGCAGCCTACAAAAACATTCGCACAAGATGATGATAATGGTGGATTCACAAGAAAAAAAAACAAGATGCGAGAAGAAGAAGAAGCATGTGAAAAAGATGATCAACCTTCTCTGGATAGTATTCAAAAGTTTTCTTCTTCACTCCTGCTTCATATATATTGCATTGAGAGAATACCTGATTGCAGAAACATAGTTATTAACCTCACAAGCAATGATCTAAGATCTTATAAGGAACTATTAAAGAGTTTTTTACCTGCGCTTCTACGCTAGCACATACAGCATATATCCCCCAGTTTCTTGTGTAGTTGTTGTACAAATGAACTTTTCCGAATCTGAGACGAGGCTGTCTCTGCCTCGTTCCATCAAAGAAACAATGGTGAATGGTCACTCGGATGCATCTATCATCAACATGAGAAGGATCTGCTCCAATCAGCATCGTCTTGTCATGCTGTGCAAAGTAACATCTGCCAAAACCAGAGAGAGACAACAAGAAAGCCAAAATCAAGCACCAGACAAAAGAACATAAACATAGCGTTAGCTTGAACAAATCCAGAACCATCTAATCTCTCACCTAGAAACAGTGATATCTGTGCTTTGTCTGGTAATATCGATAAGTCCATCGTCGTAATCACGAAGGCTACACCGATCGATCCATATGTGTCTGGACTTTGGCTTAATCTGAATACCATCAACATCGTGGCCTCTCCCACCTTCAAACTCCAAGTTGCAAATGATTATATGTTCGCACTCCTTCAGTCTTATTCCTTTCCCTGTGATCTTGATTCGTTGTCCTCGTCCATCGATCGTCTTGTAAGACGATACACTCAAGTATGAATTGAGATTTATGGTTCCGGAGACTGCAAAAACAATCCATAATGGCTCTTTCCTCCTGCCTCCTTCGCGAAGAGATCCAGGTCCATCATCTAAACTCACACACATAAATAAAAACAACCTTAAAGATCTTCAAAGACAACAACAGTAGCAGCTGATTCGTTATCTCCAATCAATAATCAAATGCAACTCACAATCATCGCAACAAGACGCAAAAGCGAAATCAAGCTCGAATTATCCATAGATTTCGTGAAAATATGAATTATAAATTTCTTGTACGATCTTCGGTAAAGCTTCGGCATATCCATTTCTAAACATGGATTCGAATAATACATTTCACGAGTACATTACCTGCAAGAGAAGTGACAACATAGAGATCGCCGTGGAGACCACCGACGGCAAATCGGCCGAAACCCTCGGCACGGCCGGCTAAAGCCCGAAGGCTGCAATCGACCTCAGCGTATGGTAGCGTAGTCATCGTTCGTCCTTATGCGACGTCGTCTCGGGTGTGGATGTCTCTGTTTTCCGTCGAGTTTCTCTTTAAGCGAGAAAAGGCACAAAGACAAAAGTAAATGTTAATCTCTCTACAAATTGGGTGTTTCGGTTCAGCAAAGGTCATGGAAACCGGTTTGAACCGGTTGAACTAGTATTTGGTTTATGTGACTGACATCATCGATTTTAATTTTAAACCATTTTCTTTGTTCGATGGAAAACTATCCATTGACTTCTCCTTTGAAATTGCGGTATCCCTCCTTTTTCAAGGAATCTCTCGTGTTAATAATTTCAAAATCTTCCAATGAGGAAATGATTAATCTATGTATCTAAATTCTAACATATTTGTAATCACGTTATTAGTAAATTTTCTACCTTATACATGTAACATATCATGTTTACACCCAAGAAGAAACATATGCACAAAAGGAGAAAGCAAAAGAAAGTAGTTGCTTGAATAATGAAATACAGTATGTAATTTCCATATCGAGAGAGGTATAATAACTTTGCATTGGCGACTGTAATTATAATAATCTAGCTTGTCTGGTGTTTGTGACTTGTGAGTATGAAACCGATTCATGGATCGCATGCATCTGATCTAAGGGTCTAAGGTCATGATTATCATTTTACGTTTACACTTGCGTATCTATCTTATTACATTTCTAGAATCATTTATTTTACGAACAAAATCTTTTATTTCTTTGCATTTATCAAATCTTTGGTTTTGTCTTATTTGATTGCTTGCTTTATACAAATGTAGAATACTAGAATAGCATAATCATCTCCCTTTTTCAGCGTTCATCTCTTCATTTTTATATACTTAAATCACCTTTTTGTGGATTTAAAATGGTCGTCGTCGCGTAATCGGTATATGCATAATATGCAATAAACAAGAACAGCTATTAGCTTCTTTTTGGCGTTAGTTTTTAGGTAGTAACTTTGTACAATTTGTACCTATCAGCTAATGTTTCCATTTATTTTTGGGATTCTTGCAAAAATAACCTAAAATTTGATTTGAATTGCAAATCTAATCCATAAAAATCACATTCCCAACATTTATCATTTTGTGTCCAAACAATCTTTCATAGTTTCAGTTATTTACGAAATTGCCATTATTTTTAATTAATTTCTTTTATTTTTGGAAATCTAAAAGACCAATTAATCCTCATCTTCCTCACGTATTTACGAAAATGCTCTGAAAGTAGACTTCTCTCGGTCTGAATGAAGTCTACTAGTCAACGCCCATGTTAGTTTTGCAATTGACCGCATGAAAAAGTAGACTTCTTTTGGTCCGAATGAAGTCTACTCTATTTCCTTTGATAACAAAAAATAGAGTAGACTTCTTGAGTAGACTTCTTTAGAAGCAGGTCATTTTTGCAATTGACCAACCTTTGACTTTGTAGAGTAGACTTCTCTATGCAAAGTAGACTTCTCTCAGAAGTCTACTTTCACAAGTAGACTTCTCGCAGGTCATTTTTGCAATTGACCAAAAAGTCAAATATTTTTCAATTGCAAAAATGACCTGCGAGAAGTCTACTTTCGTAAGTAGACTTCTCCGAGAAGTCTACTTTCATAAGTAGACTTCTCGCAGGTAATTTTTGCAATTGACCAAAAAGTCAAATATTTTGCAATTGCAAAAATGACCTGCGAGAAGTCTACTTACGAAAGTAGACTTCTCTGAGAAGTCTACTTTTCATAGAGAAGTCTACTAATATTTTGACAATTACAAAACTAACCTGCGAGAAGTCTACTTTTATCCGAGAAGTCTACTTCTCTTGTTTTTTTTAAAAAATCATTTTTATACAATATATAATGAATTTTTAAGATTTTCGTGATCCTAAGCTTTTGTTATTAAGTTTTCTTGCTTATGTATAAGTTTTGCATGTTTATATATTATAGGTATAGTCGAAAAAGTTTTCATGTTTTATATGATACTTAACTTATTAAGAGTAGACTTCTTAATGTACTCTAGAAGTCTACTATATAGACTTCATCCGACTTTCAGAGAAGTCTACTTATGCAATTTTGATGTCTAATGTGGTTTGGATTTTGTCCTTTTTCACAGAGAATGGCTCAGATACTCACTGTTTATGGAGAATGGGTTAAGAGTGAATCAATGTGGCAGTTCGAGGTGGATAATAGCAAAGAAGGGCGAATGTTGTTCTTAAGAGATGGTTGCACACATGGTGAGCTTCTTGGTGAATGTTGGCAAAGGAGGGCGAATAGCAAAGGAGGGCGAATGTTGTCACATTTAAGTTATGTAAAATTAATGTCTTTAAGAAGTCTACTCGAGACAATGAGAAGTCTACTTCAGAAGTCTACTCGAGACAAGAGAAGTCTACTCGGTTGACAAGTTACATGATATAAATGAGAGAAATGTCCCTCTGAATCACTTTTAAGTTATGTAAAATTAATGTCTTTTAGAAGTCTACTCGAGACAGGAGAAGTCTACTCGAGACAAGAGAAGTCTACCCGGTACAATTAATGTCTTTTAGAAGTCTACTCGAGACAGGAGAAGTCTACTCGAGACAAGAGAAGTCTACTCGGTTGACAAGTTATATGATATAAATGGGAGAAATGTCCCTCTGAATCACTTATAAGTTATGTAAAATTAATGTCTTTAAGAAGTCTACTCGAGACAGGAGAAGTCTATTTTGTAGAATAGATAAACATAGATAATTTAGGAATTTGATACAGAACATTCAATGCAATTCAACATTACATAGAAAATAACCCTTTAAACAAACAAACATTTAAGGATCACTAATTATAAATCTTAAAACTGACATAAGAAATTACTAGTAAACTAAAATCTCTGAAAATTATGTATGCAACTGAAGTCTGCTTGAGAAGTCTACTCTAGAAGTCTGCTCAAGATCGAGAAGTCTACTCGAGAAGTCTACATTCAGATCTGCAAAAAAATCAACAAAATTCAGCTCTACAACAATAACAAAAAATTAGATCTAGAACAAAATCTATAAAATTTATACAATAATAAACTCAGATCTACAAATATAAACTTAGATCTACAACAATAAGCTCAAATCTAAACTAATAAGCTCGGATCTATAATAATAATCTACTATATTTATAACATTCAGATCTGTACAAAAATCAAAAAAATTCAGCTCTGCAATAATAACAAAAGATTAACAAAATCTACAAAATTTATACAACAATAAACTCAGATCTACAAAAATAAACTTAGATCTACAACAATAAGCTCAAATCTATAATAATAAGCTCAGATTTGCAATATGAACACAAAGCAAACAAAAGGAGGAACACAAACTCTCAGATTTGCTTACCACTACCATAACCTTCAAGTGAGAGGAGGTTGAATGCAAGATAGAGAGGATGGAGAGGATATTGATAGCAAGAGAGGAAGGAGAAGAAATTCATGGCCAGAGAGAAGAGAGAAGAGAGAGAGGCGTTCTTTAGATAGAGAGAGACTTTATTGTTAATACAATTAGGTTAAACTCTTCTTATATATAGAAAAAAATTCGTGTAAGTAGACTTCTCCAAGAAGTCTACTCGAGAAACCGAGAAGTCTACTCGAGAATTCTACTTAGTATTCATTTCTAACCTAATTTATTTATGATGGTTTAAATTGATTATTTTGTGTCAATTTTTATTTTTAATAGGTGTAAAAATATATATATTTATGTTATGGATCTAATCTTTTTATCAAAATATTTTTTATGATTTTTAAAATTAATTGTAAACAAACTATTATAGAGTAGACTTCTCCAGGAAGTCTACTCGAGAAGTCTATTCGAGCTCGAGTAGACTTCTCGGGGATAAAACAGTAATTGCGGCGGCGTTTTTTTTGTTTGGTCAGAAGGGTTAATATTGTAATTTTGCAATCCTTGTGAGTTATTTTTGTCAAACATGCAATAAAAGGTCTAGTTTTGCATTTAAACTCAAATTTTGAGTCATATTCAACAATTTCCCCTTTATTTTTCTCTAATTTATTTTGTATTCTTTTTGTTTTTTTTTGTAATGTGTGTATCACCAAAGTAGTCGTGATCTTTGAACCAAAAAAAGTCTATTTAAGATTAGAACAAAATTTTCCCGCAAGTTAAAATATGACTGATATATAGGATGCTAAGTTGGAGTTTTCTAAAATCAGCCTTATTTTCAAATTATAGCTTTTTTTTTTTGACTAACACATGTAACTTATTGCCAGTTCAGTTTTATACCATGATAGATTAACCATTCTTCACGTGGACATGTTTACCAACAAACTTGTCAAATCGTTATAGCATGGTTCCTTGCTAAATGTTTACCATAAATTCTAAAAAAAGAATGCATTGATTGGCCTTAAAACGGGACTTATAATAAAACCGGTGATTTAGATGATAAGATATAAAGTTTATCACTATTAAAAAGCGTGTTTATGCACAAAAATTAAACATCGGTTTAGACAAAATTTGGTAGAAGTCCAAGCTAGAATAGTTGAAAACATTAAATTGCGCTTTGAGTAGAAGAAGACAAATTGCATTTCTTCATACTAGCATGTGTCATGAATTCAATAAACACGAAATACACGATTTTAGGTTCCTAATAGTAAATACATTTATGTCGAAAATGAAAATTCATGAAAATATCAGCTGTAAGAGATGATGATGCAGATTGTCGACTCCTTACAAACCACACACACATGTATTTCTGTTTTGAACCTTCATTATTGTACCTACTACTAACTTGGTGGCTCCTTCTTGATTTTCACACACAAATTTCATTTTTGTTGTTTTGTTAAAGGAGTTTACAACGCCAATTATAATTTATATATATATATATATGTATATACCCAACGTAGCGAATAAACTAAATCCTATCGTGAAAAAGTCAGTACTAGGTTTTCTGTTCTGATTTCACAAAATACCATATAATATATTAGTTTGATTCCTTAAAAACCGCCGGTAAACGACGCCGTATTACCATTTCAACACTTGGCGCTCGAAGAGATTGCGATGCCTAATGTTTTGGAAGAACCGCAATATATCACTCCCGTCGGATCACCTACGCTCGTCGAGTTGCTGAAGGACTGCGACAGTTTCCGGAAGGAAGATTCCGGCTCCGTCGCCAGAAGCGACGATCCAGCTCATCACGTAATAGATGTCGAAGCTTTAAGCGTACGTCCCGTGAGGTTCGTCTTAGCCTTTAACAATCTCGAATACGACGTCACACTTCGCCGGCGGTTTGACTTCTCCCGGAGAAGCTCCGTTTTGGTGAAGACTCTACTCGATGATGTTTCCGGCGAGGCTTGCGACGGCGATATCCTCGCCGTTCTCGGTGCAAGCGGAGCCGGGAAATCGACTTTGATCGACGCATTGGCGGGACGAGTGAATAGCCTGAGAGGCTCCGTTACTCTAAACGGAGAGAAGATTCTGCAGTCTCGGTTGCTGAAGGTGATATCGGCGTACGTGATGCAAGACGATCTCCTCTTCCCGATGCTCACCGTGAAAGAAACCCTAATGTTCGCTGCCGAGTTTCGTCTCCCGAGAAGCTTACCCAAATCGAAGAAGATGGAGCGTGTTCAAGCCCTAATCGACCAACTCGGGCTCAGAAATGCGGCGGACACTGTAATCGGAGACGAGGGACACCGTGGAGTATCCGGCGGGGAGCGGCGGCGCGTTTCAATCGGAATCGAAATCATCCACGACCCCATCGTCTTGTTCCTCGACGAGCCTACGTCGGGGTTAGATTCCACCAACGCGTTTATGGTGGTGCAGGTTCTTAAACGAATCGCTCGGAGTGGCAGTATCGTAATTATGTCGATCCATCAGCCTAGTGCTCGAATCATAGATTTGCTTGACCGCCTTATCATCTTATCCCGCGGCAAGAGTGTGTTCAACGGATCTCCGGCTACTCTTCCTTCTTTCTTCTCCGATTTCGGACATCCAATACCGGAAAAAGAGAACATCACAGAGTTCGCACTCGATCTTATTCGACAACTCGAAGGATCATCCACCGAAGGAACCAGAGAGTTAGCAGGATTCAACGAAAAGTGGCAGCAAAACAAGTCACAAGCAACACCTCACAAAGGCCTATCCTTGAAAGAAGCGATCAGTGCGAGCGTTTCAAGAGGCAAACTAGTCTTAGGCTCATCTGGAGCCAATCCCATTTCCATGGAAACAGTATCTTCGTACGCAAACCCGTCACTGTTCGAAACCTTCATCTTAGCCAAACGCTACATGAAGAACTGGATCCGTATGCCCGAGCTCCTGGGAACACGGATCGCCACCGTCATGGTGACCGCTTTCCTCTTAGCCACTGTATACTGGAAGCTGGACAACACTCCAAGAGGTGCACAAGAGAGGTTGACCTTCTTCGCGTTCGTCGTGCCAACAACGTTCTACTTATGTCTAGACAATGTCCCCGTCTTTATCCAAGAGCGATACATCTTCTTGAGAGAGACAACTCGCAACGCGTACAGAACATCTTCCTACGTCATATCACACTCGCTGGTGTCTCTGCCTCAGCTTATTGCCCCTTCCATAGTGTTTTCCTCCATCACATTCTGGACGGTTGGTTTGCGCGGCGGGTTAGAAGGTTTCGTCTTTTACTGCCTCATAATCTACGCCTCGTTTTGGTCGGGATCCTCGGTTGTTACTTTCATATCAGGTCTTGTTCCGAACATCATGTTAAGTTACATGGTCACCATTGCCTATGTCGCCTACTGTTTACTGTTGAGTGGGTTCTACGTCATCCGAGATCGGATACCGAGTTACTGGATATGGTTTCATTACGTTTCACTGCTCAAGTACCCGTACGAGGCTGTCTTAATCAACGAGTTTGATGATCCGTCTCGTTGCTTTGTTAAGGGAGTTCAAGTATTCGACGGAACTCTTCTCGGAAGAGTGTCAGATTCGGAAAAGGTTAAGCTCCTTGAAACGCTGGGTGAATCTCTGAGGACGAGGATAACGGAGTCCACCTGCTTGAAGACTGGGCCTGAATTACTTTCACAGCAAGGTATTACTCAATTGAGCAAGTGGGATTGCTTGTGGATTACGTTAGCTTCGGGTTTCTTCTTTAGGATCTTGTTTTACTTCGCCTTGCTATTTGGGAGCAAAAATAAGAGGACGTGAAGGTAAGTAAGTCCCTACAAAAACATATTTGAGTGAAGCTTGAAACTTCTGAGTATTAGCTTCTCATTTGTTGTAATCTGTTTACATGTTTGGACGTCTGATTAGAACTGCCTCCACTACCTTTTGTTATCTATGTTGGTGGTTGAATATAAAATTCTCAGAGGATTAGAAAAACTCTAAAAAAGAAAATTTAAATCTTCTTTGAAAAGCTATTGACTTTGAGAGGCTCATTAATTAAGTGAGTGAGGTTTACAGTTTGATTGACGTTAGAATCAAAATAGAATGCAAAGTTGGGGATTTATAACCTCATGAAATAGTATGGGATTAGTTGGAGGATTTAAATGATTCTTGCCCTACAATATAGAATTAAAGTTTGAAAATTATTTTTCGTGTTAAAAAAAGTTCAAAACATTTCTTTTTAGATTTAGCCGTAGCATCCGATTAATCTTAAAGGTGAACAAAAACCTACCACCACACATGTTAGAGCATTCAACGGAAACCAAAGTGCGCCAAGTGCATAATTGATTAATTGCAGACAGTGAAATCCAATATGAAGCTGCAACACTCCAAAACTAGTGTTAACGCAGGTTTTGAAACTCAATTGGTTATCGTTGAAAACGTGTTGTACACTAATTTTTTTACTTTTAACTATAAATTTGGTTGATGTCCTAGCTTAAAATGGTAGATTGGTATGTCAAATTTAAATGCGACTAGATTGAGTTGGAGAAATCAAATTGCATACTCTTGTAAGCCTTATCATATCACGAATTTAATAGCCTTATAGCTGAAAATAATGTGAGCCTTCAGCCAAGTGCATAATTGATTAGTTACACACATTGGCCCTATAAACCCAATACTACTGTGGAAAACGTGTTATACACTAGAAAATATAGCTTTAAATAATATTTGGTTGATGTCCTAACTTGAAATGGTAGATTAGTTTGTGACTTAATTGAGTTGGAGAAGTCAAATTGCATACTCTTCCAAGCCTTATCACGAATTTAATAGCCACGATCACTACTTTCCGGCTTTTAATTAGACACATTTATGTCGAAAATGAAACTCAGAAAACGATGTGTTGTTAGCAGATGATTATGATAAGTGTCGAATCATAAGAGCCGCACCCGTTAATTTACGTACTAATAATTACCTCCTTCATGCATGCTTTTCGTTTTCCTTTTTATGATAAAATTTGATGGCTCCATAAATGCTTTCACGGAAATGATATCTCTTTTCGGTTTTTGGTAAAAAAGAGTTACAACACAAGTTTAGTTTACTTACAAATATATCAACGTAGCGAACTATACGTTTCCATCATAAAAGAGCTCCTAAAGCTAAACCTAACCATAGCCGCACGATGAACTAATCACTAGCACTATGCGATGCCCTCTGATTTCGATTTAGGACTCGACCCTCCAAAACAAGATTACATACAATTACAATTTTTTAAGAACTTTGTTAAATCAGCGATATAATTATTTATGAATTTTTAAAAGATAGGCACGAAAATTCAATGGCTGCTAAATCGATAGCCAAAAATAATGATTAAATTTTTGGTGGACCCTCCAAATCCAGTCCGCATTAAATTTACTACCATATCGGGGATTAAGAAGCGATTACTAGATTTTCGTGAATGAAAAAGCTCTAAACGAGTATATAAAAACTTCTTTCCCTGAAGCAAAAAGTTAACTTTTGAATTGATTACTTTGAATGATATGCAGCTTTTTCAGTTTTGGAAACTTATTCTGTTATTTTTTATCATTCATGTTATTCATCACGTTTTTACGTTTTTTTATGTTTTTGAAACGTGATTCTGTTATCGTGTTAAAAATATAATTTAAAAAAAACAAAACGTGATTACTCTACTAAAAGTAGCTTTTCAGCGTTTCATAATTATTCAGCTAAAATATTATTCAGTTTAATTCATTCCACTAGTAATTTTTCAGTTATTCTGTTATTCTGTTATTCATCTCACATATCAGTCAGAGAACTAGCTAGCTCAAAAAGCTCTAAACAAATATATACACGATTTTTTTTGTTAAGAAGCCAATCAGTCGCAACAGAGAATTACTTTTTTTTTAAACTTGAGACTGGCTGGTTAAAGCATCGCTTTAAATACCAATTTGGTTGATGTCCCAGTTTGAAATGCACATGGTAGGTCAACTTTAAATGCGACCCATCTTAAGTAACACAAAACTGAGCATTGACTTCCTGTGAATCTACGATATATGCAAGCAGGTCACAATAATGGGTTCTCAAATACATTTATACCGAAATTGAATCTTGCAACCCCCCCACACTGCCACACCTTATTAGCATGCTAAACTCCGTGGCTCCTTTCTCTTCACACAAATATATATATAGATTTACATTCTTTTTTTTTAAAAAAAAACACACCCGTATTTTATTTACTTATAAATACTTAACGAGATTTAACGTAACAAACTATACATCCCATCATTTACAAAAAAAAAAAAAAAAAAAAAGTTGAATTCTGATTCAAATTTTATTATCAGTTTAATTCATAAAAAAAAAAGTCTAAAACGACGCCGTATGGCGTCCCTGAGTGGTAGAAAAATTGCTATGCCACCATGTGTTTTGGAGGAAACACAGTATATCTTTCCCGACGGATCACCTACCCTCGTGGAGTTGTTGAAAGACTGCGACAGTTTCCGGAAGGGAGATTCCGGCTCCGTCACCAGAAGCCACGATCCAGCTCATCACATAATAGATGTCGACGCCTTACACGTACGTCCCGTGCCGTTCGTCTTAGCATTTAACAATCTCGAGTACGACGTCACACTTCGCCGGCGGTTTGATTTCTCCCGGCGAAGCTCCGTTTCGGTGAAGACTCTACTCGATGATGTTTCCGGCGAGGCTTGCGACGGCGATATCCTCGCCATTCTCGGTGCAAGCGGAGCCGGGAAATCGACTCTGATCGACGCATTGGCGGGACGGGTTGCAAAGGAGAGTTTAAGAGGCACCGTAACTCTAAACGGAGAGAAGGTTCTGCAATCTCGGTTGCTGAAGGTGATATCGGCGTACGTGATGCAAGACGATCTCCTCTTCCCGATGCTCACCGTGAAGGAAACTCTCATGTTCGCTTCCGAGTTTCGTCTCCCGAGAAGCTTGCCAAAATCGAAGAAGATGGAGCGTGTTGAAGCCCTAATCGACCAGTTAGGGCTCAGAAACGCGGTGGATACAATCATCGGGGACGAAGGACACCGTGGAGTCTCCGGCGGGGAGAGACGGCGCGTCTCAATCGGGATCGACATCATCCACGACCCGATCGTCTTGTTCCTCGACGAGCCTACGTCGGGACTGGATTCGACCAACGCGTTTATGGTGGTGCAGGTTCTGAAACGAATCGCTCAGAGTGGCAGCATCGTAATTATGTCGGTCCACCAGCCTAGTGCTCGGATCGTTGATTTGCTTGATCGTCTAATCATCTTATCTCGCGGCAAGAGTGTGTTCAACGGATCTCCGGCTAGTCTTCCTTCTTTCTTCTCCGAGTTCGGTCGTCCCATACCGGAGAGAGAGAACATCACGGAGTTCGCACTTGATCTGATTCGAGAGCTTGAAAGATCCAACGAAGGAACAAGAGAGCTAGTGGAATTCAACGAAAAGTGGCAAAAGAAGCAATTTTCTCGAGCCACGCCACAAGATGAATCTCACCAAGCCTTGTCTCTAAAAGAATCCATCGATGCAAGTGTCTCTAGAGGCAAACTCGTCTCAGGCTCCTCCGGATCCAACCTCATGTCCATGGAAACAGTATCCTCATACGCAAATCCATCATTCTTTGAAACATTCATCTTAGCCAGACGGTACATGAAGAACTGGATCCGGATGCCCGAGCTCGTAGGGACACGGATCGGTACGGTCATGGTGACCGGTTTCCTCTTAGCCACTGTGTATTGGAGCCTAGACAACACTCCAAGGGGTGCACAGGAGAGATTGACCTTCTTCGCGTTCGTCGTGCCAACAATGTTCTACTGTTGTTTAGACAACGTCCCTGTTTTTATCCAGGAACGATTCATTTTCTTAAGAGAGACAACGCACAACGCATACAGAACATCTTCGTACGTCATATCTCATTCTCTCGTGTCCCTGCCTCAGCTAATTGCCCCGTCCATTGTATTTGCCTCAATCACATTCTGGACCGTTGGTTTGAGCGGCGGGTTACAAGGCTTCTTCTTCTATTTACTCATCATCTACGCTTCGTTTTGGTCTGGATCCTCTGTTGTCACATTCATATCTGGTGCTCTTCCGAATATCATGTTAAGTTACATGGTCGCCATTTCCTACCTCGCCTACTGTTTACTATTGAGTGGTTTCTACGTAAACCGAGATCGTATACCGATCTACTGGATGTGGTTTCATTACATTTCACTGGTCAAGTATCCCTACGAGGCTGTCTTGATCAACGAGTTTGATGATCCGTCTCGTTGCTTTGTTGAGGGAGTTCAAGTATTCGACGGAACTCTTCTCGGAGGAGTGTCTAATTCGGGAAAGGTTAAGCTCCTTGAAACTCTGGGTAGATCACTGAGGACGAAGATAACGGAGTCCACTTGCTTGAGGACTGGGCCTGAACTACTTGCACAGCAGGGTATTACTCAGTTGAGCAAGTGGGATTGCTTGTGGATTACGTTAGCCTGTGGCCTCTTTTTTAGGATCTTGTTTTACTTTGCTTTGCTCTTTGGGAGCAAAAATAAGAGGACGTGAAGGCATTCCCCACAAACAATGTGTGTGTCAGCTATATATTTATGGGAAGGCTGAAACGTTTAAATACTAGCCTCTGCATCGTTTGTTGTAATTTTGTGATAAAATTGTAACATATTTAATCGTTTTATCTCTAGGTACTTTTATGGAATATTGTAAAAGAATTCTATTTTTGTGTAAAATCCAAATTAGCGTATTATACTTGAATACACAAGCATTTCGGCACATAGTTCAATTGGGGTTAATTCATGAATCATTTTTAATTCAAAAATTTCGACCCATCAAAATTAGACAATGACCAAAGAAATTATAAAAAATGAGATGATGTTTGAAAATGTTTAGTGAGGAAGTGAAGGTATAGATTATAGACGTTTATTGTCAAATTTCAACGGATGTTATATACGTTGTTAAATTTAAAACAACTTTAGAATATATATGGCGCGTGATTTTGTTAAATCGACTTTGGTAGGAAAATGTTATTTTGCGATTTTGTCAAGAAAACGTAATTTTGTGATTTTGACCAAAAAAAATGTTATTTACAGTAATAGAAAAAAATAATTTTATAATTTAAAAAACATGATTTTTGATTTTATTGAAATTTTTTTTTTTTAATTTTAGTGAGAAGTGATTGCACATTTTTAATGGGAAAATTTTCTACAATTTTAATTAAAAAAATGATTTCAGCATAATTTTAGTAAAAAAATTGTGATTTTACAGTTTTATAAAAAAATATACGTTTTTATTTTTTTGAAATAATTGAAAAATCTCATTTATATTATGTTGATTTATTCATCTGAAATTTGCATTTAAATATTCTATCTAAATAAAAGTATTTTAATTATTTGTTATTTTAAAATAGATTATTTCCATTTTTTATCAATAAACAACCCCATATGTTGTTAAACAAAGAAAGAAAGGACAATCTATATTTCTTAGTTATTTTTATTATTATATTTTCTTTATTCTTTATTCTCTTTATTTATATTATTTTTATAATGTTCATTAATTAAAACCTACCTCTTACAGAACTTTTTTGGGTTGTTTTAAAAGGATCAGACATAGTGTAAACTAAAAAATTAAACTGAACCAAACCAAACTATGTCTTATACTTATCAAGTAATATACACTACATGATAAGCTTAAACTAGATTCTATCTTTATCATAAATTAATTTTATCTTTATCACATTGTGGTCTACATAAATCCTCATTACATAAGTATCTTAATTAAATCTTCTAGATTCTTCCTTAACAGTAAACCAAGATTAAAAATGATCTGATTTGAACTGATAAAACCTAAACTAAAAAGAAATTGGCATACCTACCGACTCTAAAGCGGTCAGAGTTCCCGCAACCACCAAAATTATAAACCACTGAATCTTCCAATCAACAAAACCACGTGTTTACCCATCCAACACTCGTAAGCTATTGCTAGTTGCTACCTACCTCCATCTTCTCTTATAATTACCAATCTCCATCAAATTCTTTTTTACTTTTTTTTACATTATAATCAAACCTAACACCCTCAAAGTCAAAACCATGTCTTCTTCCGCATGTCCGTCACCGTTACCCTCAGTCAGCAAACTTCATGTCGATTCCGTTACTTTTCCACCGTCCGTCAATTCACCGGCTTCCTCCAATCCCCTATTCCTCGGTGGCGCAGGTTCGAGTGCTGTTTAATTCATTTGCTCTTGCAGCATTCTTTTTTTTTTTTTTAAATGCGTTTTTTGTTGCCTCTTTGAGTTTCTCTGTTTCTTGCTAACTTACGCAGGGGTGCGAGGGTTAGATATTCAAGGAAAGTTTGTGATTTTCACCGTCATCGGAGTTTACCTAGACGCTGTCGCCGTCCCGTCACTCTCTGTTAAGTGGGAGGGCAAAACTACAGAAGAGTTAACGGAATCCGTCCCTTTTTTCCGTGAAATCGTCACAGGTGCTTGTCATGCAACAAACTGTTTTAAGTCAAAAAGGGATTTTAATTTGTTTAGACCAAACTATTTGACCGTCATTAATTTATTATTACCATTTTTAGTTAATTATGATTTTTTTTTGTTTTTGGGCACGATTAGGTGCGTTTGAGAAATTCATAAAGGTGACGATGAAACTGCCGTTAACGGGACAGCAGTATTCGGAGAAAGTAACGGAGAATTGTGTGGCGATTTGGAAATCGTTAGGGATTTACACAGAGAGTGAAGCTAAAGCTGTGGAGAGATTTTTGGAAGTCTTCAAGGACCAAACTTTCGCTCCTGGTGCATCCATCCTCTTCGCTCTCTCCCCTAACGGCTCCCTCACGGTACTTCTTGTCCTATCACACAGCTTTGCGTTTGCGTTTACATTACTATTACGAACTGTTTACAATGAAACGCAAATTAATGTAGAAATAGCGTTTAAAACGAACTGTGCCCAAAACATGTATTTTTAAGTAAGATTTGGTTTTAAAAATTGTTTTACGTGTATTAAACGCAATTGACGTTAGAAAAACAGTCGTAGGTTGTAAAATGTCTTTGTTGTGAAAAAAAAATCGTTTTGCAGGTTGCGTTTTCGAAAGACGATAGCATTCCTGAAACCGGAAAAGCGGTGATCGAGAATAAATTGTTGGCAGAGGCAGTTCTTGAATCAATAATTGGAAAGAAGGGTGTGTCTCCTGGGACTAGGCTGAGTATAGCAGAGAGGTTAGCTAAGCTGATGAAGAAGAAGAAGGTCGAAGAAGATGCATCATCACTGACTGATCAAGAGGAAGCTACAGATCTCTCCCTCGGAGATAAATTGGCCAAAGAGAACTGATCCTATGCCGAGATTTTTCTTGGTTTCTGAGGGATTTTATGTTTCTGTTATATTTAATCCTATTCCATCGCATGTTTAATTTATCTCTGTTCGTAAGAATAATTAAATAACCTCATGGTATTGGATCAAAGTTTCCAAACAAAACAAAATTGTATTGTCAAATATTTAATACAAGCCAAACTTGATAAACATTTAGTTCTAGGCTTGATCACACGGATCCGCAAGGTTAAGTAATTGGTTAACCGAAGGGAAGGGAAAACACCTACACGAATCCCGGACCGGGCCTAAATTCTTTTAACTAGAACACGGCCCAATCTGTAGACCAGTTCGGCCCATTGTAGTATCAAAAATATTCCATAAACGAAATCATTTGATTTCAAATGGAGGAAATCATTAAATTAGCAGACGCGGAAAACCACTATCTCATCAAAATAAATTGCGAAATTTATTGAATAAACTAATGAATCAATAAATAAATGAAATGGTCCAACCATCTAAAAATTGATTTTCTAAGATGTCACTGTATCAATATCACCCATTCATGTTCATATAAACCCTACCCGCCAGCATAATGCATATTGAGTATTGACGACTTATAAACAAAAGAAGAAATCACTTACAGAAAAATGATTTCTTGAGGAAATAGATCACAGGATGTGTATGTTGATTAATGACCTAGGGTACAATAATGCAGTTTGATTCACTACTAGACCCATAATTTTTTTTTTTTAAAAATAAAAAGGGCTTTCATGACCCATAAAAATTATTATTATCTTTTTTTCCCATAAAAATTATTTGATAATTGTTTACGTGTTTGTTTGTTTTCTCGTTCATATTGATATTTCTCTCATCCGAATTCTTGCATTTTCAACGTGTCAATTATCTTTTTAAAACTACGTAAATACTATTATGATACCTTGTAGGCTTGTACTGAATATTTGTGAGTATTTTAGGCTTTATAAATTCTTATGCCGACTTTGTTATCAAGCCTTCGACACATTTTCTGTGGCGTTCTTGAGACTATAAAATTTGGGAGACGATTGAACCATTTTGTTTTTATCTATAATGGTTTTTCTTTTGTATCCTTTATTTGATTTTTTTTCTTCTTTTTTTGGCTGGTTCTAGAGACCTTCTTAGCCACAGTGATTCTTCTGTCATCAGTTCATCAAATCCTGAAAAGAGCATCATAGCTAATTCAAAATTTCGAATTTTCTACGCATGATAAACTATCATATGGGATTACCAAAGACTTTTGTGGTACTTTGGGCACATGGGACATGGCAGAAGGTTCTAAAACAGTATAAATTGTTAAAATATGAAAATGATTTTAAGTTAGCAATTTCGGCAAAATAAGAGAACAAATAAAAATAAAAGATTATATATTTTACAACTTGTAGAAAGAATTCTAACGCTCAATCCTTAAAGTTTGGCCATAAACCCTTAATTTTTTAGAAAGGCAAAGTGGATCACACCTTTGCACCAAAGCAAAACATAATCAAAATTCAGCAAAGATCGATTTATTTGTAGAACCTCACGGAAATTGTCAACTCCATATAACAATAATTTTTCATCTCCTGCTAGTTGAAGATTACTATGGAAACAGTCACACGTCTAGAAAACATTTAATAGCATGGGTAAAATCATCCAAAACTTTCGTTTTATAATTTTTCTTTTGTCAAACACTTAAATAGGATGAATGATCAATCACTCATTTTTAAAACCCTTTTTTATTTCTTTGGACAACAAAATCAGTTTTCATTTTCGTTTCATCACCATCTCTATCCTCTAATACAAATGCTCTTATTTTCAATTGGTATTTGTGAGTTGTACCATAACTTTTGGAGGATACTCTAACCAAATTTCCAAAACAAGTCACGCGTAAAATTATTATTTAGGCACCGCATAATTTAAGCAAAACTTGGTTGTGAAAGTAAATTGGAAATGGTAGGGGTCATATTTAAATGCTAAAGCCAAATTTCATTTTATTCCAACCAAGCTTTCACTTATACTAGTTATCACTAGTATACACTAAGCACGTGCTCGCGATGTTGATGTCGATTGGTGTACCCCTTGAGCGATATTTTACCAAAAATCATCAATTTTGGATCCACTCAAAACTTACCAGTACAATAGAAAAATATATACTATGCAATTTTTTTGTCTACGTCTTCTCTCGAACACTGTTGGACCAAAAAACAATTGCTTTGTCGTTTTTCCCCTATGTGCCACATAAATTCATTCTATCATTTTGTTTTCATCAATATTATCTTATTTGTTAAAGTTAATCATGGAGTTCTGGTCTGTTGAGACCTTATATACCTTTCTTAGATAAGTATCAAATTCAACAACGTTACAACATTTGAAAACCCCAAAAACTCAGCTACTACCCCAAAAACCCACTTGGTTGAGCTAATTTTTAGCTTTCTACTGTCCTTTATTACTCAAAGGTGCACCAGTCATTCTATACCCGAAGAAGTGATGTGAATGAGAATTTAATTGTAGAGTCTTGCGATCCACAAAATGTTAGCTACTACCGTCGTGGCCCCAACCAGTTATAGCTCTGCATTTATTAACTTTAGCCTTTTAAAAGTTGAGCCACAAACCTAAAAACACACGTTGAAAACAAAAAAATAGCTAAACACACAAATTAACTTCTAGCCTAACCAGGTACACAATACAAACTCTGTACATGGCCCCAATCATGCATGATCCATACAAATTATTGTCCTTAGTTTCCTTTCTTAAGGTACATAATTTGATAACTAACTTCCGTTGATTTTTCACGTATGATATTGTTTCTACACATTTAATGAAAGAAATACACTAGAAAATCTTTGTTCTTGAAATTGGAAGGAATCACTATTTAAGGAGAGACGTGTGTCTTAATTTCTTCTTAAATACTAATAATTATTTTTCAAAATTCAAATTAAAATAATAAATGAGGTACTTTTTCTTTATAAATAGAAGAAGAAAAAATGTGAGAGGGTTGTGCTCATATTATAAATAACTAAAAATCCTGAAATACAGATATTTTTTTTGGCTCTCCCCCGGAGAGAAGTATCTGAAACTTTAACAAGTAAGTTAATCATTTTATAAGATTATTAGTGAATAACAGTTGTAATTCCTTATCATTCACAGTTGTAATTCCTTATGATTCACAGTTGTAATTTCTTATGGATCATGATCTTTAAACTACTTGAATCGACTAGCTAGGAAATAAATCATGCCTCACTGTTATGATTCATGATTTTTTTTGTATGTAACTTATTCGTAGATTTACGTAGATTTTTAGGTAAATCAGTTCCTTTTTCCCGTAAGAACATTGAATCCAGATTTCGTAACCATGTTGTATTTTTATTTCTTATTCAATATATATATGGTTTTCTCAGGGTTTCCAGATGTACAGTGATACTTCGCTGTTAGCTTCATCTCCAAGAATACGCCGTTAACCATTTTATCTCTGAAGATGCCGCGTGTTTCCGCGGAATCCCAACAAATATCTCTCGACGGCGGCAACGGGTCACCGACACTCGGCGAACTGCTGACAAGTTTCGAAGACAGTGGCCGGAGGAAAGAGTCCGGCGAAGATCACATCTTGGATCTCGCTCCCCCTCATACGTCATCTGTGCCGTTTCTCTTGGCCTTCAACAACCTCAGATACAATGTCGAAATTCGCCGGCGGTTCGAATTCTCGTCGCTGCTCTCTCCGAAAAAGCCAGCTTCGGTGAGAACTCTGCTCGACGATGTTTCCGGCGAGGCTTGCGACGGCGATATCCTCGCCGTTCTCGGAGCAAGCGGAGCCGGAAAATCCACCTTGATCGACGCGTTGGCGGGACGAGTGAGCAGCCTGAGAGGCTTCGTTACTCTAAACGGAGAGAAGATTCTGCAGTCTCGGATGCTAAAGGTGATATCGGCGTACGTGATGCAAGACGATCTCCTCTTCCCGATGCTCACCGTCAAAGAAACCCTAATGTTCGCTGCCGAGTTTCGTCTCCCGAGAAGCTTACCCAAATCGAAGAAGATGGAGCGTGTTCAAGCCCTAATCGACCAACTCGGGCTCAGAAATGCGGCGGACACTGTAATCGGAGACGAAGGACACCGTGGAGTATCCGGCGGAGAGAGGCGACGCGTTTCTATCGGAATCGAGATCATCCACGACCCTATCGTCTTGTTCCTCGACGAGCCTACGTCGGGGCTAGATTCCACCAACGCGTTTATGGTGGTGCAGGTTCTTAAACGAATCGCTCGGAGTGGCAGCATCGTGATGATGTCGATCCATCAGCCTAGTTCTCGAATCGTTGATCTGCTTGATCGCCTTATCATCTTATCTCGCGGCAAGAACGTTTTCAATGGATCTCCGGCTAGTCTTCCTTCTTTCTTCTCCGTTTTTGGTCGTCCCATACCGGAGAAGGAGAACACTATAGAGTTCGCACTCGACCTAATCCGAGAACTCGAAGGATCCTCTGAAGGAACCAGAGAGTTAGTAGAGTTCAACGCGAAGTGGCAACACAACCAGTCCGCTCGAGCCACGCCACAGACCACACCATACCAAGCTTTATCTCTAAAAGAATCCATCAATGCAAGTGTTTCGAGAGGCAAACTCGTCTCTGGCTCAGCCGAGTCCAGTCACGTCCCCATGGAGTCGGTCTCTTCATACGCAAACCCTCCGTTGATCGAGATCTTCATCTTAGCCAAACGTTACATGAAAAACTGGATCAGGACGCCTGAGCTAATCGGAACGCGAGTCGCCACGGTCATGGTGACTGGTCTTCTCTTAGCTACTATCTACTGGAGGCTTGACAACACTCCAAGAGGTGCGCAGGAGAGAATGGCTTTCTTTGCGTTCGGCATGTCCACGATGTTCTACGTCTGTGCCGACAACATCCCTGTCTTCATCCAAGAACGGTACATTTTCTTGAGAGAGACAACACGCAACGCGTATAGAACATCCTCGTACGTCGTGTCTCACTCCCTCGTGACCCTGCCTCAGCTACTCGCTCTTTCCGTTGCGTTTGCTGCAACCACGTTCTGGACCGTTGGTTTGAGCGGCGGGCTAGACGGCTTCTTCTACTACTGCCTCATCATCTACGCAGCCTTTTGGTCCGGATCCTCTGTTGTTACTTTCTTATCGGGTCTTATCCCGAATGTCATGATAAGTTACATGGTCACTATAGCCTATCTTTCCTACTGTCTGCTGCTCGGTGGGTTCTACATCAACCGGGATCGGATACCGGTCTACTGGATATGGTTTCATTACATTTCGGTGTTGAAGTATCCCTACGAGGCTGTCTTAATCAACGAATTTGATGACCCGTCTCGCTGTTTTGTCAAGGGAGTCCAGGTGTTTGATGGTACGCTTTTGGGAGAAGTGCCCGATGTGATGAAGGTGAAGCTCCTCGATACACTGAGCAGCTCTTTAGGAACGAGTATAACAGAGTCCACATGCTTGAGAACAGGGGCTGACATACTTAAGCAGCAAGGTATTACTCAGTTGAGCAAGTGGGATTGCTTGTGGATCACGCTTGCTTTTGGTCTCTTCTTCAGGATCTTGTTTTACTTCTCCTTGGTGCTAGGGAGCAAGAATAAGAGGACGTGAAGGTAGTCCACAAAACACAAATTGCATACTTCTGTTGGCCTCAATGCCATCTACTCTTATCATACATTTTTATTCCAGTGAAGCTTGAAACTTCTAAGTATTAGCTTCTCTTTGTTGTAGTTTTGCAATCAAGTTGTAACATTTATATTATTTGTTTCATCTTTCAATCCTTTTGGGAATACTGTAAACAGGACGAATACTTCTCTTTAAATTCCAACTTCCAAGGTCTCATATAGTTACTGAAATTTGAAGCACAATTCCAATTCTCGAATTATAATGTCTCCAAGTCTAAATCTTGTTAAATGAAGGAAAAAATTAGATTAACTTGTATTCGAAATTAAATGTATATTACAACTGTATGTTGAACTTGACTGCATTTTTGAGGATTTTTTTTCAAGATATTGGTATACACGATCAAGGTTGGGACAATTCAAAAGATTTGGTGAGTTATGATATGAACAAATAATATATTACATTAATACCAAAAGATTCATGACATAATAGCTGTTTGGTGGAGAATAAATGACCAAAAGTTTGATTTTCTTGGGTGCAAAATATCAACACAGATCGACTGTGAATTTCTCAGAGTGATATTAAGTTCAATGGTCCCAAAACTCATAAATAGTAAAAAAAAAATTGGAAATTCTGAAATCTAGTGAATTGTAATGTGATTAATGTATTCATTCTATATATATATATATATATATATGGTGCAGAATAGACATTTGCATAATTGACTGGCTATTCGACGACACAAAATTGAAGGATGTCAGAGCACAATTAAATTCGAACCACTTGAATTTAGATTAGAAATATTTAAACATTTTAAAACGCATTTGAATTTAATCCCCGTAATTAACATGGGATTTGAAAATATCCATACGTTTTTTATTCATGGGTTTTATTTCATGTCACAAAGCTACGAATGAGAAAATATTGGTGGTAAAAATAGTTTCTCAACGAAAATGAAACTGTCAAAGATTCTTTCTTGGACAGAGAAAGCTTAATAATAATGGTCGAAAAATAGAGAAAGCTTAATAAATTTTCCGGCCGGTGAAGCGGTGGAAAATGTCTTTAGCTTAAAGAAAATTTAGCATCGCTCGTGAGCGTAGTACTTTGTGGGATGGACTTGTCAATGGAAAAGTTTCGCTTTTAGCATTTTACATAGATATATAATGTCAGCAACTTAAGCTATAAACGTTTAGCAAATGTAGTGAATTAACAAGATTCTGTACATACGATATTAATTTAACGATCAATCTCTGTCGTTCTATAAACTATGCCGTAAAGAAAAAGCAAGACAGAGAGGTCCAGAAGATTAAATTGTGTGTGTCCGTTTTTAATGTTAGTTCAACATTACATCGGTACAATGGGCAAGCATGTGATCGATGGAAGAGGACAAAGCCATAATAAAAAAAAAAAACAGGAACTGTGTGTGTCTCTACACAACACAAAAATGCAAATCACATTTTTAAGGGGGCTTCTTCTGATACGTCACGGAACTTCTTAGATTCTCAGTATATATAAAGTATATAATTTTACTTAAAATCCACAATTATACAACGAGCTTCGATAAAATTCTTAAGTTTCTTTCAGAAGTTTCTCATAGAAAGAAAAAAAAATACAAATGATCACCATCGGTCCTTAAACGCAATAGAGGATCTTCTGAAAAAAAAAATACTTCATTAGGTAAACAAATTTTGTTGTCTTTTTTCTTGTGTGTGTTTTTCAGCGTCCATGAATTCTTAAAGAGTTGCTTTATGGAAATATTGTTTGCTTATGAAATTTTCTCAATATATTTACTAATACGCGAGTCTTTCAAATGACAAATTTTAATCAATTAACCACCAAAAGCATAATTAATTTTCCTAAAAACGTAAAACTTCTAATCCTATACATTTTTCTCAAGAAATTGGAAGATATAATACAACTATTAATATTTTCGTGATAGAAAAGTTCTAACGTTCTCATGCGCTAGCTGAGTACAGACAAAAAAAACACAGCTCCTTGTGTTAATTTTCCGGCGAGATGCTTCAAGTAGACGCCGTAATAAATGTTGATTCATCTGAGACACGGCCCGTTCCGTTCGTCCTCGCATTCAACGACCTCACCTATAACGTCACACTTAAACGGCGTTTTGGTCTACGTTTCGGAAATAGCCCTGCTCAGGTAAAGACGCTGCTTAACGGTATCACCGGAGAGGCTAAGGAAGGAGAGATATTAGCTGTTCTTGGTGCAAGCGGAGCTGGAAAATCAACGCTTATCGATGCATTAGCAGGACGGATCACGGAAGGTAGCTTGAAAGGCACGGTAACGCTAAACAGAGAAGCATTGCAATCTCGTGTGTTGAGAGTTATTTCGGCTTATGTAATGCAAGATGATCTCCTTTTCCCTATGCTCACTGTAAAAGAAACGCTAATGTTCGCCGCCGAGTTTCGACTTCCACGGAGCTTAACCAAATCAAAGAAGAGAGACAGAGTTGAAAACCTAATCGATCAATTAGGGCTCAAAAATGTTAAAGACACTTTGATCGGAGACGAAGGTCATCGTGGAGTCTCCGGCGGAGAAAGAAGGCGCGTATCCATTGGGACCGACATCATTCACGACCCTATTGTCTTGTTCCTCGATGAACCAACCTCAGGACTTGACTCAACTAGTGCCTTCATGGTGGTGCAAGTCTTGAAAAGGATTGCGCGTAGTGGCAGCATCGTAATCATGTCAATCCATCAGCCTAGTTGTCGGATTATGGAGTTTCTTGATCGGATCATCGTCTTATCGTCTGGTCAGAGTGTCTTTAGTGATTCTCCGTCAACTCTCCCTTTGTTCTTCTCAGAATTTGGTCGTCCCATACCTATAAAAGAGAACAATGCGGAGTTCACACTTGACCTAATCAAAGAGCTTGAAGGATCCTCCCAAGGAACAGGAGTGTTAGTCGAATTCAACCGAAACTGGCAACAGAAAAAGCTTAGAGATAACCAAGAACCTCACCATAACTCATCATCCTTGAAAGAAGCCATCAATGCAAGCATTTCCAGAGGCAAACTTGTCTCTACTTCATATAGCTCCATCCCATCATACGTAAATCCATGGTGGATAGAGACCATAATCTTAGCTAAACGCTACATGATAAACTGGACCCGAACGCCCGAGCTGATCGGAACACGGGTTTTCATAGTCATGATGACCGGTTTTGTCTTGGCTACGGTTTACTGGAAAGTAGATGACTCTCCTAGAGGCGTCCAAGAGAGGCTAAGCTTCTTCTCATTCGCAATGGCCACCATGTTTTACAGCTGCGCGGACGGACTGCCCGCTTTTATCCAAGAAAGATACATTTTCTTGAGGGAAACCGCGCACAACGCCTACCGAAGATCCTCCTACGTTATATCTCACTCTCTCGTGACTCTGCCTCATCTTTTCGCTCTTTCCGTCGGATTTGCAGCCACCACGTTCTGGTTCGTAGGTCTAAACGGCGGTCTGGCGGGTTTTATCTACTATTTGCTCATCATCTTCGCGTCTTTCTGGTCCGGATGCTCCTTTGTTACATTCGTCTCCGGTGTGGTTCCAAACGTGATGATGAGTTACATGGTGACGTTTGGATATCTCTCTTACTGTCTTCTCTTCAGCGGATTCTACATCAATCGCGATAGGATTCATTCTTACTGGATATGGGTTCATTACATTTCTCTACTAAAGTATCCTTACGAAGCTGGTCTGCACAACGAGTTCGATGATCCGTCCCGTTGTTTCGTGAGAGGAAGCCAAGTTTTTGACAATACACTAATGGAAGGAGTGTCTAAGACGATGAAGGCGAAGCTTTTGGAGACAATGAGCAGTTATTTGGGGGTGGAGTTAACGGAATCAACGTGTTTGAGGACGGGCTCTGAGTTGCTTAAGCAGCAAGGGATAGAACAGTTGGATAAATGGGGTTGCTTGTGGGTTACGCTAGCTTGGGGATTCTTTTTTAGGATCTTGTTTTATTTTTCGTTGTTGCTTGGAAGCAAGAATAAGAGGGCGTGAACGTCATGTTAATGTGAATTCCGGAACACACAAATTCCAATTGTTTTTGACGTATCTGCCTTCTTTTCATAGTCGGTGTAAAACATATATAGCGATTTAACAAAACTGAAAATAGCTTAGCGGTGTTCCACTTTCCAAAAACAAAAGAAAAACCAATAAATCAGTTGCTCGGAATAGAATTCAAAGCAGCCAAGTAGTTTAAAAGCTACTATATTAGATGGTATAGTACAACTCTTCACCCTTTGCTTATGGCGGCAAGGAAGGCTATATATATATTAGGTAGAAGTTAGTCACCTATAAACCCTAAAAGTCAACCAAAAATATAAATGTAACAGAGGGATTGGAAATACAAGAAGCGAAACTCGTCATTAAGGATTTCATGTTACCTTTAACATCACACGTGAAGTTGGATGTTGGATCAAGTTGTACTAATTAAGAGAAAGCTGCATAATCTATTAATTTTGCTTGTTTAAGCTGGTATTTGGATGGATCAACGACATGACTTTCTTTTATCAAATATTCTTTAGAGATGTGACGGATATGATATATATAAAAAGATGTTTTGACAAAAACAGTAAAATGCTTGCTTTGGTTTTCTAGAAATAAACGCAAAAACTCACATGTAAACGTAAACATAAGCATAGACGTAAATTTATGAGAAAGAAATAAAAAATCTATCAAGTACTGATCTACCATATGTATGGTTCTCCTGTCATTTCACATCATATATATAAACTTTTGAATTTTAATTTTGTTCTCGTCTAGGGTTCTTGCTTTGCGGAAGACACTATACTAGACTGGATTCGATCTCATTAGGTCATTCAAGTATGATTTTTTTTTTTTTTTTTTTTTTGTTCTGGTGGAAGAAACTTTCAGTTAAGTATTTATATCCTCTATCATAGTAAAATTAAGTGGGTCCAAATATTACAATGCGAGATAGAGCAATGCCATTTGATTTAGGTACTTTTCTACTCTTGAACAAACCTTTCGGCTCAATACAGAAACAAGAACTCTAAACGATACAGTTTATTTCTATCGAGGAAGAATACAAAATTTACGATTTAATAATTAAGAGAAAATATATTGAGTTTGGTAAAGCAGGTTCCACCGTTACTAACTAATCAAGAAAAACAGAAACGAAGTTTGACATTTTGTGTGAACAGTGAACTTGAGAAATACACATGCCATTAAACAAAATTAGCGCAGAATTTATGCCAAAACTCCAATCTTCGCAAAGCATTTAACGCTAGCTAGGCCTAGGCTCTTGATCAATAAAGTAAAAGTTAAGAAAAATGCTATAAAATATATACAAAGAACCTAACTCGAAAAAAAAAGAATGCAATGTATATAGTACATCCCAACTTTTATTATTTACTACTATTTTGCATGGTTCCATTACTATTGAAATTTGCAACTTATACGCAAAGACAAAGTAAATTGTGACTAGTGATCTAAGTGCTTTTGCTGCGCTTATTGCGATACAAATTGTCAAATCCTCACTACACACATTTGTTTCGCTACCAACATTTGAAGAGTTGATATGTTTTAAAAAAAAAACTAACTAAAAAGCATTAATTGACCAAACAATGGGAAACGCAAAGAAAGTTCTCATCTCAATCTCTATACCTCGGTTAGATCAACACCCTTCACCTAATTCTCCACTCAATAGCACGACTAATCGCCACGTGTCCACCATTTCTTATATACTTCAATGTATTTGGTCTTATCACATTGGGAATTCTAGATTTATAGGTCATCCCATTTCCTCCCCTTCATGTATAACTAGATTGAATTGAATTAATTACGAGAAATCCAAAACGCATTTCCATCCAAAACGCTATTTTATATATTTAGTCAACAACACAAACCTAACATATTTCCCATGATGCAACTCATTATGCAACACATAGAGCCTTCGTGTTCACACACATACACACGTTACTTCATGCGCCCTTTTATATATATATGAGACTATACAGAGACTAGAGAGGGAGAGATAGAGAGATACAAAGCAAAACAGAGAATCTTTGATCATGCAAATATTGTGTTCTACGAGCCGATAGATATTGTGAAAGGCAAATCTTTTCTCACTTTTACTCTCACTTCTTCTTCATGTCTCGCATTGTAGCAGAAGATAACGCTGGTGACCACGCGTCGCCGTATCATTCCATGGAGATCAGCTCGTCGTTGACTTTAGGTCAGCTTCTCAAGAACGTTAGCGACGTTAGGAAGGTAGAAGTCGGCGACGAGACTCCTGTTCGTGAATTCTTTGACCGTGACGGTTCACTAGGTGATGAAGATTATGATCTCATGCGCCCTGTTCCCTTCGTTCTATCTTTCAACAACCTCACTTACAACGTCTCTGTTCGCCGGAAGTTTGAGTTTCACGATCTGACCCCACGGAGGAGACTATCTTTCTCGAAGACCAAGACCCTTCTTGACAATATCTCAGGCGAGACTCGCGACGGAGAGATTCTTGCCGTTCTTGGAGCTAGCGGCTCAGGTAAGTCCACTTTGATCGATGCTTTGGCGAATCGGATCGCTAAAGGAAGCTTGAAAGGCAATGTAACGCTTAACGGAGAGGCTCTTCAATCTCGGATGCTGAAGGTTATATCGGCGTATGTAATGCAAGACGATCTCCTCTTCCCGATGCTTACTGTAGAAGAGACTCTGATGTTCGCTGCTGAGTTTCGATTACCAAGAAGCTTGCCTAAATCCAAGAAGAAGCTCCGAGTTCAAGCCTTAATCGACCAGTTGGGTATTCGGAACGCCGCTAAAACAATCATCGGCGACGAAGGACACCGTGGGATCTCCGGTGGAGAGAGACGGCGAGTTTCAATCGGAATTGATATCATCCACGACCCCATTGTTCTCTTCCTCGATGAACCGACTTCTGGTTTGGATTCCACAAGCGCCTTCATGGTGGTCAAAGTGTTGAAGAGAATTGCAGAGAGTGGCAGTATCGTAATAATGTCTATACATCAGCCAAGCCACAGAGTTCTCGGTTTACTTGACCGTCTTATCTTCTTGTCACGTGGCCACACCGTCTTCAGTGGATCTCCGGCGAGCCTGCCGAGCTTCTTCGCTGGGTTCGGCAATCCGATACCGGAAAACGAGAATCAAACGGAGTTCGCACTCGATCTCATCAGAGAACTCGAAGGATCAGCTGGAGGAACCAGAGGGTTAGTGGAATTCAAGCAGAAATGGCAGGAGATGAAGAAACAGAGCAATCCTCAACAGCAAAACCTGACTCCGCCGGCTTCTCCGTACCCAAATCTAACCCTCAAAGAAGCGATATCCGCCAGCATAAGCAGAGGAAAGCTAGTCTCCGGTGGCGGCGCTGGATCATCCGCCTTAAACCACGGTGGCGGAACCACAACCCTGGCCGTCCCTGCATTCGCGAATCCGTTCTGGATCGAAATCAAAACTCTCTCCAGACGCTCAATTCTCAACTCCCGCCGACAACCAGAGCTCTTCGGCATCCGACTAGCCTCCGTCGTCGTCACCGGATTCATCTTAGCCACCGTCTTCTGGCGATTGGACAATGCCCCAAAAGGCGTCCAAGAGCGGTTAGGTTTCTTCGCATTCGCAATGTCCACAATGTTCTACACCTGCGCCGACGCTCTCCCCGTCTTTCTCCAGGAACGTTACATCTTCATGAGAGAAACTGCTTACAACGCTTACCGGAGATCCTCCTACGTTCTCTCTCACGCCATCGTCTCCTTCCCTCCGCTCATCTTCCTCTCTGTAGCTTTCGCAGCGACAACGTTTTGGGCTGTTGGGCTCGAAGGAGGCCCAATGGGCTTTCTATTCTACTGCCTAATCATCTTAGCCTCTTTCTGGTCCGGAAGCTCCTTCGTGACTTTCTTATCCGGCGTCGTTCCACACGTGATGTTGGGTTACACGATCGTTGTGGCCATTTTAGCTTACTTCTTGCTTTTCAGTGGATTCTTCATCAACAGAGATAGAATCCCTCGGTACTGGATCTGGTTTCATTACCTTTCCCTTGTTAAGTATCCGTACGAAGCGGTTCTTCAGAACGAGTTCTCGGATCCTACGGAGTGTTTTGTGAGAGGCGTTCAGATTTTCGATAACACGCCTTTGGGAGAATTGACCTACGGGATGAAACTGAGGCTACTGGATTCTGTGAGTCGATCGATTGGGATGAGGATAACGAGCTCCACGTGTCTTACGACGGGTGCTGATATTCTGAAGCAGCAAGGAGTGACGGAGCTTAGCAAATGGTATTGCTTGCTTGTTACGGTAGCGTTTGGATTCTTTTTTAGGGCTTTGTTTTACTTGTGTTTGTTGCTTGGGAGCAAGAACAAGAGGAGGTGAAAGTGGAACGGCTAATGATACCAAAAACTTGTATTGTATTCTTTTTTTCCTTCGTTACAGTAGTTTGTTGATTGGTCGTGTCTTTACAATTGTATTCTTTTCAAAATGTTATCACATCTGTCATCATAATAAATGTCATTTTTTTAGGATTTTGGATTACAGAAATCACCTATGAATTGCTTTATACCTTGAAGATTAGTGCAACATGTCAAATAGACGCATCGAGATTGTTGGAGCCCGAGATTGTTGGAGCCGATGATGAGAATGAGACCCAAAAACTCCACAAATGGGTCTCTCTTTTATTATTCTTCTTTTCAAGTTTTAATCGTTTATCTTACAGTCTTGCCAACTACTGTAATAATATTTATATAAATTCACTGTTTGCTGATCTTAGAAAGTTATATCAACACAACTTTACCATAATTTACTGATCTTAGAACCTAGCAAGTAGCAAGTATCAGCATTGCTAATTCATGGAGTTTCATAGCGACGAGACACTAGAGGCAAGTAAATTTCAAAGGCACTTGACTTGAATTGTTCTTGTTCCACCAAAAATGTAGGAACAAATCTTAAATTTAAATATGCTACTTTGAAGATTATCAACAAGACGCGTCAGCTGAGAGTATTGTTCTTTTCCAAACCGGTCGACAATGTTCAATTAATTTGGGGGTGTCCAATCCGGTTAATCGATCTAAACCGAACCGATACCATACTAAATTCTAGATGAAAAAAATTAACCCGATACAACCGGACTGTGTGCTAGCTCTGGCTGCCTGCAGTCGAGAAATTCTTCGACGACGAGTCGTAATAGGAGCGGTGGTTGCTCACGCGCCAGTCAGAAGCACAAAATCGACGACGAGATTAGGGGTTAGGCCGGAGATGCTATTGTGCGTTGCGACGGTGAAGCTGTTTGGGTTTCAGCAACGGCGCACTTTTCGCTCTTTAGCAAAGCGTTTTAGCTTCAACGGACAAGAGCCCCAAGCTCAGGTTCATAATCGTATATATTTCAGAGAATTAAGACTTGGAACCAGGAAATTCAAAGGTTTTCTTTTTCATTTTTCTAGTCGAATTTGTACTGGGAAATGTAAAACTAAAAATTCCCACTTCTGAAGATGAAACATTTATATTCTCTATGTTTCTTCTCTCAACCTGAGCTCTTGATTTTAAAAGCTGATGATTGATGTATGCAGATGTTATACATAAGCTTTTTTTTTCTTTTGCTCTCTCTCAAAATTTTGTTTTTTACAATTCTATAATTAGGCCCCTCTGGATAAGGAGTGTGCTGACTTCTTACCTTGGTTAGAGCGGATTGCTGGAGCCAAGATAAGTAACACGCTTTCGATTGGTAAATCCACTTATGGCAGGTTAGTGTTGTTTTGCATAAGAAGCAAGTGTTTCTGCAGCAGCTTGATTTGCCACCGAGAGTTGAAACATTTGAGAAAGCTTGAATCTTGCCATTTTTGTCTCGTTTGTGTATTCTGATTATTTGGTCTTCCATCCATTTGCAAGTGGTTTTTGCTTTATATATGAACTCCAACGCTTTGTTGCTACCAAAGGGTGTATCTTGATGGTTTTGTCTATAGCAATGTTGTCTTCTTCATAATGCCAAACACTACAGTAACCAATTTCATCGTATCGACTTGTGAGCAGGGCGTTGTTTGCCTCAAAAGTAATCAATGCCGGGGACTGCATTTTGAAAGTGCCTTTCAATGCGGTATATTACTAAACTGATCATTCTCTTTGTCGCGTGTTCTAAAACGAGTTGAGAGATTCATTACATGTGTCATATAATGTCTGTTGTTGTAACTGAATTCTCAGCAAATAACTCCGGATGAGCTGCCACCGGATTTTAGAGTTTCATTGACCGATGAAGTTGGAAACATCGGAAAGCTTGCTGCTCTTCTTATGATCGAGAAGCAAACGGGTCAAGTAAGGTGACATTTAACATTTTGGGGTTAATGTAAGTCTTCCTTTTTATGTGAGCGTTTTGGTTTCGACTTGAGTCTATGATTGTTTCTGAATCAGAACTCTCGATGGGTCCCTTATATTAGCCGACTTCCTCAGCCTGCAGAGATGCACAGCACGGTGAGAATTTTTCCACCTACTCCTCCCTTTTTCTACCTTTTCCAATCTAAGTCTCATCGTCCATTTCGTTGTCCATGCTTTTTTGAACGATGTAGAATATTTACAATAATGGTATCCTTATTCTCTCTTAGATATTTTGGGATGAAGATGAGCTCAACATGATTCGTTGTAGCGCAGTTCACAAGGAAACTGTAAAACAAAAAGCTCGGATAGAAAAGGAATTCTCACATGTAGCTCAAGTAAGTTCAACATAAATGTTGGTTTCTGGTGGCAAATTCGGTTTTCCCGTCTTTTAGCAATGCATCACCCGAGTATTTGGTAGTTAATGAGATGTATTTGCATGTGTAGATTTGTTTTTCTCATCCTAATGACTAAGAGTTCTAAAATTATTTTTGGTGATTCTTAGGCATTTAAACAACACCTTCCCAGTGTGATTGAACGCCCAGCTCTGGAAAACTTCATGTATGCCTATGCTTTAGGTGAGAAAATTACTCTTCAGTTATTCTTTTTGGTTTCTGGTTTTACTCAACCATGCACAGTCGTCCCTCACAAGGGAGGTTCTAATTATGTGCTACTACTCACATTCTTTCCTTCTAATTGTGATCTTTTTGTTTTATTTTTACTAAATCTGGATAAGTTGTTGCTGGACAGTGGGATCTCGTGCGTGGGAAACCTCAAAAGGCATATCTCTGGTATGTTCTTCAGTATAATTTCTGCGTTTTTTCTTCTGTTTACTTATGGTGATTTTCTGGTATAGAGAAATGTTTTGACCGTCGAACAGATTCCGTTTGCAGACTTCATGAACCATGATGGGCTTTCTGCATCAATCGTTTTGAGCGATGAAGACAAGCAACTATCAGAGGTTTACTTCCATTCCTGCTAGTTAATATTCGGAGTTCTCTTCGTCTTGTGTACGCGCACATCTACTTGCTAATCTCTGTCACCTCCATATCTCATTTGATACATAAGCTAGAGTGAATCGACATTAGCAGAAAATTAAGTTAAAATACGTGGTACATCGATCTAGTAAGATGCATGGTTCTTGATTCCCTGTTACTTTCTCTTGACTCTTAAGGCTTGCAACACAGATTGATACAAACCAGTTCATGATTTTTTAAGTTTTCAACTTTGCAGGTCACTGCAGATCGTAACTACAGTCCTGGTGATGAGGTAGGATTGTAACACAATGCATTACTCTTTCCATTTATGTCTTTTAATAGTCGCTAGTGTCTCGAAGAATGTTATTTTGGTCGAGGTTGATGCCTGCAATTGTCTTTGAAACCTACCAAAATTCTCTTGTGTAGGTGCTCATTAGGTATGGAGATTTCTCAAATGCTACACTCATGTTGGATTTTGGGTTTACGCTTCCTTGCAACATTCATGACGAGGTTTGTTTTCTCTATAGATATTGAGTTGAAGACCACTCATCATTCACCAACATTGAACTTGATGCCCATGCGATTGATTGACTAGGTTCAAATCCAAATGGATGTACCGAATGATGACCCTCTCCGCAACATGAAGCTGGGACTTCTCCAGACCCATTACACACGAAGTGTCAAAAATATCAGTATTTTTCACTCTTCTTGTGATACTTTCACAATCAAGTAGGTATATATTAATGTATAGTTTTAGAATGTAACTAAGCCATTACAATCTCTAACTGTTATACACACTATCAATACATTTCTGTAGAATTGGTTTTCAGTAACAGAGCCTGTTGCATCTGTGATATGTGTAGCTAAGTCTAGGACCTTGGTTTTCTCTCAGGGAAGTGAAATCTGCTAAAGGGAAAGGGAAAGGAATTCCGCAGTCTCTCCGAGCATTTGCACGTCTTCTCTCTTGTACCTCTCCTCAAGGTGCTCAAATCAAATTAGCTTACTCTGTTTTTATCATCTTTCGAGGCTGACCCCAAAAGCATTAACAGTATAATCATTCTCAGAGCTGAACGATTTGTCAAAAGAAGCTGCACAAAACGATGGCCGACTAGCTCGGCTTCCCTTTAAAGACGGATGCAGAGAGTTGAAGGCACATAAGATCATCTTGTCTCATATCAACAAATTAATCGAGGATCATAGTGCTTGCATCAAGGTACCACAGAAGGTTTGGCTCAGCTAATTGCCACATGATGAACTGATTCTAGGTTTTGATAAAGGTTTATTGGGTGCTTTTTGCAGGAACCGGAAGCTTCTAATTGCCATTTTGTATCACAAAGATATACTGTCAGAAGGCAGATGGCAAGAGATCTCCTCTTCGGTGAGCTTCGTGTTATGAGATCTGTAGCTGACTGGCTCAATCATTATTGCACAAATTTACCTTAAATGAGCCTCAAGCGACTATGCAGACCATTTTGCAATCTCTACAATATCAATTATACAAAGCAATTGAGACACTGGTGTGTGTATAAGTAGCTGAGTTCTAACATGTTGGATCAGGATGATAACAGGAACCAGATTCGTCACATCAAGTGCGGATAATGAAAGTAACTGTGATTTGTGAAGTGGTAAGTGGACAATTAGATTTTATTTAACTCATCATACTACTACTAGATAATAAGTATAAATATCAGAAGGAAAACATTGATAAACATATAAGAACGAAGCAGCCAAGAAAACTACCAAACATGTTTCCACTAAATCCATGCTGACTGTAAAATTGTCATTAGACTGAAATGAGGAAAATAACATTCTATACAAAGGAAAGAACTGTTTCCAAAAAAGTAATGCAAAGTTGATCTGTAAGTGCATATTTACAGAGACTAGCAATGGAGAAAGTTGGAAATTTCAGTTCCTTCTGAATACTGACCTCACCTCGGTTGTCATTATTTCATAATGCCACCAGAAGTGAGGACTATGAGCAACTGGGTTCATGATATATATGCCTTAACTAAGTCCGTGTGGTTGCAGACAAACCCTGTCCTTGGACATGTTATTTCACCTCCGTTCTTTTCCGCCATTTCCTTAAGAGCCTGCAAAATACGCATCAATGCAAATCAAAAGTAAGTAACCCAACTTTAACTGTTATGATAGACTAATGTCACTGATCTAGCTCAAAGCAAAAAGACTCCACAAAGACAAAAAAAAAGAGGAACAGAATCAACAGAAAAGCGGAAGTCGTAGAAGAAGTGCATCAAACCTTGGTGCTGTAAACGTAGCCGTTAGGCAACACTTGTGGTGGGTTCTCCGTGTCCATTAGCTCCTTCGAAATATAGCAAACAAGCTTTGAATGGTGCTGCTTGGAGTAGGGTAAAGGCAAAGCTAGCTTCCGGAAGCTCTCTTGTGAGAGCGGGTCCTCTTTGGTGCAACCTTCTTCAAAACCATATCTGGATCATGTCAAGGTACAAACTCAAGTCATTTTGAAATTTCACCTTTTCTTCCCCTTTTATTCCAGATGCAGAAAATAGACAATTAAGAATATCAAATAGAGTTTGATGGATACGGAGTTTTCAGTGCAGACAAGCCTGCTTGTAAGTAGATGTTCAATAATGGCTCCATAGTCATGCCATATAACTTGCAAAATTCTTGTTTGAACTGATGAACTAAAACATCCCACTGCTGTAGTTCAAACAAAACCTGGGAAAACAAAACCAATGCATTCAACAATCAATTCAGATTCAACACGAGTTGGGTATAACACCATATCTTCAACCATAAAAATATTGATGGATTACTGAAGCAACATGGTGTAAAAAGAGTCACTGAAGTCTCTAGACAGGCTTTTGGTCCATTTTAAACAAAATGAATAATTCAATGATTCCATAAAGAGAAGATACTAGTTGAACAGGAGCAAAGATTGGCTTTTAATTACAGTTATACAATCAAAAGAAGGAAAATTTCACCTTATATTTTGTGCATTCCGTAGTACTTTTAAAAGCCAAAGTGGCTAGAACACGCTGCAACTCGCTCATATGGGTTGCTCCCCATGGCGCCAGATGCTTTCGAGCATAAAGAATTGCTTGTTTGTAGCTGTCAGCTGTGTCAGCTCGTACCAACTCGATGAATTCTTGCAACCTTAGCTGGAACTCAAATTTGCTCTGTCATGAAAAGAACACAATATGATTAGCAGTGACGACACCTTTTCTTTTCTTCATGATACGAAGAGAAGAGTAGAAAGCAATCTTCTGAAAAATACTGGATGAACTTTAGACAAACACAAGAAATCGCATGGAGTTCACAAAAATGAAAGTAAATCTTAACCATGAGAGAATAATCACCACATACCTTCGACTTTTTCAACCGTGTTTTATTATCAGCACACCATGCCAGTGCAGAAGCTACCTCCCTATTTTTAAGAGCGTCAACCACCTTCTTAGCTTCTCGAAATATGTCAATGTCGACAAGGTCCTGCAACGAGGAGACGTTTATTATTAGCATTTCATAGAGATCATTTTCACTGCCTATAAAAAAAGGAACATACACAGAGACCGAGACAGAGAGAGGGAGAGAGAGAGAGACCAGAATGTTGCTGCTTTCTGAAAGCTTTGAAGCAGTCTCGAAATATGACATCCGGAGCATGTAGTCCACAAGGATCCGTTTCAGCTTCGTATTGTTCCATTCAGTAATATTTTTCACATCTGCTGAATCCAAATGATCGATGCGAGCACGGCATCTCTGGGCCTGCAAATTCTCCACATTGCTCCCTTCTTCCAGCTGAATGAAAAGACAGATAAGCATGTTAGCTATGTCATAACCATAGAAACAGCCGCAAAGAATGAAAATTTGGACGGGAATGCATATTCTTTTTGAGTCCTCGAATTCAAGAAATAACATCTACTTAGCTCGGTAACTTAAAGCACATGAGGTTTCATCAGATGGGAAGTTCACATTTTAGGGATCAATTTCAGTACATTACATGCTCTCGATCTGAAATATATCCAATCAAATTCAACAATCATCGAGATCCAAAGTGTACTAGTGATAATCTTCTGTAGCAACTAGCAACAAAACGTCAGGGACAAAGATTTACTTTACTGAAATCTTGTTGGTATACAACTCGACAAGAGCAATATCCAAGATCAAACGAGAGATCCAGTAATCGTGTTCTTAATCCAGATATGTAGATCATTTAACAAAATCGGAAACTTTGTTTACTCCATCAACACTTTTAAACTACTATTAGATTAGGCATTATCTACCAAAACCAAAACAAATGCAGTGTCGTCTATGTAATTTATAACACCGATCAAAGAGAGAGGAAAGAAAAAGAAAAGAAAAAACCAAACCTTTCGTTTGAGGCCTTGCAATCGAGATACAAGGCTAGTAAGACGCGAAACGGTGACGTCTTTGGACCAGTTGTTATCGGCCAAATCTCCGACGGTGGACACAACGGAGGAGACATCTTTCTCGAAAGAACGGTGATTAGCACGGATCGTCTTCTTGTAATGCTCGAACGGTACACGGAGGAGCTGGTGCTCAAGCTTGAGCGATTCCGTCAATTGACTCAACCTCGACGACGGGACGGGAGGCGACGGAGTGATCGTGGGAGCGGATTCCGTCATCACGGTGTCGGCGTTTCCGTTGGTAACAGGATCGATTTCCATGGCGATAAAATGGGAAAAAGAAAGTTTGCAGAGAAATTTGTTTAGATTTTGCCTTGTGGTAATCCTCTAATGATATGTGAGAAAATCAGAGAAGAAATACTAACTTGGTGAAATTTAAAACGACGTCGTTGTCTATAGCAATATACTCCGAAGTTAAAACGTAACCGTGCCGACTATTTTGGCAAACCGTTCCGAAAACGGGGTCAGAGCTATCGAACCGACCGGTCTGATCCATCCCGAAACAAGAGAGGGTGTTGTTCTTCTTGCCAATGAGAGGATTAGTGGAACTGATGAAGAGTGAAATAACTCCAAGAAAAAAAGTCGCATATTTTTCCATTGACAATTTTGAGTATACATTCCCTCAACTAAAGAGTTACAAAATTGCACTAATTAAGTTGTGTAACATTTTCAGATATTCTATATTTATTTAAGCATGTCTTGTTATTGGGCTTTGTTCTTTCGTCATGGTTAATAATAAGTTTTTAATAGTACGTACGATAGTCATTTTATAGCTCAGATTATTATTACAAACACTTAGAGAGAACTACTTGAGATTTGGATGTACGTACGATAGTCATTTTATAGCTCAGATTATTATTCTCTTTTTAATAAAAAAAATAAATAGTAATTCATGATAGTGGATATCTATTTTTCCATCATGATAGCGATTCAATACATTAGGTAAGAAAAACTTTATAGTTTTATATACATATAGAGTATTATAGTTTACCATGTTTCATGGCATACGTTTATTTTGAAATAACACATTACCTCTTTTGAATGCCAATTTCAGTTGGTTTACATCAAATACGTGTCAAAATCATTTGTTGTATTGCTTAAATGCTTTGTATTACTGTCTTTTTTTTGGTAAAAAAAAAAAACAATAGAACAACAAGTAAAATGAAAAACAATTTTCTTAATTTTGTTTTATGTTTACTTACATATAAAATTGTAGTTATAAAGTGGTGTGATTGATAACTTTTACCAGATAGTATCATCAAAAATTATCAACCGCAAAAATAGTAAAAATTTTTTTATCTTATATATAATATTTTATCATATTTTAATAATTATCGACCGTAAAAACAGTATAAAATATTTTATCCTCATATCATCATCTCTTATAATTTAGTTGTCACTTCCAATTATATTTTCACCTTTAGCTTTATAAAATCATTCATACAGTTATATCATCATTTATACACTTGTATCACCACTCAAACCTGTTTGCATTTTGCTAAGAAATTAATAATTTGAATATCATCCTTTTAATTAGAAAATAGAGAAAACAAAATTAGCCCCGCTCCTCTATCTCCAATGGCTTTATCCGCGCAAGGAAATCTTTCAAAAGATTGACATAAATACCCTCCATTGATACTTTATTTTACATTTCACACCACCAAAAGTAGGGAGCCGTTTTGTTGTTGTTCTCTTTCAATTCCTCCTCGTCAACGGCACTGTCTCTCTCTCTCTCCCTCTCTCCGTTTAGATCAAATCGACGTTATCTAACGCTGTTAATAAATCTGCGTTTCAGTTTCTCTTCTCCGTTCGAATTTCGGATTATCCAGTTCCCGATTCGAGAAATCGCTGTTTATGGTAAGTTCATAAATCCTGACGATTTTTCTCATTTGAATTTTGAAAAAATAAATTTGAAAAAGCTTGAGCGATTCTTTGGGTTTCTTTAATAAAGCCGTTTGCATCGGCCAAAAAAAGTTATCGCGTGTCAGTTTCTTTTCTTTTCAATTTTCCGACTAGTAGTAGAAGAGAGTAGATAATAGTAGAGTCAGGTTTTCACTTGTTGAGGCGAAAGTTTGGTTGGCGACGAAATCGAAGAAATCGATTTTTTTTTAAATTGCACTGTTCGAGTAACTCGCCGAACAATTCTTCATCAAGGATTCAGGTTCGATTCGTGCCTTGATTTGCTTACAATTCGATCCGTTTATTGGGTAAGCCTCCGATCAATTCGTGTCTCTAGGGTTTCTGGAAGCTTTGAAGATGTTAAGGGTAGTTTGGTCTTTTAATTAGGCCTTGCTCGATGTTTACCATGATCAAGTCTGAGTTTCTGAACTTCTGAGTAGTAATGCTTGATCATCTATGCAAATTGTTTGTAGGATTCACATAAAACTTCTCCCCTGAATGAATACACTTCGCTGCAAAAATGTGAATTTTTCTTAGTCGAGTGCAGGAGATTCAGTGTATTTTTTTTCAATCTACTGATTTGGCGTTTTATATGTGTTTTTGATTCCAGCTGCAGTAGTGAATGAAACACTTCGCTGCAAAAATGTGAATTTTTCTTAGTCTAGTGCAGGAGATTCAGTGTAATCTTTCAATCTACTAATTTTGCGTTTCTATATGTGTTTTTGATTTCCAGCTGCAGTAGTGTTAGCATCTTCTTCTGGCTGAAGAGAAAACATCAAAATGAAGAAGCTCTTCTTTTTCAGATCTTCGTCTGGCAATGGAACTGATAAACAGGTTCACTGCGAAAAAGCAGCAGAGAGTAAGATGAAAGCACAAGCTACTACTACTCAGGCTGAACAAGAGCTCCATAGTCCCAAGCCACAGCGTGAAGTTTCTGGTGGTCCAGCTCTTAGGCGGAGCCTTTCATTGTCCTCTGCAGGTTTCCTTTTTGATAAGTACGGAGAAACTTCCACGAATGAGCTAACCAGCGCTTCTAAAAGCCATGATAGGCAGCGGAATCATTCATCTCGGTATAAAAAGTTCTCACTTTTTTGGAGATGCTTATAATGTATTTTTTGCTTTCTTGGTTCGATGTTTTTTTACTGAGTCACTGATGAACAATGTAAATAAAAACTATGTGCCAGATGCTTTACTCCAGAAAGGCAAGCTAGGGAAGGGAAGTTTGAAGCGGACAAGTTTCAACATGATTCCTCTGGGAGTTCGTCAACTTCTTCTAGTAACGTCTCTAGTAAAGTTCTGGACCGTTATATCGATGGAGAAGAGCATTTATTAGAACACTGCAAGCAAAAGAGTAGTTCTTCACACAGTGATGTCTCCGGCAGCATAAACCGAAGGAGGCTTCCGCCTCGCGTCCAGTGGACAATCCCTACATCACCATCAGACACTTTCAATGACAAACGAAAGTCCCACTCGTTTAGAGAAGCTAAAGGAACCCGCTTTCGTTTCCCTTCCACTGATTGTGTGGAAAATGGGTCGAGGCTTGGCTCGCCTCGTTCGCTTGCAAGAAATGTCATTGAAAGACTCTCTCAGACTAATGGCAAGTCAAAGGGGTCGAATCATGAGCCCATCACTATTCAAGATATCTACGGTGGATCACTTGATAGAACGTTTGACTCAAGCTCAGATGTCGCGGCCAATGTTTCACTGGCTGAACATTATGAACCTGTGAACGAAGATTATGAGCATGGCTATGGAAAGCACCAGAACAACCATAAACATGGTAAGAACGTGTTTCGGTTGATGGAGGAGGATATTGACTCGGAGCTGGAAATGAAAATCAAAGAAGCTGAGAAGAGAGTGATGTTGTTCTCTGAAGATTTGGAGCAGCAGAGATACCTTTCAGACTGTGACTTTGATGTTTCATCTTTGGTTGGGGCGATTAGAAAACTCGAAGATGAGAGGCTCAGCTTGGCATCTGAGAATGTAAATCTTTTGCGCTCCCAATTGGCTGAGAGGGCTTCTGCCAGGGAAGGTATGAGACGGGTGAAGTCAGACTGGGACTTGCATATACAGAGAATAGAAAAGGAGAGGAGCGAGTTGCAGGCTGGATTGGAGAAAGAGCTTGATAGAAGGTCAGGTGAGTGGAGTTCAAAGCTCGAAAAATTCCAGCTTGAAGAGAGGAAGCTGCGAGAGCGTGTCAGAGAGCTTGCTGAGCAAAATGTCTCGCTCCAGAGAGAACTATCGGCTCTCCACGAAAATGAGACGGAGAACAAAGACATGATGGCACATTTGGAGAGAAGAGCTGCAGAGCTGACCACGACAGCAGATGAGTTGCATGAAGAGAACTCTTACCTTAAGCAAACTCTCTCCCAGTTACAAGAGAGTTACGCAGGTGCTACAGAAGATCTAGATTTCTTAAGAAGATACATCGAAGAGAAGGACCAGGAATGCAAGGAGTTGCACAAATCTGTTGCAAAGTTTCTGAGAACCTGCAAAGAACAAGGAAAGACGATCGAGGGTCTTCGAGATGGAGTTTCCGAGGAGTGTGAAAAGCAACCGTCAGAGAAATCTGACCAGTTGGTGAAGAAATTGCAGGTGGAGCAAATAAGGTTGACAGGGATCGAGCTTTCACTTAGAAGGGAAATGGAATCGATGAAGCTCGAAACCGACTCTCTTCGCCATGAGAATATTTGTCTGCTGAACCGATTGAAAGGAAATGGCGAAGAAGTAGACATTACAACCCTTAAGCTGGAGAATGAGTTGAAGATGCGTATCTGCTACTTGCAAGACCAAGGGCTGTCAATGTTAAACGAGAGCAACCAGCTTTGTTACAAGTTACTGAAGTTCATCAAAGGGAAATTAGCTCAGTTTCCTGAAACCTGTCAGGATACGGATTCGTTGAAGGACGGATTAAGTGAGCACTTTATGATTGAGTCTGAAATGCAAGTCCATGGCATAAGGCGTGGAACTGAAAACCTGAAGAGGAGTTTGCAAACGGTAACCAGTGTGGTGGCTTCAAACTCAGAGTCATCTTGCTCAAGTACTGATAGGCCTAAGGAGCGAAGAAACCAAACAGTTGAAGTGAGTTTCCTAACATATGTTCATCTCATATTCTCATTTATGCCTTCCTTTGGTTTACAGTACATGCCGCTAACGTTTAGCCCAATCTCATGTAGGAAACCCTGCGAGCCGAACTGAGAGCAGAGACCCTGATCACAAGTTTATTACGAGAAAAACTGTATTCCAAGGAACAAGAAATTGAACAGCTGCAAGCAGAACTATCAGCAGCAGTGCGAGGCAATGAGATTCTGAGATGTGAGGTCCAAAGCACTATAGACAACCTATCAGTTAAGACCCACGAATTAAAAGACCTTAAGCTCCAGGTATAATAATAACCCATCCTCCTCCTATGTCTGTTTTTTTTCTTGTGGCTCCTGGTATAAAGAAATTTTGATTCCCAGCTATGTAAATGACTTCACTCTGATGGTTTTGATATCAGATGTTGAAGAAGGAAGAAAACATAAACCGGCTTGAGATAAATCTCCAGGAAGCCGCGAACAGCATGGCGACCTTGAAAGCAGTGTTACCAAAAGTATCTGGTGAAAGGGACCAAATATGGAGAGAGTTGAGACAATGCAGTGAGAAAAACATGCTCTTGAACTCGGAGAAGGAGACGTTGAAAGAGATGGTAGAGAAGTTGGAGGAGAAGGTATTAGAGAAAGAAGGAGAGATCACAATACTACAAGACACAATCGGAAGCAAGCATCTCAGCTTCCTCTCAAGTCCTGATTTCTTGGCATAAGAAAGAGTCTTCTCTCTTCATACTTTTCAGAGTTGTGTTTCTTTTAACACCTCTTTATAATCTTTTTCTTCAATGATAGGTTGGTCATTCTTTGGGGATTATAGATATGATTTTTTATCTTCTATTCTTTTCTTTTCTTTTCCCCTTTCTTTCTTTCTTTTAGATTTGCTTATCTCAAAGTTGGCTTCTCTAGTTTCTCTCATTTGTACTTACAAAGGTCTTATAAACTTAGGGGTGAAGTTTATGAACAGGAAAGTTTGTAAAATCTATCCAATAAAAGCTTTTCCAAAACAAGAGTTTCAATAATCTTAGTAACACTATCTGCTTGCTATTTACTTTCTCACCATATTGATGAAATGACAATTGTTGAATGAATATAGTATAATGATTTTTTTTGGGATATCAAGTGTTTAGAGAAATTAATGTTTTTATTCAAATTTCTATAAGCAGGTTTAAATTTTTTTCCCTGTGGGCAAAATTATCCGTTTTTCCTTTAGTGTTTTAAGCGTTTTGGTTTTTAATAGAAGAAAATGAAAGTAGAAGTTGTTGTAAATATTTTGAATTTTTCTGTGTCTTGTACTCTCGTATACTTTATGTCAAAACATATTAAATGAATTTGTGGTATCCACTTCTTTGTAATTATTAATCTTAATATTTTTTTCACTACACTTGAGCAACAAACAAGATAAGAACATGAGATTGAGAGAGAGTAGATTCTAGAGAATATTTGAAAAGTAAAAGAAGTGGTATTAAAATGTTGGAAATAAAAGGTCAAACCGTTATAAGTCAAAAAGAAATGGCGAGGAGACAGGTAGAAAAAAAAAGAAGAAAAAAGATATTTATATAATTTACAAAAAAAGAAACATCATAAACACGACGCCCGCAAATATCGTTTCTCTCTCTCTCTCTCAAAAACCAAATCCAACGTCTCCGTCTCTTCTTCAAACGCGTCTTCTTCTCTATATTTAACCCTTTTCTCGTCTCTTCGCCTTTTTTTAGTCTCTTTTGTATTACGAATCTTGCAATCCTTTTCGTCTCCTTTCCTCATTGATCTGAATCGAATGATGGATTTTTATTCTACGCCAAATTTGTGATTAAAGGAACCCTATTCTTTCATCTAATCCTCGATTTTCATAAGGTATTCAATGTTTTTTCTTCTTCAATCTCTGTCGATTTAACAGATACTCGTTGATCAGATTCATGGGTAACCTATAGATTCCTTATGTAGATGATTTCGTAATGAAAATTTTGGGACTTTGTTTATCCCCTTTCCGAATCTTAGATTTTACTAATGTTTTCTTTTTGGAATGCAGATTAATGTTGTTTACATTCGTGAATGCGTGTTTGAATTCTGAATCCTGGGTTTGTGGAGTTGGAATCGACGAGAAGATTGGGTCTCATAATATAGTTATAAGCACCGATTTGATGAACGATTTGATAGCTGGTTCTTTTGGTTAGAGAGATTTAAAGCTTAACATGTGAATTATGGTATCTACAACATTTAGGAGAATTGTATCCCCTTGTTGGAGACCTTTTGGGATTGGTGAAGGTTCGATTCCAGGTAGTGATGATGCTAATGGCCGCCTCGATGGTCTCTTGTGGTATAAAGATTCCGGTAACCACATCACCGGAGAGTTTTCAATGGCTGTGGTTCAAGCGAACTCCCTCCTCGAAGACCATAGCCAGCTAGAGTCCGGTCCTATTAGTTTGCATGACTCAGGACCCGAAGCGACTTTTGTTGGTGTTTATGATGGTCATGGAGGTCCCGAGGCAGCTCGGTTCGTGAACGAGAGGCTCTTTTATCATATGAGGAGGTGCACGTCGGAGCAGCGAGGGATCTCGCCTGACGTGATCACGAAGGCGTTTGTTGCGACGGAGGAGGAGTTTCTCGGTTTGGTGCAGGAGCAATGGAAGAACAAGCCGCAGATTGCTTCTGTGGGGGCTTGTTGCTTGGTCGGTGTTATCTGCAACGGGTTGCTGTATGTTGCAAACGCAGGAGACTCTCGCGTTGTGCTGGGAAGACTCGAGAGCCCGTTCAAGGAGCCGAAAGCTGTTCAGCTCTCGTCAGAGCATAACGCTAGCATCGAGTCCGTGAGAGACGAGTTGCGTTTGCTGCATCCTAACGATCCGAACATTGTGGTCTTGAAACACAAAGTTTGGCGTGTGAAAGGGATCATACAGGTCTCGAGGTCCATCGGCGACGCGTACCTAAAGAGAGCCGAGTTCAACGAAGAGCCGTTGTTGCCAAAGTTTAGAGTCGCGGAACGTTTCGAGAAGCCGATCATGAGAGCTGAGCCGACGATAACGGTTCATAAGATTCACCCTGAGGATCAGTTTCTTATATTTGCCTCGGATGGTTTGTGGGAGCATCTAAGCAACCAAGAAGCAGTTGATATCGTCAATTCTTGTCCACGCAATGTAAGATTTTTTCACATCACTCTTGTTGAATCTGTCTCTGCTGTTGAAATTTGTCTCTGTTTTGAGTATATAGTTGCTGCGTTATTGTGGTGTTTTTTTCAGGCTGTGGCTCGGAGGTTAGTGAAAGCTGCATTACAAGTAGCAGCGAAGAAGAGAGAGATGAGATATTCTGATTTGGAGAAGATAGAACGTGGCATCAGGAGACACTTTCACGATGATATTACCGTTATTGTCGTTTTCCTTCACGCTGCAAATTTTGGGGTTGGAACTCCGGTCTCTGTTAAAGGAGGTGGTCACCTCTCAGGCAATGCCTTTTTATAGTCTTTTTATTTTTTACTCAATAAAACAAACAAACAAACAAACAAAAAAAATTCTCATTTCTTTTTCCCTGTTTTTTTTGTGAACCAGAATTTCGTTTGCTTCTTTCTTACAAATGTTTTTATCTTTTGGTTTGTTCAGAATTCAGATTGTCTGATACTTGTCTAAAATATTTTTTCTGAACTCAAAATTGTAAATTTTTTCCTTTTTTTGCCAAACTCTATTGTAATTTCCAGTTATATACGAAAAGTGAAAGTTAAAAACAAAAAATATGAAGAAATGTGGCAAAAAATAATAATCAAAACTTGTGGCAGTCAAGTAAAAAAGGTTCATTTGCAACTTTCCGGGAGAATCCTAATCGGAGCAGAGAAAACCATCGGAAGAAGGAGTGAGCCATGAGTGTCGGAGTGAGAGTTAGCGTGTGCTCATCTTTTTCATCGCTCTCGTTATCCTCGAGGGATTGTTCTTTCCCTTTCTCGTCATCTCTCTATGTTGGTAGGAAAATTCTCCGACCAAGCTCCGGTACTTACCTGACGCGGCGGTGTAATTCCAATGGGAAACCAGTACTGGCTGTTATAAAGTCAAGGTAATCAGAAAGTTACGCTTTGAAGGAATACAATTTTCGCTTCGATTGAGAGATTTGAGGTTTGTGCTGCTCTTGTCTCTCGTTATGTTGCAGTCGAGTGCCGGAGCTTGATTCTTCTTCTGAGCCACTTCAAGTGTTCGATGGATCGACAAGGTTCGGATTTTAAAGATGCCTTTGTTTCATACATATGAAATTATTGAGAGCGAGAGAGAGAGAGAGATGTTGTTGATGAAGAATTCTGGTTTCTACGATTTGAAGGTTGTACATATCTTACACTTGCCCATTTGCTCAGCGTGCGTGGATTGCTCGAAACTACAAGGTTGAATTTGGTTATTATCATAATATGCTTGATTGATTCTATGTAGATACATGAAACTTGTTGCGATCTAGATCAATGTTCTTTTTGTTGTGCAGGGTCTGCAAGACAAGATTGAACTCGTACCGATTGATCTCAAGAACAGGCCTGCTTGGTACAAGGAGAAAGTTTATCCGGCGAACAAGGTGAACTTTTTTATTTTATTTTAAGCATCTGTGAAAGCATTTAGCTTTAGGGTCTTCTTCTCTGTTTTATGCAGGTGCCTGCACTAGAGCATAATAACAGAGTAATAGGAGAGAGCCTTGACCTGATTAAGTACATTGACACCAATTTCGAAGGGCCTTCACTTACACCCGATGTGAGTATCGATGGGGTTGTTTGTTGTGTTGAGCTCAAATTTATTACACAAACATAAAAGAGATAACATAGATGGAACAACAACAGGGTGAAGAGAAGCAAGCATTCGCTGAGGAGTTACTCTCCTACACCGACTCCTTCTCCAAGGCCGTTAGATCCACATTAAATGGCGCCGACAAGGATGCAGCAGGTGATTTAGAGATGAAGATATGTTTCTTCCTTTCATGTTTTGCAGAAACATTACTGAGTCTTGGTCTTGCTTTTCTTTCAGATGTTGCATTCTATTACATCGAGCAGGCTCTTTCCAAGTTCAAAGAAGGGTCTTTCTTCCTTGGCCAATTCAGTTTGGTATTTATCGATTATCTATCTATCTTCATCAGTTTCTTTAAGCCATTAATCCGCTCCTGATGCTGAGTCTAAGATGGTGAATGATCTTAACATACAGGTTGATGTTGCATATGGTCCATTCATAGAGAGATTTCAGCTTATCTTAAAGGATGTTATGAATGTGGATATAACATCTGGCCGCCCTAACCTCGCCCTTTGGATTCAGGTTAAGCCATTTCTTGACTTTTGTTATCTTTCATCTTAAGACCATCTAAGAGATCTGGTTCATCGCTTTCTTGTGCAGGAGATGAACAAGATCGAAGCTTACACAGAAACCCGTCAAGATCCACAGGAGCTAGTTGAAAGATACAAAATACGAGTCCAAGCAGAGGCACGTGTTTAAGCAGTATGGTTCTCCGGTTCATAAGAGACAAGCACAGTATAATAGGAGAGACTGTAACCAAGATTTATTTTTTATATATAGTTATATTGTATCGGGAATGGTTTGAAAAAAAGCATCTCTACATGACAGGCAACAACTGTTTTCATCTCTCTTAAAAGAGTTCACGAGACAAAAGCAAGTCTCTTTAACTAAAATGAAAATGCACCCGCTGCTTTTTTCCTTCATTGCCCATAAGATCGTGCTTGCTGCTTCAATAAAATTCAGTGCGCGGCGTGATTCAGAGATATTATACAAAACCAAACCAAGCTTGAGTACTACGATCCCAGTGCCCAAAGTTGAAAACAGAACTAAAGCATCACAAGAGTCTTATAGTGCTTGCCCAGCGAATTTCATTTTTTGTATCCAGAGAGACAAATCTAGTCAGCTTTCTTCAAGAAGAAGAAAGAGAAGTAAATGTCGCTGGGCAAATCTTTCATTCTATGTGTATATACCGAATTCAAAAAAAAGCCCCAAAAGAAAGTTTTGCTACTTCTTCTTTAGCAGTACTCTCCATATCTTCCTCATATAAACTACTAAAGACCATACAGAGAGCCCTGCAGATACATAGAGCAACCCAATTCCCGACGGTAATAGTCTCTCAAAACTGCTTTCCCGGCTTGCAAGAAGTATGGTTAACGCTATCATCTGCGTTGCGGTTTTCCACTTTCCCAAGCTATTTACAGCAACAGCCTGAGAACACCACCATCAATGCCATCTAATATGAATGAGTAGGAACAGTAACAACAACTAAAAAAATTCTCAAGAGGAATGCATATGATGGTGATGGTAACATTACCTCTGAAAGCTTGCCGTTTTGAGATGCAGCCCATTCTCTTACTGCTGACATAGTAATCTACGGTGAAAAGTATTACCAAAATGGCTTAGAAACCGACAAGTGGCTAAGTGCTTAATGATCATCAAATAAAAAAAGTCAACTTTCTATAACTTACCTCTCTGCCAATTATGGCAATTGAAGGTACTGTCACTAACCATGGAACTGGTCCTAAGACAATGGCGTCCATTGGTTTAGTGCACAACAAGATTAATGTAGCTGCTACCATAAGCTGCACACCCACGACATCAATCAGCAAAGGTAGATATTTCATTTCTACTTGATAAAATAACAAAAAGGGATAGCAAAGGAAGAGGGTCTCTCACCTTATCTGCCACTGGATCCAAAAATGCACCAAACGCAGAACCTAATCTCATCTGAAATGCACATCTCAACGTTAAGCTTACAATTTCAAGAGTGGTGAGAAGAATCCAGAGAAAATTAAGCTATGCAGAAGCTCAAGGAAAGGTGAAAACTGAAGTACCTTCCGCGCAATATATCCGTCAAGCCAGTCTGTAATGGCTGCTGCAATGAAGATACTTGTTGTTGCAGTTCTCCCCCACCAGCAATCAACGTAAAAGGCTACATTGAAACACAAAAGGGGATGAACATAATTTCAAATGGGATACAATCAAAATCAGGAACGCATCATCAGAAGATCCAATTCAGATAATTAATACGAAAGCTTGAGAATTTCTGTAGCAAGTAAAGTACTCATAGCGATAAGCTCAATTCAAAAGAGCTCTCGCTCTAATTTCTCCACATACAGGAGAACGAGAGAATCTGTATCAAATGTCGAATTCAACCGAACAAAAATTCTGATCTTAAAACGAATTCTATAGAGCCAGAAATTTCAGAATTGACTCAATGTTTAGATCTGATGATCAAATCCTACCACACACAGAATAAGATATGCACGGACAATGACTCCACCAGAATTCAGAGTCCAAAAAAAAAAAAAAAATTCGACGTACTCGCGACGAGAATCGGAACGGCAGCTACACGGCCAAGGGTTAATACGGTAGGCAATGTAATCACTTTAGAGGATAGTTGTGGCGGTGGCGGCAATGGCGACGAATGGCGATTACGGAGCAAAGAATCTTCGCCACCACCGAAAATGTTCTGATCCACCGTCACGGCGTCTTCTTCACCCATATCGGCCACAAGACCTGATCTGTAAATTCGACGATCCGCCTTTCTCCGACGAAGAGGAAGAGAAGCAACGTAAGGGCGGTGGCGACACCTCCCCTGAATCCGGAACCCTAAGCCTTTATGCAACACACAACGGCCAATAATGATGCAGATTGGAGAGATGCTAACGTGCGCTCAACGAGGAGGGTAGTGAGCGGGGACGTAACGTGCGCCGTGAATTGACGTCGACTGACGATTGTTATTGAAGCAAAATGGCACTTTCTGGCCTAATTATGAAGAGCGGAGCAATTTGGGCCTCGTTGAATTAAATTTTAACTAGCTTGTTTAATCAATTAATCTACTAGCTTATTTAATCAATCAATCTACTAGCTTCTTTAATTCTATATTAAATTTGTTGTGTATTTTTTTATACGTTACGTGACATTTGTTCATGTGGAAATGATTTAAATGTTTACTCTAGTTTATCGTATTCTTTTTGGGACAGGGTTTTAGATTAATCCATATATACAAGCCATAGATATTTTTTTAACATTTTTCTCGATTTGTGTCATAGATATTTTTATTTTATTTTAACTAATAAGGCAATGATGATAATGACAGCAGAGGTATATCGTTATCGTTGGTCATTTGATCCATAAGAAAATATGTTACCACCAGCTAATCTCTCGTGTTCATGATTCATGAACAGGTGTAATTTGATTTTGTAAGTTTATCAATTCGACAAAACGATTTGTTATGGTATTGAATTACAATTTAGATGACTGAAATTAAGCATACAATGAAAATTTTACTACTAATATTTTACTTACATCTGGAAATTGGGATGATGGACAAGTTAAAAGTGTTTAGGCTACCTTTGGTCCTTGGTCACTGTAATATATTTTATAAATAACTAAATTTTCTAATTTCTACAAAGCTGAGATACACAAACTGTTGCTATTTTTTGGTATAAAAATATTTGCAATTAACGCAAAAAAAATATTAATAATTTGTGATGTGAAGGTTCTCGTGTCATTGTCTTAGACTTAGTGATCACAAATATTACAACTGCAACGTGTTGTTGATTTTCAGCATGTCGACTGTTAGATAATATATAACGGTGTCCGTGTCTCTAAACTCAAACTCTTTACGTTTTTTTAATTATATGATTCATTGAAGAGAAAGTTTGATATCTCACTCCTACGAAGAATGGAATTGAAATGAAAGACTTTTTACAAAGTTTTCATAACAATACTTTATTTATTCTCATTTGAAGCAGTGCTTCACAAATTCAACAAAATAAAATAAAAAATTACGATAATTTTTTACCTAAATTTTCATACGAATTTTCTTAAAAAATGCAATAATCTTCTGTAATTAAATTTAAAATTCTTTGTGTCATTATCTTTTTAAAAAAATATCTACACCATTCCAACAAGAGTAAGTCATGTAAGAATGTCATCCACAAAAAATGTGATCAACTGGTCAATCAAAAAAATCATCTCATCAACAAATTTATTATGGGCGTGTAAAATATTTTATGTTAACAAGAGAGCAGAACAAGCAAAAGAGAAATTTATACTAGTTATCGATTATAAACTCTTGAACCATCAAAGTAAAAAGAAACACCTACAAAAGCAAAAGTAAATGATGTTAGCTGCTAAAAAAAATGATGATTACAAAATAAAAGAATGACCTGATAAATAGATGATCCAAAACTTGAGAAATACTCTTTTTTAAGCTTCAAAAAAAAAAATCAAGATCATCAATGAGCAATATTGATGAACCAACGCCTCTGAATGCCAAATTTGAAACATCTTTTGAAAAACAAAGGATCTCCCTGTGTATTTTTTTTTCCCAACAAAATAGTAAAATCGATTTTCTTGGTGTGTTACAAAGCATGACTTTCATCAACCTTATATCAGAAGCTAGAGAGATGTCTAAGTTAGTTTCAATCCTCTTTGGATATGGTTTGATCTATATTCCCGTAATTCATTTCCAAAAACCTATGCTACGACAAAGTGTGTAAACGTTAAAAAGAAATAAAAAAATAAAGAGTGAGCATATGAATATCTAAATCATCGCTACATACAACTTGTATTAACCTTTTTCAGTACAATACTTATCAAAGCTAAATCTGAAAGGTTTAAATGTTATCAAACAATTCGTCGTATGCTATAATTATATGATGTAAGTTTCTCATTTGATTAATAGTAACACGTGAGGGGCATTTGCATTGGTTAAATGATGGATTTATTCAAATCTAGGACAAGCTTTTTGTTGTTGTTGTTGCCAGATTTAGTTCCATATAGGAGTCCTTTACCAACTCCTAAAGCAATTGTCCTTTACCGACAAGTCGACAACCATTACAATCCTCACAATTATTATCTTGCATTATTTTTTAGAATTGATATATAAAAAATCAGTTCTACTGTGTATCTTTATGAAATCGAAGATTGTCTTCAACATAAATATGTTCTTTAGTTTTTGAAGTTGTAGAATTGCTTGTACTCAAAAGAACAAAATAGTAGAGTATTCAAAAGAAAAAAAGTAATAAAGTCTAAGATTTTTTAAAAAATATTCTTTTAATTTCCAAAAATCTCTTTTTATTTTACAAGTAAAAATAGATATGTTTTTATAGCTCTTTTAAAAAAAATTACAATAAATTAAATTAAATACATTTAAAAAATAAGCTAAATCAAATTAATATTTTCTTGTCATCAATTTTACTTTCTACTTGAATGAAAATCTTTTGGTATAGTAAAATTATAAAGATCATATTTTAATAGTAATACACTATTGAAGATCTTTGATTTACTAATTTATGATATTGTGTCAGTTACTATATTTCAAATTAAATTAATGATAAATGGTCTTAATATATTGGAATTTTTTGTACATATATATTATATCTTATATATATATATATATAGCATTCCATTGTTATGTTGGTTAATCAATTCAATTTCAGTTATCAGATAAAAGTTTGTATAAACAATGACATCTAGCATAATTTTTGCTAATTAATTTTTGACAGTATACAATATAGGATATTGGAAGACAACTGTGAATTCACATTTTATATCCAAAACGAAGAAGTGGTTAAAAAAGTTAAGAATCGAAAAGTAAAAAAATAAGTTATTTCTAATGAGAGAAAGAAAAGAGAGACCTTTTGGACTCTGTGTCAAGGAATCGACGCAGTCAAATTTCACATGTAATAACCTCGTCGACAATCTCGCCCTTTCCATGTGATTTCCCCACTCCTTCTCTCTCTCTCTCTCCTTTCTCTCTCTCTACTGCAAACTTCCTCTTCCTCCTCCTCCTTCAACTTCAGTCGCGGAACGATGATCAACTAGCTTGGATCTTCTTCTTCTCACCAAGTTTCAACTCTCGCCGGAGTAGATCTCTTCTTCCCGGTAACGAATGAGGATCGCCGCTGCCGCTTCCAAGCCTCTTAATCCTCTCGTCGCCTTCGAGCACAAGAGGTTCGCGTTTCTTTCCCCCTTCTTCTCTACATTTCTTTCTCTTTCTGCTTTTTATTCCTGACTTATTTGTTCTAAGTTTCATTAACTTGCGCTCTCTCTCTCTTTAGCTTCGCTAGAGAGCGAAATGCTTGTATCTCCGATTACCAGAGTCTATTTTCTCTTAATCTGGTTTATTGTTTGCGTAATTTGCATTTTCTTATCCATGGGTTGGGATTCTGATGTTCATTGACCTTGATTTCAACATCATCTGGTTTATCGGGATTTTGATGTGATTCGAAGGCGATTTTTGTCCAGTTCAAACAATGGTGACTATTGCTCTCAATGTGGTATAATCGTCAGTGAAGCTCGTCAAATTCAGTATAAGGAACTTGGCTTTAACTAAGTTTTCTTTGTGCTTTTCAATTGCTTGACGAGTTTTAAGAGATGCAACTTTGTATTGACGGGTATAAAAATGTAGGAAACATGGAGATTTCGTGTGAGCTATAGATGTGCTTATTCAGTATTTTTTTGGGGGTGAATTCATATGGCCATTTTTGTTCAACAGGGATGCATATGGATTTCCTGTGAGACCTCAACATGTGCAGAGATACAGAGAATATGCTGATATTTACAAGGTCATATACCAACTCAGGATTTTCATTCACATCATTTATTGGAACGGATTGGCTTTCCTTTAATCTGTTTATGAGTCTTGTACCTTACGCTCTAATGTGCCTGTAGAACTACACACCTTAGCTACCAAATGCTTGTAATAAGTTCTTTTTGGTTCTTGGAATGGTAGAAGCAGTTCCTATAATTCTTCTCCTAAATAAGCTTCCTAAACTTGTAATTGTCACTATTTGCTTACAAGCAGGAAGAGGAAGAAGAACGGTCGGACAGGTGGAGCAGTTTTTTGGAAGATCATGCAGAATCGACTGAGTCACCTGCTAACGGATCATCTGAAAACAGCCATGCACCGTCTGGTGAAAGTGAGAAAGAAAAAGAAGATCTGCGCACCGACAAGTTATGTTCTGGTGCAACTCCTGAAAATGCAAGTGAAGAAGAAGGAGACACCGATGCAGAGAAGAATGTTCACAGAGTGCAATTATGGACTGAGATCAGACCATCTCTTCGATCAATTGAAGACTTGATGAGTATCCGTGTCAAGAAGAAGGGGGATTTATCAAAAGGCGAGCAAGAGGCTCCGAAGGTGAAACCCTCGCCCTCATTTGATGATGCCAAATCTTCCAAGGGAGCATCTGAGAATGATTCTGAAGACGAGTTCTATGATGTTGAGAGGTCGGATGTTCAGGATGGTTCTTCTTCAGATGGTACAAGTGTCTCTGGCATCCCTGCTGCTGGTGATGCAACTTTCTCAGTGTCTACATGTCCCTGGAAGGAAGAACTTGAAGTGCTTATTCGAGGTGGTGTACCTATGGCTCTGAGGGGGGAGGTAAAAAATCTTGTCATGTCTACATTGCTGCCTTCTCTTCCTATTTGATATCATGCTCCAGCTCTCCATCTATATGTCGTTAGTCTTAGCTCTTGTTCAATCATAATCCTCACATATATCAACAACATTTCAGCTATGGCAAGCATTTGTGGGTGTGAGGAAACGGCGCAGCAAGGATTATTACCAAAACCTTCTTGCTGCAGATAGTTCTGGAAACAACATAGAACATGTGGATACGCAGCATGTTGATGATAAAGGTTCAAGTACAGACCCCCTTGCTGTTGTGGAAAAATGGAAAGGACAAATAGAAAAGGTAGTACTCTAAAATTTATTCAGCTTTGACGCCTCTCTATCCTGTGGTGCAGTGTTGTTTTATGCTGAAGCTGATCAGATTTCTACGCTGTTGCTTATTTCAAGTACAGGACTTACCTCGAACATTTCCTGGTCATCCTGCCCTAGATGATGATGGTAGAAATGCTCTGCGGCGTTTGCTTACTGCTTATGCTAGGCACAATCCTTCTGTTGGATACTGTCAGGTTTTGGTCATTAACCAATATCATGATTCTTTATTTTAGTACCGAGACATGGTAAATTAAGATTAATGTCTAGTTATTTACTTAATACCCTGTGTTAATATACCATCTGCAGGCTATGAATTTCTTTGCTGCGCTTTTATTGCTTTTGATGCCCGAAGAGAATGCCTTTTGGTATGTTCACAAACTTGATGGAACCTGTGAATAACCAACTCCTTGGCTCCGTGTGTAGTTTCTGTATCTATCACTTTCATTTCTTCCGGTTGAACATTAACTGTTCTTAGGCCATTCTTTAAATCCTTTTCATTCCTAATCTTGTTTTCCTGTGAATAAACGAACTCCGTGGCTCTGTCTTTAGTTTTTATACCTATCACTTTCATTTTCTCTAGTTGAATTAGCTGTTCGTTATTTTTCCTTTTCTCTAAACCGATGCCTGCTAACTAAATACTTATGATTTTTAGGGCACTGACAGGAATCATTGATGACTACTTCAATGGTTATTATTCAGAAGAAATGATTGAGTCTCAGGTGATCATATGAGTTGCCTGTCTATACACATGCACAAATTTTAGGGTAGACTGGTGATAGCATCATGACAACATGTGTACCATTACGTCAACCAAAGTTCTGTTAGTTAATGTTACTGTATATTGTATTCTAATTTCAGGTTGATCAACTAGTTCTGGAGGAGTTAGTTCGTGAAAGATTTCCTAAATTGGGTTAGTACCTTCACAGATTTCTTGTTACATCTTAGAAAACGTTCACAATTAGTACTAATGCTCTGCAATTTTTTTAATGTCTACAGTTCATCATCTGGATTATCTTGGAGTGCAAGTGGCTTGGGTTACAGGGCCATGGTTTCTTTCCATCTTCATGAATATGCTTCCATGGGAAAGTGGTCAGGTTTTAAACATTGGAATTAAATATTTCTTGTTTGAAATTGGGAACTGAGTAACTAACACTTTGTGATGGCATTCTGTTTGTATTTGATCATCTTTCTCATTGAAATTTGGGACTGAGAACCCCTTTGCTTCTTCTAAATGTTCGTCTACTTGATTACAGTTCTTAGAGTCTGGGATGTGCTTCTCTTTGAAGGAAATCGTGTTATGCTTTTTAAAACGGCACTCGCATTGATGGAACTATATGGTACTTGATTGAAACTAGTAGACTTTTGATTTAACTGATATGTTTTGTGGACCTCCTGAATACGGTAGTGTCATCATCGAGACTGCCCTAACATATGCTTTAATTCACCTCAGGTCCTGCATTAGTTACAACGAAGGATGCTGGAGACGCTGTTACTTTGCTACAGTCACTGACTGGATCAACGTTTGATAGTAGCCAGCTCGTTTTGACTGCTTGTATGGGTTACCAAAATGTACATGAAAACAGATTGCAGGAATTGCGAAGCAAGCATAGGCCAGCGGTGATAGCTGCCCTTGAGGAAAGATCAAAGGGGCTTCAAGCCTTTAGGGATTCTAAGGGCCTTGCCTCCAAATTATATAGTTTTAAGCAAGACCCAAAATCTGTTTTGGTGGATTCGAGCAAAGCATCATTGGCAAATGGGAGTTTGTCTCGATCCGAGTCAGGATCAAGTAATGCAGATGAAGTGTTAGTTAGCCTGACTGGGGACGGGGAGGTAGATTCTGTTCAAGATCTTCAAGCGCAGGTATATTTTTCTCGTCCTTTCTGTTGGCTTGGATATGTTCTCCATAGTACACTTGAGTGCTAGATGATTATATCTGGCGAAAAGTTAGGAAAGATCACTTGATACATACAGTCATGGAGCCACTTCTGAAAGTTGAGTGGCAACTTTTCCAGGTTCTGTGGTTAAAGGCTGAAGTCTGCAAGTTGCTTGAAGAGAAAAGATCAGCTCTACTTAGGTTAGTTCCTTTACTTAATATATAACTGGACACTAAACGGTATGAATCTCTCCTCATTATTCCTCAATATGTAATGCCTCCTTCCTATTTTTTGCTAGGGCTGAAGAGTTGGAGATAGCTCTCATGGAAATCGTCAAGCAAGACAACCGGCGTCAACTGAGTGCCAAGGTATTCCCATAAGCTTTGCCATTGACAATTCATTTCCCAATTAAGCATATGAGATCGCATTATGTTACTTGACTCTTTATCCATCCTCTGAATACGAATACTGCTTTTTATCTCACTTGTGAATACCATAATTGCTTTCCTTTCTCTTTCTTCTTCTCCTGCTGGTTGCTCGTTTATCATCTCTGTGTAATTCGAAGGCTCATCTGTGATAAGTTAGTTTTGAGATAGTCTTAAGATGCCAAATACTGGTTGTTATGAATTTGAACACCAGGTGGAGGAGTTGGAGCAAGAGATGGCCGAAGTTCAGAGGCTCCTCTCTGATAAGCAGGAACAAGAAGGTGCAATGCTACAGGTTTGCATTGGCATGATCTATTTGTTATTTTTTTGTTTATCGCTGATACAAATGCTGAGATCAGATGATACTTATGAAGGTCTTGATGCGGGTGGAGCAAGAACAGAAAGTAACTGAAGATGCGCGAAGATTTGCTGAGCAAGATGCAGAAGCGCAGAGATATGCTGCTCAAGTCTTGCAGGTAAAAAGAGTTGGCACCGATTTCTACTTACACAAATGGGGGCTTGGCTAATCATTTATACTGTCTCTGGTTATAGCTGTGACACGCCTCCCATGAAATAGAGCTACACATTAGTCTGTATAGTTTTCAGTCTGCATGTTTGAAATGTTAACTCTAAACAAAAAATTAAATGGTCTAGGAAAAATATGAGGAAGCTGTTGCTGCACTCGCTGAGATGGAGAAGAGAGCGGTGATGGCAGAGTCTATGCTTGAAGCGACTTTGCAGTATCAATCTGGGCAGCTCAAAGCACAACCTTCACCACGGTGTGTTTTTTTTTTTTACCTGAGACAAACAAACTTGTGTACATATAACACTGTATAAACATTCGTCGCGTTATGAGTTATGACCCGTGTTGCATTCTGAATCGGGTATACACATTATAATATACATATAGGCAACTGAACCAAGATTCGTCGGCGAAAAACAACAATGATCAGTTTCCAGAACCTCCTCAGAGCAGGATCAGTTTGCTAGCACGCCCATTTGGACTAGGGTGGCGCGACAAGAACAAGGTTAGTCATCTTCTTACAGATAGAATCTGTTAACGCACCATCGTGTCATCATAATACAGTCTGAAAATCAAGTAGTGTCATTTTAATAAAGTCACTGACCCGCGATTGCAGAACACAACACCTGAAAAAACTGCGGAGCTTGTGAATGAGGAGAAGCCACCAGCAGAGGGAAAAGAGACTGAGTCGGAACCAAAAGACGCTAAGCTCCAAGACACTTCTTCATAGGGTATAATAAAACCTTGAAGCTCTCTTTTCCACTAAAATTGTCTTTACGTTTAGCTTCAATAGCGTCTTACTCACCTTTCGTTAATTTCGGATTCGAAGTTTTGGATATAACTTTTTAAACATAAATTCATGTTGTTGTCGGTTTGTTAAGCATATAAAGATAATGAGTTTTGAGGTGAAATGTAAGACATGAAATAGTGCATAGAAAGCTGATGTGTGAACGAACTAGTATAGTATCCTCCAGGTGCCCGAATTTATAATTTTATTTTCAATTTTTCACATGATCCTTCAAAAACATTTATGTTTATGGTCTGTAACCTCACAAAAGAAAGAAGAAAAGAAACACTTTCTTCATTATAAAACCCCAAATCGGCAGGGTAACAAAAATTGGATTAAAAAACTTGAGAAACAAGAAGAGGTTCTAATTTTTTCTCTCACACAGACTTAAAAACACAATTCGGATTTCGGATGGTAACACACAAAAACATGTTCTAATGATAGCTTACGCCTACGCCATTAATAACCTCTCCAATGCGGTAAGCAACATAGTCTCCATTCTCAACTTGTCCAAGTATTTTCATCGCTGCCTCTGGACTAACCACCAAAACCATCCCTATTCCCAGGTTAAACGTCCTTCGCATCTCACCGTCTTCTATATTCCCAGCCTAAACCAAAAACAACCAACCAAACACGATTGTATAACTTCAACCATAGATACAGATGATTCTCTCCTTCACCAGTTTTACCTTTTGGATCCATTTGAACAACGGTGGAAGTTCCCAAGCATCGGTGTGAACAACAGCACCCAAACCATCCGGGAAGACTCGTGGGATGTTGTCTGTGAAACCTCCACCTGTTATATGAGCTATCCCTTTCACTCCTCCTTTACTGATTATGTCAAGTACCTAATGGATACAGAGAAAGAGACAGTCATGGAATTGGTAAAACAAATGTGATGAACCACTTGTTGACAATAATATACCAAACCTGCTTCACATAAATGACAGTGGGTGCCATCAAAGCTTCACCGAGTGTAGTTGATCCACCTGGGAGCTCATCTTTCAGCGAAAGACCACTTCGAGCCACGACCCTGCAACAATCGTGGTCTTTTTAGTTTTAACGAAATAAATAAACTACATTCTTCGTATCGTAATGTCATATTATCATCACTAAAACTCACTTTCTTACTAAAGAGAAACCATTGGAGTGAACGCCGCTCGAAGGGAGGCCAATAAGAACATCTCCAGCAACTATGTTTTTACCGTTTATAACCGAATCTTTCTTCACTTCGCCTACTGCAAACCCACTGAGATCGTACTCCCCCTCTGCGTAAAAGTCTGGCATCTCTGCAGTCTAACAAAAACAACAACAAATTCGAAAAACGAAACTATGGAAAGACTTTTGCATAATCTACAATGTCATTCAAAAAAGCTTGTAAAGACAAAGATACCTCTCCTCCTAAGAGAGCACATTCTGATTGCCGACAACCATCAACAATCCCTTTAATGACCTGGAAAAACAAAGCATCATCAACACCAACTCTAAAGCAAAGAGATCAAATGGGGGTGAGGGAAAGAGATGAAGCAACGATATGATACCTTTTCTGCAAGGTCTACATCGAGACGACTTGTAGCAAAGTAATCTAGGAAAAACAGAGGCTTTGCACCTGAAGTAACAATATCATTCACACTCATAGCAACCTGTAGCCACAAGAAAAACGATTGAGGCAAAAAAAAACTAAGTTAGAGAAAAGACACAAAAAGGCTCGATTTTTGTGTTTACCAAGTCGATTCCAATGGTGTCATGAACTCCAGTCTCAAACGCCAACTTAAGCTTAGTCCCTACACCATCCGTACCAGCTACGAGGTAAGAATCACCTGCTCTCAAACAAAATCCCCAATCACATAGAAATTAAAAACCAAAACTTTTCAACATTTTTCTTCAAAGGTGAAATTTTTTTGCAGTTCTGATTATTTATGGTACCTAGTGGAAAGAGACCACCGAATCCGCCGATTCCAGGAGCCATCTTGGCGATTCGTCTAACGAGCTCAGTGCCAGCATCGATGTCAACACCGGAGTCTTTGTAAGTGAGACTCTCGGTGTCGTCACCTTTCTTCGACATGGATATAAAACGAGGTGCCCTTGTCCTTGTTCTCGCCGCCTGAGGGAAGCTGATGGAGAGAGGCTTCGGAGATGATGCGATGGAGGAGAAACTGTATCGATTGATGGAACCGGAGGAGAAGGCAGTGTCGATGGATGAGAAGCAGCAAGAAGAGGACTGCAAAATTCGAGCTTCCATGGCTTAAACAGTAGCAACAATACAACAAGAGTAGAGTATAATTTAACACAGTTCAAGCAAACAAGATAAGTAGTGAAAGAGAGAGAGAGAATTTGCGACTATGTTCGGCTCAAGGCTAGAGAAAGAGAAAGAGAGAGAGAGAGAGACTGAAAAAAGAAAAAAATCAGCCTGGAAAAAACTTAGACTGAGAGCGAGACTGAGATTGAGGCGACGCCGAGAGAGAGTGAGAGGAAGCCAAAAATAAATTTAAACAAAAAGGCTTAAAACCCTAACAGGCTAAGAAAAAGGTTTAAAACCCATTACTTGTTTTTTTCTTTTCTTTCTCTCTTACACGATAAAACCTGAATAACAAACTAAACTATTATGGGGTTGATTGGTTACTGCTAGATTTTAATTATATAGACTTTAGTGCTTAAGATTTTTAAAGCCAAACTATTAGTCTTTTATATATTTTACGTTGTACAGTTAAAAAATTAAAAAAAATTAAAAAGATTTGTAGTTTTGAAAAATCTGTGTAAAATATAATTAAGAATAATTTACTGCTTTAAATAGCTATATATATAGTACAGATTTTACAACACTTACCATTCAGACCATATAACTAGAATTATCATTAAAACACAATTATCTACTGGTAAATACTAATTTATCATTAGGTGAAACAATAAAAAGTTAAAAGAAGCAAGAAGCAACCACTACAAAAATCAGTTATAAATAAAAAGAATTATAGGATATATAGCCCCACTTAATAAAGGAAAATACCCATAAAGCTATTTTTTAATACATTACACCAACTATTTTATTTTATTTTCTAAAAAAATGAGATGGATGACATTAAAGAAAAAAATCAATTATTCAAATTATACATGTTTTAATTATATTTGGATCCACCATCTTCATAATTTTTTTTATTAAATAAAAGAGACAATTAGATAATTAACATAAAACTTGTAGTCAATAGAATAATAAGAGGTATTTAAATGTTTAAACATGAAAATATATAACCACTAATGTAGTTAATATTACCAGTACATGTTCAATTCTTGAAATTAAAATATCTAATTTTTTAAAAATTTTTATTTTTTCTCTTTTATCATTTTTCTTATATTTTATCATTATCGTCATATCTTATCTTATCATTATAGTCATATCTTATCTTATCCTTCTCTTCTTAACCCCTATTCTTTATACCATTATCTTCAAATCCTTCCACAACTGCAGCAACACACATTACCAATCCCTCTCCACCGAAGAGTCTTTTCCCTTCCCAATTATTCAAATCTGTGTAAATCAATAGTGTTTTAGAAAAATCTATTCGAGAGTCTTTCATAAATAATCTGCCGAAGAATCAATAGTTCTTCTCCTTTTCCAGATCTGTATAAATCCATGAGTGTAATGTTGTATAACACAATAGCAAACTATAAATCTCACCGAATTCAATTTCTAATCAAAGAAATTTGGTCGCAGTTGAAGAATATCGCCCAACTCGATCTCTAATCAAAGGAATTTATTGATTTGATCCCTAAAAATTTCGGAGAACTCAAACCCATTTCCGGTATTCTCAATCTCTCATTCAATTATTTATACAAACGCACGCTATTCATATATATATATGTTTAATATAATAAATAAATCATGCTTTTCATTCATAATGTACATATACATTTTTATATATTTATATATAAACATGTTAAATGTATAGTTATATGTTTTCTTAACATGTTAACTTATCTCTTTTATCATGGAAGATATATCTATAACCTTTTATATAAAGGTTTATAATAATAAATACACGTATATATTGTTAAATGCAAAATTATGTGTTTTTTTAACATGCTAACTTATTTTTTGTATTATGTTAACATAAATTTAAATATCTAATATTTTACTTAATTTGCTAATTATTCACATGTTAAATTTCTTATTAGTATATATATGTTAACATTCTTCTATTATTTTTTTTCTAATGTGTGTGAGAACATTCATTTGTTCAAACGTTTTGTATATATATTAACATGAGTGGATTTTTGTATTTTATTGATTCTGCAAAAAAAGAAAATAACTAAAATAATAAAGAAATAAGGCTATAAACCCACGCGCATTTGATGACATGTTTTGTAATTTCTATCTGTAATTGTTTTAGCAAATATCTTTAGCTAGTTTCTTCTAGCTCATTTCAATTTGTTTATCTGCTAATTTTGTATTCAATCCTTGTCATCCACCTTTAGGAAATAAAGAATGCATAATTTTCATTTTGGTTTGTCTTGAGGCAACAAAAGTCTTTAACATACGGACATGTTAATGCTCTGTGACAAAACAAGACAAACAAACAAACAAAAAGGCTAAAGAAACCCCAAGTTGCAAACAAACATTTTAAAAGCATAAATGAATAAACACACACTGACTCAAACTGTATATAATATCAACGCTAATTCACATCAAAAACCATTTTTAATCTTTCCCTTCTTCTTCTTCTTCACTTGTTCCATCCCTGAATCACACAACCAACCCAATCCAACAGATTATATGACAACTTTGTTTTCTAGGATTTTCAATCTAAACCTTTTAAGGTAGAGGAATATCAAAAGAGCCTTTTAACGCTTACCTCCACGATGATGTTAGGTTCCGAGTTTTCCTGTCGAGTTGCAGATTTTCCAGCGCCGCTGAAGCTCTCATTACCTCTTCCGTTCCATCTTCACTGTCATATCTCCAATTGTCTCCTCTTCGCTCTGAACAACCTTATTTGAAATATTTCAGATATTCATGTTTCAGCAAGAAATTCAGTAAAGTTAGGGAGTGAAACGATGACTCACCCGATGCTTGAGATGCAGAAATCGACCTGCCCACCAATTTAAAGATGTTTCAGACTCAGAAACAACATGAAAGACTATCTTTGATTTGGCATAAGATGGTGTTGGAGATATGTGTACCTTCGTTGAGTAGGTAAGCTATTCGATGAGGACTCGGTTTCTGACTCTCTTCTTGAACTACCACCACCCACGGCCTGTGTTTTCTGAAGAAAAATTGAACAAATAAAAAAGCTTCATCACTACGCTTGAGGAGAATACAGCAAAGACAAAATGATCCTTGGATGAGAAGAGAACTTTACGGTTAGAGTTCACCAAACCTGTTTCTAAAGAATTCTAAACTCGAGCTAAGACACTCTATTTACTTAGCAAAAGTGTGAGGTAGTGTGTACAAAGTACCAAGATTTTCTGTAAGATAGTGTTTATAAATCCCCAAACGTAAGTTCCATCATGCATTGCTCATCTTCACTCACAGTATAGAAACGAAAAATCTAGAGCCTATAAATCACGCACTACAGAACTGTTGTAACTTTGTGGTAAGGTAAGCAAAGGAAGAGATACCTCGAAATTCAAGAATCCTTCAAGAACATCCAGAAGGAGAGGTCCACTACCTCCATTTCTGTTGAGCTCATAGCCATTGTTGCTACTAAAGTCGCGCAGCTCAGACTTCCAAGAATCTTTTGGCTTGAGCATGGATTTGGAGATAAGTCAGAAAAGCTATAATATAAATGAAAATTTTGTAAAAAAAAAAATGAAAAGAAAAGGAATCCAACTGAAAAATACCAAATTGCATTCTGGTTGATAAACTTTGAGCGTATGATTTAGTTGCGCCCAGTCCAAATATTCACAAATCAATGCAGATAGCAGCCTGCCTGCAATGCCAACATATTACAAGTGATCAAGATACAATTTCACCTTACAAGCAACTGCATAAAAACTCCAATGTTCATCATATTGCTAAAACATAGAAGCAAGTAAAGTTTGGTTCTTAGATGTGATTTCATCCGACACACACACACACACACACACACAAAATGGGGTACATGCAATTTGAATAAGCCAAAGTAGATATCGAGTGAAAAGAATGTATGGCACACAATTTTTCCAAACCCATTTAGATCAAAAATCATTCATAGAGAAAAAGATCTGAATGATAAAAGTGAAGAGAGAGAACTTGAGAAAAGACCTTGAGGAGAAGCATGAAGCCGCCTTGCACGATCATTGCAGCTTCCCAACAAAGCAGGAGGCAGCCCTTCGCTGTTCTCAATCACTCGATCCTCTTCTTCGATTGCCTCGAACACACTCGCACGGAGCTCAGCCTGCAGAGAGCAACCCAACTTGTATCAGCTAAAACATAAACTCTTTGGAATCTCCTCTTCCAATGTAAGAGGTTCCAATTCAGATTACACTTGTTCAAATTCACATGAGACATTCCAAGTATTAGCCCAAAGGATCTGGAAGGAGGAACCCTAGAGAAGTGATTTGAAAAGAAAGTGAGTTACCCGGATCTTGGCGAGAACGCCCTTCTTCTCTAGGGTTCGAGTGACCAAGGTCTTGAGATCCATCATCTCTCTGGTATAATCGTCCATCGTTCCACCGCCAAACTCAAGACAGATCACACACACACAAAAAAACAGATTCCCGCTTGTGCAATCGGGTATCGCTCACCGGAGAATTTTGACAATGCTGTTCGGAGAGAGAGGCTCGGCGTCAGCCAAAGTCGCCTCCTTCGGTACTAAAAGTTTAAAACTTTAAACGAAGATTGAGAGAGAGTTTTCAAAAATATTCCACCATTTGCTGTTTTCCCTAACTAGAAAGTAAACGCACTATTAACAGTAGTGGCAAATGGGTTTTTGAGCAAAACATCTTTCTTTTGACCAACGTCGATGATGATGTGTGGTTTGTTGTTTTGGATACACAAAATCATTTCTTTCAAATCTTTCTGCTGAAACAACAACAATTACAAATGGAGCAAGAGAACAACATGAACCGGTGAATACGTTTTTGGGAACAACCAGAGTTCTTAAGAGAGACAGAGACAGACGGAACCAACCAGTTGCAAACAAACAAGAATACATATATCATCATGGTACACAAAACAAACTAATCCAGAAGCTGCATCTTATCGTCACTCTAAATCAATCCCTCCCTTCTTCATCATCTGTTCCATCCCTCACATTCCTACAACACAAAGCCATCAAAGCAATCCAATGGATCACAGATTACCACAACTTGCTCATCTGTTTTCATTTCAATCCAACTAGTCAGAGAGCTTTTACCTCCAAGACGATGTTAAGTTCCGAGTTTTCCTATCAAGCTGAAGATTCTCTAGCGCCGCTGAAGCTCTCGTTAACTCTTCATGCGCATCTTGATTCCCTTGTCTCCAGTTCAATTCATCTTTTCTGTACCCAGAAGTAGACAACCCAGCTCTTCTATCTAAAAAATTATTTTACTTGGTATCAAATCTCAATCAAACATACATATTCGTTCAAGAAAATAAAGGGAATGATGACTCACCCGATCCTTGGGATGCAGAGCCCGGCCTGCCCATTAATACAACATCAAACAATCAGTCAAGCCTTGACTCAGATGGGGGCAACATGAATAAAGTAAAGATCTTTGATTTGGGGTTATGTTTACCTTCGCAGAGGAGGTAAGCTATCAGAAGCCGATGATCTGCGAGGAGGATTTCTCGACTCAAGGCTTGATGAAGACTCAGTTTCTGACTCTCTCCTTGAACTACCAACCATGGTCTGTGGCATGCTCTGCAAAAGAAGAAGAAAAAATGATCAGAATACGGGAAAGACAAATGATAAAGAAGTTTTGAGCTTTTCAAGAGTTCGGTGTTTGTAAAGTTTGAATGTCACCAACAGAAGAGAAACTGACAACACTTCGAAACCTAAAAACACATACATACACCTATAGTAACTTTTTATTTTTTATGTATACAAATTAGTGTGTACAGATGATTTAGATGATCAAATAGAGGTTCCTTCTTTCAATAAACATCTTCTCCACAGGAAAGAAGGAAAAAAGATACCTCGAACTTCAAGAATCCTTCAAGAACACGGAGAAGGAGTGGTGCGCTATCTGCATTTCTGTTGAGCTCGGGACCATGGTTGCTTATAAACTCGTCTAATTCAGACTTCCAAGAGTCCTTTTGCTGTGCACAGAGACACAATGCAGATCACCACCGAATTAGTAAGACACCCAAAGGTTCAAAGTTCGTCGACAGTACACTGATACGAGACAAACAAACAAAAAACACAAGGAATTGCTCGATTACCAAATTGCATTCGGGCTGATACACTTTGAGCGTGTGGTTTAGTTTCGCCCAGTCCAAGTATTCACAAATCAATGCAGATAGCAGCCTGCCTGCATTTCAATCAACAGTTCAAAGTGAGGGACCAACGCAACCTCAAAACTGTGAAATCAAACTAAAAAGTTGAGAAAAGACCTGAAGGAGAAGCATGAAGCCGCCTTGCGCGATCATTGCAGCTTCCCAACAAAGCAGGAGGCAGCCCTTCGTTGCTCTCAATCACTTGATCCTCTTCTTCGATTGCCTCGAACACACTCGCACGGAGCTCAGCCTACAGAGAGCAACCCAAGTAGATCAGTTCCACTCCAAATTCCAGAACAAATGAAGAACTATTCAATTCAGATAACAATTTGCAATCACATTTAAGGGACACTGATGATAAACGAACAGACCTAATTTCTACAAAGTTGCATACAGTAATCATTCAGACATTAAATCGACTAACCAAGGATCTGAACCCAGAAACCCTAAAAAAAAAAAGTGTAAAATTCAGAGTCTCTATCTGAACTGAAAGGCAGAAACTTGGAACCGTTTCCATTTCGAAAACGAATTTCAAAGCGATCTGATAATATATCGGAAACAAGAACAGGAAATTCGCAAGAGAAAAGAAAGTAGTTACCCGGATCTTAGCGAGAACGCCCTTCTTCTCTAGGGTTCGAGTGACTAAGGTCTTGAGATCCATCATCTCTCTAGTATAATCGTCCATTGTTCCACCACCAGATCAAATCAGAGTATTAACAATTGGGTTTCGAGAGATTAGGGTTTCGGGTTATGGAGAATTTGAAGATGGGCGTCTCCGGTGATGGGTGCTGCACCAAGCCGGAGTCACCCGATTTTTAACGAAAAATGGGAGCAAGACGTTTGAAAAACAAAATACCAAAACAATTCTTTTTCTTTTTAAACATATCTTTAAGATATTACCCCCTTCTTAATTTATATTCTACATATAAAAACCATAAACGATGCATTTTAAAAAGAACTCACATAATAAACTTTCTAAATTTCGTAGAACATATGACAAAAGATTTTATGAGTATTTTTTTAATAATATTTTTTTATGTTTCCTTAAATAAATGTTTTTCTTTAAAAATGAATTTTTAGTATAAATTAAATATTAAAATATATGATTTAGAGTAGCTCAGACCTAAGTTGCATGGAAACAGAAATTGATACGTGAAAATAGAACGTTTCAAAATGTAAAAATATAAATTTTTAAAAAATATAGAAATGTAAACATGTATAATAGATATATATATATTAAATATCTATATACTATTAAAATTAAAATATTTAAATCAACTGAAATGAAGTATGTAATTATTAAATAATTTATATTGGCATAAAAAATTATAACGATTAAAGTCATAAATTTAAAAGATTTTTTTTTAAAATCAATTTTATTACCTTTATTAACCATCCAATTTTAATTGATTGAGAGGAAAAAATTTCAAACTCAATAAATTGATTTAGTGATGAAATTTTATACAAAATTAAATTGATCACTTAATCTCATTTTTATAATTATTAATTTATCTAAAAAGTAAATTTAAGTTTTTATCGTGTTTCCAAACTATAATATTTAGAAAACATGATTTTTCATGTTTTCATCGAGTTTTCGAAATGTTTCCGAAGGCGAAATGTATCTCAGACAAAGTTTCCATGTAACCTAGGTTTAGACACAATTTGACATATAAAAATAAAGATATAGATGAACAGGAAAAAAAACATCATCATGTATTCCTAATTTTCCCTTTTTTAATCATGTTTTATTTTAGTTTTGTCATTTGAAATGAAAATGGGATGATGTTGCTACATGCTAAGTGCTAAAATCATATTTTACGATAACAAAACAAAAATTGTGAGGCATTGGAATAAAAAGTGTTCTCGATCGAGATTCAATTGGATCGATTCAAAAGAGACCACAACACATTTTGCGTTCATGGGTTGGACTCCATGCATCTAGCGAGATGATTAGTTACCAGTGAGAAATTCGGTTCCAAGCATATGACAAGAGAATGCATTGAAACTGCAAAAGGCGTTATGCTAGAGAACAAAGAGGAGCAAGAATCATTAATAGTTGTTGTTTGAGCATCCAACATGATGGCGAACTTGTGAGAATTATGATTAACATTTTGTTGTTATTCAGAATGATTCCCACTTAAACCTTTGGAAACAGTATTAGTGATGAACAGTATTAATTAATACGACGACCAATCGTACATATCCTATCTGATCGATGAATATTTGCTGAGAAACTTACGCTGAGAAATTTCGTATTTCAAGTAGACTTTCCTCAAATGTTATTGTGCAGCAGCGTTTCTCTCGTCAGGTCAAATTGAGCTAAAGTAATTTGGATGACAGTCCAATGATAAAGTGGCCAACAACAAATACAATTCTTCAACATATTAGTCATCCTACTTTTAAGCCTTGTGATCGACAAAATAAAAAAAGGATGACAACTTTCATAACGACACTAATCGCCTAAATCTATAAATTGTCCAAGTTATTTGAAAACAATTTCTTGTTTATGTGAATATATGGAAGAGAGTATTGTTTTCGTTGATTCACAAATTTAGTTAATTGCTGAAACAATAAAAGTTGAATACAAATATGAGTTTAACAAAATCTGAATACTCTATATGTATAAACAAAAGGTCAAGTCGAGCTGAGCTCTGAAGACAAAAAAAAAAAAAACGACAAATATTAAAACACGTGCAAGTAATTAGTAGACCGTAAAGCAGTTAGAAATCAGATTCAAGGAATATGTTTAATTAATACCTAAGAAACGTGTTCTAAGCAGTAAAACAATGAAGATGCGTTGCGTCACAAATATACATGCATATGGATTGTATGTATGTATGTTGGTGCACATTTGTATGTGTAATGTATACGAGTTTATACATGTGTATGATATTTACATATATCAAATTTAGTCCAACTTATTCAGTTATATATACCTTGAATCTAAATTGTGCCAAGAATAAAAGCACAAAATGTGTTGTTAGAAAAATCAAATGAAACCATATCATCACCTAATTCTAGTTCTAGTCTCTCTTGCAAATCATATTTTTTTATTTTATCATTGAGATTATGATACATCTGTAACACCTAATTTTGTAGACTGTTATTTATTTTTATTCACCTTATTCTGTTTTTTTATAAAATTTTATTCACACTATAGTTCAGTTTTTAAAAAGATTCCAAGGTTCCCACTTAATTATGACTTATGTGTGTCACTCTATAACAGAAACCCAAAAAGGAATAATACTAACACGAATCAGAATGGAAACACAAATGGTTAAAGAGCACATGTGTATCTCGAGATGGGCATTATCGTCAATTCAATGGAAAACAAAAATGGGGACTCAGCTTTAACTATCTTTTTTGGTTTGGTCGTAAGAATCAGCTTTGGCTTTCGGAAACGAGGAAGGGAAAGCAACCACGTCGCTCAAAACTGTTCCCACACATCATTCATTATGTATTCATATGCGTCAAACATTTAAACTGAGAAACGTTAAAACCAAAATCCATTATTTTTCTAGATTGACAAAAAAGGAGAAGAGACCATTAATATTATCAAAAAAAAAATATATGGTTGAACTGAAATTCTCAATTATTTAACGTTATAACGTGCTTCATGCATTTCCACTCGTTTCTCTATCGCTCTTATATAAATCTTTCTACCAATAAAACCCCATATTTATTAATCTGAGCAATCTTCTCACTCTCATACATTGTTTAAGTTAAAATTCAATCATATACTGGATATATTAGTAGTTAAACTTCATGGTTTTGATATATATATATATATATATATATATAGATCATACTATGAAAAAATGTTGATGGGGCTTTACAGGATTTTTTAAAAATCTTTGAAATAATGTTTTTTATTTTATTCATACCTTTATGGTTTTAAACAATACAGACTCATACAAAACACACACATCTTAATTTGTATATTCTTTAAGCCAAATTATGTGATTGTTGTCACAATCATAGTTGAAACATTTATCAGCCAAAATGCCTAGCTAGGACCAAAATTTCGAAGTAAAGTTAGAGATGCACCACAAATTATGCAGCGGTAGACTATGGCCGTAGAAATTAGAAACACAAGCCCACAAGATTAACAAATAAATTAATCATCATCACCAGTAGAATTTACAAGCCAGTTAAAAACAAAGGTGGTGTAGACTTTTTTCTATTTGAGTGCATGGATTCAAAAAGAGAGAATTATAAAATGACAAATAAACATTTATAAACGAAATTAGTATGTTTTGATGATGCAGCATAAGTAATACATACAACTACTATAGTAGAGTTTCAAGTGTAGATGACTCCAAAGTCGATTATGATCATGGTGAATTGTAAATGATTAAGGTAAGTAATTAAGTTAAATGTGCATTGCAAGTTACTATATAAACAATGTAAAAGGATACTTTACGGTTTTACCTAATCAAGAATGAAAAAATATTCTATGACGGAAAGAAGAGTACCAATATATAGTCTTACCAAATAAGGAAAGGTCAGATTCCTTAAAACTTAGCTTTTCTTGCAAATTTGGATAAATTGAACGGCTAGGATTTGTAATCCAACTTATCATCAAATCTATCATAATTATTGATAGATTTGTGGAGTGATTGGTGAGTGGTTGAATCTGTGACAATTGACGTAACCCCACTGTCCCTCTGTCTCCATTAAGGTTTCTCTCTCTTACTCTCAATAAAGAAAGAAATATAGTAGTTGGCATATTGGACCCATCCTTGATTCGTGTAAACATCACACCCTCTCTCTTATTGTTTTTTTTTATTATATCATTGACTATACACATTTATCATTTTTTAGTATACTTTATGTTGTGGTCTAGATTATTTTTCTGTTCCTCCAAGTATTTGGACTTTGGAGTTGAAGATGCAATCTCATTACATAAAAAGAAACAAATCTCGTAGAAGGAATGTACAAGGATATGATGGTTTATAATATTTGATGTTTTAGTTTTTAGTTGATGCATTTAATTTTACAAGAAACTTTATAGTTATTGGAAAGAGAAAAACAGTGTTAATAATATAGGAGTAAAAAACAAAAAGGAAAGAAACAATAGTATAAAAAGTGTTTAATATGTGTGAAAAAAAAAACTAAAACAGTACTCCAATTTGTGTAACTAATCGTAGTAATCTTCGGTTTCAATGGAAATAGGCGAAAACATAAAAGAGATAGAGAAAGGATTGTCCCGATTCTTTAAATGACGCTATAGAGACACAATATCACATGTGCCTTTATATTACACGTTGTAGATATAGACGACGAGATCCAAGAACCCAAAGTACGAAGAAAAATCCCTGACCGTTAGATTTTTGTCATATCTTGACATGTTGGAATCACACGAGGGACCTATCAATTATTGCTGTCGCTATATGCCAAAATGAAATGAATTACAAAGAAAATTACGATAACCTAATTAATTTATTACTTAGTAATACGATCGAACGGTGACGGTAGGTCGATAGAAGATAAAGCAGACTTGAACGGAGTAGACGATGTGGACAGGTTTATTACAAGCTTTACGTTTTCTTTAATATCTTCTTCCACTAATGATATCTGGAGGATCTGTACAAGATACATCTGTACAAGATACATCTGTACAAGCTTTACGTTGTTCTTATTTTTAATTATAAGATGTTTTCAGATTTTAATACAGAATTTGATAATAAATAACTCTTTTTATTCTTACATTAATTAATAAATTAAAACTTGACTAGCAGTGAATAAAGTTAAAATATTATATTAAATTTTTTAATTTGTGTGCAAAGTACTAAAATATTTTATATAAAAAAGCGGAAGGAGTATAATAGATTGATTACAAGCTTTTGTTTTATTTAATATATCAAGATGTTCATAACATCATTTGTAATGTTTTATCGTATTAGCCACGTTTTATCCCATCTACTGTTCTGTCTCATCTTTCATTTATATACATTTTGTTTTTTCAAATATCAAGTCCTGCATATGTATATGAACTCGACGTGTCTAATTTTTAAAATGATGAAAACAGAAATCATGATCAAAAGAATAAGAAAACATCTTAAATCATGATTGGTGGTAATATTTTAAATCGTATTAGACGTTTCGAGTCTTCTCTTGAATGGTTGCGTTCGGTCGACATGTAATATAAGCTCAGGTCCGTAGCCAGTAGCTCTTTAACATATAATTTGCTACGGTACTCATGAAGTAACATACACTGATGATGAATCGGCTGGATCCTAAAATTGCCAGTAGGATGCTGAAAATTTCAGATACCTTTTGTATTAATTTTATAATTGATCGGGACTATCTTATTTTGTTATCTTTCTTTTTCTTTTTGTCGACAATATATAGGGGTATCGTATTTAACAACGTGCACTAGGCAATTAAGAAGAAACTATATAAGGACAGCTCAACAATTAATCGAGCATGCATTAACAATTTATTCGGCAATAGAAACCGTAATGCTTGAAAAGAATTATAAAAACAAAGAAACTAACTCTTCAACTTTTCGCAATACAATACATTTTTAAGGTTTGACTTTTGGTTTTATTGATATTAATTAAAACAAACATTAAAAATAAATTTCTTGAAACTCTCTTTGATCAGGTGCCCTTTTTTTTTTGTAAACCTGATGATGAATTGATCAAAACTAAAAATATGTGAAATAAATTAACCAAGTAGCTATATTTTACAGGGAAAAAAAGAGTGTATTTTTTAAATACATATATACGAGGTCTGTATCTAGAACGTAACATAGTATCCCCCATGTTTTTTTAATCCTCTTTTCTAACTTAGTTTTTTTTACCTCCTCTCTCGTTTAACTTACTCACCTATTTGATTCGAGCTAGATCGAGTTCATCAAGTGAAAGAAAAAAAAAGAAGAATCATGTAACAAATAAAATAAATTTACATCATACTAGAGCGTTAAATTTACAACATTAAAGTGCAAAACTCGTCGTACAGCCTCTCTACGGCTCTCATATTTTAATTAACAAAAAGAAAACTAACATATACTATTCGATATCATCGGCAAGGCAAGTACATTTATATTATTTTCTAAAAATATTTTAATTACTTGAAAAGGCAAATAAAGGGCAAGTGTATCCAATGCAACCTTCACAGTGAACACGTCCCACGTTCTTTTTCTTCCCTCTTTTAGAACTCTCTCTCTCCCCATCTTGCCACTTATCCTCTCTCTCTCTCTCTCTCTCGCCGGAAAAAGAAAAACCAGAGAGATCATATACGACGCCGTTTGCACAAAAAGAACACGATCATGTTGGATCTCAGTCTTGGAATCTTCTCTACCTATAAGGAAGATCAAGATCGGAAAGTTCCATTAATCTCAACCGCCGGTGAAGAAGAATCTAACGTCTCCTCCTCTTCCGTCTCCTCCACAGCTTCTGACACCGGAAAAGCTTTCATCACCTTCGGAATTCTCAAACGCGACGATGATGTCGTTCCCCCTCCTCCTCCTCATAAAGAAACCGGAGATCTTTTCCCGGTGGCTGATGCTCGCCGGAATATTGAATTCTCCGTCGACGACAGTCACTGGTTGAATCTGTCGTCTTCACAGAGGAATAAACAGCAAATGGTGAAGAAGAGCAGAAGAGGGCCAAGGTCCCGAAGCTCCCAGTATCGTGGCGTTACTTTTTACCGTCGCACCGGTCGTTGGGAATCTCATATTTGGTAACAGCAATTATAAATTGTTATTTTTTAATACTATCGAATTATTGATACATATCTCTCTAATTTGTGTTTTTGGACTTTGATGATTTGTACTTTTTAGGGATTGTGGAAAGCAAGTTTATTTAGGTAAGTAGATCATAGTATTTTTTTTTTTAATTATTGGGTCGTCTTAATTACGTCTGTATGTGCCTCTATATAGGCATAAACGATGAATTTTTCTAGCAATCATATTCTGTGATAAATTTTAGATATTGTCTGACAACATTTGTTAAAATACCAATATTTTTATGTAAAAGAAAAATCACATAATAGACTGTTAGCGCATTGCCAGTGTTTGTTACTTCTATATCTTATTGAACACAATTTGTTGACTAATGATCAATCTATCATTTTTTTAAACCTAATATCTCTGTTTTGTTTTAACAGGCGGGTTTGATACTGCCTACGCAGCAGCAAGGTAAAATAAAATTTCGCGCATATAATATTTTATTTGTTATATAACATTCGTCATTATAATCAGTATGTTTTAAAATTTGGTTAACATAAACGTACGTTCGAGAAATATTGTAATTGACTTGTTAATAAGATGAATATAAAATATAGCAGGGCGTACGACCGAGCTGCTATCAAATTCCGTGGTCTTGACGCAGATATCAATTTCGTCGTGGATGATTACAGACAAGACATCGATAAGGTTAACTTGAACATTCTTATGTTTCTATAAAAGTGCTCGATCGTACGCGAAAAATCTTTGTATCTTTGTGTTTCGTTTGTCGAATTGATTGTGGATCTTAAATTCTCAATTAACATACATATATATAGATGAAGAATTTAAATAAAGTGGAGTTCGTGCACACACTTAGGCGAGAGAGTGCGAGTTTCGGAAGAGGAAGTTCCAAATACAAAGGCCTGACTCTTCAAAAATGCACCCAATTCAAAACTCATCATGATCAGATTCATCTCTTCCAAAACAGGTACCATTACTACTCTTATTTAAACTTTAAAACACTTCATCTGAAATTTTGAGTACTTTCATATTTTGTTACACACCGGCGTAACCTTATCTTACTTTCATATTTTGTTACACACGTAACCTTATCTTACTTCTGGAAATTCTTAATTAACATGGGTTAAGTGCAAATAGCTGTCTGATTACATGAATATAAAGTCGGCGGAAATTTACAATATAAATCATATATAGAAGGGAAACACTTTTCACTCGGCGGATGGAATATGAATAGAATAACAATATTAATTCCTCACTTACTTATCTGTTGTTCATATATTCCATTTGTTTTGTTCTATATATTGCTTACCATTCAAAGCCTAACACCCTCACTTTTTAGTGAGAAAAGCAATTCTACAAAACTTCACAGTTGCTAAGAAAATTACATATTTATCTATATATATATATTCTATACAGATGCTTTTTTTTAAAAAAAAAAAATTGATTTGATACAAAATCAGCTGATCGCATCATATTTCTTTACTCTAATATGATCATTTAGTTTAGCTAGCTTCAGAGATGAACACCATTATTAACATTAAAAAATATGAAACCAAAGACTTTAATATTATGCTGTAAATAATTAATTTGAGATTTTAAACGTGTGTTAAATATTCACAGGGGATGGGATGCAGCAGCAATCAAATACAATGAGTTGGGAAAAGGAGAAGGAGCCATGAAGTTTGGTGCCTCTATTAAAGGTAATAGATAAATGTGGGGGACACAATGTTTACATATATTTATCGTAAGTTTGATTGACGAATTTATGTGAAAAAATACCAATCTAGTATATATATAAACACTAACCAAAAAAATTCACATTTACTTTTGATTTGATCAAGCAAACCCTAGCTAGCTAACCTTTGTTTCTCTCCCTTAAGCAACTTCGTAAAGAATATAAATCTTTATCTGATCCATTAACAACTGTTTTTTCTTTTTTCTTTCAGGAAACCCTCACAACGATCTTGAACTAAGTCTTGGTCTTTCTTCGTCATCGGAAAATATAAAGTTGGCAACGGGGGACTATTACAAAGGTATCAACCGACCCGTGATGGGTTTGTTCGGTAAGCAATCATCGATCTATTTACCGGTGACGACCATGAACCCTTTGAAGACCGTTGCAGCATCATCAGGATTCCCTTTTATCACCATGACCACTTCCTCTTCATCCATGTCCACTTGTTTTGATCCATAGGATCCATCAACACTCTTTTTAACTAAGATATCCATAATTTTTTTTTTTTTTGTGTATATCGACCATAAATTTGATTCTTTCCTTAATGAGTGAGAAATATTGAAAGTATTTTTCTAACTTAAAACTCGATAATGTGCCAAACTTCGTTATCACGAAGGACATGTGATGAGTACAAATGGGTTAATTATAAGAAAACTATAATGTTATGAATTGTGACGAGTGCTTAAATGTTCTTCACTACTATCTTGGTTGCATCATTTTTTTTAATTAACAAAATGTATATTATGAAAACATATAGTATAACTTTGTAAAATCTCCTCCCATCTTATTTCCCTTCTACCGCAAATTTCCGTTAAGACCAAAATAGAAGAATTTTTTTTCAATTTTTCATTCATGTCACTTTCTAAAACAAAAGACCAAAGCTGTTTCCCCTTGGCCGTGATTCGTCTCGAGTGCGTCGCTTCCCTGGAGAGTGGTGAGGTTTGGTATGGTACGTTCCCTCTCCGTCTTGCATTTTGCTATGTTGTCGCGACTATGATCTGAGTTCAGTTTAAGCCTTGCTTCAGTTTATAAGAGTATGAGTAATGTAGATTCTTTGGGTGAGAGCTTTTAATTATATTTTAATGGTAAAAAAATAAAAGAGAAAAAGAAATTTCAAATAAAAAAAAGTATAAGCCATAAGAAAAAGACACTTGTCCAAATTTGTATAAAGTCGTCTCTACGACCTCTACTATTATTAAAGAAAAATTGGTGACATCTCATATTTGTTTTATTTTTTTTCTTTTCTTTTCAATTTAAGAGTTTTTTAAAATTTCTCTATCACACATGTTCTAAGAGCACCTCCATCGGTTGGAGATTCAAAGTGGGTATATAAACATTATAAAATCAATATTTTTCTTTTTATTTATTTTTAGATTTAAATTATATCTTAAAAAAGAAAGTAAACAAATAACTAAGAGACAAGTGTCTTACAAAGTTAAAAAACGTATCTAAAAATCCTTATATAATATACGTTGCTTCTTTCTCTCTCATGCTAATCAATTTTTTTAAATATTTTAATGTTTAAAAACTCAAGTAGAAACAACCGATGGACATGGTCTAAGAAATCAGATTATTTGTTGCAAGCAACAAATTTCGGTGTCGCAATTTGTAAAAAAGAAATGTTCTTTTTCAGTAATTGATAAAATTTTTTAATATTTAAATTGTTATAAATAATATGTAATATTTGTTTATTATAATTGTTCTTTTTATTATTTGGGTTACAACGAGCTAGGCCATTTAGCCTATAATTCTTATATACAGAAAGTTTGGATCCAACCCCAAATTTCCAAAACGTCCGACTAAGTTATATAGGTTGTACGCACAGTATGTGGGTACATTTGCTTATTATTTAAAAATATTAAGAAGTAAATATAAATAAGCGAAAGTTGCTAGAGACCTTCGGGAATGGGACCTTTGGGTGGGAGTTATGGCGCGCAGTAGCCACCAGTAAAACGGTAACAATTGCAAAAAATTCTATTTTCCCTAACAATACATTCGCCTCTCTTAACGGCTGTGCTGGGACCTAACTTTTCATTTTGAAGAATGGGAAGTTCTAACTTGCAAAGCTCGTCACATCTATTGTGGTTTTTTCGGTTACCACAGATCCCTGTCGGTGCATTCTCAAGTGCAAATCCACGACAAGCCGACGCCGTATATGGATTATCGGCACTTTTCGCTGTTAAAAAAAAAAAATACACATCATGCATGCATGCGTAGAAACCAAACACAAACAATTCAATGTCTTGTACATTACCTTTGGTCGTTGTCGAAGCAGTGCCGTGCCTAGGTTCAATAGGGGTTGAGGCAAATTTAAAAATTAATTGTTAATATAAACTTTTATAGTAAATATAATTTAGTTTTAATTTTTAATATAAACTCAAATATAATCTAAGTTTATTATTATTATTTTAAATATCATCTAAGCATTACTATAAATAAATAAATATGTTATTGTCGATAGCTAATAAAAATTTTGAAACTATTGAATCATATTTGTTTCTTTAAATAAATAAAAAATAAAAGAAATATGTGCAAAATAATAAAAAAATAAACTAATTAGCGAAAGAAATAGATTTAGGATTCAGATTTTTTTTCCTGATTTGGAAGTCAGATTTTTTCTTTTCAAAAACTATATTAAAAAATAAAATCTCAACATGCATGTCGAGCTTGAATTTCTATAAGAGATATTCCAACAATAAAACCATTTTGGTAAATGGTATTTTTAAAAGTTGGCAGCTTCTAAATTTTATATATGTTCAAACATGAGGCAAATGCCTTTTTAATTACATATAAGGCACGGCTCTGTGTCGAAGCCAACAAAAATATCATTAAAACAATAATCAAGGAAACTACGGTTACACTCTTAAACATGTTTTTTTTTCTTTTCTTTTTCTATCCTAACTGATCTTCTCTTTATTTTTTCCCCATTTGAGTGAATGTAATCATCATCGTCAAACTATTGTATATAGAGAGTATTCAGTTCTAAAAAAAGAAAAAAAAAATAGTCCGTAAAAAAATGCCTACAAAACGGTTATAATTAGAAATTTAATGGACACCTTGTATTTTTTTTTCCTTTAGGACTTTTAGGTTGCCAGATTTACATAATATTGTGCAAACTTATCATGTCATGCCATATGTTCTAGTTGTACTAGAATGTTTTGTACCTTGGTTGGGCTGACCAACTTAGCTGCCTACTATGCCCAAGGAGTACATTGTGCGCCTTAGGTAAACCTAACTGAAACGTGACTTTTCGATTTGGATCGAATACAAGTACCAAATGTGGAGATTTATCAATCAGAGAAATCATATAGTGAAACAAGTAACGTGTGCTGCTAATCTTTAGTCGTTCGTTGCTGCAATATATAACTGCCCAAGAGTTTTTCCTTGAATCAATCGTAACCAAAAAAACAAAAAACATGGAAAATCATCAGAGAATTATCTGGTTTTTGCTCTTGATTAATTGTTTCCCGCTCGCGTGGTCGTCATCACTTCTCACAATCTCAAGCAACGGCACGATTGTGTCCCCACAGAATACTTTCGAGCTCGGTTTCTTCAAACTAGCCCAAGGCCGTAGCGATCGTTGGTACCTCGGGATTTGGTACAGCTCCATCTCTCCTCGGGAGTACGTATGGGTGGCTAACCGAGAGCTACCCATGTACAAATCGGGAGCCCTAAATCTCTCCAACTCCAACCTCCTCCTCATTAATCAGTTTGGAACCGTTGTATGGTCTTCCAATATAGTAGTCCCTTCTCCTCCGTCGTCTCCGGTGGTGGCAGAGCTTCTTGATAACGGAAATTTTGTGCTCCGACAACCGGGACTCGTTTCTTTGGCAGAGCTTCGAATTCCCGACCGACACACTTGTTCCGGGAATGGATTTGACAAAAGGCGCCAATAGAAGCCTTTCTTCCTGGAAAAGCAAAGACGATCCTTCTGTCGGACAATTTTCTTATAAGATGATGCCTGGAAACGATCCGAACCTGCCGGAGATGTTTCTGTGGATGGGAACAGAACCCGTCTACAGAGACGGTCTTTTCTTTATGGGGGATACCAGTTGGGGGAAAATACATGTATTTGGAGAAAAAGAGAAGGGATACTTGCATCTCAAGGTGACATATTCAGGAGCAGTACAGCTATCTTCGTGGTCTCCAACGACAGAACACCTGGACTTGTTATGGTATAGACCCTATGGTAGATGCGATGTATACGGTGAACATTGTGGCTCTAACAGCGTATGCGACGTCGATGAGATGCACACGGTTTGGAAGTGTACGTGTTTCGAAGGATTTGAGCCAAGGTACCCGATTGAACGGAGGCAAAACCGCAAAAGCGATGGATGCAAGAGGATAACTCGGCTGAGCTGTGATGGCAATACGTTTCAGACACTGAAGAATGTAAAATTGCCGGATACAAAGAATGCGATCCTGGAGAAAAGCATTGGCTTCAAAGGATGTGGAAAGAGGTGCCTGAAAGATTGCAACTGTACTGGGTTTGCTAGTTTGGATATGGGGACTAGTGGGTCGGATCAGGATTGCTTAATCTATTCATCTGACGAGCTCGTTGATATACGGAATTTAGTCTTGGGTGGTCAAGATTTGCACGTCAAAGTAGCAGATTCGCATTTTGGTACGTGTTTCTATCATCAGATTCGATATGACCTGACTTGTGTTAATTAGCCTCACAGATATTTTTTGAATACGAATTTTTATTTTGATTTTTCAGAGACGGGTACAAGTGGCGAAAGCAAAGGTCTCATCATTGCTGCTACGACCATCGTCACTCTAGTTATTCTGAGTTTTGCCATGTTCTGGTGGCGTTGGAAAAGGATTCAGAAGCGAACAAGGGAAACTGGTAACAATCTTAATTTTTTCGTTTCATTATGTGGAGCTTTCGATTCCATTTCTCTATGTTTTATACTAAATTTAGTTTTGTCTGGACGTTGTCAAGCGAGGAACACAGATTTGCCAATGGACGGAGACAGAACAGATGTGGGACATGTAGTTTCACAAATGGAGTACCAAACAATCCGTGAAGCTACCGACGACTTCTCTGATTCTAACAAACTTGGCAAAGGGGGTTTTGGTACCGTTTATAAGGTATATTATATATATATATATATATATATATTTTTTTTTTTTTGTTTAACCCTCTTTTATTTTTATTTTTGCTAAGAATTTTTTAAAAGGAACATTAATATTATCTTCAGGGGATATTAAACGATGGAAAAGAAATAGCCGTCAAGAGACTGGAAAAGTTGTCAAACGAGGGAAGATCGCAGTTCTTCAACGAGATTGAGTTGATCTCGAATGTTCAACACAGAAACCTGGTTCGACTTCTTGGGTTTTGCATACACGGGGAGGAGCGTATGTTGGTCTTGGAGTACCAGGCAAATCGGAGTTTGGACTTTTATCTCTTCGGTTAGTTGTAACTTCTTTTACATCTAACTTTTTTTTTTATATATATATAATTGAATGTTTTTGGGACAGAGTAAGTCAGTCCAAATTCCAAATGTGATCAACTCGTAGGGAATTCCGAAAGTTCCAGGCTTACTTGGCATATAAGATACGAAATCATTCATGGAATCGCACGAGGTGTGATGTATCTTCACCAAGATTCGTCTTTCAAAATCATCCACAGAGACTTGAAAGCAGGCAACATCTTGCTTGACAAAGATATGATCCCATCGGATTTTGGAAGAGACGAGGCCCAAACTAACACAAGGGTGCTCGCTGGAACTGAGTAAGTGCTGTTGAGAAACATCTATCGGTCATTACTCTGTGGAAAATCTACAGCTATTGAGTCTATTTTTTGGTTACTCAGGGGATACATGTCGCCGGAATACAGGAACGACAGTCTATTCTCAGATAAATCGGATGTCTTCAGCTTCGGCGTGATGTTTCTTGAGTTATTAAGCGGCAAGAGGAACTACCGATTCATGAACTCGGACGGAGACACCAGAGTCCTCAGCTGGGTAGGGCTAAGCTAATTCTCTTGGGCTTACTATTATTTAAATATATATAACCGAACAACTCTTGTAATATTATTAACAGGTGTGGAGAAACTGGGAGCAAGAACGCTTGCCTGAGTTAATTGATCCATTCCTTCTAGATTCGTCATTATCACAGTCAACTGTGTTTCAAATCGTTAGATCTTTTCAGATCGGTCTCTTGTGTGTTCAAGAACGTGCAGAGGACAGACCTCAGATGTCATCCGTTGTGGTGATGTTAGAGACCGCAGCTACGCTTCCTCGGCCTAAACCTCCCGGTTATTGTTATCATTACGCTACAGCCACATCCACTGCCTTCGAAATTGGTTCCACGTCCGTAGAACCGCTAGGACCAGACATCGTGTCGGTCCTAGTACCTAGATAGATTTTACGGTCTAATGTTTGACCTTTTCTTTTTGGGAGTTATTATTTATAAGATTATACTCTCTTAATATAAATTTTCTATCACTCAATTTTAAGAATCTTTCTAATAGATTTTAATTTTTTGTTCTTCCATTGGTAAAATCTTAATGAAGTTCTTAAAAATAAAAAAAAAATTAGTCTTTTAAGTTTGATAAACTTGTTGAAGACACTATAATGAGAATTCAGCAGATGGTTTTCTATATTCGAAAACGAGAACATGATCAATAAAACAAAAACTACAGAATGAAATTATTTTCTCCAAACCTTGAAAACGATAAAGCTTTGCATAATAACAAAGAACTGAACTGGTTCCTTTCCTTCATAGATGCGAGCCTAAAGACAGGAGAATGAGAATTTTCAGAAAGAAAAAAACATATAAAATCCAACAACATAGACTTTTGAATTGAGTAAAAGACATTAACGAGTGCAGAAGAAAATTTACTTGAGCTGGTACAAATTTCATTGACTCAACCATTTTGCTCGCCATTGAAACTGCAGAAGCTTTTTCTTCCTACATATCAGACAATTATAAGATATTGCAGCAACAATTGCAAGTACATAATCAACCACATCCTTCTTTGAAAGCTTACCTCCACGCTTCGCTTGCCAAACCACGTTCCCATAAGAACTTCTTCTTCATTGTATGTATCATCATCAAATTCTTTCTCTGCTATGTATTCCTTGTATCCAGTGCTAATACCACCCTGCAAAGTTTCAACAGATGGTTTCCACCGGAAAAACAAAATCAGCAGACGTTTTCTATGTTCATGAACGAGAACATAGATGATAAAGCAAAACCAATAGCTAAACGTATCCATGGATGCTGCATCAGTAATTTACACAATGTGAGGCAGAAACCACAAGTTCATTAAGTAAGAGATCTAATCAGATTCACTCGAACAAATTAGTGTTACTGTATTATCATATTACCTGAGTAATAAAGCTATGAGCGCCATCAAGACCCTCTTCCTCTCCAGTATTGAAGAAGAAGATTCGCCGATTGAGAAACAGATCGAGCTAGTTCCAGTATCACATGAGCTCCACCTCTTCATACATTTTCACCAAATAAAAAGTAAACACACACAATTCAAACTACCAACACATGGTGATGGAGATAGGAGATGAAGCAAACATACGTTGAAAAGACGGTATCAATGTGAGAAGAGACCAGAATAGCATTGTCCCCTGCTTCAGAACATCAATCAAAGGTTGGCAAAGTTTCACGATGGTCATCAGCTAATTCTCAATCAATACGGGTTTAATTGTATACTTACATGCCAATGATCATGATCGATGGTGAGCAATTTGGTAATGGCGTAAGTGTCACCGGCGGAGGAGAATGAGATCTGTGAAGCAAGCTCGAATTAGGGTTTCGAATCGACATCAACTCCATCGGAATACTCATCGATCAAGTGATTACTCGCGAAGAGATTAAAGAGAGGGAGAGATAAGAGTTTCTGCTTAGGGAATCAGGGGAGCCATACTTTCCCAAGAGGGGTATGTGATCAGAATCAACAGTGAGAGCCGTACTTTCCCCGATCTTCTAACATCAGCCTGCATCCTCCTCCTTGTCGAGAGCATCGTTATCGATTTCTTTGCTGGAAGATGGCGCTGACGAATCTGGAGCCTTGGGATGATGTTTTCTCATCGTTTTCAGGATTTGGATCGGTTCTGTTTCTGGTAATGGTGGAAAAAGTTACAAAAGCGGAATCGGGAGGAGGAAGTGGATGAATTTGAGTATGGGGATTTTTGGTTTCAGGAAACGAGGATGAGAGCGAAGGGAAGAAAATTTTAATTTTTTTTTAAAGTAATCGACCAATTAGAAACAGACACATTTGGGATTTTTCACAATTCCTAAATTCTTTAGTTAACAACCGACTTTTAACAATTTTACATATTGGTCATCTGTTCTCTATTTTTTTTAATCTAAGAATCTTGTTAAAAACTTTTAAAAATCTCAACCTTCATCGAAGTATATTAATGGTATATTAGAAGGGTTTTTTAGAAATAAAAAATTAAAAAAAAAGAGAAAAGCAATAAAGAGAAACAACAAATGTTTCTGAAAACACAAGTTGTAGAAACGTATGTTAACAAGTGTCGAATTATTATTTGCTCCTTCCTTTTTTTTTCTTTTAAATTTTAATTAAATATATAAATTATATTAGTTTTATATATAGAAGAGAGAATAACTCCACCGCTTCGAGATGCTCTTATCTATTTGAAATTTGAAAATATATAATACATATTTTTTTATGTTATTTCTAAACTTTTAAGTAATTATTAATTTTAGATTCTAAAGATCTAAGAACATCTCAATCATATTATTAATTGGCAAGCAAATTAGATTGTGGTTGAGAGTTATTGTGGTTGATTACTCTTTAGCCCTCATATAAATTTTCTTTAATTACCTAAATCTATTAATTATTTATTTATACTAAATCTAATTATTATTTTTACGATCAAACTTTATTTACGGTTTATGTATTTATGATACTTATTATTGGTTTAAATTATTAACATCGACAGTTTCTAAAACTACTGTTCGTTATCTAGGTTAGATGTCGGTTTAAAAGTAGACCATCTTATCATATTTCTTTTATTTAAGTTATCGATTAAAAAAAAACAGACTTTCTCAAGAATTATATATACTAATTAAACCTAAGTTTCTACTATTCCAATTCAGAATCAGCCGCTTATCGCTTTTTTCTTTTATCATTGATCTTTTTATCATCAATTATGTTTTAGTTATGTTCATGCATATAGTTTTAATAACTAACATGGATGTTCTTTATTGATTTGTTGGTGTTCATATTCCCTTTTGTTTTCTTTGCTGTGAGATTAATAAATTCCTGTTTTTATGTTTTCCAGAGTTCGTATAGAATTAGGGTGATAATCATGAAAGAGCTTTTGATCTGAAGTCCGGATAATACTGAAACCAAACTTAAGGTTGGTTAAATATTTTGATACTTTAGATGTGTTTGTTTTTTGTCTTAGTTTTTTATCGTGTTTACTAATCCCTAAACCTCTATTGTTTATGCTATTTTAGTTCTGTTTATGATTGTTTAAATGTTGTTGCAGTTGTAGACTTACTTTTTTGATTGTGTCTTTTTCTAAGGGTCGAAACATGGGTAACTAAGGGATTGAAAGCAAAAACTTTTAAAAGGTGATTTGTATTTGTTTTAGAGTCCGTATTTCCATTTAATATGATCCAATGTTTGTAAAAAAAAAAATGTATACCTACTTTATTGATTCACTCTTCTTAATCCATCATATGAATGTTTTACCTTTTCCTGAAGAACATGAATAACACAAACCTGAGACATGTAGATGAACAAGGAAGATTAAGAATCTTTCCTTACAACGACTTCAAAGCTTTCCATGGTTACAAGGTTTGAATCAAATTCTCCTTTCTTAATTTTTAACTCTTATCTTCCATTTTTGTTCTGGTAATTCAACTCTAGATATGGTTTCTATTTGGTTATTAGAGGGGATTTTTCAATTTGTTTTTTACTATAAAAGAGTCGAAAGACTACTGATATCACCATATTATTTGTATATGGTATATGATTGCTTAGAAAAGTTTCATTCAAACGTAGCAGATGATAATTGTACTTGGATTTAGATTCTCCATCATAAGTGGAGCAAACACTGATGCTACTTATTTACGCAGATTACAATAGTAACTCTTGATGCATCTTTCTTCCTCAACACTTCAAACCATTGATTCAAATCAAATCATTCTCTTTAGTTTAATCTCACTGAGTACTAAGTTGTTTTGATTTGTATCAATTTATTAATCTGAAAAAAAAAATTCGTCATATATGAACTCTGAAAGTTTATATGGCAGGATGCACCTTTTGTGCCTTTCTTATATGCCTCAGGAAAATCAATAGTACTAAAAATAGCAAATTAGGTCAAGATTGTACGGTCTATCAAAGTTCTTTTGTTTATAGAATCAGTTTTGTTTATATATGGGAACCGGTAGCTGTTTAGAAATCAAATGACATCTGAAAGCTCACGGAAACTAAAGTTTTGATTGAGTCTTCATATTAGAAAATATTTTGTATTTTGTAAGAGAAGAAAAATAACAAGAAAAAGAGGAAAAATTAGTCTAAAAAGAAAAATATCTTTAAGATGAAGTACAAGAAAAAAGAAAACCGGAAGATGATAAAGACAAATTATAAGAAGGTGAAGATAAGGAAGAATACAAAAATGAGATAAATAAAAATTAGAAAAATAAGATATGAGAGAAACACGAAAAAGACGACAAATAAAATCAGAAGAAAAATAAGAAGTTGTAAGAGATGAAGAGGATAAAGCATAAAAGAGTGAGTAAGATAAAAAAGTGAAAGAATAAGAAGACAAAGTCAAATTAGTTGAGGAAGAAACTGTAAATAAATAAAAAATAAAAAAAAACTGAAAGATGAATAAGAAAACAAATGACGAAGACTATTAAGAAGAAAAAGGAGAAAACATGAAAGAGTTAGAGATGAAGAAAACCAGAAGAAGATGAGGAAAAAAACTGGATCATGACAAAGATAAAAGTGTAATAGTGATAGACATGTAATTTTGAAAATCAGTAAGTTGGAGAAGAAGAGTATGAGTAAAAAGTCGGGAACAAAGAGGAAAATAAAACTGTAGGATCAAGTAGAAGAAAAAAACTGAAATATAAAAAAGACAAAGTAGAAAAACGTAAATAAAAAGTGGAAAAATAAGAAGTTAGAGAAAATGAAGACAACAAAATATAAATAGGTAGAAAAGGAAAAAGATGAAGATGATGAAATATACAAAAATTTAGAGCATGACAAAGAAAAAATACAAAAGATATAGCAGAAAAAGAAGAAGAGGTCAAAAGAAGATAATGAATAAGACATAAAAAATTTAAAGATGAATAAAATTGGAAGAAAGTGAAGAAGATGATTGACAAAGATGATGAAGAAGATGAAAGAAAGGAATGTAAGATAGTTGAAGAATAATGTGACAGAGTAAATTGTGAAAGAAAATAAAGAAAATAAGAAGGAGAGGGAAGAAAAAAGAAAGAAGAAAACCAGTAAATAATAAGAAGTGGAAATGAGATAATGATGATTAAAAAGGAGAAGAATGAGAAGAAGAGAAAAAAAAATCAAAAAATAAAGAAGATGAAGAAGAAACTGATGAAGCCGATAAAGAAGAAGAAAGCTATGAAGAGGAAGAAAATCCATAGAAAAAGAATAAAGCTGAAAGACATAGAAAACAAAGTAAAAAAATATGTGAGTTCTTTTCTAAGAATTCTATAAGAATATTAAAAGAGATTGTTAACTATATTGATATATTTATGTGTATTGATTTAGAAGTGTGTTTCTTTGAAAGTATTTAAATTCAACCATTTTATTGTAAAACAGTATAAAGTAAAATAAGTAATTTGTTCGACACACTTATGAAAAACAAAGAAAATCAAAAATATTCAATTTTTTTGTATTAGAACAACAATAGTTCACAATGTTATTATTTGAGAGACCTTTTTATTTACTGCAAATCTGTTAGTAATATTTAAATGAATGTATTTGATATTCTATAATTGCTAGTAAGATGTAAAGACAACTACTGCGAGAAACAGTTGCAGCAAGTTCAAGAAGTTCTTACAAATGCCTATAGTTTATACTCTTTCCGTTTTTGTTTATATGATGTTTTAGAAGATTGTTTTTGTTCAAAATTAAATGAAGTTTTCAGAAATCAATGCAAAAATTAATTTTTTAAATGTTTAAATTTTGTATATTATATTTCTATTCGTTAAATTATTTTGAAATTGATGTTTTATTTCGAAAAAGGAGAAAATTAAATAATTTTTTAATATATATGCAAAACCTTAAACATCTTATATAAAAAAACGGAGAGAATATTTGTCAATGCTAATATAACTTGATAGTTTGTTCTTGAATATTTATATCTTTTAATAAAAAGAAAATATTATGAAAATTTGGTTATTATAAATATCAAAAATAAATACAAACCAATTTTATTAATAAATAGTAATATTATAATTTGTGCATAATATTTGTCTGCGCTGTGCGCAGAGGTCATCTAGTTACTATTATTTAAATACAAATTAATTATATAATTAATTTTTTTTTTTTTAAAAAAGAAATCAATCAACTGTATAAAATGACACATGTACTAAAAAATCTCTTAAGATATCTCAAAGAGTTATGAAACGAGAACCATCTCTCACTGATCTCTCTTGCTTTTTCATTTTTTTATTATTTTAATCTTTAGATATTTGATGAGATATCATCGTTGGAATTGATATAAGAACATGATTAATAGACAACCTTTGAAGAATTCTAAAGAAAAAAAATGATCAAACAATATAATTGGCCAACTTTTTTTTTTTTTATAAACCAATTTTTTTTAATAATAAATGTTTTTAAAGATCCTTTTTCCTCTCAACTCTCCAATAATAATGCTCCCTTGATACTATCAAATTATCAAACACATTTCATTATTATCTGTGAAAGTCTTACTTTCGTTCCCAGAAACCCACACATAAAACCTCCCGAGGTCGAGAAAATGCCGAATTGCAGGTTTCTCTATCACAACGGCGTCGTTTTGGAGGCTCCTCCCGTCGCTACATTCCTTGAATCGCTCACGGGTAATAAGCAACCAAACTATGGCTGACGACTGAAAAAAGTTTTGACTAATCATTTTTCACAGGTGCGTATACAACGACGAGAACGACAAACGGCGGCACTAGCTTCTTGTTCTGGGAGAGGCATATGAAGAGGCTTTCCGGCACGATTCGTATCCTTTCGAATTCAGACCCCGAGCTTCTGTACGGTTCGTCGCGGTTTTCGATGGATCGTCCGGTCCCGGATTCGAGTATCTACGATCTAGTCAATGGTTCTATGAACAAGGCTCTGAGATCCGTTAGGGGAAGAATTCGTGGAGAGGAATTAGCGGTGACGGTTCTCGTCACTGGCGATGCGGAGAAGCTGAGTAGGTTAGGTGGTGAGAAGCGTGACCAGGAGGAGGAGAGAAAGCTTGCGGCGGGTTTTCTCCATGTGTGGTTGCATATAGGTGGATACTCGCCCTGCCCGTTAGGTGCCGCGAGCTTGGCTTTGGTCGGTCATGGCCGACACGTTGCTGCTGCTAAATACTCAGACTGGGCAAGGTACTGTGCTCTGCTCCTCCTCATGGCTCAATTCATTTTGTTAATTTCGTTACGGTTTGTGTGGTCTAGGCAGGCTGAGGAAGCCTCTGGAGAAGTTTAGACCTCATGCGACCACTGAGCTTCTTTTGTCCAACGATGGTGATCATTTGCTTGAGGGTTGCGTCACAAACTTCTTCGTAGTTTGCCGCAGGGTACAGGTACAGAGAGACAAAAGAGGTTTTTGTGAATATTTTCGTTCCGAAAAAAAGAACCCTATGATTTGACTTTGGATCTCATTGTACAAAGTCATCACCACCTGACGATCTCTACGGCGAGAGTTTGAGCGAGTTCGAAGTGCAGACCGCGCCTGTAACCGATGGTGTGCTTCCAGGAGTTATAAGAGAGGTTGTGATTGAGTAAGAAAACAAAATGTTACAGAGTTTTTGAATGTTGTTTGAATAGCTTAACGCTCTTGTTCGTATGATCAATAGTAATTTTTTTTTGCTTTTTGGTCTAGTGTGTGCTTAAGCAAAGGGATTCCATACTGCGAGAGAGCTCCTTCGTGGTCTGAGCGTGAGCTTTGGGAAGAAGCCTTCATTACAAGTAAAAAAAATCTGAGGCCAAACAGTATTCACATGTTGATTGTTGAGATAATATTCTGCATAGTATATTTTAAACATGGCAACAAGTGTTTGGATTCAGGTAGTCTGAGGATTTTGCAGCACGTTGGGACGATTAAAGTACCGGTTGGTTCATTGGAAGCATTGGCTGCTTGTACCAAACCAGAGGAGATTCAGTGGAAGGAGAAAAGGTTTGAGGAAGGACCTGGAATGATCACTGGCTTAATCCAGGTTTGGCTTTTGAGCTAATCCATCACTAAAAATCGATACAACTTATTGTTTTGTTTGGTGATAGAATTTGTTCTTGTTGTTATGTTTGGGTGCAGAGAGCGATAATGGAGAGAGGAGTTGAAGAAGGTTTCCCGTTGAAGGACTTGTAAAGATCCTTTTCATGCTCTTTTTCCCAAATACTAGCTTGACATGTTTATTATTTGGTCTGTGTTTTTAATCTATCAAAATGTTATAGGTATATCAACGCTCTCGTTTTGCGATTTGAGCTAGAAGCTCTTAATTATTATACAACCAACGTCATTTGGTTATACAGTACAGCGATTTTAAGTTGTCGATCGTTATCAAAAGTACACAATCATTTGTAATTTTGTAGCTAAAGCAAAGTTGGAGTAATATATAGCTAAGAATCATAAAACAAAACCGGTCCTAACACTTGATTTTCCCTCGGGAATAGATAAACCAGACTTTGGATAGATCTTGATTAGACCCATCTTATGATTATGAAAGCATATTAATACATGGATTTGACTATGGTAACAATATTAAAATAGTCAACACTTGAGCAAGAAAATACTTAATTAGCAGCATCACGCACGTCTCGCCTCTGAATCCACCGGAGACCATGACCCTTCCACGTCCTGCTAGATCTTAAGTCAACGGTGACTCACAGTGGACACGTGTCACTCAATCATTTGATGCTCTCCGAATCAGCATCAAATACGGCTCCTCCACGTGAGCTCGGGGACTATTTCGCATTAAATAAATACCCGAATTCCCCTCTACTTCAGTTTTTCAGCTCTCTCTCTCTCTCTCACTCGGGTCTAAGAAAATTCTTGGTGATCCGTACATCAATGGCTTCTTCCACAAGCATTTCCCTCCTTCTCTTCGTCTCCTTCCTTCTTCTCGTTAACTCGCGCGCAGAGAATGCGCCAGGTGGCTCAGATCTCGACGAGGAGCTGGCTTTCCTCGCCGCCGAGGAGTCCAAGGAACTCAGCCACGAGGAACACCATCAGTACCGAGACTTCGAGAATTACGAGGATCTCGAGCACGAAGGAGGCGGAGGAGAGTTCCATCACGGCGACCACGAAGGCGGCGGGTACGAGGAGCAGCCGCTACCAACCGTCGACGAGAAAGACGTGGCGGTCCTGACCAAGGACAATCTCACTGCGTTCGTCGGGAACAATAGCTTCGCGTTGGTGGAGTTCTACGCTCCGTGGTGCGGCGCTTGCCAGGCTCTGGCGCCGGAGTACGCCGCGGCGGCGACCGAGTTAAAGGGCGTTGCGGCGCTCGCGAAGATCGACGCGACGGAGGAAGGGGATTTGGCCCAGAAGTACGAGATTCAGGGATTCCCCTCCGTTTTGCTGTTCGTCGACGGAGAAATGCGCAAGACCTACGAAGGAGAAAGGACCAAGTAAGTGTTGGATTTATATCTCTTTTCTCTTTGCTCACGATTAATTAGTAGTCATTGGAATTTTTAGTTAGATTTAGGCTTTCTGAAACTTTGAGATATGAACATGATCATCAGGTTTTCGCTTTGGCATTAGTGATCTGATGCGAGACAGTTCACTGGAGATGTAATAGAGTTAGCATGGATCTTGAGAGATTCTTTGATTTGATAACCCTGAGTAGAATCTTTGAACAAATTTTGATGTTGATGAATCTCGGAAGGTCAATTATGAAATGGTGCAAACTTGATTTTGCAGGGATGGAATCGTGACTTGGCTGAAGAAGAAGGCCAGTCCGAGCATCCACAACATCACTACGAAAGAGGAGGCTGAGCGTGTTTTATCTGCTGAACCCAAACTTGTTCTTGGATTTCTCAACTCCTTAGTGGTATGTAATCCAAATAGCTTTGGTAAAACGTTTGCTTAACCAAAATGGTAACCGTTTGTATTGAACAGTGGTGAGGCTTTTCCGTTTTATAAACCCTATATATTCTGCCATCTTTTTCACCATTTTCTCTTGTTCAGGGGTCGGAGAGTGACGAACTTGCGGCTGCATCCAGATTGGAAGATGATCTCAGTTTTTACCAAACAGCAAGCCCTGATATTGCAAAGCTATTTGAAATAGAATCCGAAGCCAAGCGTCCTGCCTTGGTTTTGTTGAAAAAGGAGGAAGAGAAACTCGCCCGTTTTGGTAAACATGTTACTTCTTTTTTTTTTATTGGCTGCTTAGATCTCCTCTTATGTGTGTGTCTCACTCATTTTGGTCCCTTTTGACAGATGGCAATTTCACCAAGGCGGCTATCGCAGAGTTTGTGTCAGCCAACAAAGTTCCGTTGGTCATCAACTTCACTAGGGAAGGCGCATCGCTGATTTTTGAGAGCGCAGTGAAAAACCAAGTAAAGACCATTCTGTCTTTTGAAAAAAAAAATTCGTTGCTACGAACTAAGGAGATTGACTTTTATTTCTCAAACCTTGTCAGCTCATTCTTTTCGCAAAGGCAAATGAATCAGAGAAGCACCTTCCCACTCTTAGGGAGGTGGCAAAGGCCTTCAAGGGAAAGGTATCTTTGATTTTTCTCGTGAAATTACTCAATACCAAAAACTAGAGGTGGGTGATAACTTTTGTCTACTTATCTGCAGTTTGTATTTGTCTATGTGCAAATGGACAATGAGGACTATGGAGAAGCAGTTTCTGGATTCTTTGGTGTTACCGGCACTGCCCCCAAGGTAAAACTAGTTGATCTGTGTATCGGTTTTGTTTTTGTTAACAAACCAGATTTTGCATTTGTCGTATGCAGGTTCTTGTATACACTGGGAATGAAGATATGAGGAAGTTTATTCTGGACGGTGAATTGACCGTCAAGAACATCAAGGTTGTTGGCTCAACTTATATTTTCTGTGAAATTTTAATGGTTACTTCAAAATATGGTGAGTTATCTTATAACAATGACGTTTTGATTTATTTGGTCTTTTAACAGACACTTGCGGAAGATTTCTTAGCAGACAAACTGAAGCCTTTCTACAAGTCAGATCCTGTACCTGAGAACGTAAGCCTTCCCACATTTCAACACACACACACATCTGACAATCCCACATTGATAATACTGACTCACGAGCTTCTAAATGAAACGCAGGATGACGGTGATGTTAAGATCATTGTGGGAAACAATTTTGATGAGATTGTTCTTGACGAGTCAAAGGATGTTCTTCTCGAGGTAATAGTCACATGGAAACGTTGAGAGTCTTTGTTTTACACATCTTGCTGTTATGTTACCTAAAGCGTGAGTTCTGTCACAGATATATGCGCCTTGGTGTGGCTACTGCCAATCGTTTGAGCCGATTTACAACAAGCTTGGAAAGTATCTGAAGGGCATCGACTCGCTAGTTGTAGCCAAGATGGATGGTACCACCAATGAGCATCCTAGAGCAAAGGTAACTAATTAACAGACAAACTTTGAATTAGCTTTTGGTGATTTGAAAGATTCTGATTTTTTTTTTTGTATTTATGCTCAGGCTGATGGATTCCCAACGATCCTGTTCTTCCCTGGTGGAAACAAGAGCTTCGATCCGGTTAGCAAAGATTATTCACTATACCTTGTTTTGAAAACTTTTGCAAGTGAGTTACTGAATTTGTTAAACATTATAAACAGATCACTGTGGATGTTGACCGTACCGTGGTGGAACTGTACAAATTCCTGAAGAAGCACGCATCAACCCAATTTAAACTTGCGAAACCGGCGACACAAGAACCGGTCATCTCGACTAAGAAGGCTGATGAGAGGGTTGAGGCTGATGGTGTCAAGGATGAGTTGTGATGAGGAACAAAGAGTGTAACAGACTGAGACTATAGATGATGTGACTCTTCTATACATGATAGAAAAGTGTTTTGTCCTTTGTTTATTGTTGGTTTCTTTTTTTTGTATGCTATGAAATGGATAATTTAAAGAATTTTTAATCCGAAAACATTGGCTTAAGAAAATTTCATCAAGCCACGTTAGTAGCAACATACAGACGCCAAAACTAACAATGACTTTGTCAATGGAAACATCACGTTTCGTTTTAAATATTGATTCGATGTGTATCTTTTGTGAATTTCGGAACCATGTTTTTGGAAGTGATGGCCATAGCTCATATTGCATAGTTTCTGCAGACTTTGCCTAAATTACAATTTACTTTTGTTATATGTATCTAATGAACCCTTTCTGGTGTAGGTTATATGGAACCGATTAATCGATTTGATTACATCAAATGTGACTTCGCAAATAAAAATTCCAAATCTAAAAGATGAAAAGATTAGGGAACACGATACAACTTTGACTTGTCATATTTTACATCACCATATACATCTAATATATTATTGAAAACATTATTTTCCAGAGTCCCTCCACACACGTTTCTGATGGATTGCTTTTGACAAAAAAAAAAAAAATATATATATATATATATATATTAGACATCTCTTTTCCGTAAAGGTCAAAATATATATACAATTACTTCTTTTTAATTAGCATTTCAATTCTCTTGAATGCATTTCATCTATTCTAATGAGGGAGGAAGGATAAAAAAAAGATAATAAAATAATAACGTATTATTGATGTTGCTAGTTTGTAAACTACATAATGAAGCTTTATCATATCGTTACTTGGTATGTAAAAATAGGAAAGTCAGAGAGGCAGAGTAAAGATTAGGTGACACTAGCAAAGTACCTTTTTTTCCAAATTTAAGTAACATCTTAGTGACAATTGCTTATTGTCTTTTAAAGTCTCTCATATTGAAATCGAATTAGCATATATAGATAAATATAATATTAAATCCACAAGTTAACAGTATTAGTAAGAGTATATATCAAATCTGGAGAATTTGAGAATTAAAATCTAACCTTTTTGGCTAACATATCAGCAGCATTTAATGAAATATTAACTATAATTATCCAAATTATAAAAATAAATCTCTCTGTATAAGTGAATGCAACTGCAAGTGCGTGTATATAAGAAATAAATTATAAATATTTATTGCTCGTTCCTCTTTTTATTAATCCGCGTTTTGTCTGCCTTCGCCTTTCTCTTCAATCTGGGTTTGGTGGGGGGGGGGGGGGAGGTTTTAAGTAAAGCGTGCGATACAAAAACAGACATCCTCTGTAACTCCTGTGTTCTTGCCCTACTCTTCTTCATCATCTCTCCTCTTTCTTCTCTTCTCTTCTCTTCTCTTCTTGGTGTCTAATATATCAGTGCTTCGTTTGTTCTGCATAAAAGTAAAAGATTCACCTTCTTAAGGCTGATTCAGATATAGTCTTTTTCTTTTCTCCGCAAAAGACGAGCTCGTGTTGAATTAAGAGAAAGCATAGAAAAAAAAACATTAAGAATTTGAAGATTCCGCGCAAAAGAAGAGAAAGTCGATACTTTTTTTCTTTCTTCCCCCTGGTGATTCCTCGCTTTAAATTTGAGAAGACGACTTACTTTGGTTTGACCAAAGACGACGGGTTTGATCTGAATCTCTTGTGTTCATATGGAAGACAAAAAGAATTAGTTTTTTTTTTTTGTTGTTGTCTTATTTGGGCCCAAATACTGGGGTTTGGATTCTCTCAATCATCATGCAAAGAGTACGCAATAAACCGATTAAATCCAGCGGAGGAACCACGACGGCTTCCGTCAAGCATTTAATCAAACAGAGAGGCGGTGGTGGAGGGGGAGGAAGTGGCGGAGATACGGCGGCTCTGGAGGTTTCCAAGCCGGCTAATGACAACAGCGCCTTGACAGATATGCAGGAGCCGAGCATCGATACGGACAAGCTCAGCTACGAGATTTTCTCGATTCTCGAGAGCAAGTTTCTTTTCGGGTACGACGACAGCAACGACGAGCAACACCCTAAAACCACGGTACCCAGAAACCTCAACCCTCAACCCGAACCCGAACCCGTGAATTCGGCGCCTGCGATTGGCTCCGTTCCTGGGTCCATTAAGAACCAGAGAGGGAAGATCTGTATCCTGAGCATCGATGGAGGAGGCATGAGAGGGATTTTGCCCGGGAAAGCGTTGGCTTATCTAGAACACGCTCTGAAATCGAAGTCGGGCGACCCGAATGCTCGAATCGCCGATTACTTCGACGTAGCCGCCGGGTCCGGTATAGGCGGGATTTTCACGGCGATGCTATTCGGGTCGAGGGACGGTAACCGTCCGATCTTCAGGGCAGAGGAGACGTGGCAGTTCCTAACGAAGAACGCAAAGGGTCTTTACGGGTCGACACCGTCTTCTTCGCTGATGAAGCGGGTCATGAGAACCGGGTCGTCGGGTTGTTCCGCGACGAAGAAGCTACAGAGAGTGATGAAAGAGTCCTTCTCGGAGCTAACCTTAAAGGACACGCTCAAGCCGGTGCTCATACCCTGCTACGACCTGAAAAGCTCTGCTCCGTTCCTCTTCTCACGCGCCGACGCGCTGGAGACGGACGGCTACGATTTTCGTCTCTGGGAGGTTTGTAGAGCGACTTGGGCTGAGCCTGGGGTGTTCGAGCCGGTGGAGATAAAATCGGTCGATGGAAAGACCAAGTGTGTGGCGATCGGTGGAGGATTAGCGACGAGCAATCCAACGGCGGCTGCGATCACGCACGTGCTGCACAACAAGCAGGAGTTTCCGTTCGTGCGAGGAGTTGAGGATCTGCTTGTTCTGTCTCTTGGGCTGGGTCAGTTGCTTGATGTGAGCTATGAGTATGACCGGATTATCAAGTGGACGGCCAAGCATTGGGCTCGCCCCGCCGCTCTCATTTCTAACGACGGTGCTGCCGACACCGTCGATCAAGCTGTCGCCATGGCTTTTGGTCACTGCCGCAGCAGCAACTACGTCCGGATTCAGGTATGAACATAAATGCTCAGTAGTTGGTTTGGCCTTGGACTAGAAAATTAGAGTCCTTTGGTGGTCATAAGTTCATGGTACTTGTAACTGAGTGATAATTGTAGTAGTTACTAAGTGATGGGTGTTGTTGCAGGCGAATGGGTCGAGCTTAGGACCTTGCAGGCCAAACATAGACACAGACCCGAGTGGGAGCAATGTGAACATGCTGGTCGGAGTAGCGGAGGAGATGCTAAAGCAAAAGAATGTAGAGTCGGTTTTGTTTGGAGGTAAAAGGATCGATGAACAGAGCAATTTCGAGAAGCTTGACTGGTTAGCCGGGGAACTTGTTCTCGAGCATCAAAGGAGAAATTGCAGAATCGCTCCAACCGTAGCGTTCAAGCAATCTGTTCGCAGGGCGGATCACAAGACAAGGGACAAGGATATCGGTGTGACCGCTAGAGAACGATGAACAACAAAAGGGTCTTCTTGTTCTTCTCTTTTGGTTTGTTTAGATAAATTTAGGATCAGGTTATGATTTGTTGTATAGATTTGAGTCTGTGTTTGAGTTCCGAGACATGGGGAAACATCATCGATCATCTTGCAAAAAAGGGCTCAAGCCCCTTCATTCATGCTGCCAGAAAAAGACAACATGATTCCTGTAATTGGGGGTTTGTCTTTGTTTTACTATAATCATATCATGATTTGTTCTTTGCGGCATTTCCACTAACTTTAAGCAACCAAATGAATCCAAAAATTTGTATTCATATTTGCTTTGTTTCTGAGTAAGATAATGGCACTAAGATGGAAGATTGCCAAATATTTATTAGTATAGAAAATATTAATGTTAAATGTAAAAGACAAATTACTCTAATATAGTTGTTTCTATTACGCCAAAAAAATGCTTTAATTATATAAAGAATAAATTTGTCTGAGCTGTCTCTAAGCGTACGGAGCCGTAGAATAATGGATTGAAATTGTAATTCCACAAAGAGTATGGTTGATAAAAACCTGCGAAATCACGAAATTGTTCTACTATTCCTCTGTTCCAGGAGTTACTAAGCAAATTATTAACCTTTAAAGTCTATAATTCGTGGAAGTCATCCAATAAAACACTCTTGGAGCTCGAGAGAAGACACTATTTAATGACAATAAATATATAAAAACAAAGGGTCACAACTTTGTATCATTAATAAAATACTTCAATAGTAGCTTCGACTATTAAATTTTGTCGGAATCTCTTTTAATGTGTAAAACTACGTGCAAACACCAACCAATCTCGTTAGTTAATTGATTTGATTTCATGTGGACTTGGGATCAATAAAATTTGTTATGTGATCACATCGTTGGAAGAAAATCAAAAACTCATTATCTTGATTTATCTAAATTTTGGTTAGGAATTGAAAAACGTTTTAAAAATTCCAAAAAGAAACACAAATGTTGTCGTTATGGCTCTTGCGCGTGTGCGAGCGTCGAGGGAGGGACGGTGCGAGAACGTCATATACCTGTGAGTAGCCCCACGTCTTTGATTGTCGGTTCGGTCTCATCCACCGACACTCAAAACAATATTTTCATTTGTTTACAACTATTATAACTTTTTTATATTTAAATTTGGAGATCTTTTTTATTCCTATCAAATTATGCGTCGGTCCAAATATATCTAGTAGCAAATTTCATCTTTAGTTTGGTTGCTTCTTTACGTGATGTCATTTTTTCATCGGGACAACTATTCGATGCCTTTGTCTATGCTTGCATGCCCTCAACTATAGTTTCAGTTTACGATGGAGTTTCGGGTTCGACCGTTCGAATTCCGTCTAAGTTGGGATTATTTTAGTTTGAAAGAAACGTATCAAAGTCAAACCAAAATCATTATGGTTTCATGTAGCTTTTGCCTTTTGTTTTGGCTTAGATTTGATTATAAAAATCTTGTGCCTAAATTTTGGTTTATATATATATATATATAATTTATTATATGTTTTCTTATCTTGGTTTGGTTTGGTTTATTACTTTTCTTTCATCTAAAAGATTTAATTTTCCAAAACTAACATATACTCGGTTTAGTTAACAAATGTACGATTTTGTTAGGTCTAGAGGTTTTGCATGTTTAGGTTTAGAGGGTTTTGTACGATGGTCATATTTAAAAGATCATGCATGTTTAGGTCTAGAGGTTTTGTACGATAGTCATATTTGGGTAAACAAAAAGATTCGGTTTTTAGGTTCATAATTTCCTGATTTGGAGACAAAAAATACAAGTTCGTCTCTTCTTTATCGCCATACACGAACTCCCAATTCTGATAATCTCTTCTTCTGGATAGATTCCTCCAAGTTGAGTTATCAACGTCAAAGTAAGTGAAATAATTCCACTTTTTTTAGCCCCTTTTTATAAAAGATAATTCTACTTTTACTTGTATTTTTAGTGCCCGATCGAATTTATAATGCATGGTTGATAATGGTTCACTTCTCAAACATAATGCTGATTGTATTATCCGAATAAATTAACCGAATTACATTGTGAAAATAGTTTTAAATATTTTTTTTTCATATATATATATACATTACATAGTAGATTTGTCTTCTTTTTACAAAAGGTTATATTCATAAAAGTAGATATATATGTTTCTAGTTGAAAGAATCAAAAGAAAGAGACGCTAGTTTTTATTATCGCAAAATGGTTAAGCTTTTGTCTAGTTATACTAATCGCATCACACACAAAAAAACGCCGAAAGTGAAACTTTTGAAACAAAGTGGGTTTCGAGTTCGCACTCTACGTTCTCATTCAATAGACTTTTGTTGTCTTTTGAGGGGTCGAAAGTCTGAGATTTCACAAAGGCAAAAAGAAAAGGAAAAGGAGAAAAGAAGAGAAGAGAAGGGTTTATAGTAAGTAGAAGAAGATCTCTTGAGTGGGATACTCTTGCCCAGCACCGGACAGGCATCATGGGACCCTCTTCTCACGTCGTATTCCACAATACGACACACAACTTTATCAAATTATGGCAACCTGACTCGGTCAATTTCTTAACCATATTTGTAAATTCTCTTGTTTTCAGTTTTTATCTATTGACTAATGAACAAACAAATGAAACAAAAGCCATAAAGCTTCACGCCCACAACAACAACCTAAAAGAAGAATGCATTTAAGTAGCTACTTCATTTAGAAACAAACTTTGTTTGCAGTTTTATTTGCCGGTACTTGAAAGCTTAATTAATTTTGGGAAAATAACCCAAACATCAGAGAGGTTTAGACAGAAATTATTCATTTACAGATTGTAGTAACGTGATCAAAAATTGTAGTGATTTAATTTGTTGAGTTATCTACTTGTTGATTTAGCATGCACGTCACATGAGAAGATAACTAACTGATGATTATTTGATTGTTAGCATGCCACATTCCATAGGTAGCGTACTACGTTATCATGTGATGTTATATGTCCACTTAGATGCATTCTTATAATTTGTATGCATTATAATCCTTTCTCTCTTAACAAAAGAAAATTAAAAGAGATCACAAGATATATTTGGAAATTCCTAGTGGCATTTCAAGACTTATGTAACAAGCAAAACAAACAAGATGCAAAAGGACAAAAACCTACAAAATCGATGAAGAACAGACTATTGACAGAAGCCTCGACTGCGGTTTAGCTCCTTTCAATATGTGATATTGCCATATTGGTCTTGGATCATGAGAGAAGAAGGGAGGATGAAAGAGGAAATGTCAGAACGAAATTCTATGTGAAACGAAATAATTAATACTCGAAAATATACTCTTTAGATTAGCTTTTCTCAACTTGTGAGTTTAAGACAGTTTGTCAGGTCACGAGTTATAAGATTCGAGTAAACGTTAAGAAGTATGTTTTTGAGATTTATTCGTTTCACATTGATCTAGGTTTATAGATTTGTCTCAATCCTGAACAGTATTCTGATTGGAGATGAAAAAATTAGGGTTTAGAGATTTTGTTGTTAATGTTTGCGAATTGCTAGAAAAGGGTTCCATGGTTTCATAATGGGTTGTTAAATCATCCGGTTCAACTGTAAGTTCTCTCGTTTAAATTCAAGTTCGGTTGGTTTAATTTGGACTAAGTCACAGTACTATGGGCTGGGCTGGGCTGGGCTGGGCTGGGCTGGGCTAGATTTGTAATACTTGTTTTTTTCAACTAAAAAAACCATTGAATCGACAAGCTTCTGTAAGCTTGTACAAATACCATTAGAATAGTGTGCAACGACCAAAACAAAGAATCAAGAAAGAGATTTGGGTATATAATGGATCTCATGGAGAAACGGCTGCCGGTTTCTTGATTCGTAAATTTTTGGTGTTAGCTCTCTGGTCGGTTTAATTTTTTTTGTTAGACCAATAGAAAATAGTTTCACAATTTACAGAAATAACCCACTTGAAAAAAAGGCTTCAAAACTATTTGAAAAATTACTTCAAATACACATAATATAAATTTTTGTTTCATATATATACTAAAATTTTTTTAAAAAAATTTCATATTATTTTGTATTATATTAATTTTAATCAGATAAAATATTAGTTAATAATAAAAAAAATAAATAATATACAAACAAATATAGTTAAAACTGATCTAAAATCGAATCATTTATTTTGTTTAAAACCATTCTTCTCATTTGAATCTTTTAAATTTTTAGATTTTTTTTAATAAAAAAATAATTTCAAAATTTAATATAATAAATAAATTTAATATAATTAAATAAAAAATTCAAAAAATTTGAACTAAAACAACAACAATAATAAAAAAAAAATCAGCAAAAATTAAAATTTAAATATCGCAAAAATAAGAAAAAAGATGAAAATAAATTTAAAAAAATATTTTAAAATTTTAAAAAAACTTTCTTAAAATATATAAATTAAAAAAATAATTATATATATTTAAAATACCTTCTTAAACCGTATAATTGATTATTATTTTTATTAATTTATACCGCTCAAATTCATAAAACTTTTCTAACAATTAAACCTTCTATTATTCAGAAAATCCTTCAATAATTCAAAAAATTTTAAAAAAATTAAAAAAATTAAAAAAAATTTTCTAAACTATAAGAAACGTTAAATTTTAGTATTTGTTAAATTTTAGTATTCGAAAAATTTTCCTAAAAAAATTACGAAACATAAAAAAAAAAAAAATTTAGAAAGACTTTTCTAAAAAATAAAATCGAAAAACTCAAATAAAAATGTTATGGAAAATTTTTAGTTCCCTGAAAACTTATTTTTAATATAATTATAAAAATTGCCCAAACTATTTTCCTGTGTTCTTTAGTTTCCATTCAAAACAAGTGTGCATGTGACAAATGTAAGCCGTTACTTTGAAAATCAAATTATAGCTCCAAAACAATATAAGCTTTAGACAAACCAGAGTATAGCATATTGTAATAATTTTGTTTTGCTTGACAAATTTATTTTTACACTCACCCCGCAAAGATTAGGTGGTAACTGGTGACTACACTAAGGTACGTGCTATATTGCCCCATTGTTTAGTGTTTTACCAAAAGACAATCGCACAAAGAGACCCAATGAAACACAAGCTTCACTCGTAAAACATGTAACACTTAAATAAGACCAAGAGGAATATATTTTATTAAGAAAGACAAGACCCACCTAGGACGAAACTTGGGTCACCACTGCAGAGACCATTGAGTTAATCCCACACATGTCATGGCCACGACACAGCTTGTAGTACCCATTATCTCCCCAGTTTTTCCCCCACGAGTTCTTGATAATCCAATACGGTTTATTACTAAGCCGCAAGATCGAAAACCCTTTTGATCCGTACCCAACAAGAAGCACCCCGTGGTTTATCTTTTTCTTGCTACATATAAGCGGACACGACACTCCTCCTATGTACGTCTGCATGAACACCGCGTTTAACCCCACTGTGTTCAACAAAACAACAAAGTATTTAGAGATCTTTGCCCAATTCACACAGTAACCAAATTTTCTTTTTCACGAGCATATATTAGTTATCACCTGCTAAAGGACCATGCTGTACTAAAGTTGCTGTGATCTGGTCCTCGTCCAATGGTATGTTCGTGAAGTTGACTACTTTGACTGCAACCTTTGTAGGATCGAACTTGCAATGGCCTCGTTTGCCAGTGTAAGGATATGATTTTTCCTCTTCTAAGCCTCCTGCTTTCTTCAAATACTCGTACGCATTTGTCATGAGTCCCCCGCCACATCCATCATCGCACGCTTTCTTATCCTTTGGATCGCACTATACTCATTCCAAATAAATTTTCAGAGTTTTCAAATGAATAATTAGTACCAGTACATATATATATATATCTTAGTACGTTTAAAAATCATTAAAATGAATGGACTCACACATTAACACATACCGCGTTATCACAATCCACAAGTTGTTGTTCGCTAAGACTAATTAGCTCCCCGGTGGAGACAAAATGGGCTCCTTCAACTGCTCCTGTTGTGCTAAAAGCCCAGCACGATCCACATGAACCCTTCACATCCACACTTAAATGCTCATTAACGTTGATATGAACATACACTATCATAAACTAAGATACTTCTCTTTTGAAGTTAGGAACTTACTCATAAGTGAACCATATAAATCCCCTACCAAAAATTGTATTTAATCAGTGATTACATAATTTTGTTTTTGTCATTTTTAAATATTACATAAGTTTCTAATTTAATCTTGGTACTCAAAAAGTTCAAATTTATGTAACAACTAATCTATTTACTACCAAGCAAAGGCATATATATCCAATGTTACGTTGTAAAAGAAAATTTTAATGGGTGTGCAAGATGTAAAACATGTATAAAGGAAACATACTTGATCCTTGACCTCAGTAACTGCACCTTTATCCCTCCAGTCAAAATCTTTGGGCAATCCCTCAACTTTTACCATGGGTGCCTCCGCTCCAACAGCACCGTCACGGGGGCTGCTAACATCGGTTAATCCAGTGTACATCCTCTTGAATTCCTCTTCCGTTAGGTCAGAGAACCGTGTGACACCGTGGACGGCGGTGGGATCCAACATCTGGTGCTCGGCCGCCTTGATGACGTTTTTAGCAAATATACCGAGGCGGTGGATGTACTCCTCCCGCGTGGAGTAGCTCTTGCCGTAGTCAGACATGAAAACCCGGAATTTTCTCTCCGTGTGTGTCCCGAGGAGATTGGGAGGTCGATCGTCTGTGACTTGGCGTATGGTGAGGTCCTCTAAGGAAGCTGCCCCGTGGCAAAAGAGGGTGGTGCATGTTATGAACAAAGCTAAGGTTTTAGCCATCATGATCGCTCTGTTTCGATGGGTCTTGTTCTGAGGCGGCCTTGCTTAATCTCTGGAGATTCGATGGCTTTGTGTATGTATATAAACAGAGGGGTGATTGATTATATGAGTCTGAGCTTAATTTGAGGTAACGAAAGTGTTGGAGTTACACATGCAGATAGGAGACACGTGGGATGTTTGCATGTTGAGTTTCACATCGAAGCTGCATGACACGTGACTCTCTTTTGCCATCTTTGAGATTTTTGGTACCGGCGTTGCATTAATGCTTTTATTGTAAATGCGTAGACATAATTTATCCGGTTTAGATTTGAGGGGAGTGGCGTAGTATGCGTCAGTGATCATGTTACGCGATATATTGCTGGAACCTTTTATAGAAATGTAATGGAGTACTAGTGTGTGTACTACTCGATTACCTATAATAACAAATGAAATTGACTCTTTTTAGGAATCTTGATATGCGAAACTCAATAAAAACCCATAGATCAAAATGTCTGATCACAAAATAAAAAAAATGGATTGTGTCATACAAATTTACCTGATGTTGGACTAAAAAATGTTAGCACCGATTACATCTTTTCAAACAGAATAATACTACGTACTAGTTTAAATAACTTTGTTAAATGAGATTCTAATACTCCACCACATTACATGTTTTATCTTACTTTTAGCTACTTTCAAAACATACAGAAGTGGTACATTACAGTATAAGAGTTTGCATATTTGAAAAAAATAATCATTCTATATAAGTGCGCTTTGCCTTGTATTATGCGGCATGAGAAAATGATTTCACAATTTTCAACATTTAATCATTGAAATTACAGTTTATATTCACCTATTGTCGGCGAAATAATTTGAAGTATCATGTACTTCATGATACTTCTGAAACAATGTAAAAGAAGTTTATCATTTTTTCATTTTGCTGTTTTTATTTACTAATATTTTGCTTATTCTTTTGTATTTTCTTAGTGATCTCTTATAATTCTATGATACTACTAATTATTTACCAAAAAAGTGATATTACTAAATGAAAATTTAAAAACTTACATAATTGAGAAAAATTAAAAAGAATTTGTTTTTCTCAGATAAAAAATGATTTTCCGAAGCTCTAGATATCAAAAATTATCACAGTATATCGTTTTAAAAATGGTTAAAAATACATCTCCCCCAAATTTGATCTCCTCCTTCATCCTCTGACATCATTTTCTCTCGGTTTTCTGGTTTTGCCTGAACAGTATTCCACAATCCCGTTTTGCCCTAATGCTTCTCCATCTCCGATCTCAGATTTCTCCTCCATTCATCGCTTTCGAGGTAAAACATTTTTAATTCTCCCTCTTTTGTAATTTACTTTCGTTTTTCAATTCCTTGTGAACGAAAGAACGAACCAGAACAATCTCATTTCATCTCACGACGAATCTTTCTTTTTCTGTTTTCTCTCTAGGTTTTGATCAATCCATCTGACAACAAACAAAAGACTGCATTTTTAAGACAAAAATCCGAAGATGTTCAACAAAATCATGAAACTGGGCCAGAAGAAATTCAACAAATCGGATCAACATCACCAAGATAACAACCCCGGCAACAACGTCGTTCGCGGCAGCCGCACCGCAACCGCCGCCGCTTCGTCGGCGTCAAATGGCGAATCTCAGACGGCGGCTCCGTTTCCTTCGCAGATGCCGATTCACCCAATGTTCACATCAGCGCCGACCCTCGAAGTGCTTCCGTTGCTGAAAGACGTTTCTTCCTCAGATCGGCCTCTCCTCTTCATGAAGAAGGCACACATGTGCTCTTGCCAATGCGATTTCTCCGATACCTTGATAATGCCGCGGGAGAAAGAGATCAAGCGGCAGACGCTTCTCGAGCTCGTGGATTTCCTCCACTCTTCCTCCGGCAAAGTCAACGAGACGATGCAGAGCGAGCTCATAAAAATGGTCTCCGCCAACATTTTCCGGTGTCTCCCACCGGCGCACCACGAGAACACGGGAGCTCCTCCTGAAGGGAACGACCCTGAAGAGGAAGAGCCTTATCTCGAGCCATGGTGGCCTCACCTGCAGCTCGTCTACGAGCTTCTCTTGCGTTACGTAGTGTCTTCAGAGATCGAGCCCAAGACCGCTAAAAAATTCATCAACCACACCTTCGTGTCGAGGCTACTCGACCTGTTCGACTCGGAGGATCCCAGGGAGAGGGAATACTTGAAAACCGTGCTCCACAGGATCTACGGGAAGTTCATTTTCCACCGTCCGTTTATCAGATGCTCCATCTACAACATCTTCTACAAGTTCTTGTACGAGACTGAGAGGTGCATCGGAATCGGAGAGCTGCTGGAGATACTAGGAAGCGTGATCAACGGGTTTACGGTGCCGATGAGAGAGGAGCACAGGTTGTATCTCGCGAAGGCCATTTTGCCATTACACAAGTCTAAAGGTATCTCGATCTTCCACCAGCAGCTGTCGTACTGCGTGACGCAGTTTGTGGAGAAAGACTACAAATTGGCTGATACGGTGATACGTGGGCTGTTGAAGTATTGGCCGCTTACCAACTGTCAGAAGGAAGTTCTGTTCTTGGGGGAGTTAGAGGAGGTCTTGGATGCTACAGAGCCTTCCGAGTTTCAGCAATGTGTTGTTCCTCTGTTCACACAGATTGGGAAATGTCTGAACAGCGCACACTTCCAGGTTTGGTTCCTGCTGCGAAATTTGGCATTTTAGATATACAATTGAGTATTGGTGTAATTTGTTGATGGAGAGATGTGAGGATATTTCAGGTGGCGGAGAGAGCTCTTTTCTTGTGGAACAACGAACATATCGTAGGGCTGATTGCTCAGAACAAAGACGTGATCTTCCCGATAATATTTGAAGCGTTGGAGAGGAACATGAGAGGACATTGGAACCAGGCGGTGCATGGTCTCTCTGAGAACGTTAGAAGAATGTTTATGGAGATGGACACTGAGCTGTTTGAAGAGTGCGAGAAACAACATCCGGAGAACGAAGCTAAGGCTTGCGAGCTGTTGGAACAAAGAGAGTTGACGTGGAAGAGACTTGAAGAAGCTGCTTCTTTAGCTGCAAACTAAAAAGCCCATTTTGATGCCTGGCTTTTTTAGCAACCTTCTTCATTTTTCAAGAGTAATGTTTTTTAGAAACTCTCTAATAATTTATTTATTTATTCGTTTGTTCTTTTCTTCTTTTCTTTTTGGTCACTTGTAAATGGCGACCGGGAATATGAATCCACATGTCGCCGACTAGATCATGTCATAGAAGATAAATTTAGTGCTGTTTATTGCAGCTTCTGCAAAACTTGGTATTAGCAATTAACAAAGTGATTAAGCGACGATGATGACAACATGATTTTTAACTACTCTTTAATCAAAAGAGAGTGAAACCCAACATATCATGTTATACACATTTCTTTAAAAAGTGACAATAAACTAAAAACACCTTTATTCTCTACACAGCACATTTTTTAACGTAATTATGGTGAAAGGAATAAAGGTATTGGACACAATAAGATAGTGGAGTAACAGAAAGATGAAATGTTACATCTTAGATGAAACCATTGCATTTGATTTGATGAGAGAAAGTTCGTCTTGGACGTTGCCTTCACATTCCAACTTCTGGTTTTGGTTTTGTAATGTTGTGAACCCAAAAGAAATGAAAAAAAGAACAAAGATAATAAATAATGGAGGGACACTTTTACACCAAAAACCAATCAATTGAACGGTCCAAATCCTATTTGTTATATCCTTGCGGTCTACAACAATAATAGAGTTGTTGATGATGACAAAACACAAATCATTAACAAAGAAAACAATAACGTTAAACGCGGCCGAGGCGGCGGTGCATCGCTTCCGAATATCATCCCAAAGAAATTGCTGTCATCGCCGCCGCTGCTGCTGCTGCTGCTTCCTCTCGTCGTACCGCCTATAGCACCACTCACTCCACCGCTGATATCGCTACCGCCGCTTCCACCGCCGCCAGAATCGCCACTCTGACCTTCATCATCCCTGTTCCCCAAAACATTTCGTTATGCCTACTAAATTCGACCATATATGCTAAATCCAAAGCATAAAAAGAAAGTCAAAAGGATAATGCCATTAAAAAAAGGGTCCATATGAAAAAGAATCATCTTTTTCTACGTAGGGACCCAACTCACTAAACCACATTTCCATCATAATTACATCATAACTTCCAAAAAATTTAATGACCTTTTTCGTATTTTAAATTGACTAGGGAACAAATAATAATTAACATCTGAAGTATCAAAAATGTAGAAGCATCATTATGCATATCTTATTTAAAAAATCTTAAAATTATGACATTTAGACCGCCCATTTTCCCAAATGGACAAAAAAATTGAAAGAGTTGTAGTAGTCTAAAATAATTAAAATATGACAAAAATGAGCAAGTGGGATTTTTAATTCAGACACCAGTCAAGTTGGTCGGTTCCCCCAGGCAGACTATCACGTGCGTCTACTTGAATTCGGGAATACTGCCAAATTCTAACCTCTGATATTCTCAATGAGCTACTTTTATTTTTTTCATTCAAAAACCGATAAGTCATTTAAATTGTTTATACATTGTTAATTAAACTATATAAGGTCTCTATTTGAGGAATAATGTAAATGTAATATAGAAGCTCAAAAGAGAAATGACCAGTCTTATCATGCGGTAATCACGCGCTTTCACAGCTAATCTAATTATAACTAAACATGGAAATGGATGATGATGCATCAACTCAAAAATGTTTTGTTACTTGATAAAAAAAAAGGGTAAAAGTGGAAAAGGTACCTGGGACCGCCAAAAACGCCAGCGTTTTGAGTGAGCTGGTCTACGAGAGCCGCAGCTTTAGGCTCCACACTCGAAGCTTTAGAGAACAGTGAGCTCACACTTTCACCAGAGGCCACAAAGAAAGCTCCGTTCTCCATCAGATCTCCTTCCGTTCTCCAATTCCAATTCGACCACTCACCATCGTCTTTCGAATCCACTCGCTTCGTCACCTGCTTTTCACAAAATCTCACAATCAGCAATCTATGGTGTACACGCGCCGCCGTGGCGCGTGGTGTTTAAAAAGGGTAATGAAGAAAAAAGTGTAAGTGTGTGGACAGAGAGAAGCAGCAACAAGCAGCCCACATGGCTGTCATGCACTATATACATAATTACATACCATCACTGTCTCACTCCTCCTACATAAGATTCTTTTACTATGTGTATGTATAAACTGTATATCCATTTTTTCTTTTTACATTGGAGTATACGATATTTCCAGATATTATTTGCTCCTCCACAAGATTAACAACTGTCCATGTGAAAGATGAACTGGATTCATTGGACCATACTCAACATCTTTACTAGCCAAAATCGACCAATCAAAACTCCTCAATTACTCACAAGTCGGACCTCTATGGTAAAAAAAAAAATCTAAATCTCTGGCACAAATCTAACTAAACCCTAAAAACTTCTGAAACAATTAAACCTAAAAAGCTAACCTAAAACTTCAAAAAAAGGGAAGATTTTTCGACAAGGGTTAAACTCAATTTAGTAAAGAAAACAAAAATGAAAAAGTTTCTAAATTATACCTCTTTGGCGCTAGGATCAGAAGGAGCAGAGTAACGATTCCCTTGGCTGTTAATGGTGGGATTGCCACTACCACCAATAGCATACATCTTCCAAGATGTGAAATCGTTGTTGACCACATGAATATAGCCTCTCCGACACCTAGGCATCCTCTGAACAAGCCCTTGTCCGAAATGATTGAACGCAATCGTCACCTGCATCCCCGTGTCCGGCGCGTAGCTGTCGTCGTGACCCAACAGCATCACCTCGTTGTGATGCGTGAAGTAGTTGTTCGATATGGTTATCGCCGTCGAGCCCAGCACCGCATCGATAAGCCCGTCGGTACAATGGCTCATCGAGCAATGGTCGACCCAGATCTTCTGAGATCCGAAAATGGAGATCCCGTCGCCGTCGGAGTTGCCTCTTTTCCCGGCTTTTGTAGGCGAGGCGGCAACGACGGCTCCTCCAGAAGGCTTGCAGTCGTAGATGTGGATGTTGTGGACGATGACGTGTTGCACGTACTGGATGGTCAAGCAGCCGTTACCGGTGATGTGCACGGCGGATCCGCGGCCGTCTAGGGTCTTGTAGCTGTTGATGATGAGCTCTTGTTTCAACCTGATGAGCATGTTTGAGGAGAAGACGATCCAGAGTGGCTCTTCCTGGATTACGCCGTAACGGAGTGTCCCTTCGGTTGGGTTTGCTGGATTGTTGTCGGAGGAGTCCGTTACGACGTAGATCCGGCCGTTTTTGCCGCCGAGTGTGCCGCGGCCGAAGCCGATTGAGCAGTCGGCGAGTCTCTGGCGGTTGGAAGACCAGTCGGAGGAGTCGCATCGCCAGCAATCGTCGATTGGGTTTCCGGTACGGCAAGTGGATGATGAAGATGATGAGCTGAGCTGTCTCCGTGAGAGGGATGCATTGATTGAACTGTGAGAGTGGAGGAAGAAGATGTGAGTTTTGAGGTTTTTGTTAGAAAGTTTGTTTTTTTTTCCGGGAAAATGTGGAAATTAGAAAAAGGGAGTATTTTTTTGGTTTACCTTAAGACATGGAGAGCGACGGAATCAGGGGAAGGGTGTTGGTGAGGGAGAGTGAGATTTAGGGATTTTGTGGCTTCGAGTAGTGCGAAGAAGAGGCAGAGCAGGAAAATGGCGCCGGACAAGTGAGGAAGAAGCATCTTTAACTGGCGGATTGTGACTTGGTGTGCTTGATTTTGGCGGCGAGGTTGGAATTTTTTCTATTTTGCCGGAAGGAAGCAGAGCATTGGTCTGGGGAAGTTGTAGGTAGTAACTACTAAAGTGAGTGTCAGAAGAAGAATGTTGGTTGAGAAGTGTGAGGAAATAGAAGCAGAGAAGGATTTGGGATCCACATGGGAGAGAGCTCTGAAGAAGAAAGAAGAAGAAGAAGAATCTACTCTCTCTCTCTCTCTCTCTCTCTCTCTCTCTCTCTCTCTCTCTCTGCTTCTGCCCTCTGCTGGAAACAAGGCTAATAGGTTTTCTTCTTAGCCTTTGATTTTCTGTCTCTCTTAAGAATTTGTGTCCTCTATTTGTTTTGGCATGGAGGTTGATAAGACTTTGGGTCTCATATTTTGAAAGCAAACTTATATAATTATTGGGCCTAGAGGCCCAGTTTATATGTTGATGAACCAGATAAGTATCTCATTTCTCGTAAAGTCGTCGTCGATAACTAAAGTTTGGTTCATTCATTCAACATATATAAGACAATGTTATATTACGGAAAAATAGTTTTTTTTACATGTAAGCACGGCCCATAATCAGGCCCAGAAACATGCCCGACAGTTTGGTGAGTCGTGAGTATCAACGGCGAGGACGAAGCTCGTCTTTCCGATGCTCAGCGATTCCGATATCTTCTGATAAACATCTCTCCTTCATCTTTCTTTTCCTCGCTTTTCGATTCAAGCTTTATTTATATTTTACACTTTCTGGATTGCTAGCTCAGAATTGAAATGGGTATACAGTGTCAACAAATGCTTTCGCTGTCCTCCGGGAACTTCCGGTTTACCTTCTGATTCGGGTTCCCGAGACTCCAACACTGAAATTCACGGGAGAAGACTTGTCATCTAACACTCCAGCTTTCTCTAAGGTTTTGTCCCGTTCCTCTTGGGTGTGTGTGTTTTCACTTAATTATACTAATTCGTTTGGTTGGCTTTTTGAGTGTTTTCTTTTTTGTTTTCTCTTATCAGAGTGGGAAAAGAAAAGAGGAAGAGAAAATCCAATTTCTGTCGAACGGTATCTTTGGGGGTTTTAAAGATATGGATAAAATCAGTGGGTTATCTGATGAATTGCTTATCAGGATATTATTGTTTGTTCCGACCAAAGTTGCAGTATCTACTAGCATTTTGTCTAAACGATGGGAGTATCTTTGGATGTGGTTGCCTAAACTTGATTACGGTTACAGACATTATTCACTCTCTGAATGCAAGAGGTTACAGTGTTTTCTCGACAGAAACCTGCCGTTACATAGAGCTCCTGTTATAGAAAGCTTTCGTCTTCACTTGCATAGCTCACATTTTAAACCCGAGAGTGTCAAGCTGTGGGTTGTACTAGCAGTTTCCTACTGCCTACGCGAGCTAGAGATTTTTTATGAATATTATCCTATGATGCCAGACATACTCCCGAGTAACTTGTTTACCTGCAAGTCACTCGTGATCTTGAGACTCAATGGCACGATACTCTTGGATGTTCCTCGAACAGTTCTTCTTCCCTCTCTCAAGACTTTGCAACTTCAATGTGTGAGATACTCGAGTGAAGAATCTCTTCAACGGCTTCTATCTAACTGCCCTATTCTCGAAGATCTAGTGGTGGATTTTAGTGATAACGGGCTGCTCACTGGAACGTTAACTGTTGTTGTCCCATCTTTGCAGAGTTTATCAGTCTACATTACCTCTGAGCATGATATATATGGGATTGTGATAGAAACTCCTTCTTTAAAGTATTTTAAACTTCGGGATTATAATACTGATAGTCACTCCTACTTGGTTGGGGATATGCCTAACCTGATCGAGGCATATGTACATGTTGATTTACCTGAAATCAAGAGTCTCATTGGATCAATCACATCCGTCAAGCGTCTCTCGATATGTTCAGAGGTAATCATTTTTCCGTTTGTCAAACTCGTTTATATAGTCACTTGTCAATCATTTCAATATCGTGCGCAGGCTATGTGTGATGAAAGTTTTGTCTTCAACGAGCTTGAACATCTGAAGCTGTGTATATGCAGCGAGCATTCATCGAATCAACTTGTCCGGCTGCTCAAAGCTTCTTCTAACTTGCAAGTACTAGACCTTTTCGTCATGGACGTAAGTTTGTTTGTTAAACTAGTTTTTTCTTTTGTCTGATGCACAATATGATTTTAGCCTAACTCTTCTGTTTGATCCGAAGACTCATTATTCTCTGGGTTTGGTCTACTGGAATCAACCAAGTACGGTTCCTGAATGCATCTTGACGAGTCTACAAACTCTCAACTGGTTGGGATACACAGGAGAGCCAGAAGAGAGAGAGATCTTGTAGTTTACATCTTGAAACATGCTCTTCACTTAAAGACTGCAACAATCAAGTCTTTTGAACCGGAAGTTGAGAGATTTGGGATGATAAAGGAGTTGGCACGTGCGTCTAGAGCTTCAGCAACATGCCAACTCTTGTTTGATTGAGTATCTGTCTGAGCATTATAATTGGGCTTGTTCCTTCAAATCTTCTATCTGTTCGGACCTCGTATGGTTTGTTGTCTCCAACTCTTAAAACATGATTTCAAGAACAAACTTTTTTCTATATGTTATTGTTATCCACTGACAAATTTTGTTGTCTGAAGCTAAGTTTTTTTATTCGTGAATATGACATGTTAGTACTAATATCTAAGTGCTGTTTGGCAACAGTGGCCCATAATAAGGCCCAGAAACATAATAAGGCCCAGGAACATGCCGACCAGAGATTAAACTATTCACTACACCAACCAAATGGTTGAGTCCGTGAGTATCAACGGCGAGGAAGAAGCTTTGTCTTTCAGGTGCTCAGTGATTCCGATATCTTCAGATGAACCTACTCTTTCATCTTCCTTTTCGATTCAAGCTTTTTTTTTACATCTACCCTTTCTCGAATTTCTACCTCAGACAAGCAGTATATTCAGAACTGGGATGAGTATACATTGTCAACAAATGCTTTCGCAGTCCTCCGGACACTACTAGGTTATCTTCCGACTCTGGTTCCCGAGACTCCGACACCGAAATTCACGGGATAAAGACTCTTCACCTACAAAATCCAGCTTTTTCTAAGGTTTTATCACGTTCCCCTCTGTGTCTTTGGTTTCACTCGTTACTAATTCGTTTGGTTAGTCTTTATAGTTGTTTTCTGGTGTGTTTTTTTTTCCATATCAGAGTCGGAAAATAGGAAGACGCAATTCAATTTCTGTCGACGGTATCTTGGGTTTTTTTTTTTAAAGGCATGGACAGAATCAGTGGGTTGTCTGATGAACTGCTTGTTAAGATATTATTGTTTGTTCCGACAAAGGTTGCTGTATCTACTAGCGTCTTGTCGAAACGGTGGGAGTATCTTTGGATGTGGTTGCCTAAACTTGATTACGGTTGCAAATATAATTCATCCTCTGAATGGAAGAGGTTACGGTCTTTTCTCGACAGAAATCTGCCGTTACACAGAGCTCCCGTTATAGAAAGCTTCCGTCTTGACTTATGTGGTTCGCGTTTTAAACGTGAGAGTGTCAAGCTGTGGGTTGTACTAGCAGTTTCTCACAGCCTACGTGAGCTGGAGATTATATATCAATCTTATCCTGTTAAGCCAGACATACTGCCGAGTAACTTGTTTACCTCCAAGTCGCTCGTGATCTTGAAACTCGATGGCACGATACTCTTGGATGTTCCTCGTACAGTTTTTCTTCCCTCCCTGAAGACTTTGAAACTTCAAAGCGTGAGATACTTGAGTGAAGAATCTCTTCAACGGCTTCTATCTAACTGCCCAATTCTTGAAGATCTAGACGTGCATTTTAGTGATGTACCTAGTAATGCTGACTTCATGGGAACGTTAACTGTCGTGGTTCCATCTTTGCAGAGTTTATCACTCTTTATTCCATTTGATTATGATATAGATGGGATTGTGATAAATGCTCCTTCTTTAGAGTATTTTGATATTAAGGATCATAATCAAAGTAATCACTACTGTTTGATTGAGCATATGCCTAACCTCATCGAAGCACGTGTAGATGTTGAATTCCCTGATATCAAGAGTCTTATTGGATCAATCACATCTGTCAGGACTCTTGAAATATGTTCAGAGGTAACAATTTTCCATTTATCAATTCATTAACTATAATCGTTTGCCAATAATATATATATATACTGTGCGCAGGCTTTGTGCGATGAAGGTTTTGTCTTCAACCGTCTTAAACATCTGAAGATATGTAGATGCAAAGAGCATTCGTCCAAACTACTTTTTCGGCTGCTTGAAGAGTCTACTAACTTACGAGTACTAGACCTTTACATCATGGATGTAAGTGTGTTTGTTAAACTATATTTTTTTTTGTTCTGATGCACAATATGGTTTTAGTTTAATTCTTCTGTTTCTTCAGCCGGCTCACGAGCCTGACGATAAGGAATACTGGAGTCGACCAATTAGTGTTCCTGATTGGATGTTTTTTGGTCTACAAACTTTCAACTGGTTTAAATACTCAGGAACACCAGAAGAAAGAGATCTTGTAGTTTATATCTTGAAACATGCTCGTAACTTAAAGAGTGCAGCAATCGAGTCTGTATATGGGGATGTTCCAAGACTCGAGATGTTAAAGGAGTTGGCACGTGCTCCTAGAGCTTCAGCAACATGCCAACTCATGTTTGACTGAGTACTTAATCACTAGAACCCGGCTTGTTGTCTTCAACTCTTCTTCTGTGTGCTCGGACCTCGTATGGTTTGTTTGTCTTCAACTCTGAAAACATGATTTCTTCAACTCATTGTATAATTGGGCTTGTTCTTCAACTCTTGTCTCGTAGGATTTGTTGTCTTCAAGACTTCAACTCGGAAAACTTTTTTCTCGAGAACAAACTTTTCTCTGTACTGTAATAACTTATTATTCACTGAAAAAAAACAAATTATGTGTTGTCTGGAATTAAGTTTTTTTTTTTATTCGTGAATATGATGAGGTGCTGTTTGGCAACAGGGATTATTCTATTATTCTTACTCGCACTATGTGTTTGTGGCTCCTCATAAAATCACAATCACTTTCAAATACCCAAATTCCAAATCTTTATACTCTCCAGAAGAAAAAAAATGGCTCTCCGATCTATCAAAACGCCGACCTTGATTACTCCCGCCGGCGTCGTCTCCTCCTCAACTGTCAGTAAGCCTCAGTCTTTCAGATTCGCCTCCAAACCCACGGCAGCACTCGCCGTCCACAACCGCCATCAACCGATCTACGGCATCCGTTCCAATCCCAAACTCAAACCAGCTTCATCTGCCGCAAAGTTCCGGTGCTCTGCGTCGGCGCTTACGCCGCAGCTCAGAGACACGCTGGAGAAGTTGGTGAATTCGGAGAAAGTGGTGCTGTTCATGAAAGGAACGAGGGATTTTCCGATGTGCGGGTTCTCGAACACGGTGGTGCAGATCCTGAAGAACTTGAACGTGCCTTTCGAAGATGTGAACATATTGGAGAACGAGATGCTGAGGCAAGGGCTTAAAGAGTACTCGAGTTGGCCGACTTTCCCTCAGCTTTACATCGGCGGTGAGTTTTTCGGTGGTTGTGATATCACTATTGAGGCTTTTCAGAGCGGAGAATTGCAGGAAGTGGTGGAGAGAGCTATGTGTTCTTGAAGCTGATCAATCACTTTTTATTGATTCGATTGTGTCCATGCCTGGATTTAGTTTTTTGTAAGAATTGATCTATCTCTATGTCCTGAACAAAAGGTCTTCTTGATGTCTCAGAGTTTATGGCTGTAATGGAAGAGTCATATTGTATTGGTGGATTTAGCTATAGGACAGTGGTGTACTATGTGCTTGAAAAATCTATACTTTATAATCTCGAGTGTTCTTATGGATTGATCCTTATGACATGTGCCTTTTTTTTCATTTCTTTGGTCTGCACTCTTGTTTGTATGTGCAAAGATCAATCTTTGGTGGTGTGTGTTTCTCTAGAAACAAAAGTCTCAGAACAAAAAAGTTGCTATATCATCATCATCTCTATCCGTTTTGTCGAACAGAAGCTTTATTCCTCCTTGATGTTACCAACTCCAAACGTCTCTGAGAAGAAGTAGCCAACAAAGAGATTCTTTACAAGAAGAAACGAATTCTCAGTAGTAATTCATGTTACGATCATTCAGTGTCCTCTTCATTTTTTCTGTATCTAACAATGTACATTCCCTGCAAGAATGGTAATTTAAACGGTATCAATGGAATACAGAATTGTTCTAGTTTCTGAACAACAACAAGTGTATATGCAGCTACAAAGTTGGATCTCTAGCTGCAAACAGAAATGAATAGAAGACTGATTTATCCAAAAACCGACTCAACGTTCTTAAATTATATAATCCGGTAAAAACATTTTTCACTCTAATCTCATTCAGAAGTCAGAATCCTCCATGATGTTTCTTGGATTGGATGGACTGTGTTGTTTTTCTATATGCTCCATTTAAAAAAAAAAAAATCTGTGCGGTTCTAAATAGTATTTTAAATTTAGTTGTGGTGAAGTAGCAAGGGAAGACCACATAAATTTTTTTTTTTGTTCTTGAAATATTTTAAAATTTAGTTGTGACTAGAGATAGATTTTTGGCTCGTTCAAAATGATCTTTTGCCGTGGATAAATGGCAAAAAGGTAATTATAGATTCGGCGTTTATCTGAACCACACACACAGAGAGAACAGATAGATATCGGACGAGAGAAGAACATGATATAGAGAATACACGTGGCCCAATGAAAAAGCCACGCGGTCTGTCTTTAGCCAATTGAAATCTGCATTTAGATTCGCATCCTACAAAACCTTACTTATACGATCACGCTTCCACACTGACATTTCCAGACACCTCTCGTTCACATCTTTTCTCTTTGTAGTAAAACAGAAAGGGAGATAGAGAGAGGGAGAAGAAACAATGGCGTCGAACTCGCTCATGAGCTGCGGCATCGCCGCCGTCTACCCTTCGCTTCTTTCTTCTTCAAAGTCTAAATTCGTCTCAGCCGGAGTTCCGCTCCCCAACGCCGGTAACGTCGGCCGCATCAGAATGGCGGCTCACTGGATGCCCGGCGAGCCACGACCAGCTTACCTCGACGGTTCTGCTCCTGGGTACGCAATATCTCATCTCTCAAATTTGAAACCGGACTGTTTAGTCTTTTACAATCTTTGTCTACGTTGCTCAATTTGTTAGATGTGTGTCAAAGGAATTGGAATCCCCTTTTGATGATATTTGGGTTTTTATATTGCTGCAACATTGGTGTCTGTTTAAAGCTTCAATTTTTTAGCACGATTCACACATTTCAGAAATTCGCCACCTTTTTACTCTGTTTCTTGCATACTATGGAACCCCCTTAAATGTGTGTCTAGCGAGAGAGAGATTAGAGGCATGAAGGTTCTTATTATAAGTTTGGATGCTATTATAAAACTTTAGTTTTTAAGCTATTGGTTACAAAACTGTGCAGTGACTTTGGGTTTGACCCACTTGGACTTGGAGAGGTTCCAGAGAACCTTGAGAGATACAAAGAATCAGAGCTCATCCACTGTAGATGGGCTATGCTCGCTGTTGTAAGTTTCAACACTTACTTACTTCAGTAGCATCCAATCAAAGGGTTGGTTAATTTAGTCTTTTTGAGTTTTTGATCTAATGGTAAAAATGGGTTGGTGTGAAAATGCAGCCAGGGATTTTGGTACCAGAGGCTTTGGGATACGGAAACTGGGTAAAGGCTCAAGAATGGGCAGCAGTACCTGGAGGACAAGCCACTTACTTGGGGAACCCTGTCCCTTGGGGTACTTTGCCCACAATCTTGGCCATAGAGTTCTTAGCTATCGCATTTGTCGAGCACCAGAGAAGTATGGAGAAAGACCCTGAGAAAAAGAAGTACCCTGGAGGCGCTTTTGACCCTCTTGGATACTCCAAAGACCCCAAGAAGTTCGAGGAGTTGAAAGTTAAAGAGATCAAGAACGGTACACACACACATATATCTTAAGTTCCTTGATCATTTTGAATAAAATGTATCATATCTAATGTTATGTGTTTTTCTTTTTTTTGGGTGGGTATGTCAGGACGGCTTGCGTTGTTGGCGTTTGTAGGCTTCTGTGTGCAACAATCAGCCTACCCAGGAACAGGACCATTGGAGAATTTGGCTACTCACTTGGCTGATCCATGGCACAAAAACATTGGCGATATTGTTATCCCTTTCAACTAAGTGACTGTAAAAAAACAAGAATAGTGATATTATCCTATGAGCTTTTTATGTGTATCAAAACTCTGTGTAATGAAAGACAGATTGTGAAACTTGTATTTTGTCTCGGTGATGGATTTGCTCCTGTGAGCTTGAGTTCTAAGTGGTTGAACCTTTTGAATCGGTGTACGAACCCAAACTTGGTCTAACTTGTGTAATATCCTGTCCCAAAAGTTGTCGACTTTGAGCTTTAGTAACTTCATTACAGAGGAATCATTGTGTAGTTGTTAGTTCATGACTTTTAGTTAGATTTTTCAACTCCATCCAGATATAACATTCATTAGATTGATGAATGAACTTTCAAGTTTGTTTTCCTTTTACCAACTTAGATATTTTATGATACTGAACAGCTTGAGACACATGTTTTTTTTACCTTTTCTACATTTGACAGTACTGAATAGAACATTTAACGTTAATTCCAAGCATTCTCAAAGTGTTCGTCAACGCTAATGTGAGTGTAGGCAATAAGTTCGTTCAAGGAGTTATAAAGTTAAGAAGATCAAGAACGGTAAGCAAACACACACACACACACATCTTACGTTTCTTGATAATTACAAATACTTGATCATCTCGAGATGAAAATATCATAAAATTTGAGGAAAAATCAAGTATTATTTGTCAATGTAATATATTTTAATAGAAAACAAATAAAAAATTCTATATTAGCATGTGACAAAATTTTCATCATTTCTCTTCCTATAGTAGTAAAGATCGGACTCATATTCCTAATCACATACACGTTGGATTGAGAGAGAGTTGTGTCCTACATTATTTGTTATATTCATGCGTGGGGCTTGCTGCTTCATTTTTTTTATATTTTTTCTCATTGACCCAAAGATAGATCTGGATAGTGGATTTATTATTTACTCATCTACCAAAAGAAAAGTAAACACTTAAATAGTTAATTAATTGATTTTTAATTCTAATTTTGGCTATTATTCCAGTTTAAAATTTATTTTTAGTTGATTCTTCATTGACACAAGATCCAAATTTTCCTTTACATATAAACAGCCTAAAACAAAAACAAAATGCTTTTTTTTTCAATCCCCCAAAAAAACCAAAAAGTTTCTGCTGATACTTCCGCATTAAGGTAAATCCTCTTCTCCTCTATTCTTTTTCTGTCACGAGTCTTCTTAGATTCTCCTTAGAAAACAATTGGATCTAGAATGCATCTGTCCTGTTTATTTTGGATCTTTGAATAAATACTTCATTGTTCCAACATCCTTCTTAAGCAGACAGAAGAAGTTCTTGCCTGCAATTGAAAAAACTATTTCTTTTTTGTTGCTTTGTAGATGAAGTTCTGTTTATGAATTTGAACCCAATGTGGAAAAAAAAAAGATTCCTTTTCTTTTTCTCTGTTGCAACGAGTTTTGGTGTTGGATTATGATTTGTAGAGAAATGTTGTTGGAGTGAATTTTCTTCCTTCATGATGTATTGCTTTCCTGAGAAATCTGGTATATTCTTGTTTATTGCATCTTGTAGGTTTTCCACAAGCTGATTGATGAAAATGTCAATGAGGTAATCTAAACATTACATACATACCCCTTTCTTGTAACAGTTTCAAGCTTTTTCTTTTTGAAAATTTGGTTTTAATAGGTTTAATGTTTGTTTCCTAGCAGCTTGTGTGGAAACCTTTGATGTTTTGTATGCGGAGTTGAATTTGGTATAATCTGGTTTTGTTCTTAAAGGAATGATCATTCAACTGAATGAAAAATGGAGCTTTTTTCTGCAAATTGTTTGTCCACCGAAAACAAACCTCTTGAGCTTTCGAAATTGGTCATAGAAGAGAAAAGCTCGGTTAAAAAGAACAACGAAAGCACCCTTACACTTGTGAATCATGGTACATTTTTCCCACACTCCAGCTTAAGATTATGATCTTGTTTCTTATCAACTTTATAAAAGATTCAAAAAATTTGTTTTGAGTCCTGGATCAAGAAACTAACATCCAAAGTGTTTTGTTGAAGACCGTACCTCTGTTTTTTTTAGCGGGACTAAAGCATGAGAGAGTCTCTACAAACTTGTTAGCTATGTAATTTGATATTAGATGTTCTTGAGCATTAGCTATAAGCATCTTTCTTGATTGCAGGTGCAAAGATGTGGCAAGAGAACAGGGAGAAATGGGTGGGAGATCAATCTCGACAAAGACAAAAAACTACAAAGGATCAGATTATAAGGTATTTGTGTTCATCCATCTTCTAAGACCATTTTAACTTTAATTTTTCTTTTTTAAGACAATCTTGAAAATTTCTTGCAGCTGGTCCACTACATATGAAGATCTTCTCTCAACTCATGAACCTTTCTCTGAGTCGATTCCTTTACCCGTAAGCTTAATCTTATCTCATTTTTCTACCGAGTTATAAAAAGAAGCTGTACTCATATCTGATCTTTATGTAGGAGATGGTGGACTTTCTGGTCGATATTTGGTATGACGAAGGCCTTTACGATTAGACGAATCTAACAATGCCAGAGACTAGAATGACCAACAAAACAAAGAAGGTGAGATTCAATTATGGTGTGAAGTTAAAAACTTTAGGAGTGGTGTAAAACATATAATACAGATATGATGATTTGTTGTAAGAAAAAGACAATGACCACTCTCACATACTCCATCTTTAGCATTTATATGATTGTTAAATGAGAAGAAACAAAGATTACAGAATGAAATTTCCCAAATACAAGATTTTGATTACTTTTACAGCAAAGTACAACATCAACATCAATCTTGGCCAAAGTGAGTATCCATTACAGATCCGTTACACAAATGATCAAAGAGCATATCGAAACATCAAGAAAACTTTTTCACAAAAATTAGCAACGGCGTCCACATCCAACAGAGACAGTATACAACATCAAATAAATAATCATCAAAGCACATAATCTCCTAGCATTTATTTTGTAAAAATATCTTAGCTTCTCTCCTTTGATTATCGTCATCCCCAATCACAAAGTCAATCTAATGACATCCACACAGACTCAGCTAAGAATCTGTACCACTCGCTGCCAGTTATGTTTATGTACATGTCTTTTGTTTAACCTCTTGTTCAGCTTGAGAAGTAAGGGTTTGATTTGAGTATCTTCTTTGCTAAGCTGCGAATGTCATCTCTACTCGACTCCACTGATATTCTTACAATCTCTGTCACGCTTCCCGTTCTTTTGAAATCACTCGCATTTTCCTCTGCATCATTAGAAAGAGGAGATGCCAAGTATTAGTCATGTCCCGAACCAAACAAACTATTGATAAAAGAAAGCTGGGAAGAGAGGCTTACCATTTTGAGCTAAATGACAAAGCGCAAGCTCGATGTGACGTTGTGTTGATGCAGAATCAATATGTGAGTTTGAAGTCAGCCATTCAAGAGCACCCTCTTCCAGAAGAAGAGAACGTCCTTTTCTACGCCCTGCATTGCATAACATCCCTCAAGGTATTATAGTGATTGACATGGATATTACATTTGTTTAAGGCATATTTTAAAGCAACTATGAGCAACCTTGCATAATTTCTCGAGTTTCACACTTTGCGAAATTTGCCATCCCTCTTGCCACTTGAGCAATGATATCTATGTTTCCGGATTGCGCCATGGTAAGTAGTCCCTTGATGCCTTCCTCTTCTTTCAGCAGCTTAAGAAACTTTTCTGTTTGTGCAAAATATGTAGAGTTAGATATTTACTTTGTTGCATAGCTTCTTCAAATATCTTTGCTTTTGCATATGCTATACAGTGAACACATGCATTGGTGCAGATGAATACATATATTTCTTAAAATCTGGTGCTCACCGTTCCCGCATAAATTGGCAAGTGCACCAGCTACCATTCTTAGAGTCTGTGGATCATCTGTTTTGTTCACCATCTTTGCTAGTAGTTGAGCTCCTCCTTTGTTCATTATTAGATCTTGACTCTTCTCTGCGGTTTATAAATCAAATGTAAACGTATGAATAAATAGTATATGCCACTATTGAAAAAACTTATCTAGCAAGCACGTTCATTGCTAATTTAGAGAGAAAGCCTAAATATATATTCACCACCACCAGAAGTGCTTACCGTTCATTGCCAAATTAGCGATTGCACCAGAAGCCACTCTCAGAATTGTCGAATTTTGAGATGACTGCACAAGCATAAGCAAAGCTTCTACACCCCCTTCTTCCACAATCTTCACCTGATTAGATTCTAAACACGTACACACAGAGAATGCAAGTCATTTAGTTACCATGACACATGCTATACAGAGATGAAAATAATATTTTCGAAAATTAAGAATCCACTTGTAATAGTAGAGTCGAATAAAAGCTTGAGGCTATTGACACATGATAATATATAGAGAGATGAAATCACACACCTTCAGCGGCAAGATTAGCTACCACTTTTACAGCTTGGATTTGAACTTCCAAGTCTTCAGACTTAATTAGGTGTAATATCTTCTGAACTCCAACTGCAATCGAAGTAGAAAAGAAGTTGTCAATTGGATTGTCACACAATGAAACGAAATATAAGAATGTCAAAAAAAGAAAACTCAATCCATGAGAAAGTGTTATGCCTTCTTCACAAAGTCTTGCCATGGTAGCTCTCTGACCAGATAGCGACTTTTTTAACCCTTGTGATCTCTGTGAGCTTGTAAGAGCACCAGATTCTGATGATCCTTTGGGAAGTTCTTCCTTCATACGCTTGTCCTGTGGAATGAAATGGACTTAGCAAGACCATGAAGTACAAATGCATGTGAAAAATAGGTGAAACATGATCATTGTAAGTTCACCTCAACGACAATTTCATTTTCCCTTAGATTCTTCTTTAGCTTGGAAAGCTCACTCTCCATTTGCTTTCTCTGCTTTTCTTCCAAAAGGAGCCTTTCCTTCATATCCCGAACCTCTTCACCAAGTTTTTCCTATGCAACACAAAAATATACATAAAATTTGTAACATGACCATATTTGAACAAGTAAACAGGCGTTTAAGCGTCAAACCTTTTGGTGGAGCAGATCATCATAGTCTAGTTTCACTGTCTGGAGTTCATCTACTGTCGATTCGTACATTTGTGAAAGTTCTTCTAATTTTATCTTAAGTTCCTTTGTCTCTTCATTTTCCTGGACCCAAAACCATGAGAAAAGCAGTTTGAGACAAAAAGTTCTGCACAAGATACAGTTTGTACAAACAATAAAGGTAAAACAATATTTGAAAAGAAAGAGAGACAAATATGTTGACCTTTCGTCACACTCACCTGAAGCATAAAGCTGAAAATGCCATGCTTATTAAAATCCAGTTTAAAAGAACAGGAATAAACCTAACCTGTGGTAAAACTTGGCGATCGCTTATAATCCTCTTCATTTGTCTAAGCTCCTCTTCTGCAGAGTTAGACCGAGCATGTTCATCATCCAATTTCTTCTGTAGCTCTGCGATTTTAGATTCATAAGTGTAAGTGGTTTCCGCAAGTTCCTTTTGATATTCATAGTTGCCTTTCTCTTGCTCCTGTCAACACCAAAAATACCATTTAGTTTGAGCAGAAAACTAATGCATTCAAAAAAGTAGAAAAAGGGAATCTAAGCTTTCAACAATTCAACATGAACAAAAATAGGTTTTTTTTCAACTAACATGAATAGACTTCTGCTGTTTACTCAAAACGTTTTTCATTTCGTTCATTTGACGCTCGGCGTTTGCTGACCGGGCTTGTTCATCCTCGACCTTCTGAACCAAATCCGCAATTTTTTTCTCATAGACTTGAGTAGCACCTGCAAGTTTTTCCTGATATGCTGAATTTTCCAGCTGTTGCTGCTACTAACAATTAAAAGGACACTGTCAGAGTCCATCAACTATATACACTACTCAGAAAAAGGATACTGCTCAAAGTTACCGAGAGAACTAATAACAACAATTTATGAGAGAAAGTGTACCTTGGTATTTTTCAAGCTCATCTCTAACTGTATGGCTTTGTCATGCATTAGATCACACTGATCTTTCTGCAGTTGCAAATCCTTCAAAAGTTCTTTCATTCGGAGCTCCAAGCGGGCATTTTCCTTCTCCAGGAACTGTAAGTCATATCCACCCCTCAAAGTATAAGCACCAGACATAGAATATCATATCACTGTAAACAAAGAGTAGCCGATCCATAGAAGAGACATATATACCTTGGTCCTTGTAACTGCGTTCTTTTCTGCCTCAGCGAAAGTGTTTTCACATTCTCTCAATCTTTTCTCCAGCTCGTGTTTCTCACTATTTCTTAGTTTGTTTTGTCTTTCAACTTCTGCAGTAAGATGGTCCACCTGAGTCTCAAGCTTCCGACACAAACTTTCATAATCGAATTCTTCTTTAAGCTTTACCATGTTTACTATTTTCATCGCCTGTAACATAAGCAAGAAGGCATTACTATGATAATTCTCTGTAAGAATTTAGACTCTTAAATATTATAAAACTCTGTCGTTCTCAGGTTATGATTTTGCTAGACCCTGAATATGAAGACTGACCCTTTGTCCGAACATGATTGTGCTTGTGGTTTCTGCATGATACCGTGCAGATGGCCCAATTGTTATTATAAGTGAAGTCCTCGCAGAACCTAATTGTTCAGAGCCAATACACAAATATCAAAACTTATGCAACAGACACAAGAGTAACCAGGAAGATATGGAAAAAAAAATGTATATGTACATAGATTTATAAATGGCTCAAGAAAGATTTGGTGGACTAACCCCCGAAGGAATCACGAAGAAGCCTCGTTAGTTTAGAATCTCTTGTCGGTATATGAGAGCTTCCTTCAGCTAATGCATTAATGCATTTTCCCAGGGAAGTCAGTGAAAGATTAATGAATTTTGCCTCTTCAATCAAGTGGCCATCAGTGCCTTTACATTAAAAGAAAAAAGGATGTAACTCTTATCTGAAACTACTTGGTATAACATGAATGGTTTATATGAAGAGTGAAGGAGTTTCCAAACCAGATTTATTTATCCTTTCTGAACCAGCAAGATCCACAATTAGCAGTTTGCTCTTTCTCACTTTAGGAATGCCTTTATCTCCCAAAGATTCAGGTTTGGCCTCCTTATCTCGAGTTTTAGTTCCTGTTTCAGCCTTTTCATTCATAGCCCGTCTAACGTGAACCTGCAAATAAGATACATTTCATTAATCGATTCTGTTGATAAACAAGAATACTACTATACCAGAACTAAATACTCTACGGAAGCACACCGTGAGAATTGCATGACTACGTGAGGATTCTGTATTCATCTTTGTATTCGCTGCGTGGCGGTTTGTCTCCCCGACTTGCAAAACCTGTAAGAAATGGTCTAAGTCTTGAACGTGAACTACAGTGGCGCCTGGTACTGATACTTCCCCAGTCTTGGCATCTTCATTGATTGAAATGTTGCTTTTCTCAGGTGCAAGAAGATCTTGTATAGTTTCCATATAAAGCTGTGAATGTTCAACAAGAAGACCATATCCTAAGCATTGAAGCCATCATACTCTACAAATATACAATAACCCCATGGAAACAAAAAGCAGAAGAGACACACACACCTGCAAGTAAGAGATCTCGACGGAAACAGAAGCAGAAGATGCGGTCTCAAGTATGTCCTCAAGAGCTCTAACCATGATACCACGCTCGGCCGCATCATCTTTACCGATTTTTCCCACCGTGTAAGTTTTACCGGTGCCGGTTTGACCGTAAGCCATGATGGTACCATTGTATCCATTCAAAACACCCTGCGGATTCAATGTAGTTTGATATCGATAATCCAGAAATATTAATTTGTCCCTTTTGATAAAGAAAAAAAACAAAATTTCTAACCTCCACTACAGGTTTAGCAACTCCTTCATAGACGCGTTTTTGAGAAGATGTGTCTGTAAAGACTTCGTCAAATCTATAGGATTCAGAACTCCAGTTGTTTTTCCTCAGCTTGAGCCGCTTTATCTGCATTGAGAATCAAAAGGACAAACACTTTCTAAGGATCTAACATAGAAAGCCAATGTTTAAATTAGCAATTAGCATCTCTCTACACACCTCTGGTTGTAACTCAACGAGATCAGCAAAGTCAGCATCTGATTTAAGCTCCTCTCCGTTTCTAGGTCGAACCCTTACGGAAACTCTCACCCTCCCAGGATCTGTAAAGTAAGTTGTGAACAAAATTTCAATACAAAGGTTTCAAATCACTATGTTTAACCACCTTAAAGTTGACAACTTTATTTTGTATGAATAGTGATCAAACAGACTTCAATCATCCAATTCAGTGAGAGCTTATTGTTTCGTCAAGTCAATTTTGTGCATTTTGTCAAGTCAAGTTGTATAATTTCGAATTTCAGATAAATCGAATCAACGAAGAATCCACCAATTCGAATCAACAATCCCCAAATCGACTGTAGCATTGCCCTAGAGTGAAAGTCAGATCCGTTTGAGGGAAAATGAAAAGACTTCATAATTCAAATTGTAGAATCGTAAGGAGAGAAAAAAAGGAAAGACCATTGTCGTCGTCGAAGTCTTTGGACTGGGATCGGCGGACGGGAGTTCCGGAGCGGCGTGTAGAAGGGGAAGAGGCAGAGATGGAGGCGGAGGAGGCGGAGGAGGAGGGTCGATCTTTAGGGCGAGAAGAGTGGCTTATCGGTGTTCCTCCGGGAGCGATGATAGAGGTTCTAGCAGGTAAGTTCAAGGAGGAGGAAGAGAGGGAAGCGGGATTGCTAGGAGGCAAGTGCTGCTGAATCCGCTCCGCCGCGTGTTTCGCCGACGATCTGAGGGCGGAGGAATTTGAAGAAGTCATAGTTAGCTATCTGCACGAAAATGGGCAGAGCGAGAAGAGGAGAGAGAGAGAGAGAGAGAGAGAGAGAGAGAGAGAGAGAGAGAGAGAAAGGAGGAGATAGTTTCAAAGAAGGGGAATTTGAAAATTTCGTGGAGAAGTGGAAAGAGATGAAGAGAAGAGGGAGGCACGACGACGACTGTGAAAACCAAAATGTGTTCCCGCGTTCGTGGGTTTAGTGGGTGACGTTATTTCACATTTTTCACTTTGTCTTCTTCTTTTTACTTTTTACTTCTTACACTTTGGCAAGAATCAGGAAGTATTTCTTCATCCCAAATCTCGTTTTGGTTTGGTTTCGCTTTGAATTCGTCAGATTTTCAAAATTGTTGTCTGTTTGATAAAATCTGTACTTGGCATTAACATCGACGAAAATGATGATATATATTTACCATAAAAAAACAAAAGTATTTCATGTCAAACATCCCCTATTCAGTTCACCAAATTACTGTGGTTAAATATAAGCGATTGGACAAGTGCATGCACGTTTTCACTATTTTGAAGTACTGTACAGACTTGTGGTTATTTCTATTCTAGGGTTATATATTTCACATTTTCGACACATTTTATCATCAATAAGCGGGTCCAAATTGTATATGGTCCATATATAACTTCATATGAATAATCACATTAGAGAGAGTGGATCCCAATTTCATATGGACGTATACACAATCTCAACATCTCTGAACATTTTCTTCATAATGATTTTTCCCTTATGTACGACAAAATAAAAATCATCAAAACCTTGCCAAATTCTTTTAGATCAACGTGGTCTTGTCTACCTCAATTTGTATAAACTCCATATTAATGACATTTTTTTCTATCGTCTTCTTGTTATCAAGTTGATCCGCGAAAATTTCCAAGTTAGTACTTAAGAATTTGCTGAGTAAGGTGATAATTTGGAAATTTTCTCATTGAGACAACGGAGGCCCAAGCCCATTAACACAATATTAGGCCCATTTAATCTTTTAATTGTCTTCTCCACCGTTCTCTTTCTATTGCAGTGAGAAAAACGGAGAAAACGTCGAGCAGGTCGACCATCTCTTGGATGATCATCGGCCATGGCGCAGATCCCAAGCTTGGAAAATGCTCCTCTCAATCTCAAATCCATTAGGTGAGTCGATTCTCAATACTTACGAGCTGAAATTGATCGTTTCTCGTCTTCCTCTCATACGTTTCCCAATTCTTATTAAATCAGGGAGAAGTCTCAGAGGGAGCTCGTAAACTTGCTTAAAGACGTAAGTCTCGTTACTCTCTAATACGATTCGGAAGGTCTTGGCCGCCGAGAAATATCTAATTTAGTTTTTTCGGGGGGAGGTTGGGAAAAAAGCGATGAGAAATTTCCGAATTATATTTGATCTAAACAAACTCATATCGAGAATGTGGAATAAAAACCACTGCCTCTGGTCTCACTCTACTCTAGATTCATCTCTTTACGACGAGATTATTGAACCAATGTGGCATGATCGAGAATCACTCATTTACCGATTCCTCAAGACTTTAATTTTCTCTTTGGTGCCTTTTTGATTGTAGATTCGTGGAAGTAAGTGTCTGGTCATTGATCCAAAGCTCAGTGGTTCCGTCTCATTGATCATCCAGACATCTGCGCTGAAGGTAATTCCCTGACTTATTTCGTTTCTGTGGAACAATTATCTCTGAGGGAATTTTGTAGAATCGAAATGCTAAGTTCTCAAATTTGTAAGCCTTGAAGATCGATTACTCTGTGTTGATGAAAGAACATATTTTTTGTTTGTTCTTCTGTTTATCAGGAGCTTGGTTTGGAGTTACGACATCTTTCTGCAGAACCAGTTCAGACTGAATGCACAAAAGTGGTTTATCTTGTTCGCTCACAACTCAGTTTCATGAAATACATAGCTTCTCACATTCAGAATGATATATCAAAAGCGATTCAGAGAGACTACTACGTTTACTTTGTACCTCGTAGGTCAGTCGCGTGTGAGAAGGTACGTGGTTATTGCCTTCCGCTAACACTATTTGTGATTCAGTTTGCTTGTTTTACCCCCCTCTTGAATAAAGGGTGATAAACATTTTATTCTGCTATTTCAGATTCTTGAACAGGAAAAAGTTCATAACCTGGTTACCGTGAAGGAGTTTCCCCTGTATATGGTTCCACTAGATGAGGATGTGATATCATTTGAGCTTGAGCTCTCTGAAAAAGTGTGTAGGACTCTCATGGCTCCAATTCCTACTTATGACTTCCCTTGACGCCTTTAAGTTTACATCTTTTATATCTTGTTTTACTTGGTTTTTTGAATGATAGGATTGCCTTGTGGATGGTGATGTTAGCTCACTTTGGCATGTCGCAAAAGCCATACACGAGCTCGAGGTTGGAGTCTTTCTTTATTATGTACATTATGATCTGCACAAATCTATCTTATGACTAACTCTTATCATAGTTTTCTTTTGGAGTTATATCGAAAGTGAGGGCAAAGGGCAAAGCATCAGTTCGTGTTGCAGATATACTAAACCGTATGCAAGTGGAGGAACCTGTCAATTCGAATGATGTAATATTTGCCTGCAACAGTTTGAGTGTTATATTTAGTGATTTAGCTATAATATATGACTGACAAAAAAAAGCGATCTTATATGGTAGCAAATGCTTTTGTTTCCTTTATTCCCTATTCTAAATGATGTGTGTTTCATTTAGGTGGGAAGGTCTGAAGTGGATACACTAATTCTACTGGACAGAGAGGTAATGGGCTTTCCTGTTATATGATATTCTTAGACACAAATATGTCCTTCAAGATGAAGGTTAGATAATTCTGTCTGATGGAAACATTGGGAAGTTGGAAATATATATTATGACGCAAACAATGGATTTAGCAATCTGCATATAAAGTTTAAGAGCTAGAGGAACTTGTTGTGATCCCACTGAATCATTTATATGGTAAATAGAAGCTGTGCCACAATATCACTTTATAATCTGTCTGAACCTAAGCCATTTACTATTTTATACTTCAAAATAAAACCATGTGTATCTTTATAATGCGTACTTGTAAAAAGATGGATCCATATGTCGGTACCAGTTTCAACGTTTACTTTTCTGTTTCAGGTTGACATGGTTACTCCAATGTGTTCCCAGTTAACTTATGAGGGACTATTAGATGAGGTAATGTCGAAAACTGAATTCTGCAGTTTTAATTAGCAGTAGCTTGAGTAGATTATTCTGGCACAGAAACTGGTAGACTTGTTACCCTCTGGGGGAGGAATACTGATTTTCTTGTATCATAATAAGGTCTTCCACAAGTGTGGGAGCCACAACTAGTTGGTTTCATTGGTTGTAATGATAACTAGCAACCACACAATTTGGATTTATATTAAGCTGGTGGGATTGGGTTTTCTGTGAGCTGACTCAAACCTTTATTTAAAGTTTTTGCATATCAGTAATGGAGCTGTCGAGGTCGACTCATCTGTGATGGGTTCTCAGCAGGAGGGGAAAAAGATGAAAGTTCCTCTTAATTCCAGGTTCGTTGCTTGCATCATATATAGAACTTCCTTCAACTATGTGAGACAATCTTCTATTGCACTGCTATATGATTACTGTGAGTATTTTGATGCATATGTAATGGATATGTCTCTATGTACTTATGAAATGTCGACCTGAAAATGAAAATCTGTTACTAGCTAACATTTCCAGTTGTAGGACACGCCGACACGGTTTGAGTGTTATCTTTATTTCTTGAATTTTTACATTTACAGTGATAAATTGTTCAAGGAGACGAGGGATCTCAACTTTGAAGTCGTTGTACAGGTTGACCTTTGCCCTTTTGGCTTTCATCTTTCGTGACATGTGATTCTATTTCCTCATCTTCCAAACGCAGTATGATTGCAGGTTCTACGGCAGAAGGCAACAACCATGAAAGAGGACTACACTGAAATTAATTCTGTACGTTTGTCGCTCTCTTCCTTTAGGTAGACCTGTGTTCATGGTAGAGGACCTAGAGGTTATGATACATCGTACTTACATATTTGTGTTCAAATCTCTTAGCCATCAATCAGGAGTGTTCTTTGGCACATTAATAGTTACCAAATCAATATAGACCATGTTATAGTACACCTTAGATTGTTGGTGGGACTGAGATTTTAATATGGTATGGTAATATAATGCACAGACCCAGACAGTTTCTGAGCTAAAGGACTTTGTCAAGAAGCTTAACTCATTACCAGAGATGACAGTAAGTATTGCCTTGTTTTCTTTAAGTTCCTTTTCTTATATCTCGCCGATGGTTCAGACCACGATTAGTTTCATTTTTACTTAGTTGGTTATGGTTTTTTTTCTCTCCCAGAGGCACATACATCTTGCCCAACACCTGACAACGTTCACATCCAAGCAGTCATTTCTTTCGAAACTTGATATGGAACAGACACTTGTTGAGGCGGAAAGTTATGACATGTAAGTTTCTTCTTAAGGAAACACTTCATACGTTCATTCAAGAAGATTTCATGATTCTTTCTGTTGCATATGATGTGTAAAACAGTTTACGTTGATGGCATAATCGATATTCAAATCTATTAAATGATTGATTCGTACTAACTCTAGTTTGCAAATGCAGATGCTTTGAGTACATAGAAGAGATGATCCATAAACAGGAGCCTCTCAGTAACGTCCTACGTCTATTAGTCCTATTTTCTGTTACAAACTCGGGTTTACCGAAAAAGCAATTTGATTATATAAGGCAAGTTAAGCTTCTATCAATCATTCTGTATTATTTTTCTGTTCTCTGTTTTCTTAATCATATATTTTTCTTCGGGTTTCAACTTCCAGAACGGAACTACTACACAGTTATGGGTTTGAGCATGTGGCCACATTGAGCAACTTGGAAAAAGCAGGATTGTTGAAGAAGCAGGTTTGGTTATTCTTCGCTTCCTTGTGGAAAGAATTATTTTCTTGTATTCTAAGGTTAGGTAAATCTGACAATTTAATGGTGCCTTCATTTGTTCACTTCAGGAGTTTAAAAGCAACTGGCAGACAGTGAAACGTACACTGAAACTTATAGTTGAAGACACTGATACGTCAAGGTAAATATACTTTACTCATATTGTCTCCTACTGGATATGCTCCAGCTTGAATTGTGAGAAATATAAATTTCTTGTGCAGGCCCGTGGATATCGCTTATGTATATTCTGGATATGCTCCTCTTAGCATTCGTCTTATCCAACAAGCTATTCATTCTGGATGGTTAGTATGTTTTTGCATTCTAATAGCCAAAACTTTCGCTTTCCTAAATAAGTATATAACCACGAATCTACCTTACAGGCGTCCTATTGAAGACATTTTGAAACTGTTGCCAGGACCGCATCTGGAAACTAAAAGAGTCTGTACACTTTTGCCTTTAACCAATTTTGAAAGAACACAAGGCTTCCATGTTTGTTTTGCTAAAGAATCTTCTCTTTCCGGCTAATTTTTGTATGTGCAGAGTGGATTCCCAAGTAGTCCATCAGTTGAATCATTGCATGGAGCTTCAAATGGGTAAGTTTCCCATTAACAAATTAGCTTTGCTACTGCCAACGATAAAAACATCCTAATCTGTTTAAACATCATTACAGGGTTGCTGATGGAAGACGCTCAATTGTTCTTGTTGTCTTCGTTGGAGGTGTGACATTTGCTGAAATCTCTGCTCTACGGTTTCTCGCCTCTAAGGTATGACTTCAAGAGTTTATTATCATAGTCATAGACCAACTCTTTTTGTTACGCTTATTTTTGTTGCTGAATCCTCTTCCGATTGCTATCTTTTGCAGGAAGGAATGGCTTATGATTTGATTATTGCCACAACAAAAATCGTCAATGGCGCAACATTGATAGAAACATTCATGGAAAAACTGGGCTGATCCGTAACAGAGCCTTATGATTCATCTTTTCTCTCGAGTGTGCTCGTGCGTTTATATTTATTTATTTGTTTGTTTGTCTTCATGATCATTTGGTTGCAGAGAGGACTGGTTTTCGAATGTTGTAGTGTATTATTTATTTCAGTTTTTGTTCTTTTCTTTGGTGAGAGATAGTGTGATCTTCTTGTGTACAAATTCAATAATGTTTTTTTTTTCTGTGCATTAACTTCTGCCAAAGAGATTTTGGCTTTACCGTTTTTTCTTTGCGTTTACAATTTCATTAACAAATGATGAATGATCATACCAGTATACAGAAAGATATTATTTATATCACTCTTTGAAGAGATTCTATTGAATACACAAAAAATAACACATAACATCATTACATAAGATTCTCTAGTCAGAGTCAATCCAAAAGTTCCCTATACATATAATCTACACTGAAGCAAATAAGATTCCACAAACAGTGAGGCCTTCTTTTTTTCACGGAACAGTTGAAACTGCAACACCTTCGATTTGCTGAATAAGCTCCAACAAGCTCCCAGCTTTCCTCTTGGCTCTATCAGTCCCATTCTCAGTAAGTTCCTTCAAGGCAATATCTGCACCAACCTCTCTCGCTACATTCAACCTCTCCATATTCCCAATACACAGATACCAAAGTATCGCTGCAGCGTTTTCCCTGTTCCTCGGCGACCCCGTCCTGATTATCTCAACCAAAACCGGGATCGTCTCTGCTTCAGCTATCGCTGTTTTGCCTTCTTGGTTCGTCGAAAGAATCGCAAGAATCGCCAGAGCCTCGTCCACCATCCCACCACCTGCATCTTTCAGTAGTCTTGTCAGAGGAACAACGATGCCACCTTTAACCGCCCTTGATTTGTTTCCTTGGTATATGCACAGATTGAAAATCGCCGTCGCAGCGTCTTTTTTGCCTCTTCGTGTTCCTTCCTCAAGCAAGCTTATAAGTGCCTGGATGGCTCCTGCAGCACCTATTGCGACTTTGTTTTCATCTATGACAGATAAACTGAAAAGGGTCGCAGCTGCGTTCTCTCTAGCCTCCATGCTTCCGTTTTTCAGCACCTCTACTATATCCGTTATGGCTCCTGCATCAACAATGGCTCCTTTGTTACCTTCGTTTATGGAGAGATTGAGAAGAGCCGTCACAGAATGCTCCTGCGTCCGAGGATCCGGTGAGGACAGAAGCTCCACAAGGAGTGGTATGGCTCCAGCCTCAGCGATACAAACTCTGTTATCTGCATTCCTCTTGGCTAGTAACCGTAGCTCTCCAGCTGCAGCTCTTTGCTGCTCCATAGTACCGTTGGCCAACTTCTCTAACAAGGAAAGTACAAATGCTCGATCACAATCTGAGGAGCTGCTTCCTCCTCCTTGTTTCGTGGTTCTGTAGCTCCCTTGATTCTGCGGGAGCTCGATACCGTTGCTCTCACACCACAGAGCAATGAGACTCTTCAACACGTAGTTAGGAGTTAATCCAGAGTGCAAGAGTGTCTCCTGAGACTTCGGACATGTTTTATGACCAGCATCAAGCCACTTCTGGATGGATGATCTTTCATATGTCTGCAAGACCGAACAAAAAAAAAAATCAGATTAAACAACAAAATGTAATAATCAAACTCACTACAATGGAGCTTGCATTAAGCAAAAACCTGTCCAGTGGAGACGATGACTGGATCTTTCATCAGTTCAAGTGATATCGGACACCGAAAATACTCCGGTATAACAGGAGAACGATGTCTCGGAATGATCTTGCTGCCAGTGGATGATGTATCGGGCTCTGAACGTTCCATTGTTGCAGAGTCTACAAGCTTTTTAAGAAGCGAGGACATCCTCTCGAAGCAGTGGTCGGGATCACCGTCATATGAAAGAAAATACTCGTGTATTGCATGCGACTCTTTCTTCAGCTCATCGATGGTGCTGAGCTGGAGCTCTTGTGACAGCCTCTTGAGGGTTTTAGGGTCAGGATCCATCACAGTCTCAACCATGGCTAGGTCATGCCTAAGCTGCTCATCGAACTCATCCCGTCTTTCTTTTGCTCTCTTGAACTGAAACTGCAGAAGCTGTACCTGTTCTCTGACTTCCTCTGATACTTCGAACTTATCATAAGGAATCTGACTTAACGCTGCCTCTATCTCTGCTGTCACGTCGTGGAACTTCTGCATAACAGAGCCCCTGTGGAAAATCTGCAAGCAGAGAGAACACACACACACACACACACACACAAAAGTCTCAACTTTTTGATTTTCAGGTTGGAGAGATATAAGGATCGCCAAGACAAAAATGTAAACTTTGATATATAATCAAGAAATGAAATAGCTTTTGAGCTTTCTCCTGTAATGGCAGACTCAATTCGATCTCTGGCCATAAAAAAAACCAGAGAAACAAGACAACAACCGAATCCTGGATGTTGACAAAACCCTAAAACACCAAAATCTTAAACCTTTCGACTCGAAAACAGAGGAAATTGCTCACTTTGTCAACTACCAATTGAGAGAAAGAGAATAAAAAAGTAACCTGTAAAAGTTTGCTTCCTCCATTGACCGATCGAAAAAGCTCTAGACTTGAATCAAGAGCGATTCTCATAGCCTCGAAACCTGTAATCTGTTCATCTATCAATTCCACACTGAGGTCAATCAATTCCTCGAAGAAAGGGCTGAGAAGCGTGATCCTACGAACAAGATCGCCTTGGATCTTCCCGAAGAAACCTTTCGAAGAGCAAAACCCAGAAATTTCCTTGACGGAGTCAACGAGTCGACTAATCAGCTCATCACGGGAACAATTCGATGATTCCATCCTTAGATTTTGCTCGAGAGAGAGAGAGAGAGAGAGGGCTTCAGAGAGTTTTTAAGAAACGAACAAGAACGGAAATGCTATGAAGAAGCCTAATTCTTAATAAAACACATTCACATACAACAGTTTTCGCTTAAATCCTTTGCGTTTGCGGAATAGTCTCTAACGTGACAATTAAACACCAAGTCCTCCTCTCTGTCCTGAAAAGCAACATTTTGTCCATTTTCAGACAAATCATTCCGTATTTCCTTTCGTTTTTTTATTTAAACATCAATTGTTTTCTCTGCTTCTAATATTGGGGTTTAGAGTGTATTTTTGAAAATAAAACTCACAAATTTTCCATATATAGTTGGTTTTAGACTTTTAGTCAGTGTTATTGCCGCGTCAGATTCCGAAATTCAATTTTGGATTTGGAAATAAACGTGTACTGAGCTGTGGATGAGAAATAAAAAAACACCACAAACACATAATTTTTGAAACAATGCTTTATTTTTTATTGGTATTTAAAACAATCAAAAGTCAAAACCATAGTGACAAAGTCAGAGTTATAGAAAATGGACACGACAAATAAAATCCGAGGATAGAGAATCATGTCATGTGAAGAGAGTTTGAGGAGTGTATCTTCTCTACCTAATGTGTAGAGCCTTCTTTGAAATGGTCAAATTATTTCCTAATTAGATTCGACTTTATAGAGTAGGCTGCAACGCTCTCTCTCTCTCTCTCTCTCTCTCTCTCTCTCTCTCTCTCTCTCTCTCTCTCTCAAGTCACAGAGATATTTGATGAAACTCAGTAAAAATATGTACATATGAGAATCACCATCATTGCTTTAATTTCACTTTCAAGGTTCTCATATACTTAATACTTCCCAATTTCAACCTCTGAAACTTAACATTATACAACGCACTTAACAGACAGAGAAACACCGTTTAAGACGACATTGCATCAAAGTACGAAAAGATTAGTAGTCCGGAAAAGGGTTTTTGTATTCCCTCAAGAGTGAAGATGATCCAACACTCCAATCATGATGACGAAGGAGATGAAGGACGAGGTAGCCTCTTGCCTATTTCCTATCAGACATAAAAAATATAACACATTCCAACAAGTTAAATCCCTGTCTATATACATCAAACTCTCTACTTATAATCAAATCCTTCTTTCTCAACCAAAGATCTTACTGCCTATCAAATTATCCATTTTTCAAATCCAAAGTAGTGAAAGAAAACGGATCACAGGAGCTCAAATATATGCAGATGACAAGATCATATAACCCTGAGGCGATAAAGAGATACATACCTCAAACAGTTCATTTATGTTATCTGCTGTCTTGGCTGACGTCTCGATAAAGAACATGCCGTTCTTCTCTGCAAGCTCCATACCATCCTGTTCAGAAATTGAAAATGTGATACACGCTGAAGAAGCAAAGACAGTGCAAGTGACAATTAACTTTTCCATGGATTCTAGTTTGAAGAAGTTTATGCAAACTCACTTCGGTTAGTACTTCTCTTCTTTCATGTAGATCAGCTTTGTTACCAACCAAAGCCATTACAATATCTGGGCTGCCATGCTTTTGCAGTTCCTGTTAGAATTAAAAGGCAGGGGTTAAACAACAGAACTAGATGATATCGAGGCAGCGAAATGTCACTTGAAATCACATTCCGGTATCCTAGTACTTTATATGTTTTGAGTAACTAAAGTGGGTTATGTTTGGATACTTCGATTCCTCTGATGGCTTTGCCAATATAGTAAATTGACTTGCCATCCTTTATGACAACCACTTTTATTACATCATCGCAACAGTTGGGTACAATTTAGACTGGTAGAGTTGTTACACTCTTCTATGGTTATACATGACATGACTTTCTGCAAGCCAATGTTTCAGTCATTTAAATCAAATTGGTACAAGAAAATCAAATAGTTTTATACTCTGCTATGTTATATAGAAATTTCTGCAGGTCAATTTTCAGTCACATCGTTCTGAAGCTATTGCATGAATCCCCAAAACATTTAGGAAACGGAACCCTTTGAGTCACTTGAAAACATACCTTAACCCAATACTGAGCTTTCTTGAACGATTCGGGGCTTGTTATATCATACACAATAACAGCAACTCCAGCTCCACGGTAGTATAGTGGCGCAAGAGCAGAGTACCTTAAAAAAAATAGGGCGAATACAGATTAAGCCCTAACGAGCGAGCATGCAAGGCGTTTATTTAATCAGCTAAGCAACGCGAATCTACATGGAGGGATCAAACACCTCTCCTGTCCTGCGGTATCCCATATTTCAAACTTCACTGTGGTAGAGTCTTGCAAGGCTATTGTTTGGGACAAGAATGAAGCTCCAACAGTTACCTGATACATATAACTAATAGTTTTGAGATTCAATGCTAGATGAAAACTCTTATAGCCATTCACATGCCACATATGACATCAGAGAACGGTGTCCTAGAGAATAGTGTCCAGATGGTCAAAGAAAAAACGATTAGATAATAAAGTTTTACTTACTTTAGATGTTGCGTCAAACTGACCACGGACAAATCGTAGGACAATACAGCTTTTACCTACTCCAGAATCTCCTAATAGAACTAACTGCATTTTAAAGTGAATCCAAAAGTTAGCGCTCTGTCTTGCGCAAAGTTGAGACCAACTATACTACACGTGCAAAATACTGCTGAGCAACAAGAAGATTGGTAAAAGAATCCTTTCAGTAGCAAAAGAGTTTCAAACGTAGCTCCCCAAAAATAGTGAAACACAGTTATTCGCTTATACTTAGCCACGGAAAGAAGAAATTTGAGGGTTTACGACTAATAATTCCACTACACCATTCTATAAAGTGTGTAATTTTAGTCCTGCGAGCTCCACTAAAAGCATGAAAGCATGAACTTTCGAAGTTATAAAAAATTCCAGTTTATAACCTTCACAAGTTTATTTTTTTCCCTTTTGATTATTCTCAGGAATTAGTTTAGCAACAAAGTGGTCTCAGCGAGATGAACATTCTTAACAAAAAAAAAGAGCAAAAACAAACAAAAAAAAACACAAAATCGCACCTTCACGCGTAGATTTTTCGCATCTGCTGGAACTGCATTATCTGAACTGTTAAGACCATTCAACGCACCAGAGTTCCTATCTGAAAACACAAAACACAGACAAATCTAAAAGACTCAATAAAAAACGATTTGCTTTAACCAATTTCTTCACGGAAACCCTAAATAACGCAAATGATCATCATAATCCCCAAATTTCGAGAAACTTCTAATTCAACCCCGACGAAATTTCTCGAGGGTTTTGCGAAGAGTTAATTCAACAAAAAAAAAAAGACGGAAAAAAAAGTAAAGAGACTTGCCTGGAAGAGAAGCAGCACATCCCATAGCTAATCCCTAAATAGAGAATTGCTGAGATTATAGAAATCACAGCTGAGAGATCGTATCCAAGTTTTGGGCGTTGATGGCAGCGAATCGAAGAAGAAGAAGAAGGATCGGGTAAATAAATTCGATGATTTTATCGTCCTTGTCCTTGACTTTGCCAACGATTATCGAGTTTTATTTTAAAGGCTCTTTATTTATCAAGCCGTAACACAAAGAGTATTATTTTGGTCTGGTCGCATAACTGTAATAAAAAAAATTGCTTCATTATTTAGCCTTTTACATAGAGATGGTGTTTTTGTTTTTTTTTTTTTGGTTAATCCATTTAGATAATACAGAATCACAGATAATATCGATAACTTATAGAAACGGTCTCATTTTATTCCAACTCTTTTGTGCTCTATCTCGAAAGCCTAACTGAAATGAAACGGAATCACAAGAACCCTAGTTTGATTGATTCTCTAAACAATAAGTTCATAAACATTTACTTTTTTTCTTTCATATATGATCTATGTAACAATACTGCTTACACATTATAGATACACGATATCACACACACACATATAAATTAAGGAATACAAACCCAAGCATAGAGAGTTATAACAAATAGGTGAAATATACAAATTCATGAGATGCATAGGGTCTTCATAACTTTACGGCTTAGGAATGGGTTTGGCTGTTACAGAACAAAGTGATGAACGTAAAGCATGGTTGTTAATGTAGCGGCTAGGAGCAGAACTGAAGCGTAGTCCCTTTGGCAGACAATCGTTCATGCCTCCACCGTCAATTATGCCTCGTCCGCTACTGCTAGTGTAAATTGTATTTATGATAGTGTGGCCCTGGCCCGGCTTATTGGCTTCCATTAAGGGCCTCGATGCATGGACAAAGTTTGTTTGTGGAGAGAAATAGAAACTAAATATACAGAGAAACACGATGAACAAGGAAATGTAACTCGGCATTTCTTGAATCAAGCTGTATATATATATCATCAACCTTGGCTTTCTGTAATGTCTTGTGTTATAATTTCTTTAAGGCTTGGAGGGGACGATATGTATATATATAGGTCTATCTCTGTGTGTGTGTGTGTTTGCTTGTGGTGCTTGTATTGACCTGCAAGATACGCATGCGTATATCCTTGCGTGGTCGACGTTGAAATAGAACAGATCACATACAACACTTTTTTTTCATAATGCTCGTGCTTCTTATAACTCCAAACCTTCTCCAAACTTTGATTCTCCAAGTCAAAGTCCCAATAATGACGATTTTGTGTCCTAATCACATAACATAACTCGAAAAAATTTAGATTTAAACAGGTATTTTGGGATTATCTAAGGATTAGTAAATACATGATTACACCAAAATAATTATATTTTTCTGACAATAATAAATAGAGAGGATTTAACTGAATGAAATTATATATATCCGACGTGGATCAAGAAATAGGGAAGAGTGGAAGAATATAATTGTACACGTAATTCGATCTTAAAGTTGAACGAAAGAAAAGTTGACACATGTGCGTTGTTTAGATCTTCTCTCTGGCACTTCAACTACATAATCTGAGATCTAACTGTGTAAACCAATCAGAGAACACCATGTGGACGTTATAACACATCAAAGTTTCTTCTAATCTCATGTCTCGTTTACCGGTTTAGATGAGTGGTGTTGTCCCTTACTGCCACTTGTCTCAATGCCTCGCTTACAAAGCTTTATATCGTATGCTTTTGAGATATTTTGCTCGAGATTAAGAAAATCTATTTCGAAATTGCACCCAAGTGATTGAAACGTCTTAATCTTCAATCAAATTTCATCGAATCAATGGTGTAACCAAATCTAGGAAAAGAAGAGCTTACATATAGTACTTGCCTGGTGAATGTATATGTGATATGCTGTAATGGTCTGTGGCGTACGTAGATAATGTTGCTGAGTCCAATTTTCTTATAGGGGTTTGCAATTTCAGCAAAGAGATTGAAGATATAATGAATGACTTGAAAATTAAAAAAGATTAGTGATATGATGGGTGTTACATGTTTGCATGTGTCTTATCATCTATTACACAGATAAACATGAACCATCATAAATCATAGATTCATAATGCACAAGTGTGAAATAATCCCAAACAACTAAGCACGTGCTAAATCTACTTGGAAAACAAGTACATAAAAACATAAGAAAGCATGTACATGTGAGGATGAAGAAATTTTATTTTAAAAAAAGGATTAAGTGTGGGCATGTTTGTGTATTTGATAAGTACTCTAACAAATAATTTCATGTTGAGTTGTGGCTCCAAGCCGGTTGAATAATTGACGTGTTGTAACATTAACAAAATTCCAAATAATCATAGAACAGATCCACACACCATGTGGACGTGGTTCTACGTACCCTTGCCAATAGGGGTTTCTCACAATTTTTTGGATGCTATTTTTTTTATATTTTAGAATATATACAAGACATAGAATACAAATATCTAAATATTCCATTAATTAGAAAAACTCGAGGTAAGTTAAGAAAAATATGAAAACTCAACTATGCTAACAATGCCAATATGTCTTATTGCTATTGATAAGTAAGTAGTCCATGCGGCCATGCCAACAATATATGCCAATAAATCATAGAATCTTCAACCCATTTCTATTTTTTCCTTTAAAAATAGAGAAAAAAATAAAAATGTTATTTTTTTATTTCTAATTTATCTTTATTTTATTAAAAATATAGAGTTTTTACATTTTTCTATAGAAAAAAACATAGTAATCTTTAGTTTTTCCTCTAAAATAGAGATTTCCTTCTAAAATAGAAGTGAGTTAGAAAGAGATATACCTCTATTTTAGAGAAAAATATAGCAAACTACACTGAAGATGGTCTTACTCAGATAAATGTAATTTAACAGTATTTAGGAAAAACAAATTAAGTGAATTTTAATTTATCAAGAAATCATGTCTGATTGGAAGAAAATCTGGTAATCTTATTTATACCACTTCTGCATTTTTATATGTAAAACCAACTGAAAAAGTTTAGTGTCTCTTATTATGATATTTTATATTTACAGTTGAAATTACTACACATATCAAAATCTCAGCTGTTTCAAGATGTTCATGAGTCAAGAGAGTTATAAAAGGATTTGATCAAAAAGAGTTATAAAAGGATAATGCGTCGATAACTGTACTATAGCTACACCCTTAACTTAACCATAGTTAAATCAGATACATATGATGAATGACTCACATTTTAACGGCTCTTTACTAATATAGTTGCCCTCGACCGGTTCGTTTGCCCTTTCACTCGCCTAGACTCCTACTTTCTGAATCAAATCTTTTGTCCTTTGTGATTTTTAAGATTCCTTAAAAAAAAAAATCTAAAATAGCTTTCATCGGATAAGAGTTGTGAGAGAAAATGAATCACTCAGTTTCCGACCAAAGCCTCTACGTCGAGAGCGATGACGAAGAGAACGAGAGAAAAAACTTGTCTGAAGAAGAAGGAGAAGAAGACGATGGAGCTTTCTCTGATTCTTCTGATGCTTACAATCAAAGCCAGCATCACTCTAAAGCTAGCCCATACTCAACGGCATGGCCAAAGAGTTACAGGTAAAATCTATACAAAAGAATTTCAACATTTTGATTTTGGATCCATAACCATTTTAACGTTACTCTGTTATAATGTTTTGTTACAGACAGTCGATTGATCTGTATGGAAGTCTACCATCTCCAAGTCCTGGTTTTCTTGGTAATTCTTCATTGTCAAGATTCGGAAGCTCTTTCATGTCATTAACAAGAAGACACACTCCAGAAACATTACCTGCTGTTACAAAGCCTCTGCTAGTAGATGAAGAAGCACCGAAGCGAAAACGTAGCTCTCCTTACCTGCTTCCCTCATCCACAGTGTCTCACGAAATCGGAATCTCCAATGATAGCTCATTTGGACAAGCTGTTCTTAATGGTGAGTGTTTCATCGATACCTCTCATGGTAATAATGTTAAACTAATACATAGAATCAATGTGCAGGAGTGAATGTTTTATGTGGGGTTGGAATATTGTCAACACCATATGCGGTGAAGGAAGGAGGATGGTGGGGACTTATCATTCTCTTTGCATTTGGCATTCTCTGTTTCTACACTGGTTTGCTTTTGCGTTACTGTCTCGATAGCCACCCTGATCTTCAGACTTATCCCGATATTGGCCATGCAGCTTTTGGTGCCACCGGTCGCATCCTTGTCTCCGTAAGACTCATCATCCATATACATTGTAAATTTGATGTTTATTAGATATCAATAATGTCATGTGTTATATAATTAACTTGCTCTTTTTTTTTTCTTTTTGTGATTGTAGATAATACTCTATTTGGAGCTATACGTAAGTACAACTTGCAGTTCCTCCAATAGTTTACTTTTATATCATATAAATGAAAAAGACAAAACACATTTTTTTATTTATTAAAAGATTGAATCTCAAGTCATAACAAGGGACCACATGTAGGACTAGTACAACACCTTTGTTCAGGGTCCATTGTGTCTCTACCCTCTCTTGTTTTGTAGTTGGAATATATTGTTTTTAAGTATATTATAACGTTGAAAAACATCAGCATTACATATACTGAAAATGCTATTGCAAACAGGATTTGTACAATTTGTCTAAGATTAAGTTCTGAATGTTCTTATGATATGATAAGGTTGCAGACTTTTGATATGCTTCTATGTTGTTCTCTCTCTGTACGTAGGCTATGAGTGTTGAATACATAATTTTGGAAAGGGACAATCTTTCATCATTATTTCCAAATGCTGCTCTAAGCATTGGAGGGTTTCATTTAGATGCGCCTCACCTATTTGCCCTGCTTACCACCCTCGCTATTCTCCCCACCGTTTGGCTTCGAGATCTCAGTGTACTAAGTTACATTTCAGGTACTAAAGATGATTCTTTTGATCTCAGTGTACTAAGTTACATTTCAGGTATGAAAAACAATGGTATGTCGGTTATTAAACTAAGCATATCCTTAATTCTTGCAGCTGGAGGGGTGGTTGCATCAGTTTTAGTGGTTTTGTGCTTGTTTTGGGCCGGTTTGGTTGATGAAGTTGGGATTCAGAGCAAAGGAACTCCTCTGAACCTAGCAACATTACCGGTTTCTGTAGGACTCTATGGTTACTGTTACTCAGGACATGGTGTTTTCCCTAATATCTATACTTCAATGGCCAAACCTTCTCAATTCCCTGCGGTTCTCTCGACATGGTATAATCTTATAAAAAGTCATTATAAAAGATTTCGAAACTCTACATTTTTTGTTTTTTCTTGTGAAGTTTTTTAGATGTATATTTTGTTGTTGCTGTTGCAGTTTTGGGATTTGTACTTTGATGTATGCTGGTGTCGCTGTTATGGGATATAGCATGTTTGGAGAATCAACAGAATCACAGTTTACTCTCAACATGCCTCAAGATTTGGTTGCATCTAAGATTGCTTTGTGGACCACAGTAAGTTTTTTTCATCTTTACTATTTACAACACAAGATTATAAAATTTGCTTATCTATTGACGTTTTCTTTGAATCTTTTTGCAGGTAGTCAATCCATTTACCAAATATGCTTTGACGTTATCTCCAGTCGCAATGAGTCTTGAGGAGTTGTTACCATCAAACCATGGAACGTCACGTTTCTATGTAATTGCTATTAGAAGTGCATTGGCCTTCTCTACTCTCCTCGTTGGTCTTGCGATTCCCTTTTTCGGTAAGCAAGCACACTCCAAAAATCTATAAAAAATGGTTACTTCTCATATGTACATTCTATAGTTATTGACACTCATATTTTTTTTGCAGGCCTTGTCATGTCATTGATTGGATCATTCTTGACAATGCTCATTGTAAGTTACATATAGTTTTCTGCTTATGCAAGCAAATTCATGTTTTTGCATTTTCAAAATGACTTTTGTTCTTCTCTGGACACAGACGTTGATACTACCCCCTGCTTGTTTCTTGAGCATCTTAAGGACAAAAGTAACACCTATACAGGTATGCTTTGCTTCACTTCTGATAACCGAACCAAATTGGAAAAAGAAAAACTCAAAATTTATGTTGAAGACAAAATGTAACCAAACCGGACAAATATATTATGTATGATGTTCCTATCTTGACAACCATTTTGGTGTGTTTGTAGGTGACGATCTGTATCTTAATTATCACAGTAGGAGCAGTTTCTTCAGCTATCGGGACCTATTCAGCCCTTTCAAAGATCATTGAGAAGTTAAACACCTAAAAAAATGATCACTTATTTTTCCTAAAAATTGGTAAAAATATGTGGATAAAATGATGGATTTTGTATTCAAGTTTTATTTTATAGTAACTATTCAAGTTTTAAAACCTGAAAATGGTTCTCCATCTACATCTTGTTCTCGATTAGTGAACTTTTAATTTGATGGTAACATCGAAGACCAAAGTGGCAATTTGAGTAGAATAAACAAAACCGGGGTTAAAAGATGTGAAATCCTAGCGGTTACAATAGTAAAAAAAGCAAAGAAGAGCTTGCTCTATTCACTGGACATCTTTTCTCCAGCTAAGTCTTCAACTGTAAGGTTGAGAGAATCCATGGATCCTTTCTTGAATTCTTCACCACGAGCAGCAAGAAACTCCTCCACGCTTCCCGGTTCTCCAAACCAACCACGACGGTCTGCAATCAAATGCAGATTATCACAACCTTCACAACGTACCACCACAACGCCCTTCTCGTACGATTCTCGGCTCGCCATCTTCATCGATCTCGTCTCACAGACCTTGCAAGTAAAGACCATCATGAAGTCGTGCCTCGGGTTTATTTTCAACTGGGAATTGTATTTCACAATCAGCTCCTCAGAGGCCGTTGCAGGAGAAGGAGCTTTGTCCAGTTCAGCAGCAGAGTGTGAGGAGTTGCAGCCATTGGTTAATGAAGCTTCACTAGCCTGACGGGTTACACAAAATTGTCTCTGAAGTAATCCCCCATATGCATAATCTCTGCCGAAGAGTGACTTCGATTGCGAAAACTTATCTGCAGAGATTACTTTCAAAAATGAGAACTGTGAAAAAAGACCCATTTAAATGTGTGATGATACATTTACACGCAGCTAAAACAGTCAGTACCATAACAAGCAATCACAGGAACCTTCAGGGATATTGTTTGCAGCAATAATGAATAGATTTTCTACCTCAGATTCACTATGAAAACAACATAGATGCAAGTATTGATGAACGCATGGATTTGCGCTTTCGAAGAAGCAAGAGGAGAATGGTCACAATTCACAAATTGAGTGCTTACATGAGAGCTCAAATCAAGAGAAGATTGACCAGACAGAGATGCAAACAATGTTTAGATTACTAATGCAAGTCTCGGAACACTAACTTAATCCATGCCTAACACATCTCTTAGCCAGGACAAAATAAAAATGGGCTCAGAAAACTTAATCAATGTCTTGCTAAAATGCTAGATACGTTCCAAGAAAGTAAACTTATATGTGCATTTATAACTCCAGTTTCGTCGGCTGTATTATATGTAACACATGTGACTACGAGCCCCATTCATCACTAAGAAGGCTCCCAAAACAACCCAACACCAAAATATCTCTTCTTTATCAAACATCAAAAAACCCGAGACCCTTCTTCTTTCTTTAGTTAGTCTCTTCTACACATCTCTGCTCGTCATTTTGACAGAGTACAATGATTCTCAACTAAAATTCACCAATTTTTGATTGGCCATATTAAACATCAAGGCAAGTTTAAAAATACAAATCCTGCAGACTCTTAACCAAAGCCCGAATTTTCATATTATGCCATATTTTTAGCCTTCACATGACGGAAGAAGAAAAAAGATTATTGGGGAAAATCGGGTAGAAAGATTGGGGAAATTACGCAAGCTAAAGAAGAAAAAGATGATACCTTGAGACAAAGGAATCCGATGTCTTTGGTTATTGCAATAGAGAGATAAAGCGCGCCTCAAACTGAGAAACCTAGCAGCCATTGATGAGACTTGGGTTGTTCTTCGGCGACAAGTTGATTGAGAGGAGAGAGGAGCTGAACGCTTCTATGAAACCAGAAGTTAAAAAAAAAAAAAAAAAAAAAAAAAGGCTAATTTTTTGTGTGAATTTATTAGAATAGTTTTCGTTACGGTCAAGTAAAAAATCTAAACCCAGAAACCCAATTTGGTGTCTCTCTTCCTACTTGGGTTGGGCTTCAATTGGACTAACATTTTATGGTTCGTAACATTGGGCCGTAATTAGACCGACCTTTTTTCTTTTTACAAACCATATCACAAGCGTTTAGATTAGTTAAAAACCTTGGAAAAAAAATCTTAAGGTGAGTCACATAATAAAAGCTTATTAAATGAAGAAATTTATGACTGATGTGATTCCAGTTTGATAGTGGTTGCGTGAGACTTGTTGACAATAAACAAAAAAAAAAAAAAAAAATTATGACTGGATTGAAAATGTGAATGATGATGATTCATTCCTTGTATTTCATAGGAAATATGATTTAAGACCTTGCTTTTAAACAAGAAAGTTGGTTGAATGGGAAGAAATTAGCTTTTGGATTGACTTGTGCCAGATAAAATCATCATGTGTTTCATAAATGCGCATGGAAGACAAAGCTGTTCCTCTACGATGAGGAGCCATTAAATTTGACCTCTCAATGCCTCTTATCCATCATTCTCCAATCCAATTCGAGTATCTTCCAAATTACGGCAACACGATAAAGTTTAATGGAAACAATAATCATGTTTTACTTATTAAGTTCTCATCAAAATCATAATAGAATTGTAATGATATCATATACACTGCATGTAAATTTACTCTCCTACATCAAGTAGGTTTAAACCTGCACGTGTAAAGTTGATCATACGGAATTTAGCAAACTAGTAAAAATAGAACAGTAATATTAAGTCAAGAAGTAGACATAAATATGATAAGAAGTAGCATTTCAAAGTTGGCCCACAAGTCACATTCAAAACCTCTCTTCACAAAAGCTACTAGTACTAGAGACATCAGATACTACTACACGTCACTTGGCTCCAACCATCTAAAATCATATAAAAGCCCTCTCTTTATTGTCGTCTCTTTGCTCTCTTTGATGATACTTGAGGAGAGTCAAAGCTAAACGTGAGGTTGGCTCCTGAAGGACCCGAGTGCCTTCACCGCACCAGCCCTCAACACAAACTGATGGTAGAAAGCTGCAATGGCTGCACCCGCAAACGGACCCACCCAAAATATCCACTGTAATAATAATAGAGAAACGTTAGTAAAAAAACCTTGTCGCGAAAGGTAATATCGAAGACGAATAAGTAAAAATATTAGTAATACGAACGTGATGGTCCCAAGCTTGGTCCTTGTTGTAGATGATTGCAGCTCCAAGACTTCTTGCAGGGTTAATGCCAGTGCCCGTGATTGGGATCGTGGCTAAGTGAACTATGAACACCGCAAATCCAATCGGCAACGGAGCCAATACCTTTAATTACCACATCATCATCAACAACAACAACAAATATATGTTACTAAATCACGAGACAAATAGTGTGTACTCTCCAAATACTATTAATATATTTTCTCCAACCAAAAATGATATGATTGATATAGTTATGCTTTGGAAGAAGTATACGTGGATGCGAGTAAGTAATCGGGACCACAGATAAAGAACATATGATGGAGAAAGGACTGAAAGACAAAACAATGTTTAGATGATCGATGACCGTTTTGTCGTTTATTATAATGAGAGAATCTAGAAACTAGATTGGCAAAACATCTGTAATATCTCGTCCGGTTGTAAAGAAAACCAAGATAAAAGTTTAGGAAACAAAAAAGAAAATTTTTAATTATGTTCATTCTGCTTCAAAAATATAAAATATCGGCATATACATGTGTATTAATAAAGATAAATAGACACGTTAAAATGTCTTCATCTATGTTAGGTTATATAATTATAAAATTTTAAACTCCAATAAATAAATACTGAGATATGAAAATGAAGACTGTAATCAGTTTTTTTTTAAAAAAAAAATTAGTATATATTTAAGTTTTTAAAAAAATCAATAATATTACAAATTAGCCCATTGAATAATCTTTCGAATATCAGAATTTTAGCATGTATATGAATATCAATTATCTACTCCCTCCGTTATTTTTTATAAAATGTTTTAAAAAATAATTTTGTTCATAATTAAATGATATTTTCATAAATTAATGCAAAAAATAATTGTTTTACTTTATACATTATTTTTTTATTGGTTGAATTGTTTTGAAATTGATGTTTTGTTTTGAGAATAGAGAAAATTAAATAACTTTTTAATCTCTGCAAAACCGAGAGGGAGTAAGTATTTTGCAATGGATAATACGAATTACAGAGTAACCAATCCAGATGAAACCAAACGAATCACGGGTATCATGTTTATTGGGATGATAAAACTTAAAATCCGGATATTAGACCGTATTAAATGCATATTTATTCTATTCTAGGCCGATAATGCTTTGGTACGACATCGTCGTAATGATAAATAGTACGCCGTATAGGACACGGATGTTCTACTGTTTCCATCGAAGCAACGAATGCTCGAAAACTATCTAAACGTGACTAATCTCTTTCTCGTGACGTAATCATCACATTTCTATTAACCAAATAATCAAAAGGGGAAAAAATGAGCTTACCGGGACGTGGGAGTCACGCGCACTCCTCTTGGGGTCAGTGGCGGAGAAGACGGTGTAGACTAAGACGAATGTACCGATAATCTCGGCGGCAACACCGGTGCCAATGCTGTAACCATCGGCGAGACCGTTTGCGCCGCCGCCGTAGCGGGTGTAGTAAGCAGACTGGAAGGACTTGACTAAAGCCACACCACAAATGGCACCGAGGCACTGAGCCACCATGTACATCACTGCTCTCACCAAAGTCACTTTCCGAGCCAAGAACAGCCCAAATGTCACCGCCGGATTTATATGCCCACCTGTACCATTAAAATAAGTTTAACAAAAACATTCATGTGAGTATAAAAACCATACCAAACTAAATTAAAACGAATAAATGAATAATGTTACAGATTAATAATAATCATTAACCCACAATATAAGAACTGATGTATATTCATTAGAACCTTTTCTCTAGATTTGGTATACATATCTCAAAACCAAAAAAAATAAGAATAAGCTAAACCGAACCAGACTAAACCAAAACCAAATTTCTGATTGGTTTGTAACTTCAGATTTTCATTTTCCCTATCAAAATGGCAAAAGATTCAGATACAATAATCTCAGGTGATCTGAAGCAAGTGGAGACAACATAAGTTATGTTTTGAGCTAAAGAGTGAGCTACTTAACGAGCATAAATCCATGGAAATAAAAAAAAACCCGAAAAAAATATAAAAAGAGAAAGAAAACCACCGACCAGAGATTCCGGCAGTGCAGTAGACAAGGATGAAGATCATGCCACCAAAGGCCCAAGCGATGCCGAGGATGCCAACACCTGCACACTGGTCAGGATTCAGGGTTGGATCGACCTGGCTCTTGTAACCGATAACAGTCATAACGGTAACGTAGAGGAAGAGGAGCGTGGCTATGAACTCAGCGATGAGAGCTCTGTAGAAAGACCACTTCCCAAGCTCCGCTGCGTCGAATAGTGGCTCAGGCGGTGGATCTTGATAGTCTTTCCCGGAGAAAGATCGCTTCTCTCCAACCGCTTCTTTCGTCATTGCCTTCTTCTTCTTCGCCAAGCTTGAGAGTCTGTCTCTGTAATCTTAAGATATATTAAAGGAGAGAGAGAGCGAGAGAATTGATGTGGTAAGATTGTGAGTCGGTGAAGGGTATTTATGGACAGATGTGACAAGGCTTTAGGCTATGTGTTTTTATTTTTTTGGGGTAGTTGTTGTTGTTATGATCATTTTTAACTAGTTTTTTTTAAGGTTTTGGAATGATGATGGCAACGGACGGATCTAATTAAATTGCTCTGTTTGATTAGACTCTTTTCTATTTCATTATTTATAAATTTTGATCTTTTTTAATGGAGCAGACAATCAATCTTTTGGCTAATACAGAAAAAAAGATAGAAGACAAAAATACTACACAAGTAATACAGTAGTCCGCCAAAAATAAGCTAGTCCGTTTCCTGTTACTGGTTTAGTATCGTGGTATCATGTGGGTAACTTTATAAACAGTATATATCAAAACAAAGAGTATTACAGAAAGAGACTCTTTTATTTTATGGAAACAAACACTTTTGTCAAGAATTCAAAAACACTCAAATCCTAATAAAATTTTAAAATTATGTATTTAACAAAAAATATTTTCACAATGCATTTGAAAAGTAAGATTTTCATATATATTTTATTTTACTTTCTGTGGTTCTAATTACAAAAAAAAAATTAACGATCGACGGTTAAACTAATCGAAAGAGATGACCCAAGTATAATAAAACCCATCTGCCGCTGATGCGTTTTTCCAACGAACCATGTGACATGTACGAGATTAGTAACGAAGGCCATGTTTAGTGTTTAGAATAGAACTCATAATTATATGTAAAATAGTTTTTTGAAAATATTTTAGACGTTGAAATATACTATTAATAATCTGAGAAAAGTCATATTATTTCTACAAAATATCGATTTGATATATTTATGAACGTTCTTAAAACAAATACTAATAGATGTTTGAGGGGAATTCTTAGTGTGGTGGTTGCACTTCAAGCAACTCATTCATAACAATCATGGTTTAAGCCATTTTTATTATTTACAAGTTTAAACAAACACATAATTGATTAGCTTCTACTTTGTAGAGTCGGCAAACTAGATATGAGATATGAGATATGAGAGGCCACGAAATTTTACTTTTATTTTTAACAACCACTTTATAGTTATTAATATGCAGATATAAGTTATTAATTGACAGTTGCACAACAACGGTAACTAGTACCAAACCCTAATAAACCTAAATACTACTGAATTCTCCAATTAGCTGTCTCCAAAAACAATGTTGTATGCTCTATAAATAGGTGGACCATATATTTGAGAGCTTCATGCCGACTTTTCAGCTGATATATCAAAGATTAGAAAAAAAAAAGTTTCTAGAATCTTTTAATTTGGGTGCTTATTCAAAGTAGCATGCCCTCTCCCACTTTGTAACTTTTCGTATCTTGGTAAAGAAAACTGTAACATAGATGATAAGACACATATAGATATTGTATAATAGTGAATTTACACTTATATCTTCAACAAAACTAAGATAGAAACAGATTAGATAAATGCCTGACATGACAATCAAATGGTGGAGGACTCGTCTTATTGATTGAGGTTAGGTATCAAATTTCATCTACTGCGTGTGTTTTTTTTTTTTTGTATGTTGATCACAGTATAAACATATGAAGTGATAGCATAAGTTTCGGCTAAAGATGTATATGATTATTAAAAAAAGTTTATGGTTAATAACGACGAAAAATGCACAATCATGCACATGTTCAAACTAGAGAGGACGGCGAAGTGGAAGTAAGGTGGGTTGTTATCTTTCACCGACTCAACTTGACTTTGCAGCTTTGCCTTGTTTTGTTTTTTGCTCTATATGTTTTTATGCTTTTTCTTCTTCTTCCAAACAAATTTTTAGGTTTAAGGTGTCCCCTAATAACAAAAAAAATAATAACATATTATTCATTTTCTTTCTCCTGTTTTTTAAATTTTCACTAATCACTTTAACTTTCTTAATAGTGAGCTTCTGTAGTTTTTGCCATCCACTTGCCAATAGGCTCGTGAACACCACAACCAACTTAGTTCTTTGTTTGTTTCTTTTGGGTTGTTTTAACCAATTTGCTCCAAATATATCCGTGTGGTATTCTGAAATTATTCCTCTTTTACTAGGAAGTATATTTAAAAGTTTTAGATCTGTTCCCGTGAATGCACCAGTTGCCCACTATACACTTTTGTTGAAAACATCATTCTCCCTTTTATTTTATTTTTATTTTGGACTACTCGAGTAATTTGTTGGTAAAATAAACTTTCCGGGGTAACAAATATAATGGCTGTATATGAGTATCCTTAACATTAAGCATGATATATACAATTTTTCAATTTCGTACATAAATCTTATGCTTCTCATCTTTTGGTTTCTTGTTTTTAAATATAAACCAAAAAGTTAAAAAAAGTCCGGAGTGCAAGATAGTCGATTCAAGCATGGAGAAGCATATTTTAAGCATGATTTTGATAATTGTTTTCAGACAGAACAATAAGGGCAAACACTACGTACGCCGACGATACTGGGCCTAGTAGTATCTAACCCATCTAAAATCGTCCAAGAGAAAAGCTTTGGGTCCATCAAACACACGAGATCGTTTTGGAATCAGTTGCAAAGTTCTCGAGGAGCCGGAATTGAAGTGTATATGAGCCTTACTCGCTATTTAATTAGATTCAGTGACACATTATTCTAGCAATATTAACGTTGTCACTTATACATGCAACATTCACCTAGAATCAAAACATGCTTAAACCGAAAACGCGAATAGTATCTTTCAAATACCCTGAAAACATTGTTTTTATGAATACCAAAAGAAATCAACTGTATCAATTAAAGTGTTGGTGTTGGATAAGATCAATACATTAGATATAGTTATCGAATGCATCAATAATGATGACACATCAGTTCTTTTTTCCGTAGAATCAGGTTTTTTTTATCCAAAATAAATTAGAGTTTAACGTGAATTTCTAGAGGAGATTACGAAGTAGATAATTGATTGAAGAACCATTTGCTGGTAATCGAGAACTTATGACAAACGTTTTTATTGGCAAGATCCTGACACTTTAATTCCTAAGATCTGAAAAATAATTGATAGAAATTTATAAAATATTGTTGTCTGAAGCAGTAATTCAAAAGTCATTTATGTATAAAGTATTTTTTTTTTCCATATGTAAAACTGTTTTAAATCGGTTAAAATTTACTTTAAATCAAAGTAAAGATCGAAATGGGAAATTGAGTGATTAAAAATCAAATAATCTAAACTCAAAACACAGAAGAGGTAAATAAAGTAAGCGATTGATTAACGGATAAGATATAAGTCTATAGTATAAAGACGTGTAATGTGTTAGGCCAAGATCCAACTAGGCCATTGAACATTAAAATCGTGAATGAAGAAGGTCTTTAACTGACTCGATTGTCCAATCGAGTTTGTTATTTGTGCATCGGCGAATACAAAAGTGTTTCTTATTTTGTCCACTACTTATCAGACTATTCTAAAAATCTGAGCAACACATGCAAAAAAAGAGTGTTGTGTAATAATATGAAATTAGTGAGTTTGAAAAGGTTGGTAAAATTAAGAAACACTCTAATCTTAATTTGACATCATAGATGGTTGGATTTACATAAAACCTAATCTATGAAGTCCATTTTCTAAAAAGATATTGGTTGTTACTCAATCTCTCATCACCATTTAATTACGTTAATGCTTTTATCTCGTATCTACCACTGATTTAAACGCAACACTAACTTAACCATAGCACCTTTTAAGAGGAATAAACTTAACCATTCATAAACATGTATGTAGCTTGTTGGCAAGAAAAAGCTTAATGTATTTAGCTTTGTATTATAAAAAAATGTATGTGTAGTTTCGAGGGTAGGGAAACCATCTAATAATTAACAATTTATAACACTGGATTTTTAACAAAAAACAAAAATAATAAACCTTTCAGCTAAACAAATCAACTACAAAAAGAATCCTCACAATAAAAATACAAAGAATTTAAAAGAAGAAAAGAAGAAGAGGAAGATTTAATGTAAAAACTCAACACCTAACTTTCACTAATGTCTTCAAAATCTTCTGCTCTTCCCCAACTTAAACTTCCTCTGTTCCAAGAGTTTTTGCCCATTCACACTACAAATACAAAATACAATCAACAATCAATTCTCATCTAACTTTTGATCCTCCACAAATTGATTGCTCCTCTTCATTCATCTCTTCTCTTCTAAAAAAAACTAACATTTTTTCTGCTCACTGACTCTTTCCTACTCCTCGCAACTCTAATCACCTCAACGCTTGGAAACCGAATCAATCTTTCTTGATTTTAGTCTACGCCAATGTAGGCACTGTTCGGAATCAGTTCTTGCAGATCATTCTCTTCGGCTGCATAGCTGCCATCGCTGCATCTCTTGCTTCTCATTTCAGCCACCTTCTTGTGTGAGTTTGAGTGAAGAGCTGGAGTGAATGTTGGGCTAGCAGCGGGACGGTACTCCGGGAAAAGCCTTCCTGACTTGTAACGCACGCCACAAGCGTTGCAAAGCGTCTTTGGACCCATAGGACCAAGCCTCCACTGTGGGGTCTTGGTGACCTCACAATGCATGCATTTCCTAAGCGGGTTTTGCTCTGAAGAATACGAATCCACGTTGTTGTTTCCATTGGTTTCGAGGTCAACCCCGGAAGAGGAAAAGGAAGAAGTAACCTTGGCCTTCTTCTTCTTCTTCTTGGTGATCATCTTGCTGTGGTCAGAGAGAAACTGCTTCGGTATTCTAATGATGAGGCGAGAATCCGCACCGCAGACATTGTCTCTGACTCTGTCTTTCTCCTGGACCGGAGGACGAGGGCGCTTTGTGCGTGGACGGCCGTGCTTTCCGGGGAGGACAAGGGAGGTTGTGTTGGTGGTTTGGGACGACGAGGAGCTGCTCTCGAGGACCGACACTGGACTTGAGCTCCTGAACTGGCTGTGAGAAGACGATGAATCCGTGTTTGTCGAGAAGGAATCTTCCTTCTTCTCAACCAATGATTCCTCTACAAAGCTTGGTGGCCTTTCCACCTTAACAATATCTTCAAACTGCAAATTTCCCACAAACAATGTTAAAAAAAAGGCAACGGCAGAACAAGAAGAGTGCGTATGTTAGCCGGATTTTAAAAAAATAAATAGATATAATAGCGGGAAATATATAATTTGATTAAACTAAAAAGCCACCGAAACAAAGGAATTTGATAAATGTTTATTTCTATAACTGTCACTAATTAAACTTGCGGAATCACAGGATGGTTAAATGTGTATTTAGTAAAAAAAATAATAATGAGGAGAAAAGGAAAACGCGTAGGTTAGCAGAGAAGAAACTGACCGGAACATAGAGCTCAGGGGATGAGTCAGAGTTGGTGTTGGAAGAGAAGAGAGGATCAGAAGCGGCGGGCCACGTGTCGGGATGAGTGGTCCAGATGTTAGGGAAGGAGTCGGAATCACCGATGTCGAAACCGACATCGATATCGCCACCGGGAAAATCAATGAGGTCGTCCATGTTGTCGAAGAAGTTGCCACAATCAAGATCCTCCGGGAAGCTTTGTCCAATCATCTTCTTTAACAATTTACTAATTTAGCTGGAGAAAGAAAGAAAGTAACAATTGATTATTAAATAAATAAAAAACAATGAGAGATGGAGCTAAGCTAATGAATTGAATTGAATGATATATAGAGGAAAATGACAAAGAGTTTGAACAGAAGAAGTTTCTCAAAAGTTTTTTAAAATTTTGAACCAAATTTTGGAACCACCTTAAAAATCAAAATTTTGAAAATGAACATACTTTGGCCCACCATTTTTGATATTTTTTTTTTTTGGTTACAGAAATAATGAAGGACCATTCTAAGCACAAATTCAATTGCAATAGACAAGTGTGGCTCCAAAAGTCAAAAGTCACCGTTAATTAAGCATTCTTGATTATCTCTTATCTTCTAGAAATTTTCAACTTTATCAGTAACCAAAACAGAACCCAAATCAGAAAATTTCCCCCCACCGACACCTCATTAACTCTTTAAAACCCCAATTCTGTAACCAAAGATTCCTAAATTCCAATTCAAGAATCAAGAATTCCCAAGAAAAGCAAAAACCAAAATCAAGAATGGGAGTGGAAGCAGAGTCAGAGAAGGAATTCGAACCTCTCTGTTCGTAGTGCTGTGCAGATCGTATGAGAGAGAGAGAGAGAATCAAATGTTTGAGAATATAAGAAGAGAGAGAGAGAGAGAGAGAGAGAGAGAGAGAGAGATGGAGATTGCTTAGAGAGGAAAAAAAGGAGTAGGAGTGGGGAGAAGTGAAGAGTGATTGATTGGGAAAATGGGTGAGAGTAATGGAGAGCAGCAATAGCTTCTTCTTATTATTATAAAGAGTTAGGTGTGAGAAACACTTCTCTCTCTCTCTCTCTTCCCTTTTGCTAGCTGTATTTTACCATTCCTTACCCTGTCTTCATGTGGAAGTCTCTTTCCTTCTCTCTCTCTCTCTAAACATTTCATAGAAATAAAATATTTTCATAATCTCACCTCCCTCATGTGGGTTCCATTTCTCATTTGAGACTTTACCAAAGATGATTTTTATTCACAAAACCCTTTGCTTAGCTGTGCAAAAGTTGTATTTGTTTTGAAAAGGAATGAATTTTAAGTTAAAAACTTATTAATGGAAATGGTTTAAATTAAAGTTACACCACCTTATCTCTTACACAAAGATTATTAATATATATAAATTAATTATACCTGAACTCTTTATTGGTTCAGACTTGTCATCAAAAAAAAATAAAAAAATTGTCGTTTAAGTAAAGAGTTGACGTAATTAGAAGATACATGATGGACTTTTATTTTTGTTAGATGGAAAAGGTTAAAAATTCTAAAATTATAACGCGCATAATTCTAGTCATGGTTTTGCTCCTACCGTTATAAAAAGTCAATGAGATAATGGGAAGGTGAAATGGCACGAAGGATATATACGACGTTTACGCGTACATGTAATTCCAAATATTCTATTATTATCTATTTATCATTTCTTTCTTCTAATTTTCTCCCCATTGTTTATGCCACAAACTACGTGTTGCAAAGTAAAAGTATAGACTTTTTCTAAATATACGTATTCCATTTTTCTTTAGGGGGTCAAAAAATACATATAAGCATAATATTATATTTCTCCTAGGTTTACGGAAACCTCACTCAACTTTATTTCCTTCTTATTTTTTACCACAAAAAAGCATCTACGATTATCATGATTACAGTAACATATTTTCCTATACTTGTAAAATATACGCGGCACTCCTTTCTTTGACAACTATATTACAAAATTACTTCATCGTGTGAAAATGTTTACAACTCATGAGTAAGATTTCTTTCTGAGTTTAAAAGCCAAAAACAACTATTCATAATTTGCCAACTGTGTTTTTTATATATTATTGTTGGTTTAAGTCGCAAAGATAAAATATATATCTTTGTATGTTATAATTAACTTAAATAAGCATATCAAATGAACAGTTAACAAATTAGAATCCGATTTTTTTTTACCTTTTTCATTAGTTAGATAAAAAAAAAAGGCTGGCAAGATATAGATGCCCTAAGTAAAAACTCTATAAATGAAGGATTGATCATTTCTTGTTAAGATATCTTGAAAAACAATCAAATGATAATAAAAAATCTAATCATGTTTATTTGGTAGATATCATCATAATCATAAGAATTTTTTCCTAAGTTTATAGTCTTACTGAATAATGATGATGATAACAAGTTATGTAAATAAACGAATAAACATAATATATAGGTTAGTTAAGAAAAACTTGATATAATACTTTGTGGAACACTGTACGTTGTCACCATAAATCGAAGACACAATGAATTCCACATTCATAGACATTATATATCCAATGAAATTTTTCTGTGAGATTATATATATCTTCTATATCACCATTTTCTTAAGCTAACTTCAACCTTACTCTTGGTTTCCTTACTTCAAGCACACTCTTTCCTAAGGAACTGAAAATATACATATATAATAAAACAACATGATATCTACCAATTTAATTTAATGCTAATTTCCTAAGGCTCTACTTTTCCACTTTCTTTCTTTTATTTTAGTTTTCGTTTGCAGTAACTAGCTTGGACTTCACTCCATACACGATCACTTTCTTCTAAAAGACTTCTCTACATTACTCTTCATCAAATGACAAAAGCTATATGAGTGTGTTATTTTATATGTTGTATACATATAAAGATACTAGACATGTACTATATATACATCGTATCTCGTCAATGGTTTGTATGTTTAGATCACTTCATGCATCTCGTCAATAGTTGTATGTTTTTTTTTGTTTTTTGTTAAAGGTCAATATATAGGTGTATGCTGAGATCACTTGTTGCATTATATAGCACAAAATTAAGCTTATATTTCTTCGAATTAAATAAATTATATTACGCTATCAAAATTTTTGAACCTAAGCTTATGGTTGGGACCAAAATGTTCGTATAACTTCCGGCATAAAAAGAAAAAGCCCTCTCTTATGTATGATCGAGCATTAATCTTAGACTGATTAAGACATCTCAACAAATATTGATTAAAACGAGTAGAACTGTTTACCAAAATACTAGCTAGTTTCTCTAACCAAATAAGTTATCGCTCCAATCAAATAACTCAAACGTATGTAATATATATCAGGTAAATGGTATACGAAACTCCAAATGTGAGTGTGGTAAGACTTCTGCATTAAGCCGGAATATTTATATATCATATAATAATATAAAAATAGAAATATTTCAAGTCCAAATTTATTGAAGAACCAAAATCTCAATTTGATATTAGCATAATTAACCGCTTTGTATTCATAAAAGGCTAAACTCCTCGAAAGATCTCAATAAGTACATGACTACATAAAAGTAAGATGTGTCCCATATACATCACATACTGTATATATTTAACTTATAATAAATGAAAAATTGCCACCTCTATCACAAGAGTAATACAAATCCGTGACACATGATCTAACATAATTTTATAGTAAAAATAAGCTGGATATGTAAATGTTGGCGAAGTAGAGGGGGATAGTAATAAAACATTTATTTTGTACGGTTGACCGTATACGATAACGTATAATATACGATTATGAATGAGAAGCGTATGCGTATCTAGTCGGTGGAGGATGATGAGCATGTGCACAGAGAACAGGTGAAGGCGCGGGTGACTTGCGAGCAAGTAAGAGCCCATGTTTTCGTTAGGACCCACTCTTGTCTAAAATACGTGAGAAGATACGATTGGGATTGGCCCCACGCTCATTCTTTTTTTTTTAATTATTTACGATTATAAAACAGTGTTTAAGCGTATTTAATTAAGGGGATTAGAAGCGGCAATTTGAGAAATGATATATCATTCAGCAAATCACGTGGTTTTGCCTCGGGATCGGTTCTCTCTTACTGACAAATGAATATTTCTAAAACATAAACGAATAGGCACCGAACACGTGTCCAACAATCTCCACGTTAGATCATGTGACGATGTGGGTCCTAGTAGTGTGCGAAACTCCTCTCTACTAGCTCTCTCTAGCTCTTCGGGGACTCTCTCTCACAACTCGAGCGTACGAATCTCTCCTCCAAGTCCTAGGATCAACGGATCAATTCAATTATTCACTATACCCACATGCACTGGCTTTTTTTTTTTGGAATACACAATTCTTTATCCGTTTTTTTGTATTATTATATGTTTAACTGATGTGATTTGGACAATTCATGAACCTCTGAAAATTTTTTTTTTGTGTGTTATAAAGCAGTTTGTCAGCAATTCTTCACATGCTATTTCAACTAAAGACACCAAAAGTATTTATATTTTTATTTTGGTCGAAACAAATATCATTTAAAGAAAAAAAAAGTAGTTGGGCTAGCGACCTTCTCTCTACTTGGGTTTTTATACTAAGCATAAAACAAGACAAGAGTCTGCCATGGACTTTCAGTCTAGCTTTTAAGTTCCCTGAAAATCATACTCGATAAAAAAGATAGATTTGGATTCATGCAAGAGGATTCACCAACAGATCAAACAAATCTCTGGACATCACCACGGTGTTCCCGAAAATACTTGAAGATCTAACATGTGTGGATATTTCCGAGAGTGCATCATACAAACGTATTGACATATGAATCACTTGTATACCGGTTACATGCAAGAGTATTTGAATAGTTTTCAACATATAAAATGATGTGATATATGTAGTTTACAATCTTTCGCCACATAGTGACAGAATAGTATCTGTCATCACTCTTGTCTCTTGCAAATCGTCATGTTCGTTGTAGTGATGATTTCCTGTTGTCGTGAGTTGGTAGACGACTTAAAATGTTATTCATCTTGCATTGCTTATTTTTGAGCGCGAGTTTTTTTTTTGCTCATACAATCTTTTGGGATAATCGTATGATTTTTGAATTTAGGGTATAGTGTATATATATATATTTTTTTAATAAAAATTGAAAGGTTGGGAGCACGTTTTAGAGCGACACCAAAATTTTGATTTTTTTTTAAAAAAATTGACAACCAGTCACCTATCAGCCGTGTATATAAAAAATCGGTTG